AAAGTTCATTGTATCTTAGAGTTTTTCACAAACAACTGGCTTAATTTATTTTAAGTAAGGGAAAAGTGAATTTAGTAATTACTTTCAATACATTTTTAATTAAATAATAAATTTCTTGAGAGAATTCAATTATTTTCAAAAAATTTAATGAAATTCCTCGCAACGATTCAATTATTTTAAAAATTTGTGATAAAGTTCTTTATCAGAATTCAATTTTAAGAAGTATTTAATTATTAAATAAATTATTAATTTTTGTATTTAAATAATTAAATTCTCGTAGAATTTTCGAGTAAAAATAAATTTAAAAGTTTAGAATAATAATTGAATATTATAACACTATCAAAGAGCAACGAATTGATACCAAAAATGTGGATCAAATCAAAAATTGATCAAAATTTTTGACATCAATTTGATCCACTTTAGTATTAATTCGACACTTTCAAGAAAATTATGAAGCATGTAAAGGATAAATTTTTAGAAACTGAATTCTATAGATTTGTTATTTAAATTTCTTGAAAGAATTTATTTATTTTTGCGAAAAATCTTTGTGAGGAGGAAAAATATAGTTTTGAATGAATTAAAAAAGTGTTGGGTTGCGATATATTTGCTCGAGAGAATAGTCTCTCGCAATCAGTGCGAGATATTGTTATCGATGAAGTTGAGACATTCTTGACTAATGCTGCATCTTTTGTGTCCATCTAATATCGCCTGGAATCGTCGTTTAGTGAATTTATTGAAGTAGATTTGCAATTCAACCGACGAAATAGAATTCTTGCCCGGATCTCAGATTAATTCTAACTGTACACTCTGATTTTATTATTCATTATTTATTATGCAATCCGGTACGGAACGAGCGTAGTAAATCCAAAGTGCTGTTGACCTGATGATCATTGGACCGAGACCAGCATGCAGACCAAGCGCGGCAGATCAACTCTCCCGGTCAACCGGAAGTAATTATAGTTTCGACAGAATCTTCAAGAGATGTATCGTACTCTACAACTATCGACAGTGAAGATCATTTTCTTTCCGTTCTTTTTTTCACTTCATTCTAAACCGACAAGCGAGAGAGCCTCTCCTCCTTGTGGGATATCAATGTTACGTACCCGATTAACAAGACTAGGCAATCGAGCGAAAAAGAAACTTCTTCTTCGTTGTCGTCTTCTTCTTCTTCCTCCTCTTCATCTTCTTCTTCATCATCATCATCATCATCATCATCTTCTTCTTCTTCTTCTTTCTTCTTCTTCGTGTTGGAGATGAATTTCTTTATGGCTCAACATTTAACTTGAACGAACAATATGGAATATCGTTAATTTACGCCCTGATACTTAGAAAGAATGATTCGTCTCAATTTCTCAATATGTTCTCATGTATACTCATTATCTTGCTTCAATCAAAATAGGCAGTGTAAATAAATAATGCTTCACTGCTTTTATGAATTGACGTCCCGCCTTTTCTTCGAGATGAAATGAGATCCTATTTTCAGACTACAAAACAATTTTTTTCTAAAGTGTCTTGCAAAAAAAGTGTCTGCTTATTTCGGCAGACAATTTATTTTTTAATAATTCCAGGCCTCGGATTGTGCGACTTTTTCGACTTTTTTCGACTTTTCTAAGGAAATGGGACTTTTTTCGACTTTTTTGTGAAAATATGCGACTAATCGACTTTTTCGAGATTTTTTTTAGTAAAATGCGAATGAAATTTAAAAATTTTTTTTAAATTTAAAGGAAAAAGTTTGAGTAAAAAAAATGTTCTGTTACATTTATTTACAAATTATAATAAATATTATAAAATTATAATTATAATAAATATAATAAATATTTAATTATTATTTTTCCATAGGAATTAAAATTCTTCAAAAGATTCAAATTCAAATCTTTTTGAAATTAAACAACTTAGAAAAAATTGTTATAAAACATGAAGAAATCGATCACTGAGTCTTCGACTCGGAGCAATCGATGTCTTCATGTTTTATAATAATTAAAGATGACCGAGTGATAAAATCATTAATTTAAATTCTAAGACTTTATAAAAAAAATTTGTTTAATTATTTTTTATGAAAATAATTGTTTTTTTGGGAAGAAATTTATAAAACATTAGTAAAATTGAATTTTGCAGAAGAATGTTAATATTTACAAAGATAATTGAAATTTTGAAGAGAATTTAAAAAAAAAATTTTTTTGAAAATAATTGAATTTCTGTGAAGAATTTTATTACTTTTAAAGATAATTGAATTTTGCAAAAAATTGTATCAGAACTTTTGAAAATAATTCATTTTACAGGATGAATTTTATTATTTATAAAGATAATTTAACTTTTGACAAGAATTTTATTAAAATTTTTTGCAAATAATTGAATTTCAGAGAAGAATTTTATTACTTTTGAAAATAATTGAATTAAAACAAGTATTTTTATTGATATTTGAAAATTATTTAATTCATAAGAAGAATTTTATTTTAAATTTGTGAAAATAATTGAATTTTTGCGAAGAATTTTATTACTTTTGAAGATAATTGAATTTTGCAAAAAATTGTATCAGAACTTTTGAAAATAATTAATTTTCCAGGATGAATTTTATTTTTCATGAAGATAATAAAAACTTTAACGAGGAATTTAAAAAAAATTTTGAAAATAATTGAATTTCTGCGAAGAATTTGATTACTTTTAAAAATAATTGAATTTCTGGGATGAATTTTATCACTTTTGAAAATACATAAATTTCTAGGATGAATTTTATTATTTATAAAGATAATTGAAATTTTGACCAGTTCAGAGGGACCTCTGCAAAAAATAAGGTACAAGTCCAGTTTAATTTGAGAAGGGAGGGACCTCTGCAAAAAAATAAGGTACAAGTCCAGAGTTATTGAATTCCAAATGTTTAAATTTGAATTTTTTAAAAATCCTAATTCCTATGGAAAAATATAGTAATGATTATATATTTATTCAAAAATAGAAGTTATTGATGTTTTCGAATAATTTTACTTTTGAAGAAATTTATAAATAACTGTAATAGAACATTTTTTTGAGTATATACATCTAATAATTTTTAGAATGAATCAGAATATTCTTTAGGGTCAGAAAAAAATCAAAATTTTGTCCGTAAATCAGGGAAAATTCAGGGAAAAGCAAAATTAATTTTTTGTGTCAACCCTGACAAGGTCATATCAACGAAATTTGCAATATTAGAAAAAAATCCCTGCCGGATATTAAAATGCCTATTTATCTTTTAGATTATCGTCGAATAATTTATTATTTAAAAATTGATTGTATACAAATTATTTATAAATAATTATCAGTGTATATGAGGTAAAAAATTTTACTAACATAAGAAGTAGGTATTTATAACGATTAACATAATCTCTTATTTAGAGATTAGAAATATTTTTATGAGACGGGCCTCATTTTTGCAAATACTATTTAATCTTTATAAATGATGATTCCTCTCTTAATCCGAATTCGTTGAAACAAACTATAATTATTAATAAAATTTTTACTCTTTGCTTCCGCAATTAGTAAATAATAATTAATTTATTATTAATATAGTTATTTTCCAATTTCAACTACAAATTCGATTTTGTACTAATAAATTATTATTTATTAATACAAGAATTAAAAATTATTTTTATTTTTATTTTATAATAAATACGAACGTGAATATTATTTCTTTAATTAATACCCCAGTCTTGAATAAAATAAAAGAGTTGAAGTGTTAAGAAAATTGTCTTTTTATTTTATCCACGACTCGGAGTGATCGTTACATGAATGTGTTTATTTGTATACTATTTAACCTAGTTAATTAATTAAAATAATATTGGCTAATTAATATTAATTAGCTACACTATTTAAAAAGCAATTTTTTATGTTTAATGAACATGAAGTAAATATTATAGAAAAAGATATCATTATGGTCAAATAATACCATTAATAATAAAATAATAAAAATTACTTATTATTTTATTATTATTATTATTATTATTATTATTATTATTATTATTATTTATTACTTCATAATTAATAAATAATAATAAAAGAATATAATTATTAATAATAACTATACTTATTTATCCCTTATTTCTGATATGAAATCATTACAAGTAATTAAAAATGTTACTGTAGTGATAATAATTTACTTACAGAACACTTCTTGCTTGATACTTTAGTGGCATTATTATTTGAATACCATTGTTTAATATTATACCACCATTGACAATATGACAATATTTTATGTTCCCAATACAAACACTAATTACTGAAATCAAAATTATTATTATTACGATTAGTATTAGTATTAGTATTAGTATTAGTATTAGTATTAGTATTAGTATTAGTATTAGTATTAGTATTATTTTTTGTATTATCAAATTAAAGTATCCTAATGATTGAATAAAATAAACTATTTTTTCCAACACTTATTTGTAAGAAGTATAAAAATTTATTCTCACGAGAAAGAATTGTATTAATTAAAATATGGAAAATTATAAGTAAGTACACTCTCTAAAACTAAATTAGTCACTTTTGTTTTGACTAATAAAATAGGAAAAGGTGGTTCGTTCATTAAATGGGTTAGTAAGTGTTTCTACTAATTTTTAGTAAAAACCTACTAATTGTCAGTAAAAAATTACTCATTCATTTTTTAACACTATTAACTAATTTTTTAACGCTACTAATTAATTTTGTACGCTACTAAATTAATTTATTAAACGTTACTAATTGAAATAGTAGCCATAAAAAATGAATTAGTAGTGTTCAACTACCAAATTAGTAGTTTTTGTCTAAAAATTAGTAAGAACGCTTACTTATCCATTAAATGAGGAAAAAAATAAAGAAAATTAGTCAAAAGTGACTAATTCAGACTGAGAAATACTCTTGGATTGAAAATAATTTTGAACGATGCCATTATGTAAATGTAACTTTAGTGAAAAATGAATGGTGTTTATATTAATAAAATTAGTTTTTAAAAATACGACTCGATGCAACTTAATAAGAAATGATTTCTATTACAGAGTACGTGGCTGGCGCGTGTCCTCGGATTTGTCCCCCGAGTGGTGAACCGGTATGTGGAAACGACGGTGTCATCTACGCATCGCAATGCGAAATGAGGAAGAAGATGTGTGGAAAAGGTGAGGTGAAATAAGCAGGGGTAATAGAAAGGGAGAAAAAAAGCGAAAAAAGCGAAAAAAAAGAGCAAGAGTGAGTGCTAGTTACCGTAATTAAGAATCATCCTGCCACCGTGTAACGTTCCACAAGAAGTCTAATTGCACCTTCTTAACTTCTTTCGTTTCAACGACACGAATCCCTGGAATACAATTTTTTTACAGCTATTAACTTGGAATTTAACAGATACTCCAAGACATAACATACGTAATATACAGCACTTTTCAACTTTTTTTCTCCTTCTACTTCTTCTTCTTCTCTTTCCATCGAATTATACAGCCTACCCCTTGTAATATACTTTCTCATAATCTGTTTAACGAAATTTCAATAATATTCCTCAGTTTAGTTTATTTCAATTGCGACATGTCCGCATTTCTGATATTGGAATGTTTTCTAGCCAATTAGAAATTGATACCTTTTGGATCTTCATGGCAATAGTCCAATTTAATATTCTCTTATGCACTTTTCTTATGTTTGCAAGCAACTTCTTCTGTATTGCTTCAGGGTTGCCATACAGGTCAGGGAAGTCAGGGAAAAGTCAGTTAAAGTGGAATTCGTCAGGGAAAAGTCAGGGATTTTTATTAAAGTACTGGAAAAAATTAAATATGTAGAATTCATAAAAAAATTCTTAATTTTGGTGCCAGTTGCGTTTGCCTCATAAACCATGTAATTACCACAAATTCTGGTACAAAACCTTCAATTTTTTCTATATTTGACAATAATTTCTTTTTATATAACTCAATTCCAAAACAACTATCATAAAATTATTACTTATAGATTTTTTAATGAATAATTTAACTGAAATATTTCAAAATTAATTGAATTGTAAAAAAGTTGCTTTTACAATTTGTATAGATAGATGAACTTCAAAGGTTTTAATTTCAATTTTTATAAAATTTTAATTTTGAATGAATTTAATTAGAAAGAACTTAGATTTTTGAAAAAAATTTTAAAATTCAAATTCTTCTGGAATTAGTTAAATTTTTTAATATACATTTAATTAATTATTAAAAATAATAGATTTATAGAAGAATTTCAGTTGAAAACACTAACAAAATCGAATTTTCCAGAAGTTACAACTTACAAATGATTGCAGAAATTCAATTATGTTCAAAAATTTTTAAAATTATACTTGTCAAAATTTTAATTATCTTTAAAAATAATAAAATTCTTCTCCAACATTCAATTTTCATAAATTTTCCTCAATTCAATGATTTTCAATATCTACTATTTTAATAAAAATTTTCCAAAAGAATTCAATTATTTAAAAAAAAATTGTAATAAAATTCTACGTAAATATTTCTATTATTTTCCTAAATAATAGAAATCTCACGAGAATTCAATTATTTACAAATTTTTTATAAAATTCTTCGCAGAAATTCATTTATTTTCATAAACAATAAAACTCATCGCAGGATTTCAATTATTTTCAAAATCTACTATTTTAATAAAATTTCTCAAAAAAATTCAATTATTTTCATAAATAATAGTATTCATCTTAGAATTCAATTATTTTCATAAATATTAATATTCTTCACAGGATTTCAATTATTTAAAACAATTCAATTATTTTAAGTGTCCACTATTCTAATAAAAAAATTCCCCAAGAGAATTCAATTATTAGGAAAAACATTTTTTTATAAAATTCTTTACAAACAATTCAATTATTTTCGTAAATAATAATATTTTCACATGATTTTAATTATTTTTAAAAAATTTAAGTAATTTCTTCCTAAGAATTCAATTAATTTAAAAAATTTTAATGAAATTTGTTGCAAGAATTCAATTTTAAGAAACATTTAATTATTCATTATAGATTGTTTATTTTTGTATTTAAATAATTGAATTTTTGTAAAATTTTCTAATAAAAATTGATCTAAAAATTAATTTCAGTGAGAATTTTAAATAATAATTGAATTATATTTAAAACATGCAAGCGTGAATTTTTAGAATTAATTGAATTTTGAAAAGGTTTTAAACTAAAATCTTTGAAAATCTGAATTTTTCATGCTTTTAACTAACAATTTGGTAGAATTAATTTTTTTGAAAAAGTTTAGTTGAATTTTTTTTTAAATTATTTTTAGTTCTTATTTTCTAATATATAATTAATTGAAGAATTTACTTAAAAATGTATTAAAAATAATTAAAATCCTGTGTGAAATTTTATTATTTAGGAAAATAATTAAATTCTTGCAACGAATTTCATTACATTTTTTTTAAATAATTGAAATTCTGTAAAGAATATTATTATTTATGAAAATAATTGAATTCTTGCAACGAATTTTATTACATTTCTTTTAAATAATTGAAATCCTGTGAAGAATTATATTATTAATGAAAATAATTGAATTCTTGCAACGAATTTTATTACATGTTTTTTAAATAATTGAATTCTTTTGAGAAATTTTATTAAAATAATTGATTTTGAAATTATTTGAATTTCAGCGAAGAATTTCATTACTTGTGAAATGTAATTGAATTCTTGAAAAAAATGTAAAAAAGTTTGAAAATTTTTCGAGGAATTCATTTAAAATTGTATTAAAAATAATTTAAATCCTAGGAAAAATTTTATTATTTATGATAATAATTGAATTCTTACAAAGAATTTTATTACATTTTTTTTAAATAATTGAATTGATGTAAAAAATTGTATTGTATAAAGGATTTCATTAAAATTTTTGTAAATAATTTAAAATTAAAAGTTATTGAATTTCAAAAGGTTTAAATTTGAATTTAAAAAAATTTTAATTCCTATGAAAAAATAATGATTAAGTAAATATTTATTTAAAAAAGAAATTATTGATGTTTTTGAATAATTTTACAATTACTGAAATTTGTAAATAAATGTAATAGAATATTTTTTTGAGTTCCTAATAATTTTTAAAGTGAATCAGAATATTCTTTAGGGTCAGGGAAAAAGTGAAAATTTTGTCTGGAAATCAGGGAAAAGTCAGGAAAGACAAAATTAAATTTTTGTGGCAACCCTGTGTTTGTAAAAAAGCTAAAAAGAAAACTAGATATTTTTTTTAGTTTAGTTTTTAAATATCAGGCAGCATTTTCTTCTTTTTTTTTAGATTTCAGGGATCATATAGTTAGTCCCCTTTTCTTCTTCTTTTCCCCTTTTTTATTCCCTTAAATTAATAAAATCTCATAAAACACATAAAGTTATAAAATATTCTCCCTTTTTTCTTAAATAAAAATTTACAAAACTTTTAATTTTTCTCAATGCAGAAGCTAGTATATTTTGAGCAAGCTATTAAATTATTATTATATTGAGAAAAAGAAATAGAGAACGAAAATATAAAAGACGTAAAGAGACTTTCACGTAAAGTGCAAATAAACGCATGAAATTGAAGTGTAAAAAGCCGTCTATTTGTAGAATCTAGTCATTTTCAGTGTCATAGATTTAAGTGGATTATACTTTCTCGATTGAAAATCGTTCCATCTGCACGATTCTTGTAAAGTAGGCTCTCTGTCCTCCTTAATAGAAATGTAAAGAAGGAAAAGTTCCACCTTGACCCTTAGGTACTTTCACCTACCTATGATTTCAACTTGAAACGCCTTCTCACCGACATTCAAGAAGCAGACGTATAATCAAAAATACATCTTTAGAAGGATGAAAAAATATTACAATTTTTTCAATTAACATTTTTGCAAAAAATCGTATTTCTTCAATTAACGTTTAAAGAAATTCTTCTTTAAACGTTAATTGAATAAATACGATTTTTTTTATTATATTGCAATTACTTCAATTAACATTTTCTTATAGAAAAATATCTTTCTTCTTATTCTCATCTTCTTTTTCATAAAAAGCTGAATCTAAAATTCTCGGATTTAACTTAATCCTTATGTTTACTTAGCAAAACTTTGACCTGAAAATATATTAGGTTAGAGCAAATTTTTATTTAATTAATAAATAATTTGTTTCTTTTGGTGAAAAATTGAAGGTGTCACATTGGCGACAGAAAAAATCGCGTGTCTAAGATCGTCAGGTAGCAAATGCGAGCACCGCTGTCCAAATGATCAGGACCCTGTTTGCGGAACGGATGGAAGAACATATCTCAATAAATGCATGTTGAGGGTGGAAATTTGCCGGGTGGGAATTGAACTCTCTCATCTTGGACCGTGCAACAACATCTCGGCGCACAGAGAAAATTGTCCAGTTTCCTGTGATTTTGCCCCCGTCGATGGACCGGTTTGCGGAAGCGATGGAAATGTCTACAAATCCACCTGCCAAATGAAGCTACTCACCTGCGGGTAAGAGATGCTTTTTTTGTCATGTATCTCACTTCGTCGAAACCGAATCCTATTTAAAAAAAAATTTTATAAGACACAAAATTAAATATCCTTTAAAATCCTTATCAGAAAAAAATATGCTAGCTACAGGCTTCGCACTCATCTACTAAATCAACTATTTACTACTTTTTTTACCTTATGATACTATTTAGGTATTTTTTTAGATTTCAGCCACTAAAAGCTACTATTTCTGTTTTTTCTTTAGAATTTCCACTACTTTAAATTCATTAATACTGGAAATGAAAAAACTATTCTCAAAAATTATAATCAAATTCTTTAAAACGATTCAATTATTTTCAAAAAATACTCGAAATTCAATTATTTTCAATATCTAGTATTTTCATGAAAATTTGCAAAACAATTCAATTATTTAAAAAAAATTGAAAAAATTCATCCAAAATTCAATTATTTTCATAAATAATAAAATTTCCAGGGGAATTCAATTAATTAAGAAAAGCATTTTCAAAAAAATTTCGAAAAAAACAATTATTATTAACAAATTATTATTATTAACAATTATTTAACAAAATTTTTATACAATTCTTCAAGTCAATTACTTTCACTAATAATAACATTTTTTCATGGAAATTCAATTTTTTATAAAAAATTTTTTGATAAAATTCTAAGCAAGAATTCAATTATTTTCATAAATAAGAAAATTCTTCTCAGGAATTTAATTATTATTGAAAATTTTAATAAAATTCTTAGCAACTATTCAATTATTTTCATAAATAATAAAACTCATCGAAGAATTTCAATTATTTTTAATACTATTTTAAATTAATTAATCGAAAAATTCAATTATTTTCGCAAATAAATTTTCCACTAGAATTCAATTATTTAAAAGAAAATTTTCATAATATTTTGAAAAAATTAATTATTTAAAACAATGTTTATAAAATTCTTATAAAGAAATCTATTATTTTCAAAAATAAAAAAAAATTTCACAGAAATTCAATTCTTTTTAAACATTTTATTAAAATTTTTCGCAATAATTCAATTATTTTTATAAATAATAAAATTCACCGAAGGAATTCAATTATTTTTGAAAATTTTAATAAAATTCTTTGCAACTATTATTTTCATAAATAATAAAATTCATCGCTGGATTTTATTATTCTTAATACAATTTTACAGGAATTGCTCCAAAAATGTAATTATTCTTAAAAATCTAATTTCAGTTTCTCGAAAAAATCAATTATTTAAAATAATGTTTTTTTTTAATTCTTTAGAAGAATTCAATTATTTACAAAAATATATTAGAATTTTTTACAAAAATTCAATTACTTTCATAAATAATTAAATTTTTACAAGAAATCAATTATTTTCATAGCCAAAAATAAAACTCATTGCCGAATTTCAATTATTTTTAATACAATTTTAATTGAATTTTTTGAAAAATGCAATTATTCTTAAAAATTTTATTAAAATTCTTTGAAAGAATTCAATTAATCTATAATTTTTTTCATTTTCGTATTTTAATAATTGAATTCTCGTAGAATTTTCTAATAAAAATTATTTTAAAAATTAATTACAGTTGAAATTTTACATTGTAATTGAATATTAAATTGAATTTTTAAAAAAAAATTATTTCAAGTTTTTATTTTCTAAATATTTAATTGAAGAATTTCTGAATAATCAAAATTTCGTAAAATTGAATTGTAAATAAATGGATTTGAAAATTCTCTAGAAACTTTTGCAAAAATTATTAAAAATAATTGATAATTATTGTTTATTTATTTCTTTCGAAGAATTGTAATGTATTTATTATTCAGAATAAATTCCATTTTTCGAAGAATTTACTTAAAATTTTCCTAAAAATAATTGAAATCCTGTGAAAAATTTTATTATTTAGGAAAATAATTGAAGTCTTGAAGCGAATTTTTATTACATTTTTTTCAATTAATTAAAATCCTGTGAAGAATATTATTTATGAAAATAATTGAATTCTTGCAACGAATTTTATTAAATTTCTTTTAAATAATTTAAATCCTGCGAAGAATTCAATTATTTACAAAAATATATTAGAATTTTTCACAGGAATTCAATTATTTTTAAATATTTTAATAAAGTTGGTCGAAAAAAATCAATTATTTTAAATACAAATTTAATTACATTTTTTTGAAATAATTCAATTATTCTTTAAGATTTTAATAAAATTCTTCACAAGAATTATTCAATTATTTACATAAATAATTTTCCGAAAAAAATACAATTATGTCGATAAATACCAAAAATTATTCCCGAAAATTCAATTATCTTGAGGCTTTTTAATAAAATTCTTTGCAAAATTCAATTATTTTCATAAATAACAATATTCATCGCAAGAATTCAATTATTTTTAAAAGTAATAAATTTCTTCTTGGAAATTCAATTATTTAAAAAAAATTCTAATAAAATCGTTCGCAAGAATTCAATTATTTTCAAAAAAATTTAATAAAATACCACACAGACATTCAATTATTATCAAAAATTTTAATTGAATTCTTTGTAAAATCTAATTATTTTTAAAAACTTTTTGCCATTCATTAATAATAAAAATTTCTTAGGAATTCAATTATTTAAATTCAGAATTTGCATAAAGTTAGTTGAAAGAAATCAATTATATTTACAAATATTTATAAAATTCTTCGCAATAATTAAATTATTTTTATAAATATTTAAATTCTTTCATGAATTATAAAATTCGTTGCTGGAATTAAATTTATTAGCAGGATAAGAAGGAAGTAAATATTTTTTATGAAAATTAGGAAAAAGTCAGGAAAATAAAATATAGAATGAAATTTTTGTCAGTTTTGTGAAGTGTCTTAGACGAGTTTTTTTGGTCGTCAAGTTTAATTTTTCGATAGCTACTTTCTTACTACTTTTTTTTAGTTTGAAAGCTACTTTTTGCTACTTTTTGAAAATTATTTAACGAGTGCAAAGTCTGCAACTAAAATTGGGTCCGATAATTAGATTTGAAGTTGAAAAATTCAAAATTTTGTCTGGAAATAAGGAATATTAATAATTCTGGAATATCTGTAATATTAATAATTTTTATGATCGAAAAGTGTCGAATATTAGAAAAAATGAAATGACTTTGGGGAAAAAAAAGATAATTAGCGTCAACTCGGTGCAACAGTTGGGAAAAAAAAGAGACCTCTGTAGAAAATTGTAAGTCATTAATAACCAACAAATGAATAGGATGATTCTTTATAATTTCTTAGCAGCTCTCTGATTTATCTTATTACAGACAGGGCGTGGTACGAACGAATAAGAAACATTGTCAGACAACGAGGCATTGCCGAGAATCATGCTGGCGAGGCGCCAAACAAGCCTGTGGAAGTGATGGGATGCTTTACTCAAACACTTGCAAAATGAGGGCAAAGAACTGCGGGTAAGATGAATACTTGAAAAGTGCACTTGAGAACCTTCAATCTCTTGGAGGTTTTTTAAATAGATCCTTCTCTCTCACTCTCTCGCTTTTTATTTAATTATTTTTATACGCAAACGTTTTTATTCATTCATATATACGTATATAGTGCGCTAATATAAATTTGCAAAATTTCCTCTTGAATTTCAAAAGCACAACCCTCGAGAATGAAGCTCTTCAAACTTGCCAACAAATCACTTCAGTTCCCTTCGAATCCATTATTCCTTGATTTAATTTGTTATTCATGAACTATGATGATGATGATGGGATTAGGACCCTTCATTAGGCCAGATGTTTCACCCTTTTGTTCTCAATTTTTCTTTCTTTCGTGAATATTTCAATTTTTATTTTGGAAAACCTTTTTCAAATATAGAGCAATTAACTTCATGTGAAATAGTCAAAAAAATTTTACTCAACATTATAAAAAGAAAAACTTTGATGCACGAATTAGCCCCATAAAGGGGAATATTTTGTGCACGACTTTTAATGACTACAACTCAGACAAAAAATTTTTTTTCATTGGCCAACTTTTAGGATATCTTCAGATGGATGTCAACAAAACGTATCAACAGTTGTTTTTCTTTTTTTTCTATTTTGAACTTTAATAAATCGTTGAGTCAATAATTTCTTTTTAAATAATGAAATTCTTTAAGAACTACCTATCATAATATTATTACTTGTAAATTATTTAATGAATAATTTTATTTAAATATATTTAAATATTTTATTTAAATATATTTAAATATTTTATTTAAATATTTACGAATGTTTGCAAAAATTCAATTATGTTCAAAAATTCAAAAAATTCAATTATTTTGAAAAATTCAGATAAAATTCTTCATACAATTCAATTACTTTTATGAGTTGCAAAATCCATGAGTAATAAAATTGTTCAAAGAACTTCAATTATTTTCATAAATAATCAAATGTTTCGCAGCAATATTCAATTATTTTGAATACAATTTTAATATAATTCTCGACAGAACAATTTTAAGAATATTATTTGAATTTAATTATTTTCAAGAGTTTTAATAAAAACTCAATTATTTTCAACAATTCTGATAAAATTCTTCGAAACAATTCAATTATTTCTATAAATTGTAAAATTCTTAACAAAAATTAAACTATTTTTGTAAATAATAAAATTCTTCCTCGAAAAATGTAATTATTCTTGAAAATTTTATTACACTTCGTCGAAAAAATTCGATTATTTAAAAATTTGTTAATAAAATTCTTTATGAGAATTCAAAATTTGAGAAACATTTATTTTTTCAATAATTTTTTCATTTTTTATTTAAATTTTTGAATTCTCGTAGAATTTTCTAATAAAAATTGTTTTAAAAATGAATTTCTGTTGAAATTTTAGATATAGTAATTGAATATTAAAAACATAGAATTAATTTTTAGAAATAATTTTATTTTGAAAAAGTTAAATTGAATTTTTTTTTGTTGAGATTATTTCAAGTGTGTATTTTCTAAAGATTTAATTGAAGAATTTCTGAATAATCAAAATTTCGTAAAATTGAATTATAAACATATGGATTTGAAAATTCTCTAGAAAATTTTGCAAAAATTCTTAAAAATAATTGATAATTATTATTCATTTATTTCTTTCGAAGGTTTTTATAAAATTTTTGAAATTATTTTTTTCGAAGAATTTACTTAAAATTATAAAAAAAATACTTGAAATCCTATGAAGAATTTTATTATTTATTAAAATAATTGAATTCTTGCAACGAATTTTATTAAATTTTTTTTTAATTGAATTTTTTTGAGAATTTTTATGAAAATAGTAGATTTTGAAAATATTTTAATTTCAGCAAAGAATTTCATTATTTTTAAAATGTAATTGAATTCTTGCAAAAAATATTTGAAAATAATTACAATTTTCGAGGAATTCATTTAAAATTATATTAAAAATAATTGAAATCCTACGAAAAATTTTATTATTTATGATAATAATTGAATTCTTACAACGAATTTTATTACATTTTATTAAAAATTGAATTGGTGTAAAAAAATTGTATTTCTTACAAAAATAATTGGAATCTTGCGATTTTATTAAAATTTTTGTAAATAATTGAATTTTCTTTTGAAAAATTTTATGGAAGTTTAAATTATTATAAAACATGAAGATAGCAATCACTCGGAGTGATTGCTATCTTCATGTTTTATAATAATATTCTTAAAAATTATAAAATTTCAAAAGGTTTAAATTCTAATTTTTTTAAAATCTCAATTCTTATGAAAAAATAACAATGATTAAATATTTATTTAAAAAAGAAGTTATTGATGTTTTTGAATAAATTTGCAATTAAGGAAATTCGTAAATAAATGTAATAAAATATTTTTTTGGCTCTCTAATAATTTTTAGAGCGAATCCAAATATCCTTTAGGGTCAGAAAAAAGTCAAAATTCCAAAAAAAACTCAAAAAAAAGTCTGAAAATCAGGGAAAAAGAAAATTAATTTTTTGTAGATGTTAAGTTTGAAATAAATGAATTTTGGGTATTATTTTGAAGATTCATTTCGGGTTTAAATGAAAGAAAAGATTTTTAATTTGCAGTATTAGGAGAGTTTGTATTTTCACTTAGATTTCAGTTTACATTTTAGAATTTGAATTTATCGAAAAATTTACATTGTGTTACTAATTTCGACAGTTGGGGGGTATAATTTTGAAGAGTTGATGAAATTTCTGTTGTTTATTAATTTAATTAACGGGCTCTACAATATCCAGCAGCCCATCCAACTTGTTTGTAGCAAAAGCCTGAACAGCAATTTGTACTTCCATCGGGTTGACAAGAGACACCATCAGGTTCACACTGAGCATTGACAGCAGGAGCCAGGAACATGAAAACGGTTGCCAAAAGCACAAACAACAATTTGCAACTTGCCATTTTTTGTTTTGAATTTCTGTAAACAGAATATCAAAAATAAAAATATAAAGATCTGAGACTGAAGTTTTTTTGAAATTTCATATGAATAACAAATTAGTGACGATTTAGACCCTCTTCATGTGGACGTTCCAATGAAATTATTTCGTAATAAAATTAATTATTTATTAAAGATAATTTTTTGAATAGTTTATAATAATTCATTTATTATACTCACAGTAATTGAGAACTAAAGAATGAAGTCCAATACGAAATGATGTGAAGTAAACGGAATCGGGCAGCTTTTTATATGCAAGAAATGAAGCTACACTTTTACCTTATTTTTATAACTTTGATTGTATACAGGCAGGAAAATAAAAATTTGTGGATATTGTCTCGATTTTCCTTTATTGACTCTATGATTTGCGTGAGAGGGAGAGAGGATAAGATTGGAAAAACATTTTCTTTTCAAATTAATTTTAAACGATTTTATCAATAAAAAAACAAACTATGTATATATTGTTGAAGAAAACAAGCCGAGAGGAGTGTTTTACTGTGTAAATTTTCCGCAAATTACTCACAAACTTTATTTTCCTCAAGACTCTAAATCTGAATTTGTTAAAAATAATTCTTACTCTGCGTCAAATATTGTCTGCTCAATAAAATTTTCTTTCCTTAGAAAGAATTTAATTATTTTCAAAAGTTTTAATTATTTTTAACTAATTCAAATTTATAGAAAATAATTTAATTTAATTTAATACGCTAAGAGAAAACTTTATTTGATTCAAATAAACGATTATTAATATTATCAATTGTCACGACTATCCGTTGTCAAATAATTATTAGTATACGAAAAGAAAACTTTACTTGGAACAAAAAAAAATAGAATAAAAAATTTCACTATATTAGCAAAATTTTTACTTAAATCAATTAAAACTTTTGCTATTCCAGAGAAACTTCTCGCTATTCCAGATAAAACGCTTTTTTCATGTTAAAAATAATTTCTATTTATGCCAATTGTCATAAATGGTTTTTAAGTACTGAAATTATTATTGGTTCAAATAGAATTTATTTGACTTGAATAAAAAGTGTTTGACTCAAGTAAATATTTATTTGATAAGACAAGTAATCGGTTATTTGATTCAAATAAATTTTTTTCAGTGTAAATAATTTAATTTATAGTGTAATTTAATAATTTAATTCAGTGTAATTATAATTAAATTTTAATGTTTTAATATTTTTTTTTAAATTAATAATTATGCTTCTAGATTTGAGTTTTAAGATTTGAGGAATAATGAAATATTTCTGATAAAATGTACACAGGAAACATGTATTCGAAGTACCAATGTCCTTCTGCATGACACGGGAGAGAAATTCAGGAAGTGCCGCAACAGTCTGTCCACTCGACTGCAAAAATGAACCAGAAGTGTCTGTTTGCGGATCAGACGGACTTATCTATCGAAACGAATGCGAAATGCAGATGCTTAATTGCGGGTAAGGCATTTTATTTATCAATCTGAATATATCTTGAGTGCCCTTCTATTTTCTAATAATAGAATTCAATTTAGATGGAAATATGCGATGATAAATTCTTTGCTTAATTATTATCAACTAAAGTGTACATACAAAAATTTAGCTACTATTTTTATAAATAAGTTAGACTAATCTGAGTTTCCACAGGTCAGGGAATTCAGGAAAATGTCAGGGAAAGTAAAATTGGTCAGGAAAAAGTCAGAGAATTTTATCAAAAGTACTGGAAAAATATTCAATTTCTAGAAATCATTAGAAAATTATCAATTTTGTTACCTTTTATAAAAATATTGAAAAGATTTAATTTAATTTTAATTTCTTTTCAATTCTAACAATAATTGAACTTTTGAAATTGAACTTCTTTTAAATAGTTCAATTCTTGTAAAACACTCGAAAAATTATTGTTTATAAATTATTTTGCGAATAATTTTATTCAAAAAATAATTGAATTTTTTAAAAGTTGGGCTTCAAAAAAATGTAATTACTTTTATGAATTGTAAAATCCATAAGTAATAAAATTCTTCAAAGAAATTCAATTATTTTCATAAATAATAAAATGTTTTGGAGAAATGCAATTATTTTCAATACAATTTTAATTTAGATAAAATTCATCGAAACAATTCAATTATTTTTATGAATTGTAAAATCCATAAGTAATAAACTTCTTCAAAGAAATTCAATTATTTTCAAAAATAATAAAATGTTTCGAAGCAATATTCAATTACTTTCAGTTTCAGTACAATTTTAATAAAATTTCTCGACAGAATACCTATACAATTATTTTTAAAAATATTATTTAAATTCAATTATTTTCAACACTTCTGATAAAATTCTTCGAAACAATTCAATTATTTTTATAAATTGTAAAATTCTTGGCAAAAATTCAATTATTTTCAATATAATTTTAATTTAATTTTAATTATAATTTCTTGAAAAAATTTTAATTATATTCAAGATAATTTTAATAAAATTTTCCAGCAGATTCAATTATTTTTAAAAATTGTAATAAAATTTTTCTAAAGAATTCAATTGTTCTCAAAATTTTTTAATAAAATTCCTTGTAAGTTTCTATTATTTTTAAAATTTTCAATTAAAATTACTTTAAAAAAATACATAATTTTTACGAAATATAATTAAATTCTTTATAAAATTTAATTACTTTCAAAATTTCCAGTAAAAACTATTAAAAAAAATTCCATTATTTTTAAGAAAATTGAAATAAATTCTTCAAAACAATTCAATTATATTCATAAATAATAAAATGTTTCGGAGAAATTCAATTATTATCAATACAATTGTAATAAAATTTCTCGACAGAATACAATGTTTAAAAATATTATTTAAATTCAATTAATTTCAAGAGTTTTAATAAACATTCAATTATTTTCCACAATTCTGATAAACTTCTTCGTAACAATTCAATTATTTTTATAAATTGTAAAATTCTTAGCAAAAATCCAATTATTCTTATAAATAATAAAATTCTTCTGAGAAATTCAATTATTTTCAATACAATTTTAATAAAATTTCTTGAAAAAAATTCAATTATATTCAAGATAATTTTAATAAAATTTCTCTAACAGATTCAATTATTTTTAAAAATTGTAATAAAATTTTTCTAAACAATTTAATTGTTCTTAAAAATTTTTAATTAAATTTTTTGTAAATTTCTATTATTTTAAAAATTTGTAATTAAAATTACTTTAAAGATTACATTATTTTTACGAAATATAATTAAATTCTTCCAAAAAATGTAATTATTTACAAAAACTCTAATGCAATTGTTTGGAAGAATTCAATTTTCTATAAATATTTTAATATAATTTAATAGGAAAATCGTTTATTACAATTAATAATAAACACGATTATTTTAATAATTTAAAAGAAAATCTTCATAAAAGTCAATTACTTTCAAAATTTTTTATAAAAATTATTTAAAAAACTCCATTATTTTCAAGAAAATTGAAATAAATTCTTCAAATTAATTGAATTATTTTTAAGAATTTTAATAAAAATCTAGCCAAGAATAAAATTATTTTGAATACAATAATTTTAGTTACATTTTCTCGATAGAATTCAATTATTGAAAAAAAATGTAAATAAAATTCTTGAGATAAATTCAATTATTTTCAAAATTTTTTATAAATACTTTACAAGAATTCAATGATTTTCAGTACATCGAAAATTTAATTATTTCTGAAAATAATTGAATTCTTGAATAAAATTAGATTTATAAGAATACTCAGAAAAAAATTTGTTTGATACTATAAACAAATTTTGATTGAGTCAACCAAAGAAACTTTAAAAAAAAAAATTTTCTTTTTAAATAGAATAAACTAAACTAAAAACTAATTTAAAATAAAGTTCATAGAACAAAATGGAATATTTAATAATTCATTTTATTCATTCATTCAAATATATAATTTTTTTCCGAGTGAAGAAATAAATTAAAATTCATTGGTATTAAAAAATGTTTTTTCTTTTTTCATTCTACATATGCTTTTGTATTCCACAGGCAAGCGAGGAGAAAAGTGAGCGTGGTTGATTTCGACAAGTGCAAAACCCGTGTTACAAAGTGCATGAAGCAACAATCTCGATGTTTAAATGAAGTAGATCCGGTTTGCGGAAGCGACGCAAACACCTACTCAAATCAGTGTCTTCTCAACGTTGCATCTTGTCTGTGAGTTTTTTTTTTCTCTTTTCTCTCCTCTTTTCAAAGATAGAAATCAAAATAAAGTCACATTTCACTTTCAAGAGCATTTTTTTCTTTTTAAATAATTTTCCTTTTCTTTTATAAAAATAAAAATGTAATTTCAGAAAAGGAATTCAATTGGCACATCTTGGACAGTGTACGACCTTGAAAGAAGCAGAACAGTGCCCTGAAGATTGCAATAATGTGCCAGAAGAACCAGTTTGTGGAAGCGACGGAAATGTTTATCGGTGACTAAAAGCGTCATTTAGATTATTTAATGTCTATCTTTAGAAAAACCACCCCCCCCCCCCTACCTCTAAATTAATATTTATAGGAGAAATGAAACTTTTCTTTCAAAAAAGAAAATATTTTTTCCTCTTTTTCTTTTTTTTAAGAAAAATATTTTTTTTTGCCTTTTGATATTGATAACTGCGAGAAAAAAGAAAAACTGGTTTCAAAGTGTTGAAAAGCAAATAGGCCTCTTTTTTTGAAAATGATAATCTGGGATTCCTTTTATAACAGTCTTGATGATTTATTAACCTGTTTTTAATCTCAAGTTCAAACTTAAATTATTAATAATTTTATCGATGTAATATTCCTTTTACTTTGAACAGTATTTGGTAGAACAAGTTTGCAATATTTCCTTGTCATAATCTTGATTGGACTCTGAGAATTATATTTCTGTATACGTTCAGATTGTAGGGATCGTTAGAAAAAAAACAAGAAATGTCAAAAACCAGTTTTCGTTTACTATTAAAATCAAAAAAATTAAATTAATTTTTTTTTGGTTGAAAATATGAAGAATTTGTTTGAAACAATAAATTTCTTTATGCAACTTTCTGAATTTTAATTAGTGCAAAAATGTTTAGTAGTTTTAATAAATTTTCTTTGACCTTTTTTGAACTTTAAAAATTCTTTTTTTATTTAAAAAAAAGAATTTTTCTTAAATTCAAAAGTGGTCAAGGAAAATTTATTAAATTTATTGTGATGGACGATAAAAAAATTACTAATATTTACTAATTTTAATTAGTGACTAAATTTTTGCTTTTGAATTAGTAAATTTTACTAAAAAACAGTAATTGTCTTTAAAAAAATTCGAAGCTAATTTATTGATAAGTAAAATTTACTAATTCACTCGCAAAGAGTGAGTCACTAAATGAAATTAGTAAACATTTTTACCAATTTAAATGTAGAGAGTTGCATAAAGAAATTTATTATGTTTTAAACAAATTCTTTATTTTAAACCAAAAAATTAATTTTAACTTTTAACTCTTGATTTTAACTAATAAATTACTAGAAATTACTATTTATTAGTAAAATTTACTAATTCACGAGCAAAGAGCCAGTTACTAATTAAAATTAGTAAACATTTTTACTGCTTTAAATTTAGAGAGAAAAAGATATAAATTTTTTAGAGGGAAACTTTTTTTTGCCTTGACATTATTTTTGTCCTAATTTTTTTTTTTTTTTTTTTTGACAAAAAAAATATTTTTATCAATATTTATTTGTAAAGGAACAAAATTTTGTTTGTTTATTTAAAGAAAAATGTTTTTATTTGCGCAGTTCCTTATGTCACCTACAGCGTGATACTTGTGGTCAAAGAGTGGTTCAAGTTCCTGCTCAGCATTGCCGCACCACTGCTCTTTGTAACCAAATCTGCAACGGGGAACGACAGTTTGCTTGCGGTTCTGACAATAAACTGTACCGCAATGAATGCGAGATGAAGAGGGACAATTGCGGGTAATTTCAAACATTCGTTTATTATTTCATTCGATTATGCAATTAATTTTAATTGTTCTTTCAGAAAATTACCGATTCGTTCGATTTGAGAAATTTTACTTACTTTCTAGGCGTTTGAATTTAAACTTTCCTTGTGATTATCGTGTTGAAACTTAAAATTTTTGCAGGAATTATTTTCTATTTTGTGGGGTTGCGTATTTTAGAGAGATAATTAAATAAATAAATCAATAAAAAATCAATAAAAATATCAACTCTTTCAGAATTTTTAATTACAATTTTTAAAACTTCAAATTTAAATTCTTCAAAAATTCAATTTTTTTATAGACATAATGCTAATGTAACTTATCCAAAATTATTTTCAAGATTTCAATTATCTTTAGAAATATTAAAATTCTTTCACGAAATTCTATTATTTTCAAAAATTTTATTACAATTCTTGGCAAAATTTCAATTATTTTTAAAACTTTTCCTCAATTAAATGATTTTTAATATTTATTATTTTAGTAAAATTTTCCAAGAGAATTCAATTATTGAAAAAAATTTAATAAAATTCGACGCAAACGTTTAATTATTTTCATAAAATAATAAAAATTTCACAGGAATTCAATTGTTTACAAATTTTTTACAAATTTCTTCGCTATAATTCAATTAATTTTATAAATAATAAATTTTTTTAGACAGAGATTCAATTATTTTTATGAATAATAAAACTCATCATATAATTTCAATTATTTTTAATACAATTATAACTGAATTCTTCGAAAAATGTAATTATTCTTGAAATTTTTATTAAAATTCGTAAGAAAAATTCAATTATTTAAAAATTTCCTGATGAAATTCTTTATGAGAATTCAATTTTGAGAAACATTTATTTATTCAATAATTTTTTCATTTTTGTATTGAAGTAATTGAATTTTCATAGAATTTTCTAATATAAATTGTTTTAAAAATTAATTTCAATTTAAATTTTTGATAATTGTATTATTTGTGTAAATAATTGAATTCTTATAGCGAATTTTATTACATTTTTTTGTAAATAATTGAATTCTTTTGATAAATTTTATTAAAATAGGAGATTTTAAAATTATTTGAATTTCAACAATGAATTTCATTATTTGTGAAATTCAAAAATTTGGTGGATTCTTGCAAAAAATGTTTGAAAATAATTACATTTTTCGAGGAATTAATTTAAAATTCTCTTCAAGATTTCAATTATCTTTAGAAATATTAAAATTCTTTCACGAAATTCTATTATTTTCAAAAATTTTATTACAATTCTTGGCAAAATTTCAATTATGTATTTTTAAAAATTTTCCTCAACTAAATGATTTTTAATATTTATTATTTTAGTAAAATTTTCCAACAGAATTCAATTATTGAAAAAAATTTGATAAAATTCGACGCAAACGTTCAATTATTTTCATAAAATAATAAAAATTTCACAGGAATTCAATTGTTTACAAATATTTTATAAATTTCTTCTCAATAATTCAATTATTTTCGTAAATAATAAAATTTTTTCAGAGATTCAATTGTTTTCGTAAATACTAAAATTCTTTTTAGGAATTCAATTATTTTCATAAATATTATAAAATTCATTGCAGAATTTCAATTATTTTTAATAAAAATTTGATCAAATTCCTCGAATAATGTAATTATTCTTCAAAATTTTATTAAAATTCGTCGAAAAAATCCAATTATTTAAAAATTTGGTGATAAAATTTTTTATGAGAGTTCAATTTAAAAAAGATTCAATTATTCAATAAATTATTTAATTTTGTATTTAAATAATTTAATTATAGTAGAATTTTCTAATAAAAAATTGATTTAAAAATTAATTTCAGTTTTTTAAACACTTTCATTTCTTCGAGGCCTTTTTTTGTAAATAATTTAATTTTTTTTTGAAAAATTTTATTGAAGTTTAAATTATCATAAAACATGAAGATAGTGATCACTCCGAGTCGAAGACTCGGAGTGCTCGATATCTTCATGTTTTCTAATAAAATTCTTAAAAGATATTGAATTTCAAAAGGTTTATATTTGAATTTTTTGAAATCTTAATTTGTATGGAAAAATAATAACGATTAAATATTTATTTAAAAAAGAAGTTATTGATATTTTCGAATAATTTTACTTTTGAAGTGTAAATAAATGTAATAAATTTTTTTCTTTTGTCTAATAATTTTTAGAGTGAATCAGAATATTCTTTAGGGTTTAGGGTCAGGATAAGAGTCAAAATTTTTTCTGGAAATGAGGAAAAAGTTCGGAAAATGCAAAATTAATTTTTTGTGGCAAAGAAAGAGGAACGAATTCTTTTGTGATTTTTAAAAAGAAAATTGTCTCTCTTTCAGAAAACACGTCTACGTGGTGCCTATACAGCGATGTGTGCAAGGATTCATGTTCAGAGGATGTCAAAAGATTTGTCCTCAATTTTATGATCCTGTTTGTGGAACCGATGGCAAAACCTACACCAATGAATGTCTCCTCGAAATTGAAACTTGTCGCACTCGACATCATGTGACGAAGAAATATCTCGGCGTTTGCGGTCAGCCAATCGAGGAGCCAAAAAATTATTTGTATTAGATACGCTTGGCTGATTATTAATCATCTAAGTTTTGACCCACTGAAGCAACTTGATTGAACAAGATCGATCATCAAACATTATCTCAAAAACGACAAGTCACTTCGTCTCGAATTTTTTTCTCACACAACGTCGTTCTTCAATCGAGATCTTTTATTTATTTATTTTTTTTTTTTTATTCGTGGAATTCGAAGAAATTTCTCGAAGCGAATATCAAAATCGAAAAAATTTAGTTTGTTTCTTAATTCTATATATAAAAAAAAACCTCGATAGTATTCTAGGAGAATTTTCTTTTTTCTAAATTCTTTATATGATGTAAATTTTGTACAAATAATTCAAAATTTTTGCAAGGTTACATTTGCTGGTAGTAGGTAAAAAGACTGTTTTTCCCGGTAGGTATTTTTTCTTAATTTTCTTTCAGTTGAGACAAAAATTGGGAAAAGGAGAATTCCTGCCCTTTTTGCGAATTGAAATGTTTCCTAAAGGAATTGAAATATTGTCTATTTTCTAGACGTTAATTGGGAATTTCAATCAAAGAATCGATTATAATTTTTTTTCTCTCGATTTTTAAAAAAAAGTTTTCAATTTCTTGAAATTGGGATTTAAAATTTAATTTTTTGTTGAAAAAAAATTATAATCGGTTCTTTCATCGAGACCTTCAATTGAAATGAAAATAATTTTGGATTTTATTTACGAAATCTGATAACATACTTTAGGATTCAGATAACTTATAATTTTCTTAATATATTGTGTTTTAATTTTATGATCGTACCTCCAATTGACCATTAGACAATCACGATGTGCCAAAAAGCGGTTCAATTAAAATTCGAATTAGAAGGGAAGAAAAAGGGAGAAACAAAAAGTTATAATTGATAACAATTTTTGATTAAACGAATTTAATAATATCAATGACTTTAAATAAATGTATCGTTTTCTTTTATGCACATACGTGAAAGTAGCTCTACATATTAATATTATTATTTATTATAGAATAGAATCATTTTAGTTTAACTTTGCACTTGATTACAAAATATTTTTTTAAAAATATGCTTCTTATGACTAGATTATTATATACGAATAATCAAAAAATTGATAATTTCCATTTTTTTTCTTCAAAATTATAAATATTTATTCTGAAAAGTAAACTGTAAGAAGAAAAGTCGCAATTTTCGGTATTGAATCACTATTTTCGATTTTATTTTAATACATCTGAAATCTAATTTAGCACTTTCTTTTTACAGTGTTTAAGAAGAATTGTGATAAAATTTCAAAATAATAATTAAAATTTTCGAATTCATAATCTTGATTGTAATAGTTTTTAATGTCATTGTATACGGTTTATTATAACGCTGTTTGCGTATTTTAACCCTTTTATATGTGATGCGTGTTTATATTAATTATTACAATTACCCGTATTTTTATTTTTATTATTATTATTATTATTATTATTATTTTATTCAATCCACGTCTTTAATTTATTATCATTCATGTGAGCATCGTTCTTTGTATTAAAACTAACACTGTAAGCAATTTGTCTGTAATAAATGATATACATATATATTTTACAATATACTATGGACCATAATTTTTCACTAAAGTTACAATTCATAACGTTTATGATCAACGATCGAAAGAAAAAATATTCTTATTCTCACCGTTACAATCCTTTTTCTATGAGGAAGGAAAAATATTTTCTATTTTCTTATTTTTCTATTTTTTTTTTTTATTTTATATTATTTTTTTTTATTTTTTCATACAGTAAACAATAATATTTTTATAGTTTAGAAACTTTTTCTTTTTAAATTGTCAAACAAGAACTATTGTAATAAAAAAATTTGAATAAAAAGATATTTTTGTTTGTTAATTATAAACATTGTGAACTTCAGCAATGTAAATTGAGAAAAATATTTTTTTTGTGATCATTAATTTTATTTGAAAATATAAAGCATACAAAATATATGTTTTAATGAGGAACTGGTATTAAAAATTAATTTTTATTTATTATTATTAGGATGTAATGATATAATTTTGATTTCAGTGCAAATTTTTTTCCTATTTCTGGGATAGGAGAGGATAGAGGGTTAAAATTCTGTTAACGCAAAAAATAATATAAAACATTTTTTTTTCTTGCGAATATTTATTGTATAATTTTTTAAATCATTATATGAGTCAAAAATATATAACAAGATTGTATCATTTTTTTTCTAACGATTTCTGCAATATCCTATTGCCCATCCTACTTGCTTGTAACAAAAGCCTGAACAACAATCTGTTGATCCATCGGGTTGGCATGCAGTTCCAGATGGTTCGCAAGCGTTAATAGCAGGAGCCACGAACATTAAAATTGTTGCCAAAAGCACGAACAATAATTTGAAACTGGCCATTTTTTTTAAATAATTGAATTCTCTTAGAATTTTCTATAAAAAAAATTGTTTTAAAAATTAATTTCAGTTAAAATTTTAGATAATAATTGAATATTAAAAGCATAGCATGAATTGTTAGAAATAATTGTATTTTGAAAAAGTTTCATTGAATTTTTTTTTATTTCAAGCTTTTATTTTCTAAATATTTAATTGAAGAATTTCTCAATAATTAAAATTTCGTAAAATTGAATTGTAAACAAATAAATTTTGAAAATTCTCTAGAAACTTTTGCAAAAATTACAAAAAATAATTGATAATTGTTCATTTATTTCTTATGAATTTTTTTAATAATATTTTTGAAATTTATAACATTGAAATCCTGTAAAGAATTTTTTTATTTAAAAAAAATAATTGAATGTAATAGAACATTTTTTTGACTATCTAATAATTTTTAGAGTGAATCAGAATATTCTTTGGGGTCAGAAAAAAATCGAAATTTTGTCTGGAAATCAGGGAAAAGTCAAGGAAAAAGAAAATTAAATTTTTGTGACAACCCTGTATTTATGAAAAAATCATAAATACAGTGAAAAAAAATTTCAAGATAAAATAATATACTTACAATAATTTTTAAAAAGTAAACTGAAAGAAGTACTGAAAACAATAAAATCCCGTCGCCTTTTATATACAAAAACAGAAGCCTATTGTTTATCTTAGTTTTATTTATAATTTTCTTACCAGGAAAATAATTGTTTAATAATAATGTATTACTTTACCGTTATTGGAAATCTTATCGATATTGCCAAAGAGAGGACACTAGTGGGTGGAATTAAGTTACTTATTTTCTTAAATCATAAATTTATAAACAAAGAAATGAAATGCAAACAATAAAAGAAACAAAAGACGAATAATATTTTTTTTCAATTTAAATGACACATTTTATTTATTCCGAAATCAAAAAAAAGTATATTGTTTACAATAAATTTAACAAAAACATATGATTCAAATTCAAAAAAAGAAGTTTCCTTATAAATTCGTTGTATATATATTATCAATCATTATATCAATCAATTGTTTATAATTAACGATCTCTGCATTCTCCCTCGGCCCATCCAACTTGTTTGTAACAGAATCCAGAACAACAATTTGTACTTCCATCAGGTTGACATTTGGTTCCAACTGATTCGCAGGCATTAATGATTGGTGCGAACATCATAAGGACGGTTGCCAAGAGCACCAACAACATACCGAAGGATTTGAATCCGGCCATTTTGGTTTTGGTTTCTAGAAAATACAAATTTTTTTTCAAGTTATAAGGAAATTTAAATTATTATTTAATTGTATTAGTTTATAGTTGTAATTTAATTTTCTGGGCGATGGGATCGAACCATTGAGCCTAAGTTCCACTCACTAAGTCACGTGCCTTAACACCAATGGCCGTCAGTTAATATTTATTATTTATCCCTTATTAATTAGTTTTCTTAGTATAATTTCATTAATTTCGAGTCAGTAAAGTACTGATAGTTATTTTCTTTAAATCTTCACAATTTTTTACGAACAAAAAAAATAATTATTCGAAATTGACTTGGAAATGTATTGTCCAACAAATTAAATTTCACACAAATTAAAATCTACTAATTGCTTTGTAACTAATTAATATTAATAATAATAATAATTTTTATTATTATTGTTATGTATAATAATTACTTAAATACTTTCTAGAATTTAAGAAAAAAGTATTATTTTAAGGAAAGAAAAAAGTATTTTACACAGCAACATTTTGAAACCTAATTAATTTTAATTTAATAAAAATAATAATTTAATTTTCTGTTCTTGGATTTGTTTATTTCAATTTTTTCACTGATTTTTCAAATAATTGATGCTAAACTAATACACTTTACGCTAAATTTAAGAAACAGTGAAAAAAAATTTACTTGATTCAAATAAATTCAAATATTTATTTGAGACAATTAAATAGTATTTGCTTCAAACACTGAAATTACTGATTCAAATACAATTTATTTGACTTAAGTAAAATTTATTTGATTTTAAGATAAAACTAATAAATAGAATTTGGTCAAATAATAAAATATTGCAATTAAATATTCGGTTGAATAAAAATTTGCCAAAAAATTAATTAGATTTTCAATTGTATAAATTAAAAATTAAAATCTAGTTAATATATTAAAAAATAGGAGTAATGGAAAAGTTATTGAAATTATTTAAAAGTTTAGTACTCACAGTATTTGACAAATTAAGTCAAAGAAAGCTGAAGAGAGAATGGGATGAAATCTACAGAATCTGTGGGTCTTTTATATGCAGCAAATTAAAAATTATTAACCTTTTTCTATATCTACAATACTGCAGGTTAATGGGCAAATGTTAATAAATAATAGTACATTTTTTCTTTCTTGTAGTGATAAACTTATCTTGTTTATAAGCATAAATCGTCTCATAATTTTGTTATATATATATATACATTGTTTATTTATGTAGACTATCATGATAATGTTATAATTTTGTTTTAAGTTGGTCATAGAATTTCCATTCGAATACCAAAATTATGTGATTTTTATGTTCGAAAAACGAATTTTTTATTTTTACTTTAATCTTAATATTCTAGTATAAGAAGTCCAAATTATTGAGAATGTTTCATCGTCTTCCCATATACTTTATAGCTCCTTGGCAACTGACTTAATGCCATTCTATATTCAACAAAAAATAATTTAACAATTCTCCAAAGTTAAAACACAATTTTTGGAATAAATTTTTGAAATTTTGTTTTAAGTTAAAAAGATCTTTAGTTTATTACCCTATGTACTTTTCAATTAATTATTAATTCGTTGTTTCCTTGTTTAGATGCATTTTAAGTTCAAGTTCCAGGGTCGATGTCATAAAACAAAGATAGAGAATTTAAAAATTGATATTTTTCAACTTGAACTTATTTTTTAAAGGTAAAAAAACGATTAGAATCAACTGCTCATTTAATATTATTAGGCACATGTGTGCGATAAAGAGTGAAGGACAGATCTTGACTTTAGATGACCTCAAGTTCCCGACCCCCAACTTTCCTCGTTCCTCTAAACAGTTATTTCAATAAACTACAAGTGTGATGTGAAATCAGTATTTTCTCATAAAAGAAGGAAGTAGCTGAGTGTTTATTTACATTCAGATAAATATTTTTTTCAATATGTGTAATGTATATTGAATATACATATAGTCATATATATTGAAAACAATATTATTTTTTGCATTCAATTCTTAGTTGAGTTTAAGGAAAATTTAAAGAGTATGCTCTGAGGAGTTAAGATGAATAAGGTACAACAACAGTAAGTTGCAATTGAAACAAAATTTATCCGATTAATTTTATTCGTTCTCTAAATATGCACATTCAGAAAAATGCAGATTTAATATACAAAACAAAAAACAATGAATTGATTGCGATCTTTCTGATTTTAGTTAAAATTTTAGATAATAATATTGAATATGAAAATAATTTTGATCAAGTTACAGTAACAATATTCTTATAATATAAAATAATTATTTTATCTCTCAAAAATCTTTAATTATTAAAAAACATGAAGAAATCGATCACTCCGAGTCTTCGACTCGGAGCAATCGATATCTCCATGATTTATAACAATAATAGAACATTTTTTTGAGTATCTAATCATTTTTAGAGTGAATCAGAATATTCTTCAGGGTCAGGGAAAAAGTGAAAATTTTGTCTGGGAAAAAGAAAATTAAATTTTTGCGTCAACCCTGTGCAAAATTCTGATAGTCATCTTCTAGTTTATATAACAAAGTCGAGGTGGAAATGTAGTGCAACATTTTTTAAAAAAGTAAAAATAATTTTATTCAAAAATCAAAACATGTTGTTTTATAAATTTTAAGAGTCACGTTGAAATATAAAAGTTTCTCCCTTGTTAAATCTATACAAAGGTGTTCACTCCACAATATCCAACTGGCCATTCAAGAAGTTTGTAACAAAATCCTGTACAACAATTTGTACTTCCATCGGGCTGGCAGGGAGTTCCGTTTGCTGCACATTGTTGACTAAGAGCAGGAACAGCGAACATGAAGATGGTGGCCAAGAGCACAAGGAACAGTTTCAAACTGGCCATTTTTTGTTTTCGATTTCTGTAATAATGGAATTATCACTATAATAAACTTATTTTAACATAAAATCTTTTTAGGAATGTACATAATTTTTTAATTAACTGTAGAATAATATACAAACACTGTGGTACTTACAACTTACTGCAGAAGATCAAGGGAAGACAGTTGAACTGTGAATGCTATGATATTTTCAAAATCCATCCGCTTTTTATATTCGACTTCATCCCCCATGCTTTACGAATTATAAAACATTATTAAAAGTATGAAACATAATTATCAGTTTACGAATCCAATTAAAAAGAAGATTATAATTACTCCTCCTTTGTTATTTTATTATACAGAAATTCTCTTTAATGTATAAATACTTTCAAAGTTCTTTTAAAATCAAGCAGGTGGAAGTAATAACTTGCGGCACTCTTGCAATAAATATTAGCAGCAGGAATGTAATGAATGTATTTTTAACAATATCAACAAATTAACAATATTCACACCTTTTCATAAATATTAATTAAGAAATGTAGGTGTTAATTATAGACTTCCATAAGCATATTGTATATTTTTACTTTGATTTCCTTAAATAAAATTTATATTATTCCTAAACAACTTAGTTCCAGACGATTAATCTTTAAAAGATTAATTAGACGCATGTGTGTTTAAGAGAAGAAGGTAATATTATTTCAGAACAATGCAGTGTTTGTTTTTCAACAAAGTGCTGCTTCTGTATAAAAATTCTCTGGATTTTGAAAATTTCATCACATTCACTCAACAGTTTTGACTCTCTTACTTGTCTAACTGTAAGTATTAAGCAGAGTAAATAATAATTTATATAACTATTTTTCATTTATTATTTTTGATTCTATCATAATTGTTCTAGTATTTTTTCAATTAAATAAATAAATCTTCTTCTTCTTCTTCTTCTTCTTAAATTACTAAAGGGGTAGCCAACTGTCGGAACAAAAAAATAAATAATTTGTACATTGTGTTACAGAAGTAAGAAAAAATGTTCAGTTACAAACTGTTGTTCGTGCTTTTGGCATCTGTCTTGATGTTCTTGGCTCCTGCTACTGAAGCTCAATGCAAAGCAAACAAATACCCGTGCCAGCCTGATGGAAAAACAAATTGTTGTACAGGCTTTTGTTACAAAGAACCCACGTGGATTCAAGGATATTGCGATGATCGTAAATAATAATTTTTAAACAAGCCACCATTTAATTTTCGTCTCATTGTTTAATTTAAGCAAGGATGTAAATTTAGTATACTGTGTAAATTGATAATTATAATAAATATATTTTTAAGTAATTATACTGTACTGTTAAAATACATGCGTCAACCTGGAATCCTCACATCATCTATAAATGAAGCGTTTTGTGCAGAAACCGCATAATTCCATTTTTTTCCGAAAATCACTTTTTTATTGAAAATTTATCTTTAAATGAAGCTTTTCAATCTGGTAAAATATTACATAAGTGACTAAACTCTAAACCCTTAAAAAAAATAATTAAAATATCACTTTGTGCAGAAACAGCACAACTCCATGATGAGTTTTATATTTATTTGTGATATTCTTGACGTATTTTAATAATTTATATTATACAGTTTATATTATAAATAAAAACACTCATGGGAAGCAAAAAGTGACAGTGGTGACTGAATTATTTTAAAATTAGAAAATATTGAAAATTGGTTAAATTTATTCTTAAAACAATTTTATTATTTATAAAATGTTACTAAAAATTATCCAAATTTAATATTTTAAATAAATGTTATTAAATATTTCATAAAACTTTGATATTTCACTGGATTTAATAAATTTTCTGTGTTTTTCATTTCATTTTGTGCAGAAACAGCATAAGTCCAAATGTTAATTTATTTTTTAATTTTTTATATTAAGTAGATAATTAATTAATCATATTGGATTTTTTAACTTATAGGTTAGTAGAATATAATGCAAAAAGCCGAATTAAAAAAAATCTTAACATTTACGAGAAAAACAGTTTTTATTGATTCCTGAACAATTTTGAATTATGGACTTATGCTGTTTCTGCACAAAACGCTTCAAATGTATTTAAACTTAAATTCTACATTAAAGTCTATCCAAAATTTAGATTACCTTGGTAAAAAAGTTCCCGGGAATTAGACCGAAAAATTCCCAGGAACATTTTCACGTGAGAAAAAAACGTTGTACTCAAAACCTCGAAAACTCAATTCCTCGAAAGCTGAAATCCCCGAATGCTCAAAACCTCGAAAGCTGAAATGCCCGAATGCTCAAAACCTCGAAAGCTGAAATCCCCGAATGCTCAAAACCTCGAAAACTCAATTCCTCGACTGCTCAACTTTTCAAAAACTCAAATCCCCGAATGCTCAGACCGTGAAATTCCCGGGAGTTATCCTCGAGAAATTCTCAAGATATAATATAATATACTTTGATAATATATGACTGAAAATTTGTTATAAAACCGAACCTAATGTTAATTGAATCAAGCAAAGTTTGGTATTCTTATTAGCAAATTTTGTTGAAAAAAAATTCGTTTCTACTTCAAATAACTTTCTATGGAGTGTAGACAAAAATTCAGTTTATTAAAAAAATAGATCCATCATTTCCTTCTTTACATAAAAAAATGAAAATTTGAATAGAATGTGAAAAGGATTTATAGGTGAAAGTACAATCTCTCAATTTTTATCTACTGTTTATATTTATTTACATAGTTGTACCATTACAGAACTACTTTTATTACACTGTAAAAAAAGGGAGTTAAATTTTAACACCCCCGGGGGGTCTATAAAAGTCGCACCCATTGGGGAGTTAATGCCAGGGGAGTTAAATAAAGAGAGTTAAAATTTCACACCCAAATGCTAACTCCCCATGGAAAAAATAACTCGCGCGGGTGTTGATTGAAGGGAGTTAGAAATTAACTCTCTTATGGAGTTGATTTTTAACTCGAAAAATTTAACTCCCAACTCCCGAGTCCGTTAACTCCCTAAATTTTTTTACAGTGTATTTATTGTTTAAGAACTAATGTTGTCTTACTAAATTAAACAATGAGACGAAAATTAAATGGTGGCTTGTTTAAAAATTATTATTTACGATCATCGCAATATCCTTGAATCCACGTGGGTTCTTTGTAACAAAAGCCTGTACAACAATTTGTTTTTCCATCAGGCTGGCACGGGTATTTGTTTGCTTTGCATTGAGCTTCAGTAGCAGGAGCCAAGAACATCAAGACAGATGCCAAAAGCACGAACAACAGTTTGTAACTGAACATTTTTTCTTACTTCTGTAACACAATGTACAAATTATTTATTTTTTTGTTCCGACAGTTGGCTACCCCTTTAGTAATTTAAGAAGAAGAAGAAGAAGAAGAAGATTTATTTATTTAATTGAAAAAATACTAGAACAATTATGATAGAATCAAAAATAATAAATGAAAAATAGTTATATAAATTATTATTTACTCTGCTTAATACTTACAGTTAGACAAGTAAGAGAGTCAAAACTGTTGAGTGAATGTGATGAAATTTTCAAAATCCAGAGAATTTTTATACAGAAGCAGCACTTTGTTGAAAAACAAACACTGCATTGTTCTGAAATAATATTACCTTCTTCTCTTAAACACACATGCGTCTAATTAATCTTTTAAAGATTAATCGTCTGGAACTAAGTTGTTTAGGAATAATATAAATTTTATTTAAGGAAATCAAAGTAAAAATATACAATATGCTTATGGAAGTCTATAATTAACACCTACATTTCTTAATTAATATTTATGAAAAGGTGTGAATATTGTTAATTTGTTGATATTGTTAAAAATACATTCATTACATTCCTGCTGCTAATATTTATTGCAAGAGTGCCGCAAGTTATTACTTCCACCTGCTTGATTTTAAAAGAACTTTGAAAGTATTTATACATTAAAGAGAATTTCTGTATAATAAAATAACAAAGGAGGAGTAATTATAATCTTCTTTTTAATTGGATTCGTAAACTGATAATTATGTTTCATACTTTTAATAATGTTTTATAATTCGTAAAGCATGGGGGATGAAGTCGAATATAAAAAGCGGATGGATTTTGAAAATATCATAGCATTCACAGTTCAACTGTCTTCCCTTGATCTTCTGCAGTAAGTTGTAAGTACCACAGTGTTTGTATATTATTCTACAGTTAATTAAAAAATTATGTACATTCCTAAAAAGATTTTATGTTAAAATAAGTTTATTATAGTGATAATTCCATTATTACAGAAATCGAAAACAAAAAATGGCCAGTTTGAAACTGTTCCTTGTGCTCTTGGCCACCATCTTCATGTTCGCTGTTCCTGCTCTTAGTCAACAATGTGCAGCAAACGGAACTCCCTGCCAGCCCGATGGAAGTACAAATTGTTGTACAGGATTTTGTTACAAACTTCTTGAATGGCCAGTTGGATATTGTGGAGTGAACACCTTTGTATAGATTTAACAAGGGAGCAACTTTTATATTTCAACGTGACTCTTAAAATTTATAAAACAACATGTTTTGGTTTTTATTTTTGAATAAAATTATTTTTACTTTTTTAAAAACTGTTGCACTACATTTCCACCTCGACTTTTGTTATATAAACTAGAAAATGACTATCAGAATTTTTCACAGGGTTGACGCAAAAATTTAATTTTCTTTTTCCCAGACTTTTCCCTGATTTCCAGACAAAATTTTCACTTTTTCCCTGACGCTGAAGAATATTCTGATTCACTCTAAAAATTAGATACTCAAAAAAAATGTTCTATTATTGTTATAAATCATGGAGATATCGATTGCTCCGAGTCTTCGACTCGGAGTGATCGATTCAGTAATCTGTTCGCAGTTTAAAGTTAGTTGTTGTTTGCTTTTTTTTATTGATTTCTTTCAATTAATTTTATGCACATTCTAACTTAAATAATTTAAATAATTTAATTTATTAAAATAGTAGATATTAATGTCTGTGTGGCATTTTATTAAATTTTTTTGAAAATAATTGAATTTACAAGAAGAAATTTATTAGTTTTAAAAATAATTGAATTCTTGTGATGAATATTGTTATTTATAAAAATGATTGAATTTTGCAAAGAATTTTATTAAAATGCCTCTAAATAATTAAATTTTCGGGAATAATTTTGTTATTTATCGACATAGTTAATATCTTTCAAAGAAATATTTAATATGTTAATAATTATTGAATTCTTGGGAACAACTTTATTAAAATCTAAAAGAATAATTGAATTATTTAAAAAAAAATTTAATTAAAATGGTATTTAAAATGATTGATTTCCTTTCGAACAATTTTATTAAAATATTCTGAAAAATTCTAGTATGATTGAAAATTATTGAATTTTTCCAAAGAATTTAAAAAAACTATTTTTTTATATATAATTGATTTATTTTCGAGGATTTGAAATTAAATTCTTAAGAATAATTACATTTTTTGATCAATGCCTTTAAAATAGTTTAAAAAATAATTAAAATTCTTCGATGAGTTTTATTATTTATGAAAATTATTACATTCTTGCTTAGAATTGAAAGTAATTAAATTTTGGATGAATTTTATAAATTTTTTTTAAATAATTGGATTCTTTTGTGAAATTTTATGAAAATACTAAATATTGAAAATAATTCAGTTTTGAATATTTTTTTTTGAAAATACTTGAATTTCGAATATTTTTTTGAAAATAATTATTGATATTGTTATATCGATATTTAAAATATCGATATTACTATATCGATACGAGAAATATCGATATCTCTATTTTTCTCGATATCCCCCCCTATGAAATGAAACCTTCCCAACCCTGAGATATCTATTGTTGGTAAACATGGGAGTATTGGGCAGTGTTGGTAATACTGGAATGTAGTTAGTACCTTTCGCCACTCGAAGGCGCAATGATCGATTCAATAAAATCCGATGATCGGGCGGTGTTCTTGACGAAGCCATGCGAAGCGTCATGTGTTTGACAGTTTAAGTGAGAAGTGACAATTCGCGGGGATTGAAAAAAAATGTGGCCAACGGGAAATTTTTAAGTATAAATAATTCTCTTTTAAATAAGTAAAAAAATAACGCACAGAGGCGCCTAATATGGGAGAATGGTTGGTCACACGGTTGTGTTTATGCTGTTCCTACTGGCAGGTAAGATTTAATGTGTTCTCTCCCTTGAGAATTAAAATTCACAAATAGACATTTTGCATTTACCGATCAATGAGAGTTGGCTATATATATATTTATCCTCCCGCGTTTAGTTATATAGAATACTTTTATAGATTAAAACTATCTGATTAAGATTCAGGGACACAATGTGTAAGTATTTTGATAAAATCTTTACACTGTCCTTTCTTATTTCTTCTTCGAAAAAATCCATACTTCATGAGTGCATTCCATTTTTGTTTGCGAAGTTTATTATTTGAAGAATTACCCCCTCTACAATGTCTATTTTCTTCGAATTGACGTTCTGTCACTTTTGACAGTTAATTTTAAGGTTAGATTTATTGTTTTTTTTCCTGACATTATTTTATAATCATTATTTTTAAACTATTGTTTATAATACTTATTCCGCGTCGATAGTTATTTTAATTTTATTTTAAAGATATTAAAATGTATAGATGTATAATTTTTATAAACAATAGTAAGTTATATTTTAGAATGTTCTCTTAATTTATTGTTTAAATCCTTTAATTATTGTTGACGTTCTAGAAAAATAATTTGGAAATTTTTATTTCTTTATTTCCGTTTTTGGAACAAATCTCTCTTATTATCTGCAATAATTGTATGCAAATTGTTGATTTCATCCGGCATTTCAAACAATGCGAGTCAATTTTGATCATTATTTGATTACAAAGATGATAGTTCGTGTAGAAAAATGATTATGATCGCATGACAGCGATCAAAATTATATAATTCTTGGGAAGATTTTGCAATTTTTCTTTTTCATTGAAAAAAGAAGCACACATTTTTTTACTGAGTATTTTATTTAATTGTCATTTTTATTGTAAAATTCAATAATTAATTGTTGCAAATTTCATTGTCAGTTATTTTTATTATTATTATTCATATTATTATTTTATTAGTATTATTATTATTATTATGAGAATAATTATAATAATTGTTTTATAATCATGGAATGATGAAAATTGTTACAAGATGTAAATATTGAGTATTGGCAATATTGCTGAAAGCTTTTTCCCGCTATCTATTGAGTGCATTATTCGAAGAGTAATTCAGATAAAAAATGAAAGTTGAAAGTCATGACAGAATCGAATATTGCGTGACTAATACCAAAAAAAGGGTGGAGAATCCCCTTGAGTGGAATCAAAATAGTTATCCCTCGTCTTCTGAGTCATGCTTTACCTATTACACATTTATAAATCACCAATAACTGAAATAATAGGTGTTTAACGGACCGGAAAATTTTCCAAATTACATCGTTTATTATATTTTTTACGTATAAAAAAAATCTAATATTTTTTTATTATTCGATTAATTATTAATTTTGTTTTTTAATTAGAAAAAAATTAGTTGTAAATTAAATTAACTAAATATTTAAAAGAATTAAAAATTATTTATTCTTGTATTTTTTTGTAAAATTTAAAAGAAATATTTAATATTTTATTTTATCTGTATTTTTTTATAAAAAAGTACAATTATTTTTCATTTTACATAAATACTTTTCTTTTTTTTCCCTCTTTTTTTTCGCTTGAAGAAAAGAGAAAAAGAAGAAAAAATTCGTATTTTAGTTGAACTATTTTTTTTTATTTTTCTTTTCCTCTTTTTTTCCCCTTGAAGAAGAGAGAAAAAGGAGAATAAATTTGTATTTCAGTTGAACTCTCTTTTGATAATTGTTTTTCTCCTTCTTTTCATAGGATGGCAGAGAGCACTAGCGGAGTTGCCAGTACGCGAAGTTGCAATAGATTTAGGACAAAATTTAAGTTTACATTGCATCAACGATGAGAATTCAATGTATCCAAGAGATTTTTTACTTGTCATGTGGATTAGAGACGGCCGCGAGGATGGCCAAATTCAAAGATCAAAAGTCAAGCCTAATGGAACATTGGAGCTAGTTAATGTCACTAAACATGACGATGGAAATTATTCTTGCATATTAGATAATGATGCGGATGCTGTGAAAATTAGTTATAATGTACGAGTAAGAAGTGAGTTGAAAATTGAACAAAAAAGAAAATATTTTACGCACATGATATAATATTATTAATATTTAGAGAAAATTGGAATATTTTCATCTCTTTTTCCAATTAAAAGAAATATTTTTATTTTAAACAGAAAATTTCTTTAAAAAGAATTTTTTAAAACATTTTTTTATGTTTTTAATTTTATATATAAAAATATAAAAAATTTTCTTGATAGAAAAATTATTTTTAAAAGCATATTAAATTTCTAGAATTTATGAAAAAAATCTTAATTTAAATTCTTTCTATTTCAAACAATAATAATTAAACTTTTTAGAATTGATATGGAATTTACTATAAATAATTTAATTCATAAAAAATTATAATAAATAATTCAATTATTTTGAAAAATTGTTATAAAAGCAATTCAATTATTTTCATAAATTGAAAAATTCTTTGCAAAAATTCAATTATTTTAAATACAATTTTAATAATATTTCTCGAAATAATTATTGACTAATTATGAATTCAATTATTTTTAATAAAATTCTATCGAAAGAATTGAATTATTTTCAATAAGTTTTTAATTAAATTTGTCGAAAAAACCAGCAAGAAGTTAATTTTTTTTCTAAACAATAAATGTATTCGCAGAAATTCAATTATATTAAAATTTCTCGAAAGAATTCAATTTTTAGTTTTAATTTTAATAAATTCTTTGCAAAAATTCAATTATTTTCATAAATAGAAAAATTCTCATTATAAATTAAATTATTTTTAATAAATTCTAATAAAATTCTAATGTAAGAATTCAATTATTTTCAATATCAATAAATTTTTTAATTAAATTCGTGGAAAAAATTTGAAAGAAGTCTGTTATTTTTATAAATAATTAAAGACTTTGCAAGAATTCAAATATTTTCGAAAATTTCTATAAAATTCTTGAAAACAATTCAATTCTTTTCAGAAATTTTAATAAAATTCTATGCAAGAATTAAATTATTTCTGATTCAAATTATAAAAAAGTTATAAATAATATTAATTAAATTTATTATATTTAAATTTATTATTATTAATCAAATTATTTAATATTAAAAATGCAATTTCTACAAATTTTGAATTTTAGACAATTTTAATTAAAAATTCTAAAGAAGTTTGTTTATTGAAAAATTTGTGATTATTTTTGTGAGAAAAAAAAGAAAAATAATTTTAAATTGAAAAGAAAAAGAACATTGTGTTTTGATTTTTTATCTTCAGCTCCACCACCGGCTTTACATAATGTTTGGGTAAAACCCTCAACTATTTTGGCCAATATCCTTTGGGAAGTTGGAGGAACCGGAGGTTATCCAATTATAGACTTCACTGCCCAGTATCGTTTAAAAGCGAGCCATGGAGATGAACCTGAAGATTGGAAGCCTATTATTCCAAATCACATTCCTCCAAATTCTGTAAGTTCTATACTATAAAATTAGAATAATTTCCTTTCTTTAAAAGAAGGAAACAAAAATGATTCATTAAAAAGGAACCGTAATTCTTTAAAATAATTAATTACTTGATAACTAATGATAATTTATCAAACATTAAAAAAAACTATCAAATAATAATTTGTAGTTTAATTATTAATAACTAAGTAATACCTATTATTATTAATTATTTTATTAACAATAAATTCTATTTTATAAAAAAGGAAAATTTCGTAACAATTGTAGAAAAATTAGAATTTTGAATATTCTTTTTTTGCAGAGGCAAATCGACGTCTATCATTTGGAGCCAAATACAACATATTCGTTTCGAGTTTGGGCGACCAATGAACTTGGACCTGGTGAAATTGTCGAGGTCGAGGGCCACACACATCACAGCGATGAAGAATTGGGTAAAATTTTCAAATTCCACACACTTTCAATTAGATCTCATCATAATTTTTAATAATGTCACCTCGCATATTATTTATTTATTTCTTAATTAAAAATAAGAAAATCGATTTTTTCCTGAAGAAAAATGTTCATTTAATCGATATAATTTAATTAAAAAAAAAAAAAATTTACCAAAATTATAAATAAAAATTCAATTTTTCAAAGAAAAAATAGAAATTAAAGAATTTAAATAAAATAAAGAAGAAAAGAATTTTAATATTTAAATTGAAATCAATATTTAATTGGTTCCTAAATTAGTTTTTTTATAAAAAATTTCTATCTGTTAAATTCAAAAACGGGAAAAAATCGTCTTATGAATGAAGAAAATAGGAAAAAAAACAAAGGAAAGTAATTTTCTTTGCAAGAGTAAAACAAACAATTTTTCAGAGTTGGCAAGACATCTTTTAGCAGGAGCTGAAAATTTTGATACTCGGGTATGGGTGGCAGCGGTGGGAATTGTTATGGGGACATTAATGATTCTTGGTTTTGGAACGTGTTTCCTTCTTTATCGCGAGTGCAAAGCATCTTGTAAGCATATTCTTGTAATTTTTTTTTTAGAAAATAAGCTTGATCGCTTCTACTCTATCTCTTTAAAACGCTTTGTTTCTGCTACTAGCTAATTATTCCAATAACTAATCTACTAATAATTCCTTTTTTTCTCATTATAATAATTATTATTATATAAAAACGTTACGTATTTCAAAGGTGAGAAAATTAAAATCGTTTATAAAAATTGAATAGACAATGGAATATTTTATAGAATACTTCATTCTAAAAAATGAAGAAAAAAATAATAAAGTAAAGAAAAGTTTGTCGAAAATTTAAAAATAGAAATGAAAATAAATAAAATATTTCGAAATAGGTATTTTTCAAAAATAGGAAAAGAAAGAACCTTTGAAATGCCACGTTTGACTTACTATTTTTCTGGAAATTCTAATTTCATTGGGAAATGAACGCTTTTTTTAATTGATTAATATAGAAAAGAAATGATCATTATAATCAAACTTTGTCTTCATTTAAATCATTTTGTGTCATTTTTTGAATTTAGTAGCAGAGGCAATCATCACTTGTCATCTAATATTATTATCTACGGCCTTTTGATCTCTATTAGTATCATTTAACCAAAAAAAAAATTTAACACCAACACCTACATATTTTTTCGTTCTTCTATAATCAAGATTCTTTAATGCTATTCTAATGCAGCTCTCTCTCTCTTTAATAAAACATTTTCCGAGGCTATACGAACGCTTAGAAATTTATTATAATTTTCAACTCTCGTATTTTCATTTATTTTTGTTGTAATTTTATTTACTTTTACTTATTTTTCTTCACTTTATTTATTCTTGTTTACTTTTACTTTTTTTTTCTTTACTTCATTTATTTTGTTTAATTTTATTTACATTTATTTACTTTCATTTATTTTTCTTTACTTTATTTATTTTTCTTCATTTTAATTATTGTTGTTCACTTTTATTTATTTTTTTCTATAAAAAAAAAATTTCTTCGTAAGAGACAAAAAAAAATGTATTCTTTGTATTCTAATTCTTGCACTCTACACGTAAGGCACGAGATTATTCTCAAGGTACTTTTATTAACAATGACTAATAACTACTACAATAACCACCAAACCTTTCGTCAAAAATGTTTATTTTTGGGATTTTTCCTCTTTTTCTCCAAATTTAATCTTTAGGAATGTTCTTAATTTTCTGCCATTTAAGAATATACATTACTTTTCTTTAGTTTCAAAAATCTTTACGGCATTTTAGAAAAGCATGTCTCTAATTTTTAAATATTTCTCCCGTTTCCTTTTTTATAAAAACTGTTTTTTCACTCTCACTAATATTTAGTTTTACAGTATTTTTTTTTAGAAAATTATTTTTAAGTGAAGAATTAAAATTTTATTTACGGTAATTATTTTTATTTTTTGAAAGAAAAAATGCAGTTAAAAAATGTAGATATAAATTAAAATATACGTTAATCAGGGTTGTCACAGGTCAGGGAGATCAGGAAAAATAGAATTGGTCAGGGAAAAGTCAGGGATTTCTATTAAAGTACTGGAAAAAATTTAATTTACGCAGGATTTATAAGTAGTATTATTTAATTTTTTATTATATATGTAGATATTTAATTAATTATTAAAAATCATGGATTTATAGAAGAATCAGTTAAAAACACTAAAAAAAATTGAATTGAAGCATTGGGTGCAAGAAGGGCGTTAGCTAAATAAACTGTTTTTGAAAAACATTATTATTTATTATTTAATTACAATTTTCCCCTTATTTTACACTTGAATTTGATAGTTCAATAGTGGACTAATTAATTAAAAAAAAGTATATTTAATTTGCATTTACAGTTTTTGAGCTATTAAAGTTTAAAAACTTAAGGTTTTTTGTGATACGCCCTTCTTGCACCCAATGCTTCAATTGTGTTCAAAATTTTTTTTAAATTCTCGTAAAAATTTAATTATCTTTAAAAATAATAAAATTCTTTTTCAAAATTCAATTATTTTCCAAAATTTTAATAAAATTCTTGGCAAAATTTCAATTATTTTCATAAATGATAAAATTCGTTGCAAGAATTTAATTTATTTTATAAATTACAGAATTCTTCCAACAAATTCAATTATTTTTAATAGATATTACTTGTAAAAATAATTGAATTCTTGCGAAGGATTTTATTAAAATTTTTGAAAATAATTTAATTTTGTTTTGAAAAATTTTATGAAAGTTTAAATTATTATAAAACATGAAGATAATCAGGGAAAAACAAAATTAACTTTTTGTGGCAACCCTGGTTAACAGAAAACAAAAAAAAAAATTAGTTTTGAGAAAAAAGTATTTTTTAAAGAACAGTTAATATTTAGAGTTTAGAATTTTCTTCTGAAAGACTTGATTGTTGACTCAAAGACTATCTTGGTTTTCAGGGTTTAAAATCGATAGAGGTACATAAAAGTAAAGCTCCGAGAGAACAAAAAGAAAATCAATCTAAGTTATAATCAATATACACTAAGGGATTGGTGGTTTTTTTTTCTTTTTCTTTTAGTATAGAAAAAGTGCACGTCTAGTGCATTATTATTTACGAAATACTTAAAAAAAAATTAGAAGTAGAGCATTATGGCCTAGATATAAAAGCACCAGGTGCTACTAAACTAGAAAAAGATAAAACAAACTCTTTACTACATATGTAGTTGTATTGGTAAAGATTAGCACAATATATATAGTCAGGCTTGGAGATTTTTAAAATAATTGCCAATATTTTATCTCAAAGCACGACTTGCATTTTATTTTCAGAAAATCGAGATCTTTACAATATTTTTTTAATTTACGGTTTTTAAGATTATTTTCTTTTTGCTTTCAAGACATTTTTTTATTTACATTATAAAAGAGCAATGTTTTCAAGTATTTTTTTTTTTTTTTGGTTTAAAAAAAACACACAAATTGGTAAAAAGTAAAGAAAAGGAGAAAAATGTTGAGAAATTTTTTTAAAATTAAAAAGAAAACAATTTTCTGTAGATATAATAGAAATAGAAGTATACGACAATTATCCAAGAAATCTGACAGTGGTGAGTGTTTAGAAAAAAAGAGAAAGGGTAGAAGCTAAAAAATTCCATGGCCTAGACTAATGAAAATTAATCGCCGTTCCGCAATTGCAGCGCAGCTGGAGGAACAGGAAGTGATTGAACTCGTGCCGAATATTATTCTCAATCCAGGATTCTTTGACGAGAGGACGGAGCGCATACCTCTTGATAAAAATTTCAACAATCAAACAACGACTCGACTGAACAATAATAACGTTGTGCAACCACGAAGACTCTAGCGATCGTTTTCTCATCGTTTCATTAATTTCATCATCAACAATCCTTCTTCTAAACGAACAAAATTGAATCTCAATTATTCCACAAAATTCGTATGAAAAGAAAAAAAAGTCTTATCTTCACCAAAGAAGAAAAGAAATCCAAAAATATTAAAGGTAAAGTTTTTCAAATTCAAAAAAAAAAAAAAAAATACCGAATTTTTAAAAGAGAATTTTTCTCCCGAAAAGAATTGATCGAATTTGTTTAAAACACCAAATTTTGTTTCTACTTGAGAAAAATTTTTAGAAACTTTTTTGTCATTGCTCAATAATCGAGCTTGCCCTGAGAAAAGAAAAGGAAAAAGAAAACTTCCTCGAAAGAAGTTATTTTAGAAAGACTGTAAAATTCGATCTCAATTTTTTTTTCTCCGCCCCCAATTTGTCGAGTGGACGAGAAAAAAAAACTTATTTGTAAACATTGAATAAGATCAAAGTCCGACGATTTTTCTTAGTATAAAGAAACATTTTTCTTTATATAGAAATCGTTAAAATGAAGAAAATGGTTTTTGCTTCTTTAAAAAAAGAAAAAACAAAAAAAAAACATAAACAAAGAAAAAGGAGATTTTTTTTAAGAAAAAAAAAAATAGACTCGAAGGCTAGAATTTTAAGACAAAAATTTTTAGAGATCGATGAATAATCGCGATTACTGCCGTTTTCAGGTTTGCACAAGGTGTTATATTTATAATAATTGTTCAATCGACATAGTGCTCAGATCGTTTTTTCAAGGAAAAAGAAATTTTCGTAAAAAAAAAGAAAAGCATTTCAAAGAGGGCTCAAAAAAACGTAATGTGCATTCCCTCCTCTCTATTATATTTCGTTCTCTTTCAATTAAATTGAAATTTACTTTTTGCAGAAAATAATCTTAATTTTAAGATTTAAAAGAATCTTTTTAGCAGCGCGAAAATTTTTTCCGAATTTAGTTTTAGAAATATTTATTTTAATTTGTTAATTTTTTTTTTTTTTAAAGAATTTAATTAATTTATTAAAATATTCTAATAATTTTTACAATTGAATTTATTCTAATAAATTAAATCTTTTTTTCTTTCTATTGTAATTTCGATATTTTTTTCGTTTTTTATATACATATAATTATTTTTTCTTCTATACCTATATTCTTGTACATTTTGTTTACTTTTTGTTAATAAAGTAAATTGAGTTAAATTTTATTAAATAAATTTGAATTAAATTCATTTAATTCAAATTATTGAAAACAAATTAAAAATAAAAATATTTCTATTAAAATATAATGAAGGAAATTTTTTCAGCGCTTTAGTTTGATTTTTTTTTTAAATTGGAGATTAAATCTTCAATATTAATTTATTCACTGCATTATAATATAATATATTTTATTTTGCCACTTGATATTTCAATCAAAATAAATATTACCGCGAATGCACACAATAAATACTAATGAAAAAAAAATAAAAAAAAAAATAGAATTTTAAGACTTGCACAAGCTACGCCAAAATGTCACCGAAGAAGTTAAAATAATTTTCATAGATATATTTAATAATTTCAAAGTATACTAACGAAACTATTTGCTTTTCTCATGTGAAAATTTCCGAATATTATCGGACATTTTTTTTTTAAAAAACAGTTTCGGGTATTTTTTGGTAAATTGAACTTTCAATTTTGCAAAATTTAAGAATGTTTACATCCTTAATAATAGAAGGAGAAAATGAAAAAAAAATTCTAACTAAAAAGAATTTTTTTTTGGAGGAAATTATTTACGAAAGTAAATTTTTTGATTAATTGGTTAATTAATTATAATTAATTTCGTTAAATAAATCTCAATGCCTAAAAAGGCAAATTTAAGATTATTTAGGATTTTAGGATTATTAAGTCCTAAAAGGATTTAATAATGATTTTTAAAATTTCCAGTGACAATTTTTGAGTTTTTTTTTATTTAAAAAATTTATTTTCGATCGATGAAATAATCAGTATTCTTAAATTTATTTATTTTTAATTATTAGTTATTTACGTTTTTTGTTTGTTTAGATTTTAATAAATTTGTTCGAAAATTGTTATTTTATTCGTAAATTGTTAAAAGAAAATTTTCAGTTTAATCTCTTTTTTTATTTACTTATTTATTTACATATTTATGATATACGATTAAAAATCGTAAATTTATAGGTTTAAGACTAAAAAAAGGGGATTGAAACATTCTTAATGCAACAATTGTTTTTTTTTCTTTCACAAACTCTCAGCTATGTAGAGCAAATATATTTTACTGTCTAAAAAATATTAAAATTAAAAAAAACCAAAAAAAATAAATAAATGGGTGGCTTTAGGTACAAACAATCTCGAATGAAGTCATATCAAGGTATTCGCTCTCTTTCTCTCTCTCTCTCTATTAATATTTAAAAAAAAGTTTTTAAAAGAATTATTCGTAAAAAAATATTTAAATATGTCTCGATAACTTATAAAAAAAAAGTTGCATAAATATTCTCTTTAAATTTCGCAATAATAATAATTGTTTTCGGCTGAGATTTTACAGACATGTATTTGCACTAATTATTTTGAGAAATTATTGTTTTTCTCATTATTTGGCCAGTATTTTACATGAGTAGAATTTTTTTTTTTCGGGAAAAGAAAAATATTTGTGAAAATTTTCCCTAAAGTAACGTGATTTTAAGTGTCGATAAATGAGCGTTGTGAATCGATGAATACAGTTTTTATTTATAATAGTTGTTAATTTTCCTGTTAGTTTGAATCTCGATATTTTTATTCACTAATTAGTAATTAATTGAGAAAAAAAGTAGAGATACTTTTTTTTAAATTTTATTTAATAGTTCTAGATACTTTCTACTGACAGGAAGTATTTTTTACAATTTTCTCCTTTGTTTAGAAACAAAAAAATTTTTAATTTAAAACGAAAGAAAGATTTTCTCCTCCAATTATTTGTTTACTTATTTCTTTAATAGGCCTAACAATTTTTTTCAATTTAGACAATTTGTTCTTAACGAAAATAATTTTTTTTTGAATCAATTTCAATAGAATTCTAAATTGAAATTGATTAGAAAAAAAATTGTGATTCTTGTGATCGAAATAATAAATAAAAAATACTTTCTGTCAGATAAAAAATAATTATTGCAACAATTTTTTGGTGCACACAGGTTGTCAAAGAAAAAAAAAAAGAAAAAGGTTGTGCGTCGTTATTAGAAGCTTTTGCGACAGTTGTTTGTTTGTCCTCTTCTTTCTTCTTTTTAATCAAATTTCAATAAATTAAATAAAAAAAGAAAAATGATTAGAAACAAGAAGAAAAAAAGGGAAAAGAAACAAATTTTCAGCTTCGTACTATGCACTCTGTGTTGTGAATGGTATTTACTAATTAAATATACGCGCTAATGAAAAAGATAAATAAAAATAAAAAAAACTAATACAATAATAACAATAATATATGAATTTAATATATATAAATATATTATATATAATTATACAAAATATATTATTAATATACACCTAAATGTAATGGATATTTTTTCGAAATTTTACTATTTCTGTAGTTCATAATAAACCATAATTAATTATCATAATAATTATGATAATAATTATTATAATAAATTATTATAATTATTTTAAATACAATTATAGTAAAACTACAAGTTTATATAATATACATTATAGTGTGTATATAATAATATAATTTGTATAAAAATATATAATTATATAGTCAAGGCATCGTAATATTTTAGCTCTAAGCAAAGACAATTTTTTATATACAATGGCTGCAAATGCAATGATATTTATCTATACAATATATTCATATATAAATATATATAATATAGTAAAAGTTTTATCCTTTGATACGAGAACGATTTAATCCATTATATTTAGAATAAAAAAAGAATTTTTTTCTAGAATTTTTTTTTTGGAAATTTTTAGAAATTCTTTTTTGCTTTCTTATTACTACTAGTCATTTGTTTTCTTTCTATTTAAAAAAAATTTATTTATTTTTAATTTATTATTATTAACACTTTGAAAAATTATTCTTAGGGAACAAAAAAATATTGTTTCAGAAGAAAAGTATAATCTTTTATTTCTGGCAATATATCGGGTTGTTGAAAATCAACTTTAACAATGTAAAATGTGACTAAAAAGCAAATTATTCTTGTAAAACAAAAAAAAAAAGAAGAAGTAAGGAATCAGTGCAGTAGTTGAGCGTAGATTTATCTTGTAATCAGAAAAAATCATTATCATTCAAAATATCTGACCCTTGTGAGAAAAAATGTTTTTTTCCTAATTCTTCTATTTTTATTCTTTAATTAATTGTTTTTTACTGACTAAAGTTAGTAATTAACTAATAATTATTTTTTATATAATAAAATATTTTAGAAAATGGAATAATTATTTTTTTTCGAAAATATTTTCAGTTGACAATGCATCGATAATATCAAATAAAATTCTCTAGGTGATAATAACGGTAAAGAAAGCAAAAACAAAATTGAGGGTCAGATATTTTTCTTCATATCATGATCGCGCACAAATCATCATACAGAAAAAAAATATATTTCAAATTTTATTTTTACATCTCATTTGACGATATATATTTTATTTTCGACAATTTTACATAAAAAAAAAAGAAACAGCACTTACTATATGAGAATAATCATTGCACATTATAGTCGTCGAATCGCTAATTATTATTGTAATTGTAATTAAAATGCGATTTAAAAAAAAAAAAAGAAAAAAAAATGTGGTTGCTAATGATCGTCCCTTAGATATTAATAATCAATCAGAAATTCCTGAAAATTTTATATAGAATTTTTCTTTTTTCAAATCAGAAGTTAAAAAAACAAAAATTCTATATTTTCTACTCATCAGGATTAATAATACGTATATTTAGTCATTTAGAAAATAGTTTTGTATACTCACAATAATTTCGACGGTAAGAGAAAAAAAGAAAGAAAAATAGATCCCGGTGAATTTTTTTTTAACTAAATGATTTCGTATTCATTATTTAAGAAAAAAATTATAATTATATATTTATGACAAAAATGAATTGAAAATTTCTTTGAGTTATTCGAAATGTTAATAAAACTTTTCACTCTGACAATAGAAAAGAATTTTAATAGAAAGAAAAATTTGCAAAAGTTATTAAAAATGTTAAATTTGTAATTTTTTTTTAACATCTTTTCTTTGAATTAATAAATAAAATTACTTTTTGTAATTTCATCAAAGAATTAAGTTTCAGTAATTTTATTATAAAATTTTACTTTTAGAAATAAATTTTTTAATTATACCTAATTATGATAATTAGAAGTTAGTGTGATTAATTTATTTATTTAAAAACTGAAATTCTTGTAAAGTTAATGAAACATAATTTATTCTTTATTAAATTAAGAAATAGAAAAAGAAAACGAAATTTTTCAATTAACTTAATTTCTCTTTTCAAATACTCCAATAATAATAATAAAATAACAATAAAAATTATTGTGAAATTAATTTTACGAGGCCTTTAAAACGGAGTCAAAATTAATTTGACAAAATATTTAGTAACGGACGAAAAATTACTTGAATAATAATAATAATAATAATTTTTATTATTATTATTTATATTATTAATATTATTATTCTTATTATTGTTATTATTAATATTATTATCGTAATAATTGTTATTAATAATAATTCAAAGAAAAAAATATTTAAAATATCTTAATTTGACATTTTATCTATTTATTTAAACAAATATTTTTTTCCAAACTTGATATAAAAATATTGTTATGTAATCGAGTTATTAAAAAAAATGCAGCATTATATTATTATATATTAATATCTAATCACAAAGCACGCTTACGGATTATATTCCTCTTAGAGATATAAAATCCTTCTCTCTAGTTATTATAATAATTATATTTATATATATTTTATTTATTTACGTGAATTTATAATTATTGAAAACTATTGGTTTATATATTATATTCATTTCTGTACATGAACCAATTGTTTTCAAAATTTGTTTGGCGAAAAAAGAACATCAGTATTGCACATTCCCATTAAGTACAAAATCTATAATTTCCTTTAATTATTTAGAAGCAAGAAAAGAAATTGATGTTTATATATAAATATCAATATTATTAAATTATTACTTCAGTAATTAATAAGTTATAATCATGTAAAGTTAATTAATTAATTCGATCGCAATTTAAATGTAATTTAAATGCAATTATAAATCGACAACTTTGTTAAATTTGACAATTAATTAATTATTTACTTAAATTATAAAAACGAATTTTCAAGATAAGAAAATTTGTTTTAATAATAGTTGTTATTTTTTAATTTTTTTATAAAGAATTTATAATTATTTATACAATTTTCGAATTATTTTGTTATTTATAATTTTTTAATTATTGCAAATTTATTTGTAAATACCTATTTATTTATTTATTTAGTTAAAATTTGAAAGAAATTAGTAAATTTGGCGAATTAATTAATTTATTGTTTAATTTATAAACATTTTAGTGTAATTTGATTTGAAAAGACGTTCCTTGTAAAAGACAAATGAATTTGGGAAAATTTTAATTTCATCTGACTTGTTGAATTGGGGAAAAAGTAAAACGAGAGCAATTTTGAACACATATCAAAGAGAATGTGTTTTGCGAAAGAAAAAATCGACTCTTGTGATCTGGAAAGTTACCATTTTATAATTAATATTATTATAATTATATACAGTATATATAATTATAAGCACTGTGCATTATTGATGTATAGATTTGTCTCTCTTCATTAAAAAAAAATATGTACTCGGGTTGTGAGATTCTAAACCTCAAGTTGCACACAAAGAAAGAAATTAGAAATAATTTTTTTTTGTTCATAAAAAAAATTGTGAAATATCATTTTAAAAGTGATTATATGTATAAAATTAAAAAAAAGAGCTGTACGAGAACCAAAATAATGCCGTAGCGTAATACTATATAAAATAATATATAGTAAAACTACAGCTTTTTAAAATATTGTTGTAAGCGTTTTGTTTCTTCTTCTTCTTCTTTAATTTATAAAGTTCGCGCCTTCTACGAGATTATCTCGATAGTTATTTGTAGTTGAATTTTAATGTTTCTTCTTTTGTTTTTATTAGAATCATTCAATGTAATAAGTTCCGAGGTCTATTTAAATAACTCAAAATTAGAATATAAATATATATTATATATAAGGTTTTTTATTGTAAACAAAAAAAACCACAGATTGTCTAACGCTATTAACTAATCACGCTGTGTCATCCTTTCAAAGTTTATTTACAAAAAAAAAGAAAGAAAAACAAAAAAATAACTCATCATTACAAATAATGGTACAATAAATAAAAAAAAGTCATTCATATAATTAATGAATTTTCTTCACCATTCCTTAATGTTAAGTTGTATTTTTTTAGTAACAAATTGGATATGTTTTTAATTTAAAAATATTTTTATTTGCGCAAAATTCGAAAATTAAAATTCAACAAATTAGAGAAAAGAGAAAATATTAAAAAGATCGAATTTTAAGAAAATTGTCACCTGGTTTTAAAAATAATTTGCGCAATTTTCGAGCATAATTCTGGCATTTCATTTGTCGATGTAAATTCAGCGGCGAGAATTGCATTTGCCACGGCAATTGTCTCATCGACTGATGGACCGGCTTTTAACCATATTTTTCCATTCATTCCAATTGCAAGTTCATATTTGTGTTCCTTGGCGAGTAGGTGTAATAATGGACATGTGGGATTAAGTATTTTTCTCACTAAACTCAATGAGCATGAAAATAACATTCCATCGGCACTTAAAACACCTAGTTTTCCCTTTTTTCCAAATGAATCAACACAAACGAGTTCGGGTTCCATGTCTTTACTTGCGACAAGTAATTTACCGTAAATCACATCGCCTATTTGAACATCGGGACGATTACGTTTTGATGCACCCTCGAATGCTAAATACGAGAGTGAAGCCTGTTCACTTGATCCAATGTCGACTTTAAATATATCGCCGGCTTTTTGTGTTACAATTCCCACTACGCTTTCACCTCGATTTGGAACGTATCTGTAAAATAAATATTTCCTCTTATTACAAACTTTATTCTTCAGGGTTTCCACAGATCAGAGAAATCAGGGAAAAGTCAGGGATTTTTATTAAAAATCTTTATAAATGAATAGCAAAATTCTTCGACAAAATTCAATTATTTTCATAAATAATAGTATTTATCACAAGAATTCAATTATTTTCGAAAGTAAGTAATAAAATTCAATTATTAAAAATAGAATTTGCATAAATTTTTTCGAAAAAATCCAATTATTTGAAACTTTTTTATAAAATTGTCGAAATAATTCAATTTTTTATCATAAATAATAAAACTCATTGCAGAATTTCAATTATTTTTAATAGAATTTATAGAAAAAATAATTTAAATCCTAGGAAAAATTTTATTAATGATAATAATTGAATTCTTACAACGAATTTCATTACATTTTTTTAAATAATTGAATTGATGTGAAAAATTGTATTACTCATAAAAATAATTAAATTATTTTTTAGTATAAAAGATTGAAATCTAAATGAAAAAAAGTTTTTTAATTATTGTTAAGAACAATAACAAATAACGTACCTTTTTTCATAACTATTGACATAATAAATGAAAGGATCTCGTCGTTTTAAAACACCGGCTTTGCAGACAATTACATTTTCACCATCGCGTTTAAGTCCAGGACCCAGCATTACTTTTATTTTTCCTTTACTCGGAAAAATTTCCTTTACAATATCACCGGGCATAACGATATCGTCAATTTTAACTTCCATCATTTTCTTTAAATAAAAATGTAGAAAAAATTACAATATAAAAACGGTGTTGACAAATATTTTTTAGGTTAGGAAAATCAATTAGCATCTAATCCATCTAATTGAAAACTTGAATTCTTGAGTAATTTATGACTAAATTTATATTTTATTATAATAATTTTCTTTAATTTATTCAGTGAAAAATACTATTTAAAATTATTTTGTTTACAGCAAAACACGTGCTGTCCCTGTTAAAGTGTTAAGGTACTGCCACAACTGTTGTCGACAACAGTTGTGGCAGTACCTTTAATATAGGACCTAAAACTTCAACGTAGAACTACCCATCTCTGGTCATACAAAGTCGCCTTAATTTCAATTCCTGTCTTTGTCTTTCACAAAGAGAAAATACACAAGTAAGAGAAAGATAAAACTATATTTTTTTTATATGAAAAAAAGATAGTACAACAATAGTAGAGTGGTGCATTCGATCTGCCATGATCGAATGCACGTCCTTTGTATATTATTTAAAATATTATAAAACATGGTTTCGACTCGAGGACCTAAATTTAAATTTTCTGACGGTGAAAAAGTATTATGTTACGAACCCGATCCAACAAAAGCAAAAGTGTTATACGATTCAAAGGTAAGCCAGAAACAAAATTACTAACATAACCAAACTCTCAGGCATAGTTTTCATTTTTTATCAAAACAATATATTTCTTGTGTTTTTCTATTTAAATTTCTATATTCCATTCTTTAATTATTGCTATCTACTTTTTCTTTATACATTCCAGTCTATATCTAGTATCTAAACAATAAAAAAATTGTTATTTTAGAATTGTATTTCAAATCTTTCGCATAATTGTCATTGTTGTTATACTTGTTACTATTGAATTATTTCAATTTCATAATAGAAAAAAGTTACTTTTTCTGTATTAAAAACAATAAATAATAATTACTCTCATTTTTAAAGAAGATAATTCAGTTAGATTAGTTAAATTTCTAGTTTACTTTTTAATAATTTTATCAATTACGGAACTTGAAAGTTGACAACAATTCGAATTACGGAAATTGGCAGCAATGCGTTTTTATATAGCTATATATTTATAATTTTAATTTGAGAATTTATTTTTAATTTCAATTTAAAATTGCCTTACAGGTTTTAGATGTAATTGTAAATAAAGATCAAAGAGGTAGGAAAGCTGTGGAGTATCTCATACATTTTCAGGTAATGAAAAATATGCAAATTATTAAGATTTGTATTTTAAATAATTCGAAATTTTATTAGTAATTTTATCAACTGTTATTTTTTAATATATATTTATTTAATTAATCAAAATCATGGATTTATAGAAGAAATATTTAATTAAAGAATTTCTGAATAACGAAAATTCTCTAGAAACTTTTGCAAAAATTATTCAAAATAATAATTGATAATTGTTCATTTTTTTCTTCTATGAATTTTAATAAAATTTTTGAAATTAATTACATTTTTCGAAGAATTTACTTAAAATTGCATTGCAAAAATTGAAATCCTATGAAGGATTTTATTATTTAGAAAAATTGGTTTGCAATTAATTTTTATTACATTTTTTTAAAATAATTTAATTCCTGTAAAGAATTTTATTATTTATAAAAATAATTGAATTCTTGCGAAGAATTTTATTAAAATTTTTGTAAATAATTGAATTCTTGCGAAGAATTTTATTAACATTTTTGTAAATAATTCAATTTTTTTTTTAAATTTTATGAAAGTTTAAATTATTTGAGTGTCTAATAATTTTGAGAGTTAATCAGAATATTCTTAATATTCTAAATATTCAGGGAAAATGTCAAAATTTTGTCTGGGAATTAGGAAAAAGTCAGGGAAAAACAAAAGTAATTTTTCGTGGCAGTCCTGAATTAATTGATTAAAATTGTTTGAGAATTGTTTAAGATTAATTTAATATTTATAATTTCAGGGATGGAATTCTTCTTGGGATCGTTGCGTCACGGAAGAATATGTTTTAAAAGACACAGAAGAAAATAGGCAACTACAAAGGGATCTTGCACAAAAAGCGCAACTTCAGTTGTAAGATTTAAAATTTTCTTTTTTTCCTTTAGTATATATTTTTTTTCTTTAATCGCTTGAATAAAGATATAAATTAAATAGAAGAATAGTAGAATTTTCCTTCCTTGTAATATTTTGTTATTTATATTATTTTTTTATTAAAAAAATATAGATTTAAAATTTTTAAAAAAGGAATTTTAAAAAAGAAAGTAGTAAATAATTTAGTTCTAGAATAAATGTAAGTAAAAAATAATTAAATGCTAATTTACTTTTTTTTATTAGGGGAGCATATTTGTATAGAAGGGAGCGAAAGAAGAGAAGTTATAAATATTCCGAACGTCTAGTGGAATCGGAATCAGAATCAAAAAGACAGGCAAGAAGTGCTGGAAGTCGTGCGACTTCAGCGACGACCGGATCTTCCGAAGACGGAAGTTCTGGTCAACGAGACGAGTACGATACTGAAGTAAGAATTATCTCAATTATCATTTTTATTTACCTTTAATTTTCTGCTTTCCCGTTGAATCTTTTTTCAAAAATAACAAAATATCTAATCCAATGAAAAATAAATTTTTAGACTAGTTTTTCTGTCAGGAAAATATTATTTGAATTATGTATTTTATCGAACATTATAAATTTATAAAAGCAATTCTTGAAAGGTCGTTTAAAGGACAAAATTGTAGTTGATAGTTTCTAGGAATTTTATTTATGCTTCGTCTATTGAAACACGCGCAAAATTTTCTGTTTACAAAGTTCTTTTCACTCTGTACGCAGTGCAATGAACTATAATAGTCAAACAATTTCAATCGAAACATATAACACAAAAAAAATTCCGTGGCATCCAGTTTTTTTCTCTCTAAAACGAAAAAATGACGCCAAACAGAAAAGTGAAATTCGATAAATTAGATTCGGAAATTGTTATTTCAAATTCTTCAAATTCAAATCAACAGAAAAAACGTAAAAAACGTCGATCGCTTTTAACGGTTAGAAAAAATGTCAAATTAAGAGACAGTAATAAAAAACAACAGTCAATTAATAATGTTAATAGTAAGGGGAGAAAAAATGTCGATTTAAAATCGAGGGGGACAACAACAGAAGGAATAGTGAAGGAAAATAATAAAAATTTAAAAATTGAAGAAGGAAAAAAAGTGCTAAAAAATAATAAAGAAAATCTAGTGATGGCAAAGGAGAAAAATGAAAATAGTAAAGTAATTCGTCGTAAGGTGAAAAGATTTAAAAAAATGTCTGAAAATGTGCAGGATGCAGTTACGGAAGAAGATGAGGAGGAAGAAGACGATGAAGAAGAGGAGGAAGAGGAAGAAGATGACACTGACAGTAGTGTCTCCGATTATGAGGGGGAGGAATCGAGTGGTGGCGGTGGTTTAGGTGGTGGTGGAGATGATGATAGTTGTGGAGGAAGTCAATCTGGTGCGAGCATCAGACCTGGAGTTGATCTTGATATAGGAAATACATTACGTCGAATTTTGGAAATAGACAGTGAATTAATTAACCAAAAAAATAAGGTATTTTTTACTACTATAATTTGTTAATTTAATGAATTTGTTTTACCTTCTTAATAATAAAAATTTCGAATTATTAGTAAATTTTTCAAATTAAATATATATTAGAAAATAAAAAATTCAAACAATAATTTCAAATAATGAAAAAAAAATTCAATTAATTTCAAAATTTAATTATTTTTCAAAATTCACGCTATATTGCTTTTAATATTTAATTATTATCTAAAATTTTAACTGAAATTCATTTTTAAATCAATTTTTATTAGAAAAATCTACTAGAATTAAATTATTTCCATAAATAATAAAATTTTTTCAAAAAATTCAATTATTTTGAAAAATTACAAATAAAATCCTCCGCAAGAATTCAATTATTTTTTTAAATAATAAAATTCTTCTGAGAAATTCAATTATTTTTAAAAATTTGTAATAAAATTTTTCTAAACAATTATTTTAAAGAATTTTAATAAAAATAAAAGTAAAATAAAATTTACCAAGAATTAAATTATTTTCAATACAATTTTAATTACATTTTTTCGAAAAAATTTGAGTATTTAAAAAAAATTTGAATAAAATTCTTGAAATGAATTAAATTATATTCAATTTTTTTTATAAATACTTTACAAGAATTCAATGATTTTCAGTACATCGTAAATTTAATTATTTCAGAAAATAATTGATTTCTTGAACAGTATTTTATTAAAACTTTTTTAAATAATAAATTTATTATTTCTGCAAATAATTGAATTTTTTGCAAAATTTTAAAAAATAAGTGAATTTTTTAGAAGAATTTTAGAAAATTTTATTTTTTAATCAATTTTTATTAGAAAATTTTATTAGAATTAAATTCTTTAAATACAAACAAAAATTTTATTGAATATTTTAATGTTTTCTGAAAATGAATTCTCATAAAGAATTTTATCAACAAATTTTTAAATAATTGCATTTTTTCGAAGAATTTTAATAACATTTTTAAGAATAATTACATTTTTCGAGGGATTATGATTAAAATTTTATTATTTATAAAAATAATTGATTTATAGCGAAGAAATTTATAAAAAAATTTGTTAATAATTGAATTCCTGTGATATTTTTTTTTAATAATTGAATTGTTTTGGAAAATTTTATTAAAATAGTAGATATTGAAAATCATTGAATCGAGGGAAATTTTTGGGAAATAATTGAAATTTTGCCAGAAATTTTATTAAAATTTTTGAATATAATTGAATTGTACAATTTACTAATACTTTTCGTTCATTTTCGATCAAATTACGGACTTTACGGATCTAGTTAGAAGCCTGTAATAATATCTTAATTGTAATTATTATTTATAAATTGAAGAAAAATATTATTTTATTTTATTGGAATTTTTTTTTATCTTTTACAGCTTGTTGTTTTACCAGCGCAACCAACAGTTGCAACTATTTTAGAATCGTGGGTACATCATTTTACGGAAACGGAGTTGAAAAGTATTCCTGATAAAACACAACGAAATAAGGGCAATAATGTTGTTGAAAAAACGTTGACAGATATAAATCTTTGTCGTGAAGTTGCCGATGGCCTAAGAGTTTATTTCGATTTTACGTTGCAAAAACTTCTCCTCTATAGGCAAGAAAGAGAACAAAATACTTCAATAATGCTTGCTTCGTTAAATATGGAACCAGTTGAAATTAAGGAAGAAGCTCTCGAGTTAGTACATTTTTTTGTGATAAATAATTATTAAAAAAAGAACTAAACAAAATTTTTTAAAAATCTCCAAAGCCAGTTTTAAAATTTTTTTTTAAATCATAAGAAATCATAAAATAAATAAATCAAAAAATCATAACGAAGTATACAATTATTTTGACTAAAGTATTATAGAATTTGCAACTAGTTAATTAAAAGAAATGTTACTAATTAATTTTTTGTGTCTTATGTTTATAGAATTTCGGATGTGGCAATAAAGGAGGAAATAGAAGATACGGAATATGCTCATCTACCTCCATTTCAAGAACAAGAACCGGAAATAGAAAATTCAAATAAACCTGTGAATCAGGTAAAACGGAAATTAAGATCATGCAGAGTTAGTTCTGTTGAAGAGCCAAGACAATTAAGAAGCCATGAAGAAACAAAACAGGATCAAGGAAATTTGTCGAGGTAATTTTTCTTTTTTTGCAAATAAATTTTAAAAATAAAACTTTATTTTGTTTTCCAATTTTAAATAGATTAATGTGTTTCAATTTAAACGGAATTTTTCCAATTTTTTTAATGAAATGAATTTTTTCATTTCAAATTAAATTATTTTAGAAAATTTTAATAAAATTCAATAATAAAATGTTTAATTTTAATTATTAACAAATACGATTATTTTCAAAACTTGAAAGAAATTATTTATAAAATCCAATTAACTACTTTCAACATTTTCAATAACATTTTCAATTAAAATTATTTTTAAAAAAACTAATATTTTAAAGAAATTCTTCAAAAAAATTTAATTAGAACTTTTAAAAAATTAATTAAAATTCTTCGCAATAATTCAATTATTTTCATAAATAAATAATTAAATTTTACAAAAATTTTTATTTTTGAATAATTCAGTTATTGTTGAATTCTAATAAGAATTGATTTAAAATAGAATTTCAGTTAAATAAAATTTGGAAATAATAATTGAATATTAGAAGCGTTTGAAATTTTGAAATGAAATTCTTGAAAATTCCAATCACTGTAGAAGTGTAATTTGCATTTTTCAGCAGCATGGCCAGCACAAGTTCGCGTTGTTCTAGTCCAAGAGGGGTTACATTAAGAATGCCTGTTGTTGTTCCCGCTCATATCGGTACTTTACTTCAAGAATCCAAAGGCTGGAGATTAATTCCAGAATCTGCAAAATTTAAAGGCATCCGCAATCCTTGTCTCATTTATGGCGCTGTACACTTTGTCCGACTATTTGGTAATTTTTAATTTTAATTTTCAAACTCTAATTTTATTAAGAATCTCAATTTTTTCTTCATTTTGTTTTAAATTAACATATATTTTTCTCTCATTTCAGTCAAATTGCCAGAACTGTTGCAGAATTCGGATATAGCTGATAAAAAATTGAAAGTTGTTTTAAAGTATTTAGATATGGTTCTAAGGTAAATATAATTTTCTATTTCTTAATTTTTTACGAGAATTAAGAAATTATTTTCTCTTGAATTCTTTAAATTACATTAATTAATTAAAAATTAAAATTATTTTCAGTTATTTAGAATTACATCGTGAATGGTTCGGCGAGCAATATTATACGCAGGCTGAGCCACAAGCAACTGAATTGTGTGAAAATCACTGATTTTAAATGAATGAATAGATAGTGGATTTATTTTTATACAAATGAATATGTGAACATAATGATTGATTTTTCTTTTCTTTTTTTTTTGATGATGAAAGTTTCCTTTTAAATTGCGATTTAGCACAACAAATATAAATTCACGAATTTTAAATAGTTTGTGAATTATTTTTTAATTTCAAGAACTACAGTTTGTTTTGTAGCAAACAGTACCTGCGGAAAAAAAAGAAAAAAAAGGATCACTTCAAACTCTTTCTTTTTCTTGATCTCGATATTGTTGTTTTCTGCAACGTTCACTCTCAGGATTAATAAAATTCTCCGTTTCTTACCAAAACCAACATCTTCAGTTTATTTTTTTTCCTTAACAACAGAATTTCTTAAAAAACATCATAATCAATTTTTAAAAATAAGAAAATTGAATTAATTTTTAAGAGATTTCTTATTTTCTTAAAAAAATAATAACATTGAACAATTAATAAATATTAATTGTTACCTATAAGTTAATTGTTTATTAATATAATAGTTATAATTTATCAATAATGAAATTATTAAAACTATTAAGAGTAATTTAAAAGAATTATTAAATATCCCAGATAACAAACGTGCCAGGCACGTAACAGTCACTTTTGTACCGCTTAATGTTTCTTAAGACCAAGCATGCCTGCAATATGCCGGACTGTTGACTTCACTGTATATTTTTGATATTTATTTATAATTTTTTATTTATTTATTATCAACAAATTAAAATATGTCGGTATTTTGTTTAAAATTTTATGAACCTTAATAAGAATTATTAACAAAGATAAATTATTTATGTAACACTGTATCAAAAATATAACCATATTATATATTTATTTGTTATTATTTATTTTTACAATAAATTATCTATCACATTATAACATTAATATGTTTTATTACATTTCATTATTGTAAAATATGATCAATTTAATGTCAAATTGCGCGGGTGTGCAAAAATTGCGTAAGGTGAATACAGCCCGGTGACACTCCTATACATTTCCATATAATTCTGTGGCAACATGCTGACTGGTGCCACCGCAGCGCTGATTAACTTTAAGGCCAATATTTTGGCGGGAATTTAAAAAAAAAATAACATTATTTTTATTATTTATAAATATTTATTAATATTTATTAATTATTTATCAATATTTTGCAAAATTAATAATTATTAATATAAAATAATTAATAAATATTTAAAATAATATTATTTTTTTTTAAATTCCCGCCAAAATATTGGCCTTAAAGTTAATCAGCGCTGCGGTGGCAGCAGTCAGCATGTTGCCACGAGTTGTAAAGCAGTGTCACCGGGCTGGGTGAATATATACTTCCATTTCCGCTTGTACGCCATTTTGGTTATAACCTAAAATTTATACGACCTGACCACGTTTTTGATAGCCGGCCGGCGTCCATTGTGTCTCTGATCTCTGATGTGAAAGGATATGTAAGTATTAAAATTTCATTAAATTTTTATCTTTACACGAAATATTTGATTTAAATATTTCTGCAAGTGGGATTTTTTCTATTTATATTATTTCCCATAATAAAATTGCATGCGGTTTTCTATTCAAAAATTTGAGGTTAGAAATTTTATTTTTCGATCAAAGAACTATTCACAAAAATTATAATAAAATTCATTAAAACGATTTAATTATTTTTTTCAATATTTAGTATTTTCTTGAAATTTCGCAAAAGAATTCAATTATTTAAAAAAAAGCAATGATAAAATTCATTCAAAATTCAATTATTTTCATAAATAATAAAATTCCCATAGGAATTTGATTAATTTAGAATATTATTTTCAGGTAGCAAATGCGAGCACCGCTGTCCAAATGATCAGGACCCTGTTTGCGGAACGGATGGAAGAACATATCTCAATAAATGCATGTTGAGGGTGGAAATTTGCCGGGTGGGAATTGAACTCTCTCATCTTGGACCGTGCAACAACATCTCGGCGCACAGAGAAAACTGTCCAGTTTCCTGTGATTTTGCCCCCGTCGATGGACCGGTGTGCGGAAGCGATGGAAATGTCTACAAATCCACCTGCCAAATGAAGCTACTCACCTGCGGGTAAGAGATGCTTTTTTTGTCATGTATCTCACTTCGTCGAAACCGAATCCTATTTAAAAAAAAATTTTATTTTTTTGATGACACAAAATTAAATATTCTTTAAAATCCTTATCAGAAAAAAATATGCTAGCTACAGGCTTCGCACTCATCTACTATTTACTATTTTTTTACGTTATTTTTATACAATTCTTTAAGTCAATTATGGAAATTCAATTATTTCAAAAGATTTTTGATAAAATTCTAAGCAAGAATTCAATTATTTCATCATAAATAAAACTCATCGAAGAATTTCAATTAATTTTAATACAATTTTAAATTAATTAATAGAAAAATTCAATTAGTTAAAATAAAATTTTTATAATATTCATTATATTTTGAAAAAATTAATTAATTAAAACAATGTTTATAAAATTGGTTTCAAGAATTCAATTATTTTTTAAATTTTGAATTAATTTCTTGACATGAATTCAATTTAAAATTCAAATTAAAAAAAAATTGAATTCAAATTCTTCGAAAGAATTACAATTATTTTCAATTATTTTCGTAAATAACTAAAATTTATAACAAGAATTCAATTATTTTCTAACATAACTAAATTTTTCAAAGAAACTCAATTCTGTTTAAACATTTTGATAAAATTTTTCTCAATAATTCAATTATTTTCATAAATAATAAATTTCTTCTCTGGAATTCAATTAGTTTTGAAAATTTCAAAAAAATTTTTAGCAATTATTCAATTGTTTTCATAAATAATTCTTCGACATAATGCAATTATCTCGATAAATAAGAAAATTCTTCCCAAAAATTAAATTACTTTGAGGCATTTTAATAAAATTCTTTGCAAAATTCAATTATTTCAAAAAATTCTAATAAAGTCATTCACAAGAATTCAATTACTTTCAAAAATTTTAATAGAATTCTTTACGTAAAATTTAATTATTTTTAAAAACTTTTTGCAACTCAATGATTTTTAATATCTAATATTTTCATACAATTTCCAAATAGAATTCAATTATTTAAAAAGTTTTTTGTAAAAATGTTCCTAAGGAATTCAATATTCGTTTCATAAATAATAAAAATATCTCAAGAATTCTATTATTTAAATTAGAATTTGCATAAAATTAGTCGAGAGAAATGAATTATTTAAAAAATGTTTATAAAATTATTCGCAAGAATGAATTTTTCTGTAAATTTTTTTTGATACTTTTTTACAACTTTTTTTTAGTTTGAAAGCTAGTTTTTCCTACTTTTTCAAAATTAATTATCGAGTGTGAAGTCTGTAAGTTAAAAAAGTGATAATATCGAAAATTTAATCCAATCTTCAATCAATTATTTCTTGAGATGGGCATGATTGGGGAACCTTGATTCATATTTATTAAATTAATTGGTATATAATTTACTATAACTTTAAAAAGTAGTTACATTAGAGACTTGGAGTGTTCACACATATGTGAGTAGTTGTTTTAATTTGACAATTTTCTACGGTAATAGTTTAACTTTGTGATAATCAAAAGAACTAATGAAATATTTATCAATTTATAAAGCAATTTAATTTTGAGTTAAATGTTATAAACAAGACAAACTAAATAAGAATATTTAGTTATAAAAAAATTATGAATTGTTATTACACTTCTTTGACTTTTTTTGGAAAATTGTGACTTTTACAATTTTTCTTCCAAACTAAATGTATCTATAATAAAAATTTTTTTTGAATAGTTAAAATTTTGTAAAATTTAATTGAAAATAATTTATTTATTTCAAGTATTCATTTAAAGTTTTTAAAAATCAGTTTTCGAAGAATTTTAATTGCAAATTTTGAAAATAATTGAAATATCAAAAATTGTTATGTAAAAATTTAAATCTTTTAAAAATGAAAATTAATGATAATTATTATATAATTTTTTCAAATTTAATATTTCCAGTATTTTCAATTACATATTTCCAAAAATTTAAATACATAAAAAATTAATAACATTTTAGAATTATTTTTAACATTTTTGAGAAAACAATTACGTTCAAAATTTAAATAAATAATAATAATATAATAATAATAATAAATAATTTAATTTAATAATTTAAATTATTTTAGAAATAACTTTAAAAAAAGTATGGAGAGTTACAATTATTTTTATAATAAATTCAGTTTTTGTATTTAAATAATTGGATTTTAGAAGAACTTTTGGAAAATTATTTAAATTAATTAATTCAGAGATGAAGTTTAGTTGAAAATTTTAGAAACTAGTTGATTTCAGGTAGGGATATTTGTCATTTTTAGAAATTATTAAAATTCATAAATTATACTTATTTTTTGTAAACTTTCATCTTTTTCTGTAAAAATAATTTTAATTTCAGTAAATTGTCAGGGAAATTGATAAACTGAAACTTGTGCCCACTCTGTTAAATTATAATTATGTAATAATAATAATTATTATTATTAATCATAATAAATTAATCTAATTAATAATAATTATTATTAATTACTTTTTCAAGTTTTTATTTCACTTAAATAACATTCTTTGAATCTTTGAATCGACAAAAACGATTTATATATTTTATAGGTGCTGCTGCAATGGTGCTCACATTCAGCTACTCATGTGCCGGAATGTGCTCCTAATGGTTTAGTCATCTTCACTGTTGTCCACCTCCTCCTCTTCGACCAAGGTCACCAACATCAATACTGAACTCTGGTGACGTATAAGATTATGCTTTTTCAAATGAGTGTAAAAATTCGATGTCATCCAGCGCATATCACTCATTTGAATCGTTTTTACTTCCTGACAACCAACAGCAGGGCTTTTCACGGCAGCAGAATAATTGCCACCTTCATCTAATGTTATGTTGGCCGAAATCTTTGAAAATTTACGTCTATATTTACGTTGAAGAATATGAGCACGCTGGCTGTGTCGATGACGTTGAAGTTTCCGACGCAGCATTGGCGTTTGGAGTGGATGATGTAAAGGATGAACTACTATATGGGGGTACTGCGTTGATGATAAAAACGTGCTTCCAGAAATGGGATCATGCCTGATGTTTATCCGTTTCGCAGCATTTACAACCTGATCCAGGTTTACCTTTAATCCTTGTGAGATGCTGCTGCAATGGCGCTCACATTCATTCTCACATGAATTAATTAATTAATTCTTCATTCATTCATTCATGTTGTGCCGGAATGTGCTCCTGACGGTTTAGTCATCTTCACTGTTGTCCCCTCCTCCTCTTCGACCAAGGTCGCCAACGTCAATACTGACCTCTGGTTACGTATGAGATTATGCTTTTTCAAATGAGTGTAAAAATTCGATGTCATCCAGCGCATATCACTCATTTGAATCGTTTTTACTTCCTGACAACCAACAACAGGGCATTTCACGGCAGCAGAATAATTGCCACCTTCGTCTAATGTTATGTTGGCCGAAATCTTTGAAAATTTACGTCTATATTTACGTTGAAGAATATGAGCACGCTGGCTGTGTCGAGGACGTTGAAGTTTCCGACGCAGCATTGGCGTTTGGAGTGGATGATGTAAAGGATGAACTACTATATGGGGGTACTGCGTTGATGATAAAAACGTGCTTCCAGAAATGGGATCATGCCTGATGTTTATCCGTTTCGCAGCATTTACAACCTGATCCAGGTTTACCTTTAATCCTTGTGAGATGCTGCTGCAATGGCGCTCACATTCATTCTCACATGAATTAATTAATTAATTCTTCATTCATTCATTCATGTTGTGCCGGAATGTGCTCCTGACGGTTTAGTCATCTTCACTGTTGTCCACCTCCTCCTCTTCGACCAAGGTCACCAACATTAATACTGAACTCTGGTGACATATAAGATTATGCTTTTTCAAATGAGTGTAAAAATTCGATGTCATCCAGCGCATATCACTCATTTGAATCGTTTTTACTTCCTGACAACCAACAACAGGGCATTTCACGGCAGCAGAATAATTGCCACCTTCGTCTAATGTTATGTTGGCCGAAATCTTTGAAAATTTATGTCTATATTTACGTTGCATATAATTACTGATGTTGTTTTCTAGACTATTTTTCAACCTGGCCATAGACGAAGGTGGTTCATTTCCTGTGCCATCTGCTCTTGATGAAGAATATGAGCACGCTGGCTGTGTCGATGACGTTGAAGGTTCCGACGCAGCATTGGCGTTTGGCGTGGATGCTGCAAAGGATGAACTACTATGGGGGTACTGCGTTGATGATAAAAACGTGCTTCCAGAAATGGGATCATGTCTGATGTTTATCCGTTTCGCAGCATTTACAACCTGATCCAGGTTTATCTTCAGTCCATGTGAGATCGTAAACCGCTCCGGATTATTTTTGTACGCCCCATAATAAATCTCTCTATCATTATCATCAATGAGCTCATGTAGCGTTGTCCTCATAAACTCCTCAATACTCCGTTGGTTTTTTTTTTAAAAGCTTTTAGCACTGATAGATTGTCATAATTTGTGGCCTCCAGTATTAATTTCAGCCTATTTGAAACTACGACTCCACTTTGCTCCAAAGCGTTCCATAAATCCATTGTCTGCAAGAACAATTTATTGTGTAATGTGTATGAATTTGTATGAATGTGGCGCGGACATCTGGTAAATTGTAAAATGCTATCAACTTGAATTTTTTCATTGAATAAATTTTATATTCATTGAACATTATTGACTCTTTATTTCTTGATTTTAAATTTTGTTGTTAGTTGATTTTCATTTTTTTAGGTCTCTCTTCGGTATTTTATTGATTTAAAATTTCTGATAAATTTTTATTGATATTATAGAATTTATTACAAATTAAATTATTCAAAACAAATTAATATGAATAATATACAATAAAACAAATAATATGGAATAATACGGAATAATGAGAATAATACAAATAATACGGAATTAAACGAAATAATATTGAATGATACACTGAAAAAAATTAATTGAAAAATTTTTAATTTAACACAAGTAATAACTTATTTAAAACTAATCATCTTTTTATTTCATTAAAATATTTAAGTAATTGATAAAAATAAAAATTACTTGTCACAAATAATTTAATTTATGAATTCAAGTCAATAAAATTATTTTCATCATTATTACAGGGTTGCCAGACCCTGTCAGGGAATTCAGGGAAAAGTCAGGGGAAGTAAAATTGGTCAGGGAAGTCAGGGATTTTTAGTAAAAGTACTGGAAAAAATTGAATTTTAAAAATTCATGAGAAAACACTAAAATTTTGTTTTTTTTTGTTTGTCTCGTAAACTATGAAATGACCACAAATTTTAATACAAAACCTTGAATTTTTTCTATTTCAGGCAATAAGTACTTCCTCATAGAGTAAGTATTTCTTTTTGAATAACTTAATTTTACAAGAACTATCATAAAACTATGACTTATAAATTATTTAACGAATAATTTTTACAATTTTCATAAATACTAGATTGATAAAAGAATTTCTGTTAAAAATACTAAAAAAAATTGAATTTTGGAAAAGTTACAATTAATTTCAAAAATTCAATTATTTTTAAAAGTAATAAAAATTTCTTCAGAAATTCAATTATATTCAAAAATTAAAAAAATTCTAGTCATTTCACTTATATCAATTATATTATTATTATTATTATTATTATTATTATTATTATTATTATTATTATATCTTTGAAATAATAAAATTCTTCTTCAAAATTCAATTATGTTTAAAATTTTTTTTTAAATTCTCGTAAAAATTTCAATTATCTTTATAAATAATACAATTCTTCTTCGAAATTCAATTATTTTTAAAAACTTTAATAAAATTCTTGTCAAAATTTCACAAGAATTCAATAATTTACAAGATTTTTAATAAATTTCTTCAAAATAAATCAATTATTTTCATAAATAATCAAAATTTGCACAGGAATTCAATTATTCAATATAAAAAATTTCAAAAAAAATTTTCGTAAAATATCAATTATTTAAAAAATTTTTTTTAAAAATTCATCGCAGAAATTCAATTATTTTTGTAAAATTGATTGAATAATGATAAAATTCTTTAATATTCGATTAGGGGCCATTCAAGTATTACGTAAGCATATTTTTCAGGTTTTTAGACCCCCCCCCTCCCCCATGTAAGATTTTTTATATGCATTAACGCCATTTTTTCTAATGGAAATAAGCAATAGCTAGACCCCCCCCTCCCCCTTAAATGCTTACGTAATACTTGAATGGTCCCTTATTTAAAAAACTGTTTTAAAAATTCTCGTCAAAATTTCAATTATTGTTATAAATAATGAAATTATTCTTTAAAATTCAATTATTTTTAAAAACTTGAATAAAATTCTTGTTAAAATTTCACAGAAATTCAATAATTTATAAAATAATTAATAAATTCCTTTGAAATAATTCAATTATTTCAATTATTTAAAAAAATTTTTATAAAATTCATTCGCATAAATTCAATTATTTAAAAAAAATGTAAAAAATTTCTCTTCAAGAATTTAATTATTTTTAGAAATAGTAAAATTCTTCACCGAAATTCAATTATTTTTAATGAACTTGAATAAAATTCTTTCGAAGAATTAAATTATTTTCAAAAGTAATAAAATTCTTCGCAGAAATTCAATTATGTTCAAAAATTAAAAAACAATTATTGTCAAAATTTCAATTATCTTTATAAATAATCAAATTCTTGGTAAAATTTCAATTATTTTCAAAAAATCACCTCAATTCAATTATTTACGCTTTTTTTATAAATTTCTGCCCAATATTTCATTATTTTCATAAATAATAACATTTTTTACAGGGATTCAATTATTTTCATAAAATAATACAATTCTTTCTAGGAATTTCATTATTTTTATAAATAATATTTCATCATAGAATTTCAATTATTTTTAAAATACAATTTTAACCGAATTCCTCGAAAAATGTAATTATTCTTAAAAAGTGTCATTAAAATTCATCGAAAAAAATGCAATTTTAAAAATTTGTTGATAAAATTCAATTTTGATAAAAATAATTTTTTCATTTTTGTATTTAAATAATTGAACTAGCCAAACTATCCGCGCGCAAGCGCGCGGGAATGTTGTATGGGGCTGCTTATTTTAAACAATTTAAAAAATATTAAAGAAATAATTATTATAACCTAACAAAGAGATTTAACTAACTAAAATTTAAATAATTTCACTCAATAGTCTCAATTTAAATAGAATTTACATTACTAGACTTAAACTATGGCTAGAACAATTACAATTAGTATCTGGGTCATCTTTTGCATTGCTTATTTTATAAAGCCATTTTAATTTAAATACTTTTTAAAGAAATAATAATTATTACACACTGAAAAAAGTTTTACTTGAAATAGCGATAAGTTTCTCTAGAATAACGAAAGTATTAATTGAAGCACTAAATAATTTCGCTACTAAAGTGAAATCTGTACATCATCCAGCTAAATATTTTTTGCCGTGCATAACGAAAATAGAATTAAATTAACATCAGAATTAACTGAATTCGATAATTCAGAAGAAAGTCAGACAAAAGCAGGGTTCCTACAGAATCTAAAAATCATGGAAATCATGGAAATGGTATGGAATTTTTAAAAGGCTTCTGGAAATCAGGAAAATCATGGAAAAGGCCTGTAATTTTTAAAAAATTCTAAATTTTTTCAGTTTTCCATTTTTTCTCTTGAATAAAAATTCAAATAATAATAAAAAGCTAAATGGTATAAAAGAGAAAAAAAAATTTTTAATTTTAAGAAATTCAATTTTTCAGATTTTTGATAATTTTTAATAATTTTAGATTTGTTACCAAAGACTCGAGACAATTTAATAAGTAAAGTATTTTCCAAAAGCACAAAAATAATAAAGCTAATTCCCATAAAAGAGAGGAAAAAATATTGCATTTTAAGAAAATCGGATTTTTGAATTTTTTCGAATTTTTGATAATTTTAGATTTTTTACCAAAGAGTCGAGACTATTAAATAAGTAAAGTATTTTCCAAAAGCACAAAAATAATGAAGCTAAATTCTATAAAAGAGAGGAAAAAATGTTGAATTTTAAGAAATTCGGATTTTTGAATTTTTGATAATTTTCGATAATTTCACATTTTTTACCAAAGAGTCGAGACAATTTAGTAAGTAAAGTATTTTCCAAAAGCAAAAAAATAATGAAGCTAAATCCTATAAAAGAGAAGAAAAAATGTTGAATTTTAAGAAAATCGGATTTTTGAATTTTTGATAATTTTCGATAATTTTAGATTTTATACCAAAGAGTCGAGACAATTTAATAAGTAAAGTATTTTCCAAAAGCACAAAAATAATGAAGCTAATTCCCATAAAAGAGAGGAAAAAATGTTGAATTTTAAGAAAATCGGATTTTTGAATTTTTTCGAATTTTTGATAATTTCAGATTTTTTACCAAAGAGTCGAGACAATTTAGTTAGTAAAGTATTTTCCAAAAGCACAAAAATAATGAAGCTAAATTCTATAAAAGAGAGGAAAAAATGTTGAATTTTAAGAAATTCGGATTTTTGAATTTTTGATAATTTTCGATAATTTCACATTTTTTACCAAAGAGTCGAGACAATTTAGTAAGTAAAGTATTTTCCAAAAGCAAAAAAATAATGAAGCTAAATCCTATAAAAGAGAGGAAAAAATGTTGAATTTTAAGAAATTCAATTTTTCGGATTTTTGATAATTTTTAATAATTTTTTTTTTTTTCCAAAGAGTCGAGACAATTTAATAAGAAAGGTATTTTCCAAAAGCACAAAAATAATTAAGCTAAATCCCATAAAAGAGAAGAAAAAATGTTGAATTTTAAGAAAATCGGATTTTTGAATTTTTTCGAATTTTTGATAATTTTAGATTTGTTACCAAAGACTCGAGACAATTTAATAAGTAAAGTATTTTCCAAAAGCACAAAAATAATGAAGCTAAATCCCATAAAAAAGAAGAAAAAATGTTAAATTTTAAGAAAATCGGATTTTTGAAATTTTTCGAATTTTTGATAATTTTAGATTTTTTACTAAAGAGTCGAGACAATTTAATAAGTAAAGTATTTTCCAAAAGCACAAAAATAATGAAGCTAAATCCCATAAAAAAGAAGAAAAAATGTTGAATTTTAAGAAATTCAATTTTTCAGATTTTTGATAATTTTTAATAATTTTAGATTTGTTACCAAAGACTCGAGACAATTTAATAAGTAAAGTATTTTCCAAAAGCACAAAAATAATAAAGCTAATTCCCATAAAAGAGAGGAAAAAATATTGCATTTTAAGAAAATCGGATTTTTGAATTTTTTCGAATTTTTGATAATTTTAGATTTTTTACCAAAGAGTCGAGACTATTAAATAAGTAAAGTATTTTCCAAAAGCACAAAAATAATGAAGCTAAATTCTATAAAAGAGAGGAAAAAATGTTGAATTTTAAGAAATTCGGATTTTTGAATTTTTGATAATTTTCGATAATTTCACATTTTTTACCAAAGAGTCGAGACAATTTAGTAAGTAAAGTATTTTCCAAAAGCAAAAAAATAATGAAGCTAAATCCTATAAAAGAGAAGAAAAAATGTTGAATTTTAAGAAAATCGGATTTTTGAATTTTTGATAATTTTCGATAATTTTAGATTTTATACCAAAGAGTCGAGACAATTTAATAAGTAAAGTATTTTCCAAAAGCACAAAAATAATGAAGCTAATTCCCATAAAAGAGAGGAAAAAATGTTGAATTTTAAGAAAATCGGATTTTTGAATTTTTTCGAATTTTTGATAATTTCAGATTTTTTACCAAAGAGTCGAGACAATTTAGTTAGTAAAGTATTTTCCAAAAGCACAAAAATAATGAAGCTAAATCCCATAAAAAAGAAGAAAAAATGTTGAATTTTAAGAAATTCAATTTTTCAGATTTTTGATAATTTTTAATAATTTTAGATTTGTTACCAAAGACTCGAGACAATTTAATAAGTAAAGTATTTTCCAAAAGCACAAAAATAATAAAGCTAATTCCCATAAAAGAGAGGAAAAAATATTGCATTTTAAGAAAATCGGATTTTTGAATTTTTTCGAATTTTTGATAATTTTAGATTTTTTACCAAAGAGTCGAGACTATTAAATAAGTAAAGTATTTTCCAAAAGCACAAAAATAATGAAGCTAAATTCTATAAAAGAGAGGAAAAAATGTTGAATTTTAAGAAATTCGGATTTTTGAATTTTTGATAATTTTCGATAATTTCACATTTTTTACCAAAGAGTCGAGACAATTTAGTAAGTAAAGTATTTTCCAAAAGCAAAAAAATAATGAAGCTAAATCCTATAAAAGAGAAGAAAAAATGTTGAATTTTAAGAAAATCGGATTTTTGAATTTTTGATAATTTTCGATAATTTTAGATTTTTTACCAAAGAGTCGAGACAATTTAATAAGTAAAGTATTTTCCAAAAGCACAAAAATAATGAAGCTAATTCCCATAAAAGAGAGGAAAAAATGTTGAATTTTAAGAAAATCGGATTTTTGAATTTTTTCGAATTTTTGATAATTTCAGATTTTTTACCAAAGAGTCGAGACAATTTAGTTAGTAAAGTATTTTCCAAAAGCACAAAAATAATGAAGCTAAATTCTATAAAAGATATATATATATCTATCTTTCTATAAAAGAGAGGAAAAAATGTTGAATTTTAAGAAATTCGGATTTTTGAATTTTTGATAATTTTCGATAATTTCACATTTTTTACCAAAGAGTCGAGACAATTTAGTAAGTAAAGTATTTTCCAAAAGCAAAAAAATAATGAAGCTAAATCCTATAAAAGAGAAGAAAAAATGTTGAATTTTAAGAAATTCAATTTTTCGGATTTTTGATAATTTTTAATAATTTTTTTTTTTTTCCAAAGAGTCGAGACAATTTAATAAGAAAGGTATTTTCCAAAAGCACAAAAATAATGAAGCTAAATCCCATAAAAGAGAAGAAAAAATGTTGAATTTTAAAAAAATCGGATTTTTGAATTTTTGATAATTTTCGATAATTTCACATTTTTTACCAAAGAGTCGAGACAATTTAGTTAGTAAAGTATTTTCCAAAAGCACAAAAATAATGAAGCTAAATTCTATAAAAGAGAGGAAAAAATGTTGAATTTTAAGAAATTCGGATTTTTGAATTTTTGATAATTTTCGATAATTTTCGATAATTTTAGATTTGTTACCAAAGAGTCAAGACAATTTAATAAGTAAAGTATTTTCCAAAAGCACAAAAATAATAAAGCTAATTCCCATAAAAGAGAAGAAAAAATGTTGAATTTTAAGAAAATCGGATTTTTGAATTTTTTCGAATTTTTGATAATTTTAGATTTGTTACCAAAGACTCGAGACAATTTAATAAGTAAAGTATTTTCCAAAAGCACAAAAATAATGAAGCTAAATCCCATAAAAAAGAAGAAAAAATGTTAAATTTTAAGAAAATCGGATTTTTGAAATTTTTCGAATTTTAGATAATTTTAGATTTTTTACTAAAGAGTCGAGACAATTTAATAAGTAAAGTATTTTCAAAAAGCACAAAAATAATGAAGCTAAATCCCATAAAAGAGAAAAAAAAATGTTGAATTTTAAAAAAATCGGATTTTTGAATTTTTGATAATTTTCGATAATTTCACATTTTTTACCAAAGAGTCGAGACAATTTAGTTAGTAAAGTATTTTCCAAAAGCACAAAAATAATGAAGCTAAATTCTATAAAAGAGAGGAAAAAATGTTGAATTTTAAGAAATTCGGATTTTTGAATTTTTGATAATTTTCGATAATTTCACATTTTTTACCAAAGAGTCGAGACAATTTAGTAAGTAAAGTATTTTCCAAAAGCAAAAAAATAATGAAGCTAAATCCTATAAAAGAGAAGAAAAAATGTTGAATTTTAAGAAAATCGGATTTTTGAATTTTTGATAATTTTTAATAATTTTTTATTTTTTTCCAAAGAGTCGAGACAATTTAATAAGTAAAGTATTTTCCACATTAAAAAGTTTGACATTAAAAAATATATAAAAAATGCCAATACTTAACCCACAAAATTAAATTTTCAAAACAAACAAATGAATGCAGATAATTTGCTAACGGAAAGGAAACTTACGATTATTATAATGTATGTATATGTATATGTATATTTCTATTTTCTATCAAAACGTATAAAAAACAAAAGAATAACTATAACTAACTTCAAGTGTGGACAGAGATCCGGAAATCTGGAATCACGACGATTATTATATATAATTAGCGTAAAATTTTTTAATAAAAATTATTTTAAAAATGAATTCTTGGCAAAATTCCAAAAATTTTCTAAAACATTTCAATTATTTAAAAAAAAATTTGATAAAATCTACACAAACATTTAATTATTTTCATAAATAATAGAAAGTTCTCGTCAAAATTTCAATTATCTTTATAAATAATAAAATTCTCCTTCAAAATTCAATTATTTCAAAAACTTGAATAAAATTTTTGTTAAAATTTCACAGAAATTCAATAATTTATAAAATTATTAATAAATTCCTTTGAAATAATTCAATTATTTCAATTATTTAAAAAAATTTTTATAAAATTCGTCGCATAAATTCAATAATTAAAAAAAAATGTAAAAAATTTCTTTTCAAGAATTTAATTATTTTTAGAAATAGTAAAATTCTTCACCGAAATTCAATTATTTTAGAAAAATTTTAATAACATTTTTGGGAAAATTTTTAATTATTTTCATAAATAATAAAACTCATCGCAGAATTTTAATTAATTTTTTATACAATATTTTAATCAAATTCCTCTATAAATATAATTATTCTTAAAAACTTAATTAAAATTTGTCAAAATAATTGAATTATTTAAAAATTTGTTGATAAAATTCTTTATGAGAATTCAATTTTAAGAAACATTCAATTATTCAATAAATAATTCATTTTTTAATTTAAATAATTGAATTCTTCTAGAATTTTTTAATAAAAATTGATTAAAAAATGAATTACCGAATAATCGATTTATTATATTTATGAAAACAATTGAATTATTGTAACGAATTTTATTACAATTTTTCCAAATAATTGAATTTTTTGAGAAAATTTACTACTTTTTAAAAATAATTGAATTCTTGCAAAGGATTTTATTAGGATTTTTGTAAATAATAAATTTTTTTTGAAAAATTTCATGGTAATTTAAATTATAACAAAACATGAAGAAGGCGAAGACTCGGAGTGATCGCCTTCTTTATGTTTTGTAATAAAAATAAATTGTTGAATTTCAAAAAGGTTTGAATTTGAAAGTATTGAAGAAGTTTAATTCCTACAGGGAAATAATAATGATTAAATATTTATTTAGAAAAGAAATTATTGATGTTTTTGAATAATTTTACAATTAATGAAATCTGTAAATAAATATAATAGAATATTTTTTTGAGTTTCTAATAATTTTTAGAGTAAATCAGAATATTTTTTAGGGTCAGGGAATTTTGAGAATTTTGTCTGGAAATCAGGGAAAAATAAAATTAAATATTTGTGGCAACCCTGTTATAATTCAATTATTATTTTCAAGAATTTTTAACTAAAATTCTTCTTTAAATGAATTAATTTTCGAAAAAGTTCTCTGTCAATTTTCAAATCCATTTGTTTACAATATTTAATTTTACTAATTTCAATTATTGGTAAATTCTTCAATTAAATATATATTAGAAAATAAGAACTTCAAATAATGTAAAAAAAATTCAATTAAACTTTTTCAAAATTGAGTTATTTCTAAAAATTCACGCTATATTGCTTTTAATTTTGAATTATTATCTAAATTTTTAACTGAAATTCATTTTTAAATCAATTTTTATTAGAAAATTCTACACTAGAAAAAATTTAATTGATTCAAATAACCGAATAATTGACTATTACATTAATTAAATATTTAATTGAATCCAATAATATTTATTGGAGTTAATTAAATGGTATTTACTTTAAATACTGAAATTATTGGTTTAAAATTTCAAATACCATTTAATTGACATCAATAAATATTATTTGATTCAATTAAATATTTAATTGATAATAGTCATAAAGAAGTACAATATTCTTATAATATAAAATAATGATTTTATCAATTTGCCATCTTTAATTATTATAAAACATGAAGAAATCGATCACTCCGAGTCGAAAACTCGGAGTTACGGATATCTTCATGTTTTATAGTTATTATTTATTTTATTTAGTCTTATTTGACTCGGACTGGTTATATTTTTGTCAGTAATTGGTCCGTAATTTTTATTTTTGGTCCGTAAAGTCAGTATTTTTAAAGACTTTCACTGGTTCGAGCCCTTTATTATATTAAGAAGGTAAAACAAATTCATTAAATTAACAAATTATAGTTGTAAAAAATACCTTATTTTTTTGGTTAATTAATTCACTGTCTATTTCCAAAATTCGACGTAATGTATTTCCTATATCAAGATCAACTCCAGGTCTGATGCTCGCACCAGATTGACTTCCTCCACAACTATCATCATCGCCATCTCCACCGCCACCACTCGATTCCTCCTCCTCATAATCAGAGACACTACTTTCAGTGTCATCTTCATCGTCTTCTTCCTTCTAATCTTCTTCCGTAACAGCATCCTGCACATTTTCAGACATTTTTTTTAATCTTTTCACTTTACGACGAATTACTTTACACTTTTTCAAAATACGCAATTATTATAATTTAATTTTAAGAAGAATTTCTTTTAAGTTTTTAAAATAATCGTGTTTATTATTAATTATTATTTTATTAATTTATTTTAAATGGATTAAGTCTCTCAAATTTGACTAATTTGTTGCTTTTATTACTTACTGCTCAAACACAAACGGCTTGGGGCAGGAAACTGAATTACTTGTTCACTTCACACACAATTTAACCAGATTTGACGAAAACCACAATAACTCTCAAGACAGTGACCTAACGACACGTAAGAGAGACTTGACAATAAATGAGACAGACCAATAATAAGAAAAGGACAACAAACGACTCTCTATACTTCCAAATATACTTTCCCTACACATGACAAATTTCACAAAGTAATTAACGAAACACTTCGTTACAAGTAAGTGAATTTTTGAGAAGAATTTTATGAAAATTGTATTTAAAATAATTGAATACCTGGGAAAAATGTACCTACTATTCATTGATATAATTGAATTCTTACGAAAAATTTAAAAATATATCCAATTTTTCAAATTTTTTTAAATCATCAGAAATCATAAAATAAAATAATAAATCACAAAATCATCATTCTTGATCTCGATATTGTTGTTTTCTGCAACGTTTACTCTCAGGATTAATAAAATTCTCCGTTTCTTATACCAAAACCAACATCTTCAGTTTATTTTGTTCTTCCTTAACAACAGAATTTCTTAAAGGACATAATCAATTTTTAAAAATTGAGAGAATTCAATTAATTTTTAAGAGATTTCTTATTTAAAAAAAATAATGACAATAAACAATTAATATAATAATATTAATTGTTACCTATAAATTAACTGTTTATTAATATAATAATTATTATTATTCATCAATAATGAAACTATTAAAACTATTAAGAGTAATTTAAAAGAATTATTTCATTTATTTTCTATGTAACACTTTTATTTTTTGTAGCAAAAAAAATGTTACAGATTAGTGTAGAAAATTGAAAAAAAATAAAAAAAAATTCTTGGTGAGTGTGATAATTTAATAAACATTTTTCCACATATGTTTTATCAGTTAATAAAATATATATAAATTTTCTTTTTCGATAAATTACAAAAGTCTCATTTACATAATATTAAATAAAAATATAATCTTAAAACTAAAATATATTAATATATTAGGACGGATGCATGAACATTAAATGTTCGTATATTATTATCGACGAATTTGCACCAGAATTTACCGAAAAAACGATAACTTTTTTCTTTATTATTATTATTACTACTAAATTATTATTATTGTCATTTTTCAGTATTTTACAAATACTGAAAAAATTAGTGTATTAAATAAATCTCGTCTCTTTCTCTCGATTAATTGCAAATTATCTTAGTGAAGTATTAATTATCTAATTAAGTAGTTTAAAGCTAATCGGAAATATTCAAAGTTTTTTGCAATTGTAAATTAAGTACTAAAGTTCTTATTCTTTTTGTTAATCGCTTTTGTTTCGTTTTTTTTTTCATTAACGACAGTATATTTTAATTACTTTTTTTATTACTTGCTATAATTTTTTTTTCTTTGTTAATTAAAAAATATTTTTTACTTCTTATTTTGTTAATTACAAAATATTTTTTACTATTTTTTCGTTAATCACAAAATGTATTTTTATTACTCTTTGTTTTGTAATAATGGTAAAAATATTTTTTAATCATTAATTTGTTAATTACAAAGTATTTCTTATCCTTTTAACAATTTAATTAAGAAAAATATTTTTTAATCTTTAGTTTGTTAATTACAATTCTATTTATTACTCCTTCTTTTCTCATTTGGAAATATATTTGAATCTTCAATTTTTGAGATAGAAAAAAAAAAGAAAAAATAGAAAAATTTTTAATAAAATAGAATTTGACTTGTAAAACTTTTTTCAAATAACGCTTTCTTCAAAAGAAAAGAGTTTTGAAAAAATTGACTTACAAGAAACTTATAATACTGAATAATTGGAATATTTTTTCTCAGGCCTCGAATCGACTTAAAGACCTAAAAAAAGTCGAAATAGTCGTTTATTTACATTCAGAATTTTTATTTTTAAAAATTTACACTCGAAAAATTATTGGAAAATAATTTTTGTATTTGTCTAGTTATTTTTCTCACTAGAAAAATTGAAATAAATTGCATTTTATGCTAAAAATGTATTATTTTGTTGCAATATTTGGAAGAAAATTCGAAAAAGTAGCAATATCCGAGGCCTATTTTCCCCAAAAACAAATATTAGACGAAAAGGTAATACAATACCGAAAATTTGATAATTTATCAATTAAATTTTGAATATTGTTTTTTTTTTTTTGCTTCTTTTGCAAATAAACGAATAAAGTAAATTTTCTTTTAGAAAAATAGAAAACTTGGTGAAAATTGGCGTATAACCAAAAATAAAGTACAATAATAATAAAAAATAAAAATATTATAAAAATAAAAGTCGAAAATAAAAATATTATAAAAATAAAATTCAAAAATAAAAATGTAAAAAAATTTAAAAAATATAAAATTTAGAATAGACTTTAAAAAAATTTAGTAATTACTTAAAGGTAATTTTTCACTATTCACGTGTGACTTCTAAAAAAAAGAGGGACAAAGGTAACTGAACTTTTTTTTAAACATAAGTGTTAAAAAAAATATAAATAGTTAATTTAAGAATTAAAAAAAAAAGAATAAATTCTAATTTCGTTTGCTTGAATTAATGAGGTACTTGCAGCAATGAGTGAGTAAATGCTTTTCGCCAGACACATCTTGATGTGATGGACTGGCCGATTCCCTAGTGTAAATATCAAGCCCATATTGACCTTCCTCCGGGAAGCTAATGGAGAAAGTCACTACATCATCGTCTGTCACAGAATGCGTGACATACTTGGACAGACGTTTCTCCTCAATTCCATTCTTGTGCAGCGTCGCCATAAAGTCTGTCAAAGGCCGCGACATCCGAAATTGAATTTCCAATTCTCGTCCCGCAAACACCAATGCTTCCTGGAAAAATTTTCACATTTCTCTTTTTTAAATTCTCCAACAATATTAGTTTGTTTTACAAATTATTCATTTATAATTTAGGTATTACATTGTTTTATATATTTAAACAAATTAACCAAAAAAAGAGAAATTAAAGAAAAATAACAATTCTTTTTGGAAATACGAGAAAACAAAAATTTACTATATTTCCAAATTATTAAAAAATTACTATAATTAACTCACTCTCAAAATTATTAGATAATAAAAAAAAATTTTCAGAAACAGCAATAAATTCTATAATTAAATAAATATTCAATCATTATACCAATCAAATTATTTACAAAAATTTTAATAAAATCCTTCGCAAGAATTCAATTATTTTAATAAATAATACAATTTTTCACATCAATTCAATTATTTTAAAAAAATGTAATAAAATTCGTTGTAAGAATTCAATTATTATCATAAATAATAACATTCCTCACAGGATTTAAAATATTTTAATTACAATTTTTAATGAATTCCTCGAAAAATGTAATTATTTTCAAACATTTATTGCAAGAATTCAATTACATTTCACAAATAATGAATTTTTTCGTGGAAATTCAAATATTTTCAAAATCTACTATTTTAATAAAATTTCTTAAAAGAATTATTTTAAATATTTAAAAAAAATGTAATAAAATTCGTTGCAAGAATTTAATTATTTTCATAAATAATCAAATTTTTCACAGGATTTCAATTATTTTTAATACAATTTTCAGTGAAATGTTCGAAAACTGTAATTAATTTCAAAAATTTTATTAAAATAATACGAAAGAAATAAATTAACAATTATCAATTATTTTTAATAATTTTTGGAAAAGTTCCTAGGAAATTTATTAGAAAACTCTGAAAAAATTCAATTATTTAAATACAAAAAAAAAAATTTTTAAATAATTGAAATTCTATAATGAGTTTTATATATGAAAATAATTGAATTCCTAAAAATAATTTTATTATTTTATGAAAATAATTGAATCCCTGTAAAAAATGTTATTATTTATGAAAATAATGAAATATTGGTCAGAAATTTATAAAAAAAAAAAATCGTAAATAATTGAATTTAGGTAAATTTTTGAAAATAATTGAAATTTTACCAAGAATTTGATTAAAATATTTGAAAACAATTTAATTTCGGAGAAGAATTTAATTATTTATAAAGATAATTGATATTTTGACAAGAATATTTTTTTAATTTTTCAACATATGTAATTGAATTTCTGCGAAGAATTTTATTACTTTTGAAAATGATTGAATTTCTGCAAACATTTGTAACTTCTCTAAAATTCAATTTTTTTTAGTGTTTTTTACTAAAATTCTTCTATAAATCCATGATTTTTAATAATAAATTAAATATACATTTAAAAATTAAATAAAACTAATTATGAATCCTGCAAATTTAATTCTTTCCAGTACTTTAATAAAAATCCCTAACTTTTCCCTGTTTTCCCGTACCAATTCTATTTTCCCTGATTTCTCTAAACAGTGGTAACCTTGTTAATTTAAAAAAAAAGAAAACTGACCTGATGCGTGATTGGCACGAGGCCAAAGAGTCTTGTGGCTTTAGTGGGACCCCATTCACCGCTCGCACAATCCGGAAGTGGAACCATTACCGTTTGAAGTTCCTCGCAAGCGATCTTGAATTTACAGACACTCTTAAATTTCATCGGCTCCCCTGTTAAATATTCCTTAGGCGTAACTGCATTTGCAAATACATCTAAGAGAAAAGCACCTGAACATGGAGCGTGCACACGAAATGCAACTAAATTCCCAACGACCGACTGTAAAAAAAGACAAAGAAATTTTATTTTTCAAATTCACTTATTTTTTCTATTTTTCACTAATTAAAGTAAAGTCGATTAATTAAAATCTTCAAGTTTCCCTTTTCAAAATTCAAAAAAGAAAATAACATAAAGAGAAAAAGTTTAATTTAAAAAAATATTTTTTGGCTCCCTTTTTATAAAATTCAATTTTTTTGTAGACGAGTAAAAAAATTCCACTCAATTAAGTTGTTAAGAAAATATAATAAGAAATTATATTTTCAAGTTTCTTTGCTTCAGAATATTATCTGAAACCTTTTTATTAAAAGGTTTCCTTTTCAATTTTGTCTCTAACAAAATTCTTTAATTTCACGTTCTAAATGAAGAAAAAATAATTATTAGTTTAAATTTTAAGTTCAGTTCTGCGTGCAGTAATTTTCTAGATATTTTAACACGAATCGAATTTTCAAAAACGAAACGTTGCAATTTTGATTTCTCGTTTTGCATTTAAAATTGTTAATTACATAAATTTAAATGAAATATAAACTGTCATCGCATTTACCTGCATGACAAATCTTTTGAGTGACACTCCATCGTAATTATCACCGTCGCTGTCATAAAATTTCAAATTGTAGTGAAAGATCAGAGAAGATTGCATGTGAGCTGGCATTGCTATTCTGACAGTCGCAGCACCTGTCGAATCCGTATACATTACAGCGTTTGTATTCGTGTCAGGAAAATAAAGACCGTACCTAAAAAAATAAATTAAATATAAAAATACAAGTTACTTTTACTTTACTAAAAAAGATACCGATTCTCTCTCATTCAAAAAAAAAAATTAAAATTTCAAATAATTGTTTGAAAATCAAATTAACTTCTGTCAATTTAATTTTTATTTTATCAAATATAAATTTTTTTTCAAGATCCATTACAATTCTTGTAAAAGTAATTAAATAAATAAAAAAATTTTCAAATAATATATTTTTAAAACGATTCTCACCTGAAGAACAAGGACCGAACGAAGGGCAACTCCTCGAAATCTTTCAATGAAATTGGTTGCTTCAAAAGTTGCCATTCCTCCTGAAGGGGGAAGAATTCGTAAATGAATTCTCGAGGATCAGTGAGGAAATAATGATCGTCGTATTCGTATCTAAAAAAAAAGAAAGTAATAATAAAATAAACGAGAATTTTCAAAATTCAATTCTCCATTTTACATAAAACAATAACATTTTTTAATATTATAAAATAATGAAATAATAAAAAGTAAAAACTAATTATTTTCTAAATTTTCGGTTAGACTTTTTCGAAAATACGATTATATTTCAAAATAATTATTATAAAAGTAAAAAAATAAAATTCCTTCAATCATAACATTTTTTACAATTCAATTTGATAAAATTTACAATTGTTTCAATTTATTAAAATTATTTTCGGAAATTTAATTATCTTTAAAAAATTTTAATTAAATTTTTTTTTAAAAACAAATTTTTTCAGAATTTTTAATTTTAATATTCAAAACTATTTAATAGAATTTAATTTCAAAATCTTTTGAAATTTAATTATTTCTAAAAATTCCTACTTTGACAGTTCTAATTATTATTTTTTAAAATGGCAAATAAAATTCCTTTTTAAAAATCAATTTTCAGAATTTCAGAATTCAACTATTCAATGATTTAAATACAAAAATTAATAATTAATAAAATAATTGATACCTAAGTAATAAATTGTTATTTAATAAATAATTAAACTTGAAAATCTAGATTGTAATTATTATATAAATAATTATCATTATTTATTTAATTTGAATGTTTAAAGAATGAAATAAATCCTTGAAAACGTCGATACTGAAATAATTGAAAATAAACGTGTAAAAAATGGAAAATACCGTAAACTGTCACTTTTTTCCTTCGGTTGGCCGGGATTTGGGACCTCTTTAGCATTAACAAGATGACGAGCTCCCCAATTACACTGAACAAATCGCCAGGAACCAGCGACGTACACGGCATTCCAACTATTTCTGAATCTATTATCTTCAAAACAAACGCCAGGCTGATAACCCGCTGATTTACTGTACCCCTTAATTACCACGCAATGAAGTCCCGCGTAACTGAAATAGAAAGAAAAAAATTCACCTTTTTTTTATAAATTATAAAATAGTCATAAATAGTAAATAGTAAAAAAAAATTAGTAAGAATTAAAAAATGGGTGTAAAATATTTTGTATAAAAATGATGTCAAAAAGAAGCTAAAAATAGAGTTAAAAAAAAAAGAATTTCTTTTCTAAAAAAAGAAAAATACCTGCACAATCGTTTAAATAGAACGTGGTAACTTTCTGTTCCGTGTTTAATTCCTCTCAAAAGTCCCATAGGCGTGTCTCCCCGCAAATTATCATCAAATTGCATTGTGTTCAAATTCTTTACCGTAATCCATCTGAATATTGTTCTCGCTTTTTCAATGTCTGATCCGCATTTTGTGACTAATTGACGAACAAGATCAGTGAAGGTCTTTTGATCTTCTTGTGCCACCTGTGCAATTCAATTTTGTTGTTAATTTTTCCAATTACTATATTTTAGTAAAGAATATTAATTACAATTTTTATCATCAAAAAAATGAAAATTCGGAATTTTTCTCTTTTTGTTTGTCAATTATCTTTATAAATATTAAAATTCTTCGCCGAAATTCAATTATATTCAGAAATTTTTATAAAATTCATTGTAAAATTCAATTATTTTCATAAATAACAATACTCATTAGAAGAATTAATTTATTTTCAAAATTAATAAAATTTCTTCGCAGAAATTCAATTATTTTCAAAAAATCTAAAACAAATTGTCGTCAACATTTTGATTATTATCTTTATAAATGAAAATCAAAATTCTTTGACAAAATTGAATTATTTTCAAGAATTTTAATAAAATTCAATTATTTTCAAAAAGTTTTTTTAATTCAATGATTTTCAATATTCTACTATTTTAATAAAATTTCCCAAAAGAATTCAATTATTTAAAAACAATTTTGACAAAGTTCTACACGAATGTTCAATTATTTTCTAAAATAATGAAAATTTCACGGGAATTCAATTATTAAAAATATAATTTGCATAATTTTTTTCAAAAACAAAATCAATTGTTTGAAACTTTTTATAAAATTCTTCGCAGTAATTCAATTTTTTCAATTTCTGACAATAATTTCTTTTTAAATGATTCAATTAAAGAACTATCATAAAATTAAAAATTAGAAATTATTTAATGAATAATTTTACGTAACTATTTCAAAATTAATTAATTAAAAGAGTGTCGTGTACAATTTTTATAAATAGATAAACTTTAAAAAGTTTTAAAAAGTATTAAAAAAATTTTTGTTAAAAACTAATAAAAAAAATTTAATTTTGGAGAAGTTAGATACAAATAATTGCAGAAATTCAATTATTTTCAAAAGTAATAAAATTCTTCTCAGAAATTCAATTATGTTCAAAAATTAAAAAAATATTCTTGTCAAAATTTCAAGTATCTTTATAAATAATTAAATTCTTCTCCGAAATTCAATTGTTTTCAAATATTTTAATCAAATTCTTGGTAAAATTTCAATTATTTTCAAAAATTTACCTCAGTTTAATTATTTACGATTTTTTTTTATAAATTTCTGCCCAATATTTCATTATTTTCATAAATAATAACATTTTTTACAAGAATTCAATTATTTTCATAAAATAATAAAATTCTTTCTAGGAATTCAATTATTTTCATAAATAATAAAACTCATCATAGAATTTCAGTTATTTTTGAAATACAATCTTAACCAAATTCCTCGGAAAATGTAATTATTCTTAAAAAATTATTATTAATTATTTATTTATTACCAATTATTCTTAAAAATTTTATTAAAATTCATCGAAAAAATGCAATTATTTAAAAAATTTGTTGATAAAATTCTTTATGAGAATTCATACCTATTTGAGAAAAATAATTTTTTCATTTTTGTAATTATATAATTGAATTAGTGTAAAATTTTTTAATAAAAATTATTTTAAAAATGAATTCTTGACAAAATTCTAAAAATTTTCTAAAACAATACAATTATTTAAAAAAATGTTTGATAAAATTCTACACAAACATTTAATTATTTTCATAAATAATAAACAATTCTCGTCAAAATTTCAATTATCTTTATAAATAATAAAATTCTTCTCGAAAATTCAATTATTTTAAAAAATTTTAATAAAATTGTTGTCAAAATTTTAATTCTTTATGAGAATTCAATTTTAAGAAAGATTCAATTATTCAGTAAATTATTTATTTTTGTATTTAAATAATTGAATTCTCGTAGAATTTTCAAATAAAAATTTATTTAAAAATGACTTGGGGAAAAAAGTTAAAATTCTGTCTGGAAATCAGGGAAAAAGAAAATTAAATTTTTTGTGACAATCCTGTAAAGGGAAAGAAAGACAAAAATAATCAATGAAATTCTTTACCGAAATTGCAATTTGATCGATGTCGGCAAATTCGATGGGATCATTATAGAGATGATATTTGGCAAGTGCTGGCGGATGAGGTGGAGGCGCTTGTGATGGATAAGGCTGCGGTGGTAATTCCTGAGCGTATTCTATTCCTTCATCAAGATACAAACTCTCCTGACGCATATATTCACTTCTCGCACCGTTTATTAATTCTAACATTTCCGAACTTTGTTTTTCAACTAAAGCAGCGGTCGCCGCCCTAAAAGAAAGAAGAAACAAAAAATAGAAATTTGTAAATATCTCTATTATTTTTTTATTGAAAAAGAAAGAAGAATTACCTTTCATGCTCGAGCATTTTTCTTGTCAAACTCTCCTTCTTTTTATCCCTACGAAGTGTCATATTTTTCTCAAGATCATCTTTTTCTTGTTGAAATTGATGACTACGTTTCAAACCTCTTTCACGTTCCCATCTTTCTGAAAGTTGCTCCAATTCCTTCTCCCATTCGTCCTTTATACCATAGGAGAAGAAAAAAATTAATTTTACTACTTTATTAATATTTTTTTCTGATTAATTAATTAATTTAAAAAAATAATAATTAATGAAATTAAAAAAATGCATTTTTTGCCGCTTTTTGAACTCACTCGGAATTCTTCTCGAATTCTTCGATCTTCCTCCTCTCGATGATGCGCAAATTTCCGGTACAAATCATCCTCCTCCTTTCGATGCTTCATTTCCAATCGAGTTTGCTCATCTCGATCCTGAAAAAATTAATTTCAATAATTAATTAAATAGTACTACAATTAATTATTTTACCAACTAAATAATTACTTGATTTCTTTTTAATATAGTCAATTTTTTTTTAATTCTATTCTATAATTAAAAGACTAGGTAATTTTTTTCAAAGAAACAAAATTAGATTGAAATTTCTGATAAATGAAACGTGACTCAATTATTATTGCGATTGAAATAATATAGTAATTTGTTGTAATTATTGTTTATGTGATTAAAAGGAGCGATGAGTGTCATTCTCGTTAATTTTATCGAAATGAAATCTACCGTCGAAAGGAGTTTAAATCACTGAGATGGGTATATACAACAATTTATTATCTCGCACGTGAGACTCACGTTTCTATTGTCAAGAGTACTAGGCGCAACAATAATACATTGTGCTCTCGTAGTTTAGCAATAATGTTCTAATTAGTCTTCAAAAGTGCAAAAGTACCGTAAGCGGAAATAATTCAGTTTTCAACGTTGCGAGGGGGAAAAAAAATAACGAACAAGATTCACTTTACGTGACGTTACTCTGACGTTTCAAGATGTGGATTATATCTAAATTCAAATTAAAAAACAAAAAAATCTAATTTGAATTATTGCAGTTAATTAAGAAATAATTAAATTCACAAAATTAGCAAATATTTTTAATATTTAATTTTTATAGACAAATAAATAACTATTTAAATGTTGGTCTAACAAAAATTATTCGAAAAAAAATATTTTGTAAATAAAAATTTTACAAATAAATTAAAATTATATAATTTTTTTTTCTGGAAAAAATAGGAGAAAATTTAATTTCTATTAAATAATTCCGCCGTTTAGAGTAATTAATTAAAAGGAGAGTTTTAGTTAAATAGAGAATCTTCTAGAGTTATTTTCACGGTCGTGATAAGAATTCATAAAGTACATTGAAACTTTTTTTTTCATCATCATTATTATTATCGTCATCATCATGCAGCTAGTGTATAAGAATTAGGGCATGACGTGCGGCCAAGCACGCTTCAGTATGAGTGCAGAATGGCATCGGCATTTGTGCACGAGAAAAAAAAGGAAGAATAAAAAAAAGAGGATCTCTTTCGTGAATAACACTGCCTGCGTACGCGAAAGTACCGCAATGAAAATAATATAATAAACAAGGTACAAATGTAAAGCAAATTTCGATTTTTTCCTACACAATTTCAGATATAGATAATTAACTATTATATTTCAATTTTGTATCTATTTATTTATAATATATTTTATTTATTTATTTATTTATTTATAATGCAATTTACTTAATTGTAAATCATTTCCATCCGGTGCTTTGCATTTATAAACATCCAGTTAATTTAAAATAAAAAAATAACAAACATATTTATTTATTCAATTTCTAATTTTCTTTATACGTAAATAATTTGTTCCTTTTCTTCATAATAAATAAATTCTCAGTTTTTCAAATTTCGGTAATTAAGGAAATTTATCAGTTTTCGTTCTTATTTTCATTTTTATTTGAATCTCAGGTAATTATTATTTATTTATTATTACTATTAACCAGGGTTGCCATAAAAAATTAATTTTGTTTTTTCCTGACTTTTCCCTGATTCCCAGACAAAATTTTGACTTTTTCCCAGATTCTAAAGAATATTCTGATTCACTCTAAAAATTATTAGATACTCAAAAATAATGTTCTATTACATATATTTACGAATTTCTTCAAAAGTAAAATTATTCAAAAACATTAATAACTTCTTTACTAATTAAATATTTTAACATTATTATTTTTCCAGAAGAAAAAAGATTTTAAAAAAATTCGAAATTAAATTTTTTGAAATACAATAAGTTTTAAGAAAATAATTATAAAACACAAATTCCTGTGAAATTTTTATTTTTTTGGAAAATAATTGAATGTTCGTGGAGAATATTTTTAAATTTTTTGTTTAATAATTGAATTATTTTGAGAAATTTTATTAAAATAGTAAAATATTGAAAATCATTAAAAATTAGGTATTGAAATTTTGCCATGAATTTTATTAAAATTTTCGAAAATAATTGAATTCTTGTGATGAATACTATTATTTATGAAAATAATTGAGTTTTGTAATGAACTTTATTAAAATTCCTGAAAATAATTGAATTCCTGTGAAATTTTTATTAGTTATGATAATAATTGAATTTTGGAGAAGAATTTTATAATTTTTAAAGATAATTGAAATTTTGACTAAATTTCTGCAATCATTTGTAATTTCTCTAAAATTCAATTTTTTTTAGTGTTTTTAATTAAAATTTTTCTAGAAATCCATGATTTTTTAATAATTAATTAAATATCTATTAAAAAATTAAATAAAACTAATTATGAATCCTGCAAATTTAATTTTTTTCCAGTTACTTTAAAAAATAAATCCCTGACTTTTCCTGAATTCCCTGATTTAATTTAAAAATTCCTTTTCTGATTTTTAAGCAATATTTTCTTGAAATTAATTTTGCCTGACGAACAATTGATTTCGCTACGATTTTTTGTTTTGACTTTTTCATTTTTTTCTCCCAAGAAATGAAAAAAAGGAGAAAGAGAGAAAAAAGAGAGTAAAAGTCTAATTATTACTGTCATTATCTCGATTGAATTGTATAGAATTGTATAGAAGTGTGACAAAGAGAAATTGAAACTTTGCTAATTCCATTTTTAGGATGTTTAAGTGTGCGGAAAATGCACTTTCTTCTTCGTCTTCTTCTTCCATTGATAATGACTTTATGAAGAATCTAAAGCGTCTAGTATTTACGAGGCGGCAGCGCGTTTACCCGGTGCGCTAGTTAGTTAAAAGACAACAGGTGTGCCCCGCTATTCGCGAATGGAATTTCTCCTCGCCGCGTATTTTACCAGACCTTCTCTCCCACACGTGCATTTTAGCTGCCACACAAACACAAGCGCTGTACATATATTCTGTATAAAACACTTGCAATCAGAAATATTTGTAATTCCGCTTTAAAGTCTCAGTTCATTTATTCCATTCAGGTACTCTTTTCTTTTTTTTCTTTTTCTTTCTATCTTTCTCTTTTTCTTCCCTTTCTTTTATTCTCATCGCGCGCGTGGTGCCAGATTATCAACCACGGAAATACACACCATCGACTCACATTTGCTTTGACCCCAAAAGTTCACGGAATGGAACGATTTTTATGTATATAGATTGAAAAAAAGAAAGTGTATCAATGCAAAATTGGAGCAAAAAATACCTGTAAAAAAACAAAACAAAGAAAATACACAATTTCGTAATATTTAATTATTTACCAAGTCTACTGGAAAAAATTCTAAATAATTATTAAAAAAATGCTTTTTTAAATTTAACGATTTGAATTTGTTTGGAAAAAAATATTTTTACATGCCTCAAATCGCAAAAAAGTCGAAAAAGTAAGAAAAATTATATTTTTTAATTTCCCTGCGCTTTCACTAATTTCTAAATTCAATTATTCAAAACTTGGATAATTTTCAGTTACAGTTCTTCGGAAACACATTTATAAATAATATTTAAGAGTAAAAAAATAAATTTTCTTAAAATATAAAATCGATTTTAATGAAATTTAACAAAATTTCTCATAACTCCAGTTTTTAAAAATTATTTTCTAGCATTTAATTATCTTCAAAAAATTTTAATTACAATTTTTCAAAAAACAAATTTTTTCAAAAATTTATTTATTCAAAACTTGAGTAATTTTTGTATTTGAAAACTTATTTATTTTCCCACTGGAATTAAAATTTGAAAATACTTTCAATGTACCTAAAACGTTTTGAAATTTAATAATTTCAAAAAATTGCAACTGTAATTCATTCCAAAATTCAATTATTTTCTACTTACAATTTTCAATTAAACTTCTTCTTGAAATCAATTATTTTTAATAATATTCTCAAAGTTCTTGGAGAATTCAATATTATTGAATTTTCGAAAATATGTAATTGAAAATATTGAAAATAATTGAATTTTAAAAAATAAGAATGAAAAAAATTCTAAGAATTATTTTTTTAAAAAATATTTTAAGGTAATTTTTGGAAGCGAATTTTCATTAATTTTCATTTTTTAATTTTCTTTTAAAGATTTATTGTTAAATTTTTGGAGAATTCAATTATTTTCAAAATTTACAATTAAAGTTCTTTAAAGATTGTTTCTTATAAATTTTTATAAAATACTTGAAAAAAAAATAAAAATCAATTATTTTCTACCATTTTTAACTAAACTTCATCACTAAATCAATTGTTTTAAATAATTTTCCAAAAGTTCTTCGAGAATTTAATTGTCTAAATAGAAAAAAGTCGTTTTTTTAAAAAAATAGTTGAAAAACGTAAAAAAATTAATAGCCAAGGTTTGTTTCCATTTAATATCTAATTAAAAGAAAATCATAGTTAAAATATAATATTTTTCATATTGAAAAATAAAATTTCAAAAAATAGATTTCAATAAATACCAAAGAGGCTTAAAAATAAAAAAAATTGTTCAATTAAAAAAGCACTGAATATATGAGAAATGGATTTTTAATTTTCGAAGATTAAAATGAAAAATGTTTTTACCAAATAAAAGTCGATTGGCTTTTCTCGTGCCTTGCTGTAACCCTTTTGGAGTTCCGTTTGCTTTAATGCGTGAGCGATGTGAAGTGCACTCGCATCAAATCTTCCATACTGATAACATCCATCTCCCGAAAAATTGTTGTAGGGAGACGAATTACCGCCGTAATTACCGTGAGAATCACGATTTCCTGGAGGTGAGCCATGACCATTTAAATGTTTACTGTGCACTGGGGAATCAGCGTTATCGTAACTGTTAAACAAAGAAAATCAGACAAATTACATTTTATTTATCAACAATTAATTATCTTTTACTGAAAAAAAATTTATTTGAGTCAATTCAATGATGATTTTAACCAATAATTCCAGTATTTAAAACAAATACAATTTAATTGACTCAAATAAAAATTATTTGACTCAAATAAATATTTAATTGATAATAGTCAATTAATTGGTTATTTGAATCAAATAAATTTTTTTTCAGTGTTCAATTTTACGTATTTTCTTTTTATTGTATTTATTTTTTATTTTTATGAATAATTTTATTTGTTTTTGTACTTTTTTCTACTAATTATTCTTTAATTGCATTTAGTTTTTCTACTACAAGACGTAAAATGTTATTTTTTAAGTATTAAAAAATCTTTTACCAATTTTGTCGTTATCTCGATTTAAATAAATTTACTTTTTTATTATTGAACAGCTTTCATTAAATTTATTAATAAACAACTTTCTATCTATAAAGAAAAAGACATATTTTGCGGATAGGAATTTGAAAACAATATTAACATAAACAAATTTTTTTTTTGATAAATTGTTTCTTGTTAACGAAAAGCAATAGAAAAATGGCACTTTCAAGTAAACAATAATTTTAAAAAATAAATAACAATAATCGCCACCAATAAAAATGAGAATTATCAATAAAATTTTATTAAATTCGATTAAAATTATTGCTTTTTTTTACTGGGAAGAAAAACGGCGATACGGCTCATATATGTAAAACTTGTTTCTTTATGAACAGAAAAAAAAATAAAAACACAAATAGAAAACTTTATGGTTAAACTAATTATACGACAAAAAAGGCGAGGTTCTGTCAATTATTATATTGTTAGATTGTTCTCTTACGTAAATAAAACTCTGTTAATAACGTCAACGATAATTACATTCGCAGGAAATTGATATTAAAAAATAAATAATAATTATCGTCCTTCTTTTTCAGGATAAATTTTTTTTTTATTCCTTTTAAAATTGATGCTAAAAATATAATTTCAAATTTTATTTATTAACAGTAAATAATGTAAAATAAATGTAAGAATTATTTCTAATTATTATTTATATAACTCAAATTTTTAAAAATTCTATTAATAAATCGAGTACAATTTAAACAAACAAACAAAATTTTTCCCATTCCCTAAAATTCTTTCTTTTTTCCTTTCAAAAAAAAAATATTTCGATCTAGAAAGTATAAGGAAAAAAAATTCTAAAACTATTTTCTGCTTTTACGATTTATGTAATTCCGATGATAGTCGATTTATTTCTCTATAGGAATAAAAAAAATTTGTAATGAAAAGAAACTTGTTTAGAATTTACCCTGTTAAATATTTCAAAAAAGTATTTTTACACCAAATGAAGAGATGACAAAAATAAAATTCATCTGAAGAATTCGAAAATAATAATAAAAAAAAGAAGTGGAATGTTTTCTATTTAAACGAAAGGTGATTAATGTTTTTATAATGATAACTGGTTAGTCTGGGTTAAGTTCAACTGCATACAATTTCAAAGAATTTTAATCCCTATACGATTATCGAAATTGATGACATTTTCAGGCTGAATAATAAAGCTAATTGTGACAAATTGGATTGAAAAATGTGTCTATTATGAATTATATTATTAATTATATTGTTTATAATATTACTGTTAATAATTTATTTCGAATCTAAATTTTATATTTCACTGCCTTACTTGTTTTTTAGTTTTCTTATTTTTTACTAATTTTAATTTTATTTATTTTTTACTATTTTATTTGTTTTATAAATAAATTCGAATTTCAATTTCATTTTAACTTTTCTTATTTTTCACTATTTTGAATTTTTGTTTCTCTTTATTTTTTACTAGATATTTTAATTGTTTTTTTAAATAAATTTTAATTTTAATTTCATTTTAACAAGAAAACTGAATTATTTACTTTATTTCTATAATTTATAATTTATTTTTCAATTGTTTATATTAATAATCGAGATATTGTCCTGAAGTAAAGTTAGTATTTTTTTTTTATTACAAATTATTTTATAGTTCGAATTATTATGTCAAAAGTTCGTCAGTTAATTTGTAAATAAAAAAATAAGTAACGTAAGAAAAATTTAACTGTATTAATAGACTTTTCCAAAAATTTAGAATTGAACTTATTACCCGATCAAGGAAAGAAATCAATATTCTTTCTGGAAATCAGGGAAATTCATAATGAAATTTTTGTGATAACCTCGAATGAATAGAGTTTCTTTTTTTGCTCACTGAGTCGACTAAAACGAGTGTTTTCATGCGTCAAATTTAATTTTTCGATAGCTACTTGTTTACTACTTTTTTCAGTCTTAAATCTGTTTTTTGCTATTTTTTAATTAATTAGCGTGTGAAAATTTTTAATTTCGATTATTTCAGTGGTACTCGAGTCGTTCAAACAATTCTCAATCTTTTTCTTTTAATTTAAAAAAAACTGTCCGAAAAAACAAATTTTTTAAAAAATAAAGAATTTTCTACAAATTTCAACTAACTCTCTGTTATATTAAATAATTCCCCAAAAGTTCTTCGAGAATTTAATTATTTCAATACAAAAATTCAATTTTTTATAATAATTGTAACTGTCCATGATTTTTTTCTAAAGTTCGAAGACAATTGAATCTTAAAAAATTATGATAAAAAAATTCTAAGAAATAGTTTTTAAAAATATTTGAATGTAACTTTTCGAAAATAATTGAATTTCTTAAAAGAATTTTTGTATAATTTAAAGAAGCAAATTAATTATTCGATGAATTTTAATTAAAAATTTTTAACATGATTTTTTTTCTCCAAAATGTTAAAAATAATTCTAAATTCCAATTTTCTATTTCTAATTTTTTTTAATGTGTTTGAATTTTCGAAAATATGAAATCGAAAATATTTAAAATATGTAATTGAATTTTAAAAAATTAGAATGAATAATTTTTGAAAATAAGTCGAAAAAATTCTCAATTTTCTTAATTTCCCTGGCAACAAATTTTTTTCCTGTCATTTCCCTGACTTTAGTAAGAAAAATGTTGTCTTCCTAATATTTCCCTGATTTTACTGACATGTGGCCACCCTGAGAAACTAAATTTTTATAAATACCATTTTTTAAATAATTTTTAGAAATAAAATTTTCAATATGACAAGAAATAAGTTGAATTTAGTTAAAAAAATAATTATAATAATTTGTTTTTCGAAAAATATCGATACGAACCTAGACGGATAAATTGTTCGTGGCGAGCCGCCGGCTCTTATTTGTTCATTAACATATCCACTTCTAGGTACGTTGAGTGCGCTTCTTATTCCCACGCTTGAACCATCGAGTGTTCCTGGTCCCGGTTTTGGTACATGACTACTGCAATAGACTTCCTTGTCATTAATTTTATGTTGATTGTTATAATACGTCTTTAATGTCAATTTAGTGCCGCATCGTGAACATTTAAAGCAGCCAGCATGAAAGAAAGTAAAATCCTTTAATGGTCCCACCCTATCAACCTGATAGACAGTCTGCTGGCACCTGAGGCACGTGCTTTCATAAAAATTTGGCCGATACATTGCTTCTAACGGTATTTATTTTCTCCTTTTTTTCTTATTTTCCTCTCTTCCCTTGAAAAATGAATTTTTTTCGATTTCAGAGCGCAAAAATCAAAAACTTGAAAATATTCAATTCAATTTAATTGTTAGCCATTATCGACTCATTTTCAATGAATTTCCAAAATAATCTTCTCATTTTCTTTCATTTCTCTCTTTTTCTCGAATTATCATGGTGAAATATTATTTTATTATTTTAACTTCTTGGTAGATTGTGAATTTATTTCTCTCTTCACTTTCCTTCAAATGATATTCCAATTGTAGTAATAATAATAATTTTTCTCCTCTCGCCTTTTGTATAATGATCAGCACCTAAAAGAAGAATAAAGAACAGTTATTTGTTGAATATAGAAAAATAACAGTTTACATTAAAGACTTTCGTTTTATATTCTGTGCAATAAAAATCGACATTATTGTTCGTGTTCGTTTTCCTTTTTCCTAAATTGAAAATTGTGGTTATTCCTCGAAATTATTTATTTAAACGAACGTAGTTAAAAAAAAACAAGTTTTTCTTTCTTGGAGAATAACGAATTGTGACGTGCTCCCAGAAGCAAAAACTTTTAGTAATTAAATGAAATTAGTAAATGAAAATTCAACTGAAATAAAATTTTTTTTTTAATAAAAATTTAATTACTTTTTTATTGCTCTGAGAAATTTTTTCTTGAGCTATTATAATTTTTTTCTCTCTCTCTTTCTATTTTTGAAAAGTTGAATGACTGGCTTTTACATTTTTGGCTCGAAAATCGAAATTATATTGAAATTCGAGTAATTTTTGTGAGTGTCAAAGAACTTCTCTCACATAAACCAAATAAAACAGAAACTCAATAATATATTTAATGTTATATAGCGAGACCCACGCACGCCCATACACTTTAATATAAATATATATATATATATATATATATATAGGATATAAATGGAGAATGTATAATAAGTGACACAATCGTTTCGTATAATATTGCGAAGGTATAAATATGGTCGTAACTAAAAATGGATAATTGCTAGTCAATCACCTCATTTTTTTTTCTTTTTTAAGTTTCACGTGACAAAAATAGCAAAAAAAAACCTTAAATAAACATTTTTTTAATTATTAATTAATTAACAAATACTACAACTTCCTTTTCTGTTAAAAATATTTTTATTATCCCACTAAAATTAACTCCCTTTTTTATTAAAAGTATATTTAAATTCATAAAATTATTTATATTTTTAATTTTAATGAACTTTAAATTAGTTAATTTATTAATTCATTTTATTTGTTAAAAAAAGAAAATGAAATGTAAAAAAAATTATATATCTTTTTTTTCGTAATAAATGTAGGAAATAAAAAAAATTTAATGAGAATTCACCATTTTTTTTTCTGCAAATAAGAAGAGAAGAAAAAATTTAAAGCCCGTTAACTTAAAATTCAATTATTAATAAAAATTGCAAATATTTGTAAACTTTTCCAAAATTCAATTATTTCCTGAAATTTTTTATTATAAAATTCTTCACTTAATCAATTTCTTTTAATAATATTAGTTTAAATAAATTATTTTTATTAATTGAATAATTAGTAATTAAAATATTAAAAAATTAAAGTATAATTTCAAAAGAATTTGAATTAAAATTTGTGAAAAAAATTAGTGCTTTAGAATTGTTAATTAAAACTATTAAAAATTCAGATTTTCAACGATTTTAATTTGAAACCTTTTCAAAATTCAATTATTTCTAAAAATTTATGCTTAATGCATTTAATATTTAATTATTATAATTTAACTGAAATTAATTTTTAGATCAATTTTTATTAGAAAATTCTATACGAGAATTTAATTATTTTAAATACAAAAATAAATAATTTATTAAATAATTGAATGTTTCTTAAAATTGAATTGTTATAAAGAATTTTATCAACAAATTTTTAAATAATTGAAATTTTTTGACAAATTTTAATTAAAATTAAGTTAAAATTAATTTTTTTTAATTAGAATTAAGTTAAAATTGTATTAAAAATAATTCATATTCAATAATGAGTTTTATTATTTATAAAAATAATTAAATTCTTAAAAATAATTTTATTATTTATAAAAATAATTGAATTCCTAAAAATAATTTTATTGTTTATGAAAATAATTAAACGCTTGAGTAGAATTTTATTAAAATTTTTTTAAATCAAATTAAGGAAAATTTTTGAAAATAATTGAAATTTTGCAAGGATTTTTATTAAAATTTTTAAAAATAATTGAAATTTTGCCAAGAATTTTTTTAAAAATTTTGAAAATAATTGAGTTTTGGAGAAGAATTTTATTTCTTTTGAAAATAATTGAAATTTTGTAGAGAATTTTATTAAAATTTTTGAAAATAATTGAAATTCTGCGATGTGTTTTATTTTTTAATGAAAATAATTGAACTCTTATAAAATAATGTTATTATTTTTGAAAATAATTAAATTTTTTCGTAGAATTTTATCAAAATTTGTTAAAAATAATTGAATTTCGGAGAAGAATTTTATTATTTATAAAGATAATTGAAATTTTAATGAAATTTTTTATTTAAAATAATATAATAATAATTTTTCTCGGAATTTTAATTTAATTTTTAAATTACATAATTTGTTAGTTAATAAAGTATTAATAATTGTAAACAATTTCCATGACTTTAGTTAATTATTTTTAAAGAAATAAAGAAACATGTTGCGATAAAAAATATGAGGGTTGGATCAATATATTGTTTTTTAAGCAATACGCACTAAATTTCTTCTAAAAAAGAAATATGTTCTTGAAAAAGTTATACTAAGTAAATTAAAAAAAAATTAATACAAGAAAAGTTTTTTGAAAATTCCGAAAGAATTAATATTATTATTAGTTATTATTATATTTTTATTGTTCCTGGTTTTATTATTATTCTTATTATTTTAATTATTATTATGTTTTATTATTTTTAATATTATTATTAATTTTCAACATAGTTTAAAAGAATATTCAATTCCATTTTCTCATTCTTAGTTTAAATATTATTAATATGTATAAAAATTATATTTAAAATCGTTTTACAGGAGTTTAAAAAAAGAAAAAAACAATAGATCAAAGCGAAAGAGAGTTCCACAAGTTTTCTCCATTCATAAACTATAATAAGGTATATATATATATAACGAAAAACTATATAATTATGTTTTGAATGGAGAGAGAGAAAGAAATATTTGTCACAATTGAAATTATTTTACTCACAGTCATTTCTCATCACAATTTTACTCGCTGATTCTCCATTACCAGTTGTTTAATTACACACAACTTGGTATTTAATAATTATCAAGAATCTAAATTATTTCAAAAATGACAAACCCATTTACATATTAAAATACACACATACACACACAATAACAATTATAAAATGAATACAATTCTTTTTTTTCAAATTTTTCCCATCATTCTCTTTAACATTTTCTATGATTGCATCTTTAAATATTATTATAATTTTTTTTAAATATATACCTTTTATTTATTGTATTATTATATTATCGTGAAAAAATTATCTTAACTAGAATAGGCATTTAATTTGGAGAAAGAAAAAATATTCGCAATTTTTATAAACAATAACTTTTTTTAATATTCGAAAAAAACTGACAAACAACTTTTTTAATTCTACTTATTATTCGTTAATAAATAAAAATAAAATAAATTATTATACTTCTATAGGGTCTTGATATTAATGCGCAATTATTTTTTGAGAAATAATCCCTCATCCTTAATGATTGAACTTGTTATTAAAAAGGTTCATTTCACTTGATTGCGCAATTAAAAAAGTGCCACGCGGATGTATAAGCGCGCAGAAAATAAGAAGATACCAAAGACAACTTTCTCGTGTTATAATTACTCTAAAAGTCCGCACACAAGACGTTTTTTAAAAAAAAAAGGAAAAAAAACACGTGTATAATGTGAAAGTAATATATCTCTAAATTTACTTTAATTTTTTTGTCCCCTTTTTTGAAATTTACATATGAAAGTAAATATAGCGAAAAATATTTCTTGGAAAACATAATTTCTATTCTATTTATTTTGAGCCAATTTCAGAATCCAAAAACATTTACGACAAAAGAATAAAAATTTATATTAAAAAATTATAACAGAAAAAACTTGGGTTATGAATTAATTCAGTTTTATTGGTTTTATTCATTTTGTTAAATTAATTAAATTAATTAAATTAGTTTTCCGAATTAACCTAAATTGACAAAATCGACAAAATCTAAAGGAAACGAAAAACAAGTTTAAGGTTACACTGCTCTTTTAAAGAATGAGATATGTTTTTCCGGGGTAAAAAAAGGGAAAAAAAGTATTACCTGGAATGCAGCGAGATCGATACTGGACCACGGATCTCAGTTACACATCCGTTCATCTAGCAAGCTCCCCAGTAAGACACACCTTGAATATCTTTCAGATAAACCTTTGCTTCTCTATTTCTCTAATCCGTGACTCACGACTCTATTTCATATATTATTAATTTATATTCTCATAGAGCTTTATAGACCATCAATTTACAGCTTCTTCACTTGACAGTAAACGAATAAAAAATACACGTCCTTTAAAAAACACAATATGTCAACAATGAGTCTGTATAAAACGGACAATTTTTATAAAACACGCTCGATGGTACCAGGTACCCGATATCAAGGTCATTGGTCGAATTTCTCGGCCACGCGTTGAAATTACCGAACAACGACGACGACGACAACACCGCGTGAATTGAACCACAGTCGCGTCATACAAGAGAGTCCCCGGAAAAAGGAATGCATCCCACCGCGGCTTGCGATTATAGAATTTAAAGAGCACAATTCAATTTCAAACGAGGACCACCGCGATATAATACAAAATACTCATTTCATAAATAAATGAATGCAAGACTCTTTTTATTATGTATGTTGTGGGAGAAAATTTCTTTTTTCACTGAAGCGCGCCGAAACTTTCCTCTCTTTTTCCGCGGATCGACGATTTTTGAGAACTCGCGCGCTCTTTTATCGTCAGCGAAATCAGATCAAAACAAATAACGCTTTCTTTTCGATTTTCCCCTGAATGATGCGATCAAGAACGAATACCCTTTTGGAGATGAAATTTATAACTTTTTTGTTTATGAAAGACACTTTTTAATAATGTTTTTATGAATGGAAAACACACAATATTATATACACACGCGGTGACACCTGTGTTAAAAAATAAACCACCTGTTCGTCCCGAAGTTTCGGAGTAATCTGAAGACAGGCAGGAAACCGGCCATTTTGAAAGGTGACAAGTACGCCCCTGGTGGCAATCGGCTCAAGTAAAGTGTGGTGGGGAACCCCACCATTATAATAACTTTTCAATTGTTTTATCCATATTGTAATTTGAAAAAAATCCTTTCTAATTATTTATCTTGTGTATGTTGTTTTATTTTTACCGTTGACAGACACAAAAAGACATTTCGTTATGATCAGGTTCGATTACCAAGATTACCGATTTTTTCTTGTGGCGGGAATTTTTTTGAATTTGAATTTAAAAATGGCGGCTGATTTTCTTTTTTCTTTTATATGTTAAATATATTATTTATATACATTTATGTATTAAATATATAAATATATACACATATATTACTATATATTTATTCATTATTTATTACATTTATTATTTATTTACTGTTAAAATGGTGCAAATAAAAATTTGTTACTTTACAGTTGGTACTTCCACTTTCAATAAAAATTCAAAAATTTCTAATTTTTGGATCCAAATGGTTTTCCCCCAAATTTTCTTAATTTAAATGAAAGAAAAGTGGAAATAAAATTAACATTTATTTATTAAAAAGTAAACTTTGTACAAAAACATTCTTAAAAATTAATTAGTATACAAAATGGTATTTTAAAGAAAAATAAACTTAATATTTACAAGAGTTATTTACAAACAAAATTCGTTGAATTCGTCCAATTAAGATTTAATGAATTAACTGTCAATTTAAGTCTATAGACTTAAATTAATTGTTTCGTTAATAATTAAACGAGTGAATTGTGTACGACGTATTTTCTACAGCTCTTTCTGAAACCACTGGTTGCATCGACTTTCGATTCTGTAATAATTAAAAGGAAAAAAGATTAATAAATTTTTCTTTTCTTGTAAAAACGAAAAAAAATGTAATGAAAAGTAAATTTAGAGAATTAATTAAATTGTTCTTTTAATTATATTTATGTAAAAAAAACAGGGTTGCCAGAAAAAATTATATTTTTTTAATAAATTCCTTCGCAAAAATTCAATTATTTTTACAAGTAATACAATTTTTCACATCAATTTCATTATTTAAAAAAATGTAATAAAATTCTTTGTAAGAATTCAATTACTATGAATAATAAAATTTTTCCTAGGATTTAAATTATTTTTAATACAATTTTAAATGAATTCCTCGAAAAATGTAATTATTTTCCAACATATTTTGCAAGAATTCAATTACATTTCACAAAAAATTGAAATTCTTTGCTGAATTTCAAATATTTTCAAAATCTACTATTTTAATAAAATTTCTTTAAAGAATTCAATTATTTTAAAAAAAAGTAAAAACATTCATTTTGAGAATTCAATTGTTTTCATAAATAATAAAATTCTTCACAGGATTTCAATTATTTAAAAGAAATGTAATAGAATTTGTTGCAAGAATTCAATTATTTTCAAAAATAGAAATATTCTTCACAAGATTTCAATTATTTAAAAAAAAGTGTAATAAAAATTCGTTGCAAGATTTCAATTATTTTCCTTAATAATAAAATTCTTTACAGGATTTCAATTATTTTAAAAAATTCATGCTATAATACTTTTAATATTCAATTATTATCTAAAGTTTTAAAAGAAATTAATTTTTTAATCAATTTTTATTACAAAATTCTACGAGAATTCAATTATTTAAATACGAAAATAAATAATTTATTGAAGAATTGAATGTTAATTAAAATTGAATTCCCATGAAGAATTTTATCAAAAAATTTTTAAATAATTGAATTTTTTCGACGAATGTTAATAAAATTTTCAAGGATAATTACATTTTTCGAAAAATTCTGTTAAAATCGTACAAAAAATAATTGAAACTTTATGATTTTTATTATTCATGAAAATAATTAAATTATGGCGAAAAAATTTATAAACAATTTGTAAATAATTGGATTTTTGTAAAATTTTTATAATTTATGAAAATAATTAAATGTTTGCGTAGAATTTTATCAAAATTTTAAACAATTGATTTCTTTTAGAATATTAAAATAGTAAATATTGAATATCATTGAATTGAGACAAATTTTTAAATATAATTGAATTTTGGAGAAGAATTTTATTATTTATAAAGAGATAAAGATGATTGAAATTTTTACAAGAATTTTAAAAAATTTTTGAAAGTAATTGAATTTCTGATAAGAATTTTATTACTTTTGAAAATAATAGAATTTCTGCAATCATTTGTAACTTCTTCAAAATTTAGTAATAATTTTACAATAGTTCTTGAAGAATTCAGTTATTTAAAAAGAAATTATCGTCAGAAATAGAAAAAATTGAATGTTTTGTATTAGAATTCGTGATTTCTTTCCTGATCTGTGGCAACTCTGAAATATATACAATAATAAAATATTGTAGTAATATTAAAGGAAATAAAGATAAATAATAATAATAATTAATTTTTAATTAAAAATCGAAAATAAAGAAGAAAACTTACGCATTTTTTGTGATTGGAGAGACAAAATGTACAGACTTGTGGCCTCTTTGCCGATTCCTCCCAATCATTAATTTGATAATTATAATTTTCATTTTTCAAACATGGTTGATCAATAGCACCGGCAAGTAAAACAGCACCCAAATGATTAATATAACTACTGGCCAATCTCAATGTTTCAATTTTCGATAATTTCCTGTCGGCAGGTTCGGTCGGAATTAGAGTCCTCAGTGTACTGAACGCTGTATTTACACTGCAGAGTGAAGATTGGATTTCTTGAGATTGACACCTGTATTTATTTTCAATTATAAAATAGAGACGATTTTTCTTTCCTTTTTTTTTTTGAAAATAATTTCTCATCGGAGTGCAAAATTAACTTTTCTTCGCTTCATTTCAAATTTTTAAATTTCATTTTACTATTTTTGCATTTTTATTCTTTTAGCTTATTTTATATTTTTTCAAATAAAATTTTTAATTTTTAACATGGAATTTTGTTTCTTTTAATCAATTACTTGAGGATAAAAAATGTATAATTCTACAAAGTATAAAAATTTAATATTTGCTGTTTGTTAAACACCGGATACGCGAAGATAACGATAATAGTCGAAAAAAATTCCTCTTTTTCAGCGCTTAAATAAAATTTTATAGTTTAATAATTTATAAAATTAAAATACGAAAAATCACCTGTGAGTTCTGTCTCGTTCACGAGCATTCGCCTGATATCGTTGCTTGGCAGGAATTTCTCTACTTTTCGATGTCATAATAAGAAAATTAATAACAATCCACCTCGAAGTAATTAAATGGCACAATTTTCTTTTCGAATCCGTGAAATATTTCCAAAATATCCAACGATGACACAAATTTGGTTTTTTTTTTAATTTATAAATATAAAAATTTGATTGGCCGGCTCATGTGTATTTTACACTCCACAGAGAGAGATATAGAACAAAAATTCAACACTAAGACTTGACGATTTATGAATGAGTCAGCCGGTCAACAGACTTGATGCCTCTGTGACGAGTTCTTCTTTTTCTCCTATACACACAACATTGAAATCCCCACTTTTCTCTCTCTCCACATGAAAGCTGTTCACAATATTTCTATCCCACATTTTCTGGAGCACCCCCTCTGAATGCCTTCCTTTTTTTAACACACACGTGTTCACCGGATGTGTGATATGTGCCCTCAGATTACTGAACCGTATTTCTGCAACGAAAAGAGAAAAAAAAATTAAGAATTAAAAACAAAAACGAAAAATATTCAATTAATCAGAATATAATCAGAATGTTTGGAGAAAAAAAATTGACAGACAAGTGTTATTTTTATTTTTTATTAATAAAATCAATTTCTCTCATTTTTTTGCACAGATTTCGAATATTGAATTTAAAAATCAGTAAAATTATTCAATAGAAAAAGAGGCAAAAAATTGATTTTTCTAAAATAATAAATAATCTAACACGTGTCCTTTACTTTTTTTCCAATTTTGTAAAACTTACCAAAAAAAATCGATATTTTTCCTCATGTTGAAAAGAAAAACTATTAGTTTTCAATTAATTAAGAAGTTAATTAATTAACAGTCACAGAAAAAGAAACTCTATTGAAAATTTCTTTTATAATAATTTCAAATTCAATGTTTTCATTAAAATTTAAAATTTTCTTATTCAACATTAAATTTTCAAATTTTAATTATAATTTTCGTGTTCACAATTAAAGTTTCAAAATTTACTTATAATTTTCCTATTCACAATTTAAATTTCAAATTTTAATTATAATTATACAAAATTAAAATTAAAATTTCAAATTTAAATTGTAAGTATAGTTTTAATTGAAATTAAAAATTTTCAAATTAAAAGAAAAACAAAACCTAAAAATACTTTTTCTCTGGAAAGAAATATTTAATTAATAAATAAATTAGTAAATATTCACAATTAAAATTTCAAATTTTAATTTTCGAATTAAAATTTTTCAAATTATAATTGAAAATTGAAAATTTTCAAATTGAAAGAAAAACAAAACTTAAAAATACTTTTTCTCTGAAAATAAATATTTACAATTAAAATTAGAAATTTTAATTATAATTTTTCCATTCAGAATTAAAATTTAAAATTTTAATTTCCAAATGGAAAGAAAGAAAAACTTAAAAATACTTTTTCTCTGGAAAGAAATAGTTTTCCTTTGAATTTGAGATTGGGAAATTTTTCCATGTTTTTGAGTGCAAAAATTGTGCACGTGTTCTAGAAAACTCCCACATGACAAGTGAAGCCAGATGCAGAGTTTCGCATTACATCTAATAAAAACGAGTCAACGGCACACACACTCGAGATACAAAAAGCTCCATCTGCTTAACTAATTAAGGTTTTCTATGGTTACTTCCGCTTCCAGGAAACTTCCACGCTATTCATTTTCCATTGTCACTGCGTGTAGGCGATTTTTCAAAAAATTCCAATCTTTTTCGCACTTCTCTTCCTCTTCTAAAACTCAAAAAAAAGAAAGAACAAAATCAAAATTTTATTCACTGAACACAGAAAAATATATTCCATTTAGAAAAATTATTTTTTTCTCCTGTAATTTTTGTTAAATAAATAAAAAATAATTTTTTCAAACTTTTACGAAACAATATTTTAGTCTGAACTTTCATTATTAATATTTACAAAACGCTTCGAAAAAAGACTGAAAACAAAAAAAAACTTCGAAAACTTTCCAAAGTGACCAAAAAAAACCAAAAATAAAATACAGGACAAAATTTTCTTCGTCGTAAAATGAATAAAAACATCGAAATTTGTATGAAATGTTTACTGTGATAAGTTACATAGATTCAATTTCATAGCTTACAATTTACATGTTCCAATGGTCTTTTGAAGACAGAAGACAACAACAAAAAAAAAGAAAAAAAAAGAATCGAAGTATTTGTTAAGCGCCGAGCATCAGCTTCTAGCAAATGCTTTTTTATTTATTTATCTTTTTTTTAGAGATATACATATAAATTTATATATAATTCTAGAAAGTGATTTACATATTGGACAATAGAACCATGGAACATTGCGCATCTTTAAATTAACGTTTTTAATCATAAAAGAAAAAAATCGTTTATTTACTTTGGTCACTCTCTTTTACAGTTTACAAATATCGACCAGCCACCATAACTTCTATTAGAAGATGCTCACATTTAATAACTCTTGAGTCATGAATAGTCGACAAAAAAAAAATATACAAACGTGTTAATATATATTTATATAATTGCATTTCCAATATTAAAAAAAATAACTTATTCGATACAGGTCATATTAAGCTAAAAAAAAAGAAAAAACAAAATTCTATTCATTAAAATCGAGTCATCATATCTTTTTGCGATAAACTTTGCTCCATTTCCATATATTAAAAAGAACCCCCTTTAATTTTCTCGTTTAAAATAGAGACTAAAATATTCTATTTATATAAATATATATATATATAAATATTTATAAATATATTCATAAAAGAAATTTATAAATTTTATAAATTTTATAAATAAATATACAAATATTTATATAAATTTAATTATCACTATTCATTCATTCCCGAATATTTCGTTTGTTTAAAAAATTTTTCGTTCGGTACGAATAATTTTTTTTTTATCTCTTTTTGATTAATTGAAATTGATTTTGTTTGCGGAAAAGAAAAATAATAAAATACTTTCAGTCAAAAACTTTTTAATTAAAATTTCCCCCGTTAAATCTATATAGTTACGAAAAGATTAAAAATTGTCCGAAAGAAAGAAATGAAGTTTATACAAAAATATTTATAAAGAGAAACAATTATTAAAATTTAAATTGCCACTACTTATTTCTGCACAATTATTAGTGTACCTATAAAATTTTCTATACTTTTTTTTTAATTAAAAAATTAGTTTTAATTAAAAAATAATCAAAACTTAATTATTATGTCACTTTTAATTTTACTAATATTAATGTACGATTAACTATTGATTTATTAATAACAATAATATCATTAATTATTCAATTAATTTTTTATCTCCATTATATTAAGTATTAGTATTTAAATAAGTTAATTAATTATTGTAATTGATTTAATTAACGAATTTCTCAATATTATTAGTATTAATAAATATCACTAAATATATATTTATAACTATATGTATGTACGAATATAATTTAAAATTGTAAAAATCTAATAAGTACATTCTAATTATTTTTTCTTACAAATCACAACAATAATTTTAGAATAGTTAAGAAAAAACAAAAAAAAAACTAGCGAATTATTTATACAAATAATTTTTTAATCAATTTCTCCGAAAAAACGAAAATTTTCATTTTATGTTACAATAAATTACAATTTGTCACTTTATGTTACAATTGAAATCAATTTTTTAAAAAAGGATCAAATTATTATTATTATAAATATTTTAATTTGAAAATTTCTACTTTAAATCGTATTCAAATTAAAAATCTAGTATTTGCTTTGATTTTCCATCGTTTAGTAAATAAAACAAAACAAAAACCAAAAATTGGTATACAAAAGTAAATCAAGAAAAAAACTAAAAATAATTACAAAAAACAAATAGAAATAACTAAAAAAACAAAAATTAACAAAAGTAAATAGTAAATAAAAAGTAAAATAAAAAATTTAAAAAGCAAAGTAGAATATAGTCTACAAAATGCAAAAATTCATCAAAAAAAAAATTAATCTAGATAAAAAGGTGAGTTAGTTAAAAAACACAGGGTTGCCACAAAAAACAAAAATTTTTTTTCCTGACTTTTTCCTGATTTCAGTTATTTTTATGTAATACAAATAATGAAATTCTTCGCTGAAATTCAAATATTTTCAAAATCTACTATTTTAATAAAAATTCTCAAAAGAATTCAATTATTAAAAAAAAAAATGTAATAAAATTCGTTGCAAGAATTCAATTATTTTCATAAATAATAAAATTCTTCACTGGATTTCAATTATTTAAAAAAAAATGTAATAAAATTCGTTGCAAGAATTTATTTATTTTCATAAATAATAAAATTCTTCACAAGATTTCAATTTTTTTTAAAAATGTACCTAATAAAATTCGTTGCAATAATTCAATTATTTTCATAATTAAATAATAAAATTCTTCACAAGATTTCAATTAGTTTCAATAATTTTAGCAAAAGTTCCTTGCCAATTTTCAAATCCATTTGTTTCAATTTTACGAAATTCCGATTATTCGGAAATTATTAAATTAAATATTTAGAAAATAAAAACTTGAAATAATTTCAAAAAAAAATTCAGAATTTCAAAGATTTTAATTTGATACCTATTCAAAATTCAATTATTTCCAAAAATTCAGGCTATAATGCTTTTAATATTCAATTGTTATCTAAAATTTTAACTGAAATTCATTTTTAAATCAATTTTTATATTTATATAAAAATTCTACAAGAATTCAATTATTTAAATACAAAAATAAATAATTGATAAATTATTCTAAAATTTTGATTTTTTCTACAAGTTTGGATTAAATTTCCTTACTTCACATATATTTTATTATTTTTAAAGTAACTGTCAAATATTATTTATGAAAATAATTGAATTCTTATCAACAGTATCATTGAATTTTGGTGAATTTTATTTACTTTGGAAATAATTGATTTATTTCTGCAATTATTTGTAACTTCTCCAAAATTCAATTTTTTCCAGTACTTTAATGAAAATTCCTGACTTTTTCCTGATTTCCCTAACTTGAGGCAACCCTGAAACAGTAAATAATAATCTACAAACAACTTTAAAAAGAATCAAAAATTTCCAAATTAAAATTGAATAAATTGATTTATAAATTTTTAAAAGAAAATGTTAAAAAAAAGCTGTGAAATTTTATCCTATCGACGATTTTGTCAAAATCGACAGTCGAGAAAAAATTTAAAATACATGTAAAAAAAAAGTTTCAAAAAATAAAATCTAAAACCATTTTTAAAAATATCAATATAGCTATAATATATATAAAAAAATATATATATATTATACTTATATTTATGTACAATTTTTTTTTCTTTTTTCACTAAAATTTCGTTGTGAAAAAAAATGTTTTTTTCTTTTTTCACTAAAATTTCGTTGTAAAAAAAAATATTTTTTTCTTTAAAGAGAATAACTTAATAATTTTATAGCTGAAAAATAAGAGCAAAGTTTAATCGCATCATTCTATGATTCCAGTTTTTCAAAAAAAAAAATCGATTCCTTTTTTTAACAAAAATATTACAAAAGTAAATATTTCAAAAATATTTTACAAATGTAAAATTCTTTTTGTCCGCTTCTTTTTCCAGTAGAAAAAAATCTAGTTTTTTTTAAATCTCTAATTATAATAATGTGTGCTCACGACAATTTCTTTCCTTTTTGAGTAAAGAAAAAAGAACAAAAATGTTTATTTCTTCAACGCAAAATATTATTTTATCAAGTGTGAACACTTTTGGTACTGACACCATTTTTTTTTTAAATAATCACTTTTTTATATTATCAAAAAGAAATTAAATAATAATAATAATATAGAAAAAAATGAGAGTGGATTGAGCTCACGATTTTTTTTAATATGCGATAATCCATAGACTCGAAATTAATTTACAATTGCTAATATATAAATATATAAATACAGTAATATAAAAATATTTATATATTTATATATTTATAATATAATATTAATAATATATTTTATTATATATATTATAGAATTATATATTACAATAGAATATTATATTATATAATAATATAATAATTGTTTATAATATATATAATATATATATATATTTATTTATTATTTATTTATATTTGAAAGATTGCTTTTTTCAAAGGACTTAGATCTACTCTGCTGAGCTAACACTCCAAGTTCTCACTTTTTGTATTTACACTAAACATGTTACATGACATGACGAGAAAATTTCGTCAATGTCGTTTACACTCCTTTTTTGTTTGTTACGTACATAAACATTAAGAAAACATAAAAATAGTTTCTTAAAATCGAAGGAAACTAAAGACGCATGACGAGCGAGAAAAATAATCTCTGTACGTTTTGTTTTGTTTCTTTTCGTCGTTTCTCAGTACATGTTATTTTTTGTTTAGAGCTCTAAAAATCATGCGTTCTTTTTTTCATTTTTTTTTTTGTAAATTACTCGGCTAGCTGTCAAAGATAATTATAATATAAGATTTTTTTTCATTTTTAATTTACGCTTTAAGGACGCGATCCACGTGCAGCTTCTTCCAGGGCACGAACCTTAAGCTCGCGCTCACGTTGTTGTCTAAAAAATATTTCTCGTTAGTTAACGGACGAATTATTTTTAATAAACTTATTATTATTATTATTATTATTATTATTATTATTATTATTATTATTATTTATTTTTATTATTATTTATTATTATTATTATTATATATTTTTTTTAAATAGAAAAATGTTTAGTTCTTAGAAAAAAATAAATAAGTTTTCAGGGAAAACTTAATATTTGGGAAGATAAAAATTTGTTTAAAAAAAAATTCTCTTTTCAGTATGATAAAATTAATTAGAGTAATTCATTAATACTTTTTTAAACGTACCTTAGGTACTCTTCGTGATGAACAAAGACAGAGGCGTGTGGAGGAAGTCTATCCCTTTCTACCATGAGATGACGTTGAAGCTGTTCGTGATGGGCCGCCATGTCCGCGTACGGTCGACCAAGAAGTTCAGCTGGATGAAGACCCATGGTTGGATCACGAGGTATCATTCCAGGACGTGGATAATTTGCTCCTGCGGCCGCTTCATGAAACAATTCACAAAAAAATGTTACAAAATTTATAAATAATTAACGAACAATAAAGCAAAAAAAAAGCATAAATAAATAACAAAATGCCAAAAAAAGAACGAAAAAAAGGAAACAAATAAATAACAGAAAACCAAAAAAAAAAACAAAAAAAGGAATTATTTTCAAAGAAAAAAAAAGTTCCTTTTTCACCTAGAACTACAAAATCATCACAAAAATAAAATCCCATCACCAAAATAGAAAAAAAAAATAATTACACAAACCAATTTCCTAACTAAAGGAAATTCTAATTCTAAAAGAATATTATATTATTAACAAGAAATTATCTAATGAACCAAATTGAAAAATTAGATAAGAATAAAACCAGAAAAAATATATTTTTGACTCAAAGCAAATAAAAACAAATAAAAAGTCTAGTTAACTTTTCATTAGTTTCAAAATAAATTTTATTTGTTTTAAATAAAATTTCATTTGGTGAAAATAAAAGTTCTTTTGCGTTGAATAATATTTTTATTCAAAACAAATAAATAACCCAGTTGACTCTGAGATAAATATACTTTTATTTAAATTTTTCAATAAATTATATTTCGTTTAATTAAAATTCTATTTTTCGCAAAAAAAAAAAAAAAGAATTTGACAAAGTCGAATAAATGGAAATTTCAGTCAATTGAAAAGTTCTAAATGCAAATAAACAAAAATCTAGAAAAATTTTCCTTTATGCTTTAGAGAAAAATTTCCTATTTTCCTAAATCTGATGGTAATTAATTTTAAACTTGAAATTATTACGCGTATTTAATTTACATATTATTATTATGCAAATTAAAAAAAATTTGTTATTTTCAAAAATTAATTTCAAGTTTGGAATAATTACAGATTCAAAATTAAAAAAAAAATTATTAACTAATTTATTAATTAAAATTATTGTTTTCAAAAACTTTACTAAAATTCTTCGCAGAACTTCAAGTATTTTCAATACAATTTCAATAAAATTTCTCGAAAGAATTCAATTATTTAAAAAAAAATTTTTTTAATTCTTAACAAAAATTCATTTATTTTGAAAAATTTTGGTTAAATTCTTTATGAGAATTGAAATACTTTCAATACAATTTTAATTAATTTCCTTGACAAAATTCAATTAAAATTCTTCGCAGGAATATAATTATTTTAAATAATTCTAATATAAAATTTTTCGCAGAAACTCAATTACTTTGAAAAAGTTTAATAAAATTATTTATGAGAATTGAATTAATTTCGTAATTAATCAAATTCTTCGAAAGAATTTAATTATTTTAAAAAATTTTAATAAAATTCTTCACAGAAATTCAATTACTGTGACAATTTTTGATAAAATTATTAAAGACCTAAATAATAAAATTTTTCACAAATATTGAATTATTTTGAAAAATATGTTAAAATTCCTAGCAAAAATTCAATTATTTAAAAAAATTTTGATTAAATTCTTTATGAGAATTCAAATATTTTCAATACAATTTAAATTAATTTCCTTGAAAATTTAAATTATTTTTGAAATTTTTAATTAAATTCTTGTCAATGTTTCAATTATTTTCATCATTAATCAAATTCTTCGAAGGAATTTAATTATTTAAAAAATATTGTAATAAAATTCTTCGCTGGAATTCAATTAATTAAAAAAATATTGATAAAATTATTTATGAGAATTGAATTATTTTCATAATTAATCAAATTTTTCACAGGAAATTAATTATTTTAAAGAATTTTAATAAAAATCTTCGTTGAAAAATCGTTTTGAAAAATTTCAATAGAAAAAAAATTTAATTGAATTATTTTCCTAAATAATAAAATTCTTAGCATAAATTTAATTATTTTGAAAAATTTTAGTATAATTCTTTATAAGAATTCACTTGTTCTTAATACAATATTTTAATAAAAAAAATTCTTTCCAAGATTTTAAATTAATAATATAAATAAATAAATAATAATAATAATTATTTATTTATTTATTATTTTATTATTTTATAATTAATAAAATTTCTCGCAAGGATTAAATTATTTAAAAAAAAATTGTTATACAATTTCTCTAAAGAATTCAATTAATTAAAAAAAAATTACTTAATTATAACATTCTTCGCAGAAATTCAATTATTTGGAGAAAAATTGATTCCTATTTTGAAAAATTTGCATGAATTTCTTTATAATAATTCAATTTGTATTTCAGATTCAAAATTATGAAAGAAATAATTTTTTTTGAATTGAAAACAATTTGGTTTGAATTAATTTTTGGTATTTTTGAAACTTCAAAGCATTAAATTAAATTGAAATTTCGTTAATTTTAAAATTCAAATCATTAAAAAAAACGAGATCTATTCTCTATTAAAATGAAAAATTATTTTAAAAAATTAGAAAACTAAAACTAACTTCTGACTGCGAACAAATTACCGGAATACCTAAAAAAAATACCTTCCCTTTCTCTACTTTTTTTTGTAAGAATAATTTCATTTCGAGCAGAATAGATTTTTTTTCGAAAGGAATAACGTTTTTTGAGAAAATTTTGAACTTTGCAAACAAATTATCATTGTTTGTCGATTGTCTTCGGAGGTGAATTGTTGATCGTTTCTCCCTCTCTTCTTACCAGGCAAACGAATTCCAGCTGCAGCAGCAGCAGCTGCTGCTGCTGCTTCTTGCTGTTGACCCTGATGTAGATGCAAATGTGTATGCGCATGAAAGTGAGTGCACTCAGCTGAGAGGCCAGCCATCTGTAATCGGACCATTGGATCGGCAGCCAGTGCAAGCCATTCATTTTGCTGGCACTGATGATGAAGATGATGATGAGCAGCTCCCGCTCTAGAGGCCGTTGGCCATCCACCACCTCCAGGTCCCGTCATTCCCGCTGCTTGACAATATTTGTCATATCACACAATTTCATTCAAATACAGACTCCCTCCAAGTTTTACATTTTTATTTAATTAAGAACACATCTTTTCTTTACTTATTTACGTAACTTTTCATTTTTTTTTCTTTGTATTTATTTACGTAAATTTTAGACATTTTTTTCTTCTTTTTACACTTTTTTTAATTTCTTTTTATTTCTATTTTTATTATACAAATTGAATATTTCTCTGTCGATACCATCAAGAAATAATTAAATTATTATTTTTTGTCTCAATTCCTAAACATAATTCTTTTTCTTTTTGCCTCCTCTAAATAAAAAAATATACGTTTTCTCGTTTTAAGTAAGAAAAATCTCTAAATAAATGTACGAAAAAAAATTTAATTTCCCTTTCACATACAGTAAAACCTGTCGTAATGCAATTCGATTTTCAAAACATTATTACAGTAAATAAACAATCTTTAAAAAATTGTTTTGTACTTTAATTTTGCAATATTTTTACAATATTTTGTAACTAAGTGAAAATAATTCTTGTTAGAAATTATTGATTGTAAAAAATATTTAAAAATAGCGTTGCATTCCGACAGATTCGACTGTAAATGTACAAAATTTCCTTTCTTTGATAATTTTGCTTCCTTGAATAAATAAAAAAAATAAATTTATAAAAACTAATTCTTCTTCTCAAAAAAAAAATCTTTTAATCAATTTTAAAAAAAAAGAAAAAAAATTTAACTCGATTAAAGAAAAGAATTTTTATTAAAAAAAATCTCTTTTTATCGATAAAAAAAAAAGAATTAAATCAAATTGAAAAAGAAGAGAATTTCTACAAAAAAAAATTTCTATACATCAACAATATTTTTATAATTATTTTTCTACATCGATAAATTATAGTCTTAAAAAAAAGAAAAAATATACATACTGCAAAACAATTTGTTCCACTTCTATTTTCCTTCAATTATTTTTAATTTCGAGTGAAATAAAATTATTTCCCTAATTGTATCAAAAGGCAATTTTTTTTACTTCTTGATGGCAAATCAAATGTCAAATAACATTTTTTTTTCTTCCTTTTCTTTTTAACACGAATCGAATGGTTGAAATTGATTTTTATCAATATTATTTTATCATTCGTTCTCTTTATTATAAAACAAATGTTAAAAAGTTTCTCTTTGGTTAAAACAACAAAATAAATAAATGAATAAAAATTTTTCAAAGTAATGTCATTTTTTTATGAAAATTGAAAATACATTTGTATATTTAAAAAATTTTTTGAAATTAAAAAGAAAGAACGAATGATAATGTTTTATTTTAACATAATTCTAATTTCACATCTCTGTGGTTAATTTTTTTTTTTTTTTTTTTGCATATCGTAATTCGAAAAACTCAATTTTAATAATTACATAGGCAAAATTGAATAAATTATCGTTCACATCTCTGTTCTATTCTCAAAAAAGAAAAAAAAAAAAAAAAAATTAAAAAATGCAAACAGAGATATTCAATCAAGATCAATGGGCAGAGTGAATAAAAATAAATTTACATTTCGATGCATATTTTCAAAGAAAAGTAAAAAAAAAAAAATTATTAAAAAAGCCTAAACTCTTGAAGGAAGTCGCACTATCATTTATAAAAATTGCATTAATTTCAAAATGCATTCATCTTTTTTCCTTTTATTACAAATATTCTTTTCTCTCATCGTTTTGTTCGCTATTTTCATATTTCATTTCATTATTACACATACTTGGAAATCTATTCTGCTCGAGTGAAATTATTACATAAAAGTGGGATTTTAAAAAAAAGTCCCAAAAAAGGATTTTTAGAAAGCAACAGTTTTCATAAATAAAAAAATTTCTCTTGTTGTTTTTCGAAAATTCAAACAAAATACAATTTTATAATTTTAAACATTTTTTTTACTTGATCAACAGTTTTACAGAACATATTATTTTTATTTCTTGCAATCCTTGCAATAAAAAGAAAATAATTCCGTTCTTAGACTCTTTTTTTATTTTATTAGAAAAATAAAATTTATTTTATTATTTGTATATATAAATAATAAAATAAAAATAAAATCCAATAAAATCTTTTCATTAAGAGAATTTTTCATTTTTCTTTCTGAATGAATCGTTTCTTTTAAATACATATTTATTTTAATAAGAAAAAAATTCCATTTCTTTTATTAAGAAAATTTCCAAACCTTTTATTTAAAAAGAAACTATTTTTAATAAAAAAATCTTTTCGCTTTTCGTGAAATTATATTTTTCTTTCTTCTTATTAAAAAAAAAAATTATATTTTATAAAAAAAAATCTTTACGCCTTTTATTACCTAAATTATATTTTCCTTTCTTCGTAATGAAAAAAATTTATAATTTATAAAAAAATCCTAATTATGCTTTCAATAAAAAAAGTAGTAATAAAAAAATTTTTTCGTCTTAATTTTCGCTCATTTTATTGTTTTCAATTTCGGTATTATTTTTTTTATTATCGTTATTATTATAATTATTATTATCATTATTATTATTATTCTTATTATTATTATTATTATCATCACTATCATTATAATTATCATTATTTTATTTTATTATTATTATTATTATTATTATTATTATTATTATTATTATTATTCTGAAAAAAAATTATTTGACTCAAATAAATTCAATTAAAATTAAATTATCAAATAAATATTTACTTGAGTCAAATAATTTTTATTTAAATCAAATAAATTCTATTTGAACCAATAAATTCTGCATTGTAAGCAAATACAATTCAATTGATTTGAATAAAACTCTATTTGATTCAAGTAAATATTTATTTGATAATTTAATTTTAATTGAATTTATTTGAGTCAAATAAATTTTTTTCCAGTATATTAATATTGATACACTGAAAAAAAAATTTATTTGAAAACTATTTTTAATAAAAAAAAGTAACTTATAAAAAAATATTTGAAGAAAGAAAAAATATTTCTTTCTTTTCTCTTTAAATAATAATTATAGCGATTAATGTACATATATATTGATCTAGTTTTGGAGCGAAAGGAAGGTATTATTTACACTATCATACCAACTATATGTATGTATATATATGAATATTAGTTTCTGTTTTAATCATTCTAGACAGTGAGGAACTTGCCAAGCATGCTTCTATTGTTTTCCCCACTGTTTCCCATTACCAGGGAGATCGTTCTGCTGGATCTCTTGACATTTTGTAAAACAGACTTTTTAAACTATAATAGACATTTATAATAATAAGAAGAGAAGCAAAAAGGACTTTCTAATTAAAAAAAAAAAAATTCTACACAAAATTTCAATTGACCTTTAAACCTTCCAACCCATTTTTTTATTCATCGTCCTAAATACTATTCCCCCTATTTTTCATTAAATAAAATTAAATCTTTATTCTTTTTACCAAAAGAAAAGTTTCTTTTACAAAAAAAAAATTTTCCATCTTTTTCTCTCTCTCTCTCTCATTTCGAAAATGTCCAAATTTTTACATATTCATTTTAACAAACAATTAGTTAACAAAGCAGAATATAAAATCTCGTGGAAAATAAAAAAGAACAAAAAAATAAATAAATTGAAAAATTCAAATTGGAAAAATAGTATTATAAGTAGTTTTATATTTATAATAAAAAAACGAAAAAGAAAAAAAAATTGTAATTGTTTTCGAAATACATTTAGAAAAAAAAATACATCCACTCACTAATTTTTATTCACGCTACCCAATAGTTTGATTGACAAGTGTGAAAATCACTAAAATGATTTTTGAAAATATATTTTTTTTTTGTAAAAGCAAATACATGCAAATAAAGAAATTGTGACAATTTTTTTTCCTTTTTCTTTGAAAAAAAAAAGTTCCGGAATTCCACAGAGACAAAAGAATTGAAAAGAAAAAAAAAGTGTATGAAATAATTCAAAAAACATTATGTACGAAAAATCATGTATATCTATAATAATAAAAATAACTTTCATACTTTTCTAACACCCATTATACATTTTGCAAAGTAAAATACATATATTTATGTAAATTAGGAGATTAAACTACGAAAGAGAAAAAGTGTATGACCTGATTTTTCAATTTTCACGAGAAGAAAGTTTATAATTTCATCTTAAGAATTTAATTTATTTTCCTGTTTATTTAAATATATAATAGAACAATAAAGAAACTAAATTTATGTTATATAGGAATAAAAAGAGGAAATTTCTCCTTTTTAAAATTATTATCCAATTTTCTTGAGGAAAAAAAAATTATTACCAAGATATTTTTTATACGAAATATTTAATATTTTTAATGAAAATAAAATTATTAAAAACATAAATAATAATAATAAACATATTATTGAAAATATCAAAATAATATTTGAAAATTATTGTTAAGGAAAACCTTTTTTATTCGAAATATTATTTATATTTTAATTAAAAATTAAAAACATGAAAAATAATATTAAAATAATATTCGAAAATTATTAGTAAGAAAAACCATTAAAAATATTCAAAAAGCAATTATCACTTGTTTACAATATAATTATTACTTTTTTAAATGTAAAATAATGATTACTTCTTTAATTGTAAAATAATTACAACTTTTTCAGTAATAAAATAATTATTACCTTTTTAATAATAAAACAATTATTACTTTTTTTTAAAAACAATAAAACAATTATTTTTTTTTAACAACAAAATATGCATGTTTATCTCACAACGATGATGATAATAATAATAATAGTAATAATAATTTCCGCTTTTTATTTTCAAAGTGTTAGTGAAATGTAAAACACAGTAAACAATTTAGAAAAAAAACAATATTCATTTACAAGGTAGAAACATTATTATATATATATATATGTATGTTTTGTTGCATAATTGCAAAGATTTATACATTTGACCTTAAAAAAAAAAAATTTTAAATAAAAGATTTAATCGTTTGACCGGAAAATTTTCGCAAACTATGTAATATTTGAAGTAATTTTTCTTTGTTTAAAATAAATAGAATTAATAGATTCTGATTCTCGAACGTAATTAGTATCTAATTATTCATATTTAATAAATAATAAATTATCATTATTTAATCATTATATTACTACTGCAAAAGGTAATCTACATAATAAAAATTGTTTTCAATTACACAAAATAATATTTAATTTAATGTAAAACTTATAAATAATTATTTACTTCTCATGAAAATTATCATAGAAAAATTAGGTGTCCACATTTCAAATTATACTTTAGGTGAAATTTCTACTTTGAATGATCAAAAAAAAAAAAAGAAAAAAAAATTTCTCCAATTCAAAATTTTTCGATCATTCAATTTTTATATAATAATAATATACACACACTAAAACAGATACTAAATTACAAAATACACAAATAGTCGATTGAAAAATTTCCAGATATATTTAATTTTATTTTTTTAAGATTCGATTGTTTGGATAAAATTGTTTGTTCAAATTGAAAATATTTTATTAATCCTATTAAAGAAAATTAAAAGGGAAAAATCAAGAAAATAGTTTGGAAATTTTAAAAAGGACAATTCGGTCTAACATGCAAATAAAAATCCCCTTTTTTGGTGGATGCGTTTCACAATTTCCAGCTCAGTGGAAAAAATTACCGTATTTTGATGTTACTAAATTTCTAATTAATGGAATTGGAAATTTTCCAAATTAACTCGGTAATTAATTAAAATAAATAGCAAAAAGTAGATTTATCCTAATAATAAATTCAATTCTAAATTCTTCTAAAATTCAATTATTTTCCTAATTTTCAGTTAGATTTCTACAAAAATACGATTACATTTCAAAATAATTTTTAAATGTGAAAAAATAAAATTCTTTAAAATATAAAATTTATTTCAATATAATTGGATAAAAATTTCAATTGTGTTAATTTTTTAAAATTATTTTCAGGAATTCAGTTATCTTTAAAATTTTTTTATTACAATTTAAAAAAACAAATCGCATTTCTTAAAATTCCTATTATAATGCTTTAAATATTCAATTATTTTCTACAATTTTAACTGAAATTATTTTTAATCAATTTCTACAAGAATTGAACAACAAGAATTGAATTATTGAATAATTTTTGTAGAATTCAATTATTTTCTAAATTTTTAGTTACTATTCTAAAAAAATACAATTATTCTTAAATTTAACTAACAAATTAATAATTTTCTATATTTAAATATTATTTTATTTTCACAGCAATGAAAATTTCAAAGATTTTAATTTAACAACTTTTTGGAATTTAATTGTTTCTAAAAAATTTAAACATTTGTAATTATTTTCTATAATTTTAACTAAAACTTCTTTTTAAATCAATTCTTATTAAAATTTGATAACAAAAATTCAATTTTATAAAAACAAATTAATAAATAATAATTCTGCAAAGAATATTATTATTTATAAAAATAATTGAATTCTTGCGAAGATTATTATTATGTATTTTTAATAATAATTGAATTCAGTCTAGAAACGCAGTTAAAATTGTATAGAAAATAATTGAATTCTTTTGAGAAATTTTATTAAAATTGTATTGAAATGTAATGCAATTTCCTGCAAAAAATTTTATTATTTATCAAAAAAATTCTCATAAATAATAATATTATTTAGAGCAAATTAAATAATTTTTAATACAATTTTAATAAAATTTCTCGAGAGAATACAATTATTTTTAAAAATATTAATTCAATTTCAAGATTGTTAATATAAATTCAATTATTTTCGACAATTTTGATTAAATTCTTATAAAAAATCATTATTTTCAAAATTTTTAATAAAATTCCTTCAAAAAATTTAATCATTTTCAAAAATTCAGATAAAATTCTTCAAAACAATTCAATTATTTTTATAAATTATAAAATTCTTGTCAAGAATTCAATTATTTTTGTAAATAATAAAATTCTTCTGAGAAATTAAATTATTTTCAATACAATTTTAATAAAACTTCTCAAACAGGTTCAATTATTTAAAAAAATTGTAATCAAATTTTTCTAATTAATTCAGTCGTTCTCAAAACTTTTTAATAAAATTCTTTGTAAATTTCTATTATTTTCAAAATTTTCAATTAAAATTATTTTAAAAAATTACATTATTTTTACGAAATTTAATGAAATTTAAAAAAAAATGTAAATTATTTACAAAAACTCTGATAAAATTTTCAAAAGAATTAAATTTTTTATGAATAATTTTAATATAATTTAATAGAAAAATTATTAATTGCAATGAATTAAAAACACGATTATTTTCAAAACTTAAAAGAAAATCTTCATAAAATTCAATTACATACTTTCCAAATTTTCAGTAAAAATTATTTTAAAAAAACTCCACTGTTTTCAAGAAAATTGAAATAAATTCTTCAAAACTATTCAATTATTTTTAAGAGAATTTTAACAAAAATCTTGTTAAGAATAATTAAATTATTTTCAATACAATTTTAATTACAGTTTCTTGAAAGAATTAAATTATTGAAAAAGAAAATGTTGATAAAATTATTGAAAAGAATTTTCGTGAAGAATTTATTTAAATTTCGGAATATAATTGAATTTATGCGAAGAAATTTATTATTTATGAAAATAATTGAATCAATTAAAAACAACTGATTGTCAGTGAAAAAATGACTGATTTTTAGTAAAAAATAACTGAAAAATTGAATTGTAAAATCCTCCACAAGAATTCAATTATTTTTATAAATAATAAAATTCTTCAAAGAAATTCAATTATTTTCAAAGCAATTTTAATAAAATCTCTTGAAGGAATACAATTATTTTTAAAAATATAATTAAATTACTAATTAAATCAGTTAAGAAATCTACTGAAAATCAGTCAATTTTAACTGACAATCAGTTTTTTCCAACTAAATGTTCACTAGAAATTTTACTTATTTGAAATAGTGACTGATTTCTTGGTTCAAAATCAGTTATTTTTAACTGATTCAAATTTAAAGAGGTCCCCATTTTTTTTGTTCGGAACAAAATTATTTTTCCACTGAGCCGAAAATGTAGAACTGAAAAAAACGATTGCTGAAAATAAGGACTTTCAAGTCCCAATTTTCCCACAATCGTTTCTCGAAAACCTTGAGGAAGAAACTAAAAACCATCTATAACAACTAGATTACAAATTAAATACAATTAAAGACAATAAAATAAATGAAATAATCAAATTTACCTAATCTCTCCAATCGTTCCCTCTCCAGCTGCCCCGGCGGCGCTCCATACAATCCAAACTGATGCAATCCTTGCGGTGGTCCCGAAGGTCCAGGCGCAAGTCCCGCCGCCGCATATCTCCTATGAATCTCCAACCAATGCGGATCGACAGGCGCCGGCATCGGCCTCGGCGTTCCCTTCAGCAATTCCTCCTTCAATCTATCATTCAATTCTCGTTCCCTCAATTCCCTGAGTTCCCTCTCCCTCTTCTCCCGCTCCAAATGCTCCAGCTCCAGTCTCTCCCTCGCACCCGGTCCATACATATAGTGAATCATCGGATCAGGCGGCGCCGGATGCCGCGCCGGCGAGAAGGCCGCGTGCGGCCTCGCATACTCCGACAACTGCCTCAGCGCCGGCGTGTCCGCATAGCTGCCAGGTCGCGTCGCATATCTATCGTAAGGCGACACCACCGGCTCCATTGGTCCCCGACTCGGTGGCTTACAAATCTCCGGCTGCTTCTCCGGCGTCGACATCTTCCTCTGCTGGGCCGCGACCCGATCCCGTTCTTCTCTCTCTCGTTCCGCTTGCTTCCTCGTTCTCTCATCGCGTTTTCGCGCGAGTTTCGAGTCAGGTACTGGTTTGAACATAAGATCGGTCCTGGTGCACGAGTTGTCGTCCCCACGGTACCAATGGCGGAGGAATATCGCCGATTGCGAACGATGACACTCGGAGTCATCGATTCTAGGCTCGGGACTTGGTCCACGATTTGGACTAGGCGAGGTTTCCGGCTCGTGTTCGATTTCGGGTTGGTGTTCGATTTTCGGTTCGGGGGGTACGGGATGATGGGGTCGGTGATGATGATGACTGCTTGGAGGTTGAGAGGAGCTGGAGGAAATGAGACAGGAGGCGGAGACTAAAGGTTTTCGTTGGGTGTTGTGCGAGGATGAGTGGGAACTATGCGAGCTGTGGGAACTGTGCGAGGAGATCGCGAGCAGTTTGTCGTGGTGAAGATTCTGCTGGTGCATGGGCGCGTGATGGTGGATCATATTTTCCTCCTCACGGACAGGTACATTGGGAGTTGTGGAGTGATGCGCGGTGATTAGATTTGGATTCTCGGGGGTGCGTTGGGGCGAAGGGGGAGGAATTGCGTGGGGGACGGGACCGTAGGGATAGGGAGGGAAGGAAGGATAGCCGCTGACCGGAGGGTAGCCGGGATAGTGAGGATGATAAGGATGCATGGCGGCGAATAGGGAGGGGTGCATTAGGGGATGATGCGGGTGGAACGGATGGGCCATGTGGGGACTTGGTTGTTGGGAGGGATGCATTACGGGCTGAGCTAGGGACGTGGGAGGAGCCAGAGTGGGGGAGGCGGGCACCGATTGCATTGGCGGCACTTGGTTCGAGTGGATGTGTTTGCTGGGCGTCGAGGGTTTGCTGCCGTCCGGATCTTTTTTGATATTGTCAATACTGGGTCCGGGGAAGCTCGTCTGGAAACCGGGCACTTTCACTTCCTTGAGGCTCTGCAGTGGGTCTGGTTCGGGGGGGATTATCTCTTGTTTCACTAGGTTTTGCGGCTCCATCGGCGGAGTGCCGGCGAGATTGTAGACCTTCTCCTGGGGCATTATGGGCTGAATTGGTTGGAATAGGTTCGGCGCTTCGGGTCTGTTGTCGGGTTCGGCTTGGTTCTCCTGGAGGCGCGATTCGATTCGGTCGCGGATTCGATCGTTGTCCCTGAGTCGGTCCATTCTTTCCGGGAGACGTTCGTCGGAGCGGAGGTTTTCGTTGGGCATTACTGTGAGACCGAGTGGTTGTTGGGGCGAGCCGGGCATCATTTGCATTTGGCTCATTGTTGTTGTGGTCATGTTCTGCGGTATGTTGAGATTGAGAGGCGGTCCGGATATACTTTGAGGTATTGTTTGTGCGTTGGATATACTTTCGGTGTGTAGAGAGAGGTTTTGTGCTGGTCCCATGTTTTGTGCGGTTGTCATGTTTTGCGGTAAACTCGGTGGTATTTGGATGTTTTGAGAGAGATTTTGAGGCACGTTTTGTAGATTGGTGGCGTATTGCATGTTGAGAGGGAGGGGTTGACTGGAAGGTGGTAATTGGGGATTGGATAAGTTGGGCGGTACGGAAGACGGACAGAGTGAAGGTCCGATTTGTTGGGACAAATTGCGAGGTACATTTTGACTGATGTCGGGAATATTGAGAGGCGGTAGTTGAGGTGGCGGCGGTGGAGGTGGTGGTGGCGCGGTTACTATCGCAGCTGGCGTGAGATTGACTTGTTCGGACTCCTTTGTTTCCTCGGGTGGTGTGACGGCCGGTTCGATTGGCATTGGTTCGATTTTCATCGGTTGGGTCATTTGTAATGGCACTTGTTCAACTTGTTCTTTCATTTCGGGTAGCTCCTCGATGGGGGGTTTCTTGTCGAGGGTGTGAATAACTGGAACTGATATTGGCAAGCTCTGGATTGGCACCGGAATTGGCGGGGACACGGGCGTTGGTTCGCAGATTTCTTCCGGTGTTGTTGTGGTCGCTGGACTCACGGGTTCCTCGATTGGCGCTGGAGGCGCGACCGGAGGCTCTACCGTGGAATCTCCCTCTGCCTCTCTCTCGGGCTCATCCATAAGAGAATTACTGTCAGTGGTGAGTGATTCTGAGGGACTGTCGGGTCGCTCTCCGCGTTTTCGTTTCTGAGAGTCCTTCTCCTCTTCGACTTCCTCGACGGCGACTCGCTTCTGGCCCTTCTTCGGCGTTTCGGGCTTATTAGAATTCTTCTTCTTCGTTTTCTCACTACTCTGTTGCTGCTGCTGCTGTGACTGTTGCTTTTCTTGATCAGGTGTGTCGGTGCCACCAGTTCGTCTGGGTCTAGCCGGTCTCGGTATTTCCTTGGCCTTATTTCTCGTTCGCATTCTACCAGGACTGTCGGGAGACTCAGCTGGCACTGGGCGGAAGAGGTAAGGCGGCGCAGGAGGCAATTCTCCTGACTTTTTCAAGTGACCTCTGCATTCTGCGCAGAGCAACAGCCGATCCTTGCCGGTAACTTGGTAGTCTTTCGAATTCGTTGAGAAACAATGCTGACACGAGTGATTTACACCGTTTGTATTTGTATCCCTTGAGTCGCTGTCCTCTTCCGAATTGTCATCTTCAGTCACTGAACTAACTTCACCGCCGGGATTGCCATTGTTCGCAATTGCCGGAGTGCCGGCAGGAGCACTTTCCGGCTCCGAAGCTTGCTCCTTGACGTTCGTTGTACTTGGAGGCACGTCTTTTGGTGGAACAGGAGCCTCCTCCTTCGGTGTGCCGGCCCTTGAATTCCTCGTGTTGCGTATTCTGCGCAGAGAACCTTGAGCTCTGCGTCTTCGATGCGGTCGATTATTGTTCGCCCCTGGCGTCTTCTTCCACAAATAATAGAATTCGACGAGCTCTGGCTGCAATCATAACCAAATCAAAATTTCAATAAACATACAAATTCTCGAGAAACAAAAAATTGTTTCTAAATTATTCTAAATGGCTAAAAGCTTTCAGGTGTCTCCAATTTTTTTTATTTTACTTATTCCAAAAAAAACCAATAAAAAAAATTACCGTATCTTTGTGTGGCAATAGGTCTTTCCTAATGCGAGAGAAATTTTTCCCAAATTGTCGAAGACCTTTAACGAATCGTTTCTGAAAATAGAAGATATATTTCCATAAGTCTGTTAGATCATAATTGAAATACATAATTTTTGTTTTTGCTGGGAAATAAACGTACCGTTTCTTCTTCAGACCATTTTTTATCGATGCCTTTTGGTACAGGACACTTGACGAGGGCTTGTAATGCTCTTGTTGGATCATAGCCAGAATCGTGAAGGATATCAAAGGCATTGATGGTTGTATCGTCACGGGAAGCTGCCACACAACCATCATCGGTCGATCCTCCATCACACATACCAGCGAACGCGGCAATTGAACGAGCCGCACTCAGGTACATGAGAAGATCGAGATCCAATGCCATTGCTGGGACCCATCTTAACTCTTCGCGTTCCTTGGAAAACTCAGGATCAGGAAGCAGCTCACCAGAAGGAATACCCGGCCGATACTCAGGCAATCGGGCCTGACAAGAAACCAATTCCTGTACCCAAAATTCGGGATTTTGTGCGGTTAGCACCATTGCCAAAGCAAGTTAGTTTACGCACCTACACTCCGGCTTGTTTGTTTTGTTTATTTTTCTTTTTCAAAATTTTCTATTCTACTTTTTTTCCAATTAAACATTTAATTCTTTTTATCAAATTTGAAAATGGCTTAATCAATACTGAATGGTATTAATTTATTGATTTTATTACTTAAAAAGAACATTATTCATTTTTATACTAATTTCCTAAATTGCAAATAAAATTCTTAACCATTTTTAATTCGAAATTGAATCAAATATCGAAAAAAGTGAGAAATACATTTTTCAACTAAATTGATTAAAGAAATATGTAAAACAAATTGATAAGTTTATAAAATATTGATGTTTTATACTTTATATTCATGAAATTCATGAAAAATTGTATTACAAATTGATAAATTCTTTTAAAATGATTTATAAAACAATAAACAAGATTAATTAAATTTCTCCCAGCTAACACTTTTGTTTTATATTAGATAATTACTTGAGTGAAAAATTCTTTGAAAATTAATAATCATTCAAACTGATTAGCCACTGAATAATTCAATTTTTCAACTAATTAATATTAATTCGTGAAATATCGTAAAGACCAAAAATATTTATATTACGTTTATTTTCTTTTTAATTAGATTTGAACTATTTAAATTGATTTTAATTAATTTTAACTATTTACTCTATTTTTTATTTATAATTTAATTATTTTTTATTATTATTATTAATGATAATCAATATTTATGTTTCACATTCAGATGATTTAGTTAATTACATCTTTTTCCGATTCACAATTATTTACAGTTCTATAAATTAATTGTTATTTACATGAGAACATAATTTATTGTTATTATTTATGTATATTAAATTAATAATAATTAGCAATTTCTTAATGTAGAATAAAATTAAAAAATTTTTCTTCTATTTTTCTACTGTCAATATTAAAATCGATTATAATGATATATTTCACCGTGACTGAAAACCACCATTTACTATAATAATAATAAAGTAAGTTTCATCGTATTTACGAAATTTTTGTTGTTTTTCTTTTGTTTGAAACAAAAAAAAAAGTGCCACTAATTATAAATTCAATTCTTTTTCCTTTCATAAATACAATGAGACGTAAAGAAAATTCATTAACACTAAGGCAACAATTCACTAAAACTAAAATTATTTCTATATATGTAATAATAATAAATATAAGAGAAGTGTATCTATATTTTTTTATATTATTATTAAAATTGCAAATCTTACTTACTAAAAAATTAAATATTGAAAAAAAGCAATTTTTTTGCCATGTATCAAACAATAGAAATTTGAATTTGAATAAATTGGAAACAATTTTTTTAATTCTTAATAATATGCAATAAAATTCATCAAATTAATAAATTTAATAATTAATATTTTAATTAATTTACAATTATTTTTCATTCTAAATTAATTTTTTATTAATTGTATTTTTTAAATATATTATATTACTTATATTACATATTAAATTCGTCTCTGTAATTGAAAACAAAAATTATTATTTCTATTGTTTGCGAAAAAAAAATTGTAAATCCCATGTGTTAGAAACCTTGAAAGTTATTTTTACAAAATATAATTTTTCTTTTTAATAAAAATATTTTTTGCACAAATTCTCGACAATTTTTTTCAGATTTTAATTTTAAAAATATATTAAGAGAGAAAAATAAATAATAACAAAAAAATAAAATAACATTATTTCTAAATTATTTTTATTATAAAATTAATTAAACAACCAAAAGACTTTTTTAAATGAAAAGCTATTTTTTTTTGCAAAAAATAAATTAATTTAATTTTAAGTTTAAAATTCAGAACAATAATATTTTATTTGTTCATCATATACAATAAAAAGGCTTTGAATAAAAAATTATTTTAATTATGAAAATGAAAAATTTTTTTTTTGGAGTTAATGATAAATATTAATAAATTAATAATTATTATTTATAAAATAATAATAATAATTTAATTAATAATTATTATTTAATTATTGTCCTATTATTAATTACTAATAATCAATATTAATAAATTAATATAATTATCGATAATAATATAACATTAATTATATTTTGTTACTTAATTTTGTTATAATAATTATTTGTAATAAATAAAAATTATTGAATTTCAAGAAATCTAGTAATGGGAAAAACATTTAAAAATAAAAATAATATTTTTAAAAAGGGTTGAATTTAATTTTTTTATGATGAAGAATATTTATGTAAAAAAAATGATGAATGATAATAATAATAATAATAGTAATAATAATAATAACAATAATAATAATAAAAAATAAATAAGTACAAAAAACAAGCCTTGAGTTAGGTACGTTGTGCGGCGATATAGCTAAAGTGGCAAAAGAGTTTTTGTCAAGGAATAATGGCAAACCTGGTGCGATGAACCAACCCGAATCTCTCCCTGGGTGCCGGCGGACATCTCCCCCTCCTCCAAAGCTCCGCCGTCTTTCTCCAGTGTTTCGACTGGCTTCACTCTTCCCTTTTAGGTAAATTTCTATCATCCACCCCCTGAACCGTACATATGTTGTCTAATCAGTTTTTTTTTCTTTTTACTTTCATTAATGATAATTGACTTTAAAAAAAAAAAAATAGAAAATTCAATTACAATTTTTACATGCTCTTAATTATATTCCGAATTAATGATTTTTTTATCATCATTTAATTCGTCATTTTCATTTGTTTATTCAAACAGAAAATCTATATAAAGAATTTCAAGGTGTCCAGTTATTTTATTCTTTTTAAATAAATTTTTTTCTTATTATTATTATTATTATTAATATTTGCATTTAGATTGAAATTATTTTTATTTTTCCTCAACATTTTATGTTAAATAATAATAATAATAATAATAATAATAATAATAAAAATAGTAATATTAATAATACTAACAATAATAATAATTAAAAAAAAGTAATATTAAAATAAATATTTAAAAGAGTAAGAAAAAAATTTTTTACAAGGTAATTTTTTTGATTTAATTTTTCCCACTATGTGTATTAAAAATTAAATGCAAAAAATAGATTTTTAATTTAATTTTCAAAATATTTACAATAAATTTTCAAAAATATTAGATTAATATTATAATTTTCTAGAAATTCTTGTATTATATTTTTTCTATTTCACAATTAAAATTAACGAACTTCATATAATTTGGGAGAAAAAAAAACTAGACACCCTGATTCTGTCACAAATAAATATTATAACTATTAAGCAAAATCTGACAATAGATGCAGACAGGTTTGCATGCAGATTTGCATGTTTTTTTTCTCGAAAATTTCAATAATTAAAAATTCTTTAAAATTAAAAAGAGAATTTTTTTAGGGTATAACAATTTTTTCGTTATAATTTTAGAGTAAATACAATTTTTTTATAAACTTATTTTTGCAAATTGTGGAATTTTTTTTAAAATATACTTTTGCAAACAGTAGAAAAAAAATAATTATGTTTTATCTTCTAATGATATTTAATGACAATTTTTAATAGTCAGAAAGGTAAATATTTTGATTAACATTTGAATAATTAAAAAAACAAAAATTAATATTCGTATTAAATCGTATAATTTTAAAAAATATTCTTCTTTTAATTGGAGTATTTAAATAAATTTAAATTATTACGAACTAAGTAAATTAAAAAAAAAGAAAAAAGAAACATAAATATGCACGCAATAATCGTTACTTAGTATATATCAACTTTAGTTATCTTCAAGTAAATTGAAAAACAATGTTATCATAATTATAGTAACTATTTCGTTTCTTTTATATTATTTATCTATAAATTCTCTTTAAAACCAAATTATATTCGAAATAAAAGAAAAGTCATAAAATTTTAATTTTTTAATTAGACCCTTAAATTCTCTTTCTAAATTACAAAATTACTATTTAATTGAATTGAAAACACATTTCTCTAAAAAAAAAGTCTGTATCCATAAAATAAAATTAAAAAAAAACTACGTGAAATATTAATTAAATTTTTACAATCATTTTTCAAATTTTCAATTATACAAGTCAAATAAAATACAAAAAATTATATTTATTGTCCAATTATTAAATTCAGTAAATTGAACAATAAATATAATTTTCCAAATTATTACAATGTATCGAATTCTTTTAACCTCGAAAAATTCTCTAAATACATTTAAAAAAAAAGAAACGAAAGTAAAATAAAAATTCTGGCTTTCACCAAAGCTTAAAATACATTTTCGAATTATAAAAAATAAAATACTACCTGTAAATATTTACCAATAAAAACTTTCATGTTTTATCAAATCGAAAAACTCAATTACGAAATTTTATTTTCTAAAAGTGCACTTCTTTTTTGATAAAACGATGAAAATTTGCTAAGTACAAAAAGAAAAAAAAATTCATAAAGCTTTTAAAAAACAAAACCAACTAGAAATAAAATTAAAAAAAACTCGAAGTTTGCCATTTAAATTCGATAATTATCACATATTTAGACACAATAATTAATAAAATCCAGTCTTCATAGCAATATTTTGTCTCTAATTGCCACTCGTATTCGATGCTTGCTTTTTCTACAAGGAAAGTTACATAACCAACAAGAAAAATTATCTATTATTGCCTAGAAAGAAAAATTGAAAAAGGATCAAAAAAAAAAAATTTTTTTTTTTTGATCAAGTGGTCTTAAGTCACGGCGAAAGTTTCTAAAATATAATTTGTCTGTGCGTGTTTGTGTGTGTATCATTTTTTTTTCAATGGTATATATTTTGCCTTGAAAGCAAAGCATTGAGAGACGTCGCAACTTGTGACAATCGGGATGACCGAAAAAAATCTTGTCTTTTCAAAAAGTCGTAAATAATTCACTAACACAACCGAGAATGCAATATAACCATTTAACCAATAAGGTGCCTCATGCACCATGACAATAAATAACGCTTCACTGAAAGGGGGGCCCCCGTCAAAACCAATAAAAAAAAACAGCCAGCAATTAAAAAAAAAAACTCGAACCATCTGCGAGGAATGTAAAATTTTAAGATAAAGAATTTTTACAGTTTATTTTTCCCCGTACACCTGATTGTCGCAAATGCGATTGCAAAAGCGTGCATTAAAGTTAAAAAAAAATAATAGGAAAAAAAAGAAACGGAAACTTATTCCGAAAGCACTCACCCAGAAGTCACAAGTGTGCCTCAGTCTTGAGATGTTCGCATTTTGTTTGGAAACCAATGTCCGGTCGCCATTAAATTCATGAAAAAGTTGATTTTTACACGACACTGAACTTGTGAATGATGAAATTAGTTAGGTCGACGACGACCTAATTACGGTTGAGAATGGTTTTAGAAATTATTTCCTTGTAAATATAACGTCAACCACAACACCCGAGGGAAGCCATCTTGTACTGCGATTGACTGCGATGACTGCGATTTGTTTCGCTTTTCTTCTCGTGGGGGTGTGTTCCGATTCCGTTTCGTTCCTATTGACATTCAATGTCTGTGTGTGGTAACTTTAATCCCTTTCGTTGTGTGCTCCTAAACATATGTATGACGTGCATTCTCTTCACTGATTCACCAGATTCACCGCACACCACCAATACAAACAAAACATTACAGGACGCCTCGATGTTCAGTAGCGTAGCAATTTAAATAAGTGCCAGTGGCTTGTCACAAGGGCGCCAAATTTCTTTTTGAAAATAAATTTTTAATTTTTAAAATTTACAAATTTAAACCAATTTTTAAATAATTTTTACTTAATTTAAAATTGTTTTTTCTATTTTTAGTATAAAAAAAAAGTTTTCTTTATACACGCCTGGGATAATTGAAAAACCTCTCCAAACAGTAATTATATGTAATTTAATTTACTTACAGAATTTAAGACTTGAAAATCAATTTCAAAAGAAGAATTTCTTCAAATAGAATTGAAAAAAAGGAATTAATTTTTTTTGTGTACTAAAAGGTGCTTTTTAGAGATGCAGAGATGTAAAATAAACATTTTGTATAAAATTTCATAAATTTGAAGGATTTGAAGAAAATGACAGAAGTGTAGCAAGTTCAATTGGTGCCCTGTTCTTATACAAATTTGACAGTTTTATTAAAAAATTAGCAAAAGAGAAAAAAAGGTAGGGAATTGTTCCTGATAGTAGTGATAGTTAATTTTTTCAATGTATTATTTTAACTGAGATAATAATAAGGGGGATAAATAAAATTTTATCGGAAACAGAAAAGGTGACAGGGGCCCTATTATTCGTGATACGGTCATTGTTGTTTATCAATTAGCGCAATTAACTCATGGGATTTTATCTTTTTTCAAAAATTACAAGCTCTTATTTTAAATCAATTAATTCGATTTCCGTCGCTAATTATTGCGTGAAAATGTCAAAAACAGCGATATTATTATTAGCTGAAGGAGCTGAAGAAATGGAAGCCGTGATAACGGCAGATGTTTTACGACGTGCCGGGGTAAGAAGAGGTTATGTTCTCTAATTAAAATGAACTTTAAAATCTATATATAATTTAATTTAACATTAATAATCATTGTATTACGGTAATTTGTTCACAGTTTTTAGTTGTATTTAGTCTTTGAATTTTTTAAAAAATAATGGAGTTTTTTTAAATAATTTTAATTAGAAATTTTGAAAATAATTGAATTTTATGAATAATTTCTTTCAAGTATTTAAAATAATCGTATTTATTAATAATTGAAATAATTAACATTTAATTTATTACAATTTTAGAAATTAATTGAATTTTTACAAAAAATATTATTATTAAAAATTTTTTAAAAATGGAATTTTTTTTAAAGAATTTATTTGCAAAGATTTTATAAAAAAATTTTGCTATTTTCGTTTTACAATTAAAAAAAATACTATTTTTTCTTTTTTCGTTTAAAAAATAAAAAAATATAATTCTATAAAAATAATAATATTCAACTTTTGCAATGAATTTTTAATGCAACAAAATTGCGAATAAATGCCCGAAAATTTATTTTTATTCTTTGTTTAAAATAAAGGTTCAAGTTACAATTGCTAGCATTAATGATGAGAAATGTGTAAAATGCAGTAGAGATGTAAAAATTTGCACCGATTCAAATTTCACTGATGCTACTAAAGATAAAAATTACGATGTTGTCGTGTTGCCTGGTGGAGTTGGTTATAAAAAATTGGCGGCCGTGAGTTTATTCTTTATACAATATATTTATGTTAAATACAATAAACTGATTTTTTATGCTTTATCTAATGAAGAAAGAAATTAATTCTTTAATTAAAATTAAGAAGTTAATTAATAATTATTTTTTTTAGTCTCAATGTGTTGGAACTTTATTGAAAGATCAAGAATCAAAAAAGGGAATTATCGCTGCAATTTGTGCAGCTCCGGTTGTTTTAAAAGCCCATGGAATTGCTAAAGGAAGTAAAATTACTTCCTATCCATCCACTGAAAGTGATTTAAAGGACGATTACAAATACATTGAGGATCAAAAAGTCGTCACTGACGGTATAAGTTTTGAATACTAATAATTTTCCTTTAGAACAAAACTAAATCAGCTCATTTTTTAAAAAAAATGATGATTAAATTATTAATTTCAGGCAATATAATAACGAGTCGAGGACCAGCGACAGCTTTTGATTTTGGTTTGGCGATTGTCGAAAAATTATTAGACAAAGAATCTGCGCTCACAGTAGCAAAAGCAATGCTCTACACAGATTATAAATAGATTATTAGGAAAATGATTCAGAATCATTATAAAAAAATCAATTTTCTTTATAGTTTTTCAAGGATTAATTTAATTAAACCTAAATAAGTGAATAATTAACAAATTCGTATAGTAAACGAATAATTAATATTAATATTAGTTGAATACTAATATTTATTAATATTAATTAAATATTAAAAAGGAAACAAATTTGTACGTAAATAAAACAAAAATTCTTTTGGAAATAAAAAGATTGCAACAATCGAATGTTTATATATACTTTAAAATATTTATTTTTCATATATAAGAATTATAAATTAAAATAATGTTTAAAGTACGAAACGATAAAATTGGATTTTTAAATGAGAGAAAAGCCCAAGTTTTCATAGGAAAAAAAATTTCTTTAGACACAGGGGGGAGAATAATTATCTTTTGTTTCAAAAGGAAATATGTACACCGTATAACAAATATAACATACAAATTCCTTACACTAATTAATTAGAAACGATTAACGTTTCCAAAAATTCATTTGGCAGGTTTCATATTAATATTTCGTAGCATGCACAAATCGCGTGCAGTTGCTTTTCGGCCCGCTGCTGTTTGAATGTCGTACAACCTCAATAGTAAATCAGTTGTGAAACATTCCGGCAGTGCTTTTAGAAGACAAGGCACCTATGAATTTATTTTCATTAATTATTTTCTTTACTTTTTTTTATATAAGAGTTGATTAAATTGTTTAGATAATTTTCTAAATTGTCTAAATACAGGGCTCGAATCAGTGAAAGTAATTAAAAATTTTTTTTAAATTAAATAAATATAAAAAAAAATAATTTTCATTTAAAAGAGTAAAAAAGGGAAAAAATATCTCACCAAAGTTTGCGGCATTTCCTGTAGAACAATTCGCGTTCTATCTTTTCCACATTGCACCATTAAACGCAAAAATTGTAGAATAAAATGCGTTTGCTGTGAGACCTCACCATTTCTACCGGCGAGATATGTGAAATTATTGAAAATTTTATTCAACGCCGATAAAAGTGGATCGCGTAATAAAATCATTTTTTGTCCATTCGTTGGTAATTGTGATTGCGGTGAATTTGATCCAAATATTGGATTTGAATCGCCAGCTTCATTCAGTCTTAAAATTTTATTTGCCGGCACACCAAGTGCATCCAATTCATCGGCATCTAAATCATGTCGTGTACGTTTTCTACTATTACCATGCTGTGGATTTGTATTATTATATTCGAGCGTTGAAAATATACAATAAACGCATAATTTTGCCAATACAAATGATTGTGGCTCAACTAATTCTTCACTTCTGCAGAATAAAAAGAAAATCAATTTAGAATTTTCCCATTCTTTTCAATAAAGTCTTCATAAATCAATTTTCGATAATTGAAATTCTTTTTAAATTCACGCTTTTATTAATAATTCAAAAAAAATTATTTTTTTTAATTATTAATAAAAGGGTGAATTTAAAAAAAAGAGAATACTTACTGTAAGCTATTATACAAATACTGGGGAACAACGTTATTGATGAGATCAAGAGTACAATTTTCAATGTCGAAATGAAAAATGGCAAAAGTCAAATCAACGGCTCTGTCAAGTTCCTCTTGATATTTATATTTTAACGTTGCCTTCACTAGATTTGAAACAAACCAAAGAGATCCGCCTGTATTTAATAAAGAAACGAGAGCTTCCGCCGCTTGAATATTAATCCAACCACGATGATGAATATCCTGCCATATTGATTCCAATTGTTCCAAAATTGGTTGACGAGATATCAGACTTAAAGAACAAAAAGAACAGGTTTTGAATAAATTTAATTAGAAATTCTAAAGAACTTAGATTTTTGAAAAAATTATAATAATTTTATAGAAGAATTTTAGTTAAAAACACTAAAAAGAATTAAATTTTGGAGAAGTTACAAATGATTGTAGAAATTCAATTATTTGAAGAAGTAAAGAAAAATCTCGTCAAAAATTCAATTGTTTACAAAAAAAAGTAAAATCTCGTCAATACTTCAATTATCTTTATAAACAATAAAAATCTTCTCCGAAATTTAATTATTTTCAAACATTTTTTTAATTCTCATAAAAATTTCAATTATTTTTATAAATAATAAAATTCTTCTCCAAAATTTAATTATTTCAAAAAAATTTAATTAAATCCTTGACAAAATTTCAATTATTTGAACAAAATTTTCCTCAATTCAATGATTTTTAATATATACTATTTTAATAAAACTTTCCAAAAGAATTCAAATATTTAATTAAGAATTTTAATGAAATTCTTCGCAAACATTCAATTTTTGTCATAAATAATATTTTTCCAAGAATTCGATGATTTAAAATGCAATTTTTTTTACATTTTTTGGAAAAAATCAATTTTTTAAAAGAATTTTTATAAAATTCTTCGTTAGAATTCAATTATTATTTTCAAAAATTTTAATAAAATGCTATATAAAAATTGAATTATTATCAATAAAATTTTTATTTGATTTAAAAAAATTGTAAGAATTCAATTATTCTCATAACTAATAAAATTCTTTGCTGAAATTCAATTATTTTTATGAATATTAAAATACTTTACATAAATTGCAATTTTAATTTAATTTGTAATTTTAATAAAATTCTTTGTAAAAAATCAATTATTTAAAAAAAATAAAATTTCTAAAACAAAATCAAATTATTTAAAAGAATTTTTATAACATTCTTTACAAGAATTTAATAATTTTGTTTTCAATTTTAAATGAATTCCCCGAAAGAATTGAATTATTCTTACAAAAATTTATGACAAATATTTAAAAAAAAGTTTTATTATTCTAAGAAGTTTTGATAAAATTCTTTATAAGAATTCAATTTTAAGAAGAATTAAATTATTCAATAAATTATTTATTCTTGTATTTAAATAATTGAATTGTCGTAGAATTTTCTAATAAATATTGATTTAGAAATAAAAAATAGTTAAAAATTATAGAAAACAGTAATTAAATTGAAATGATGAATGTAATTTTGAAGAAGCAGCAGTAACAATATTTTTATAATCTAATCTAGTGATTCAAAAAGGTTTGAATTTGAATTTTTTTAAAACCCTGTTATTTTTCACGCTATAAAAATTGAAATAAGTTGCATTTTATACCACAAAAAATGTCATATTTTGTTGGAATATTTGGAAGAAAAGTTTTAAAAAATTCGAAAGTAAATCAAGAAAAGTCATAATATCCGAATCCTACACAAACAAATTTAAAAATGTGAAAAAAATATATTTGTCACCTGTGAGAGACGGTGAGAACTTTCTTCGATTGCGTCGGTGGCCGGACATCGTATTGCATTTTTCGTATTATTTGGAACATTAACAATGATCTGAAAAAACATTTTTTTTTTGTTATTTTGAAAAAATACAATAAACTTTGATATAAATGTGACGCGCTCTGAAAAAAGGGTTCAATGTTGTTCAAAGTGCGTCAGAAATAAAAAATAAATTTACCTCTCCTTGTAATATTCCTGTGACTCGTCGCTTGTAGCGGGAGTTAAAAATTGTTGTACCATATTCATTGGTTTCAAAAGTGCATCTTGATTAGTAATGCTCATATGTGCGCACAGCCATGTTGTCGCACAAACTGGCAAACAACAAAAACCATTACGTAAACGATCTAGCGCACGTTTCACATCACCAGCACTCAAACCACCGCATTCCCATCCAATAAGTAATTCCTTAACAACACCCATTGCCGCTTGACACGTACCATCCCAATTCATTGTACTCGTGACAAAATCATTTTCACCCGAATAAATATGTTGTAACAATGAATCAACAACACTCTGATCAATATTCTGCAGCATTTTATGCGGTGATTTTGGTTTTCCACGCTCTGGCATACACTCACGTACCCATTGTTCGAAAAATGAATCGCCACCTTCCTCGAGTACATCACAACCATATGTTTGTACAATTGAATAGAGCATCAGGAATGTAACATCGAAAATAATACTTCGCGTTGATGTTGACTTATCGTTAACCGGTTGTTCATTTGCTTGTTTACTTGCCTCATTAAATTTTATCATCTTCGTCACAAATGCTTTAAGTTTACCCTCAACCGAAGCAACTGCCATTATTAAATCAAAACTTTTCCCCGCGAGAATTTGATGTAACATACTTAATAGTGCATCCTTTATTTTTGCATAATCGGCATTTAATGTTTTTAATAAACCACTTAATGTTTGTTCGGCGCGCATTATCACTTTTGGAATAACCGACGTTGATGTGATTGGCGTTTCGAGTTTTTGCAGTGCAACTGTCATTCCCTCCCTGTGTGGAAAAAGCAAGAAATATTCTCCTCAATTTTTCTTACAAACAAAAATAATTCTTATACTATTTTGAAATATTAAAATTTTTTTTTATAAAACATACCTTCGGCTACTTATCTGTTTTGCTTGTTTCTCCGTGACTAAATTCACTTTTTGCAATTTATTCAATATACTCTCGATGCAATTACACAAATATGTTGCGTCAATTTTATCCAACAATGGCGTGAAATGAAGTAACAGTTCAAAAGCCTCCAAAATATCCTGTGAGTATTCAAATTTTTCATCGCCTAAACATAAATATTTGCATTTCAACATAAATATTCTTTTTTAGTTTCGCAGTTTTAAGTTAGTTGTTGTTTGCTTTTTTGTTTCTTAACTTATTTAATAATTTTTCTTTTTAAATAATTTTCAATTTTAAAATTAATGTACTAAAAATCATTGAATTCTTGTAAAGTATATATCAAAAAATTTAAAAGTAATTGAGTTTTATAAAAAATTCAATTATTTTCAATAATTGTAATAAAATTCTTTAGTCAATTTATAAATAATAAAAATCTTCATAAAAAATTTAATTATTTTTATACAAATAATAACATTCTTATTAGGATTTTACTTCTTTTCAATACAATTTAAATTGATTTCTTTCAAAATTTCAATTATTTTAAAAAATATCTGAAATTTTCACAGGATTTCAATTATTTAAAAAACTTTTAATAAAATTCAATTCAAGAACTGAATTATTTTTAAAAATAATAAAATTTTCGCTGGAATTCAATTATTTTAAATACAATTTTAATAAAATTCTTCTTATAAATTGACTTATTTTTTAAAGTTTTGCAAAAATTCAATTATTTGTAGAAATAATAAATTTTTTCGCAGGGATTCAATTTAAAATAATTTAATTGTTTTGAAGAATTTATTTCAATTTTCTCGGAAATAAAGGAATTTTTTAAAATAATTTTTACTGCAAATTTTGAAAGTAATTGAATATTACAAAGAATTTCTTTTAAGTTTTTAAAATAATCGTGTTTATTATTAATTTTGGTAAATCAATTATTTTCATAAATATTAAAATTCATCGCAGAATTTCAATTATTTTTAATCGAATTCTTCGAAAAATGTAATGATTCTTAAAAATTTTATTAAAATTCTTTGGAATATTCAATTATTTTCTTATATAACAATATTCATCACAAAAATTCAATTATTTTCAAAAGTATTAAAATTCTTTGCAGAAATTCAATTATATAAAAAATTTTTAATAAAATTCTTCTCATGAATTCAATTATTTTCACAAATAATACTATTTTTCACTAGATTTCAATTATTTTTATTTTATTTGTTTTTTAAAGAATTCTTCGAAAGAATTCAAAGATTTTAAAGCATTTTTTGTAAATAATTACATTTTTTTAAAAGAATTTCATTAAATTTCATAAAAATAATGTAATTATTTAAAATAATTTTAATAATATTAAATTTGAAGAAGTTAACAATTTTCCCGAATTTGAAGCCCATGAGCTTATCGAGATATATTTAAGATATTTAATTTATTTGTGTAGATTGATTCGGGAAAATTGTTAACTTCTTCAAATTTAATATTTAATCACCGAATGATAAATTCACTTCCTTCAATTTTAATAATAATTGAATTTTTCTGAAAAATGTTATTATTTATGTAAATAATTGAATTTTTGACAAAAATTTTACAATTTATAAAAATAATTGAATTATTTCGAAGAATTTGATATCAGAATTTGTTAAAAATAATTGAATTTTTTATTAAAATTCTTGAAAATAATTGAATTTAAATAATATTTTGAAAAATAATTGTATTCTTTCGAGAAATTTTATTAAAATTATCTTGAAAATAATTGAATTCCTTTGTAGAATTTTATTATTTATGAAAATATTTTAAATCTTGCGAAGAATTTTCTTATTTATGAAAATAATTAAATTCTTGCGGAGGATTTTACAATTCATAAAAATAATTGAATTCTTTCGAAGGATTTTATCAGAATTTTTAAAAATAGTTTAATTTAATTAAAAATTTTGAAAATAATGATTTTTTAAAAGAATTTAATTAAAATTGTTAAAAAATAATTGAATTTATATTAAAATTCTTGAAAATAATCGAATTTAATTAATATTTTTTTTTAAATAATTGTATTATTTTCAGAAATTTTATTAAAATTGTAGTGAAAATAATTGAATTACTCTAAGAAATTTTATTATTTATGAAAATAATGAAATTCTTGCGACAAATTTTATTAAAATTTAAAATTAATATAATAAAAAAGAATATTTAATATTATGTACTTAATATGTGAATTCTTTAAATTTTAAGTCTGTAATCATTCAAAAATTGATGTTTATTCTTGAAAATATAAAATTTTTTTAATTTACAAAATACCTAATAAGAAATGGAATACCGCGTTCCGTGCGCTGGCGCGCGTATCATTTGCTAGTTTACTTAGTAATTGAACCTCAATAAATTCTAATCATTCAATTTAAATAATTAATAATACTAATAAAGTATTTAATTAAAGAAGAAAAAACTCACCAGTTAAAGTTGCTGCGTGCAATTCTTTAAGAATAATTGGAACTTTCAAGAAGATAAAAGCCCCCCAATGGGATTCGCTAAATGATCCAGCGACACTGTGTAAACTCATTAAACTAGCGCGGATAAGTTCACAATAAAGTCGCGCATTTGTGTAATTCTTCAATCTTTGCACCATTTGCAATTGACTGACAAAAGTTGCCGTTTCTGTACTTGAATTTAATGATCCCTGAACTGCCAACAATGATTGTAAACAATGCGTTATTGGTTCCATGTCAATTCTCGTTGAACAATGTGACATATTTTCAATTTCTAATGCACACAACTTTTTTAATGTCTCATCCAATATAATTGTTGATTTCACATTATTACCACGATGAAGTACTTCGATTTCTTGACATTTTTTAACAACCTCCGCGTATAAATCTGAAGAAAAAAAAAGTATTTGTAAAATAGAAGACAAAATCGATAATAATAACAAAGTTGCCAATTATTATAAATAATTAAATTTCAAAAGGTTTTAATTTGACAAAATAAAATTCTTCCGACAACTCTGAGAAAGAATAAAAATTGAAAATACTTAAATACCTTTATCGTCGTGTTTCGCTAAGTACATCATGGCGCAAATAAAATTGGAATTGAGCATTTCTTTGAGAATACTGGCGGGTTTATCGATTAATTCAGATGATTGTGGATTTAGGGGATTATTTTGTGGCGCTTTCGATAATGCGTGTAAATAACATTGTAGTAACCAATGTACAACCGACAATACTGCTGCGGCAAGAAGATCCTCCTCTGGTTTTCCACGACACGTTATTCCAATGTGAATTGTTTCCAGGAAATTCAATAAACTCAAAATGCAATGTGGCTTATGAAATGCGTCATATTTGCTAATTCGTTGCAAAACGGCCGCATATGAAACAAGCTGAATTTTTTTTTAAACATTATTAAACATTATTAAAAGTAAAAAAAGTTTAAAGCATTATTAAAAATAATAATAAATAAAAGGATAAAATTTGTCATTACCTGAGAACTAAGCGAATGTTTGAGGTAGGAGAGTACTAAATGATTTGGACCCGGACCAACTAATGCTTGTTGAAGTATACAATCGGCTAGATTATAAACATCGCCACTCACACCACGTGGTAAAATCTGTTAAATAAGAACATTAATATTATTAAAAAAATAAAAATTAAATTAAATTCATTTTCGTGTTTTCTTACAGTTTTAATATTTATTCCCCACTGCAAATCACTCCAACGTTCACGCCAAGCTCTTAATAAAAGAGCTTTAAGGCTACTAGTTTTGCTGGTAACTTTGTCCATTGTCAAAAGAGTATTACACATAATGTTTCACTAAGACGTCTCTGTAATAAGAATTATTTAATATTTATTTAACCAACAAATGTGCTTATTATTGCTCTTATTGTTACACATCTTATTGTTACAAATTCTCTATAATTGAAAACAATTTCTTTTGCAAAACTTATTTCAGGGTTGCCACAAAAAATTAATTTTTGATTCACTCTAAAAATTATTAGATACTCAAAAAAAAAATTAATTCAATTATTTAAAAAAATGTAATAAAATTCGTTATAAGAATTCAATTATTATCATAAATAATAAAAATTTTTCCAGGATTTAAATTATTTTTAATACAATTTTAAATGAATTCCTCGAAAAATGTAATAAAATTCGTTGTAAGAATTTAATTATCTTCATAAATAATAAAATTCTTTAGAGCAATTCAATTATTTAAAAGAAATGTAATAAAATTCGTTGCAACAATTCAATTATTTTCATAGATAATAATATTCTTCACAGGATTTCAATTATTTTTAATACAATTTTAGGTAAATTCTTCGAAAAATGTAATTAATTTCAAAAATTTTATTAAAATTCTTCGAAAGAAATAAATGAACAATTATCAATTATTTTTAATAATTTTTGCAAAAGTTCCTAAAGAGGTTTCAAATCCATTTGTTTATAATTCAATTTTACGAAAATTTGATTATTCAAAAATTCTTCAATTAAATATTTAGAAAATAAAAACTTGAAATAATTTTTTAAAGAAATTCAATTAAACCTTTTCAAAATTCAATTATTTCTAAAAACTCATGCTATAATGCTTATTAATATTAAATTATTATTTAAAAATTTAACTGAAATTAATTTTTAAAACATTTCTTAAAACAACTATTTTTAATAACCATCAAATGTTCGTGATATTCAGTTTATTATTATGCAAATTAAAAAAATTTTTTTTTCATCTAAAATATTTATCTTAAATATTTATGAAAATAATTGAATTTTGGAGAAGAATTTTATTATTTTGAAAAATACTTGAAATTTTGACGAGAATTTTTAAAATTTTGTGATCATAATTGAATTTCTGCAAACATTTGTAACTTCTCTAAAATTTAATTTTTTTTAGTGTTTTTAACTAAAATTTTTCTATAAATCCATGATTTTTAATAACTAATTAAATGTATATTAAAAAATTAAAGAAAACTAATTATGAATCCTGTAAATTTAATTTTATCCAGTACTTTAATTAAAATCCCTGAATTTTCCCTGATTTCCCTGACCTGTGGCCACCCTGTTATTTGGATTTACGAACAAATTACGATTTACTAAAATAATATTTAAATAGTAAAAAAAGTATATTATCATACATTTTCCATAAATTCGATACTTTTTGGAATTGTTTACTATTTTTTAATAAATATAAAACAAGAATCGTTTTAGGAATAAAAATTAACATTTAGGAAATGTCAACAGATACTTAGCAGTATTTTTCATAAAAAATAAAATCTGTTAACACTTCTGGTTATTAATTTATAAAGTTCAAAATAATGCATTTTTTTATTAAAAGAAGAACAATTCCGGAAAATATAAAGAATATCAAACTAACCTAAAAAAGTGGTAGACGTAGACATTCTGTATTTTTTGCATACAATAAATTAATAGAATTAAAAACTTACCTTCTATTGCCCTCGACAATTAACAGTGAAATTTCTGCAGAAAACATATTTTTTATTTTGTTTCAAAAAATAAAAATTACATTTATTAAGAATACAACAGAAACAGATGCAAAGGCATCAGTAAACACGGTCAACCATTTTGTTTTTGAAAAGGAAGTGAATGGAAAAAAGGGGATGTGGACGTATCGTGGACAAGTTTCTTATCGACCAATCACAGAATTTTTTGTAATTCACTGATTGGTCAATTTGTCCACAGTGATTAAGCGCGGGGACAAAATGTCATATTTAAATCAAAATGTACGTAATTCGACAATTTTTTTTAATTATTTATTATTTATCAATTATTATTGATAAAATTTATTATTTATCAATTATTATTAATAAAATTAATTTTAAAAATGCGAGAAACTATTTTTTTTTACTTTTTTGATTGAAAAACAAAAAAATAAAAAGATACAGCGATATTTTAAATTTTATTAGTAAGTATTATTAAACTCTTTACATACTTCGTCGTTATAATCATGAATAACCGATAAGAATTATTCCTTAACTTACATTACATCCACACTCGCAAGCATACGATCCGTTTCTTATTGGAAAAAAAAAATAAATTCTAATCCTTAAAAAAAAAATTCTACACTCAATTTTTCATAATTAAAAAATAGTTTTCTATGCAGGAAAATCTGACCATCATACCAATTTATTCTCACTTGGAAAAAGAAGTCTGGGTAAGAAAAATATTTTTCCTTTAGAAAATACAAATATCTAACCGACTTGGATTTAAAAATAAAATTTTCCAAAACACCCAATTTTTTTTTACAAATATTTTCAAATGCCACAATTTTTCCTTTTTCCCCAAAAATATTATTAGTTAAATAAAAAAAAAATTAAAATAGAAAAAAATTAAATTCATTAAATTAAAAAAATTGTTTTTTTGATAAAGTATAACGGCTTTCATTCACAAATTGTTACAAATCGCTCGTATCACATTTATTTATAATCAAAAAAAGGACAATTTTTTTTTTACAATTTACCCTACTTTATATAAATTACGAAACCATTTTTTCAAATGGCGTCTTTTTTATGGATTTAAAAAAAAAGGTCGAAAAAAATGAAACAAAAATGCAAAATTACATTCATTCGATTCTTTCAGACGCAAAGTCTTCTTTTTTCTTTAATATATATATTTCCACATTTCAGTTTTTCAAAGAAACGCAAAAATTAATTTTTCTTTTCTTTTTTTGCATTGGTCTATCTATATTATGTCTATAATTATTATGTATAGTAACTTTTAGGCAAAAATCATATTTTTTTACGAATGTAATTCAACGACTATACAACATCCACAAGGATTTCTTTCTTTTTTTTTTTTTTAATCTTCTACCTTTTTTGCACAAATATTTCAAATGCGCTTTTTATCAATATTTATTTTCTTTTTCTTGTAATATATATTTATCCTTATTTTTCTTCTTCCTCCCTCTTAATTATTTTATTTTTTATAAAAAAAGGTCGCGGGTACTCGTAGAAAATATCTCTAAGAATCTCGCTTTTAGACCCTTATTTTTTATATGTATGAAAAAATTCACGGCCGGTGAAAAAGACATTCTTTTTAGACATTCGTCTTCACTATTTTTTTTTTCTCATAATAAAAATTTCATTCGTTTGAGAAAAAAAATTGCTTTTCTTCGTTCGGAAAATCTCGATTTTTTTCAAAAAAAAAAGCTTTCCATTCTTTATAATTATCAATTATTAATTATTAAATATCAATTATTGAAAATTGGATTTTATTCCACTAATTTTTCTTTTTCATTAACATTTTCAAATGAGTAAAAAATTATTTATTTTTTCCTTTTTGGAATCGAATTTCGTTTTTAAATGGTAATTATATGGCTGCTATTTTTTTTATATAATGGAAGTAATTCTTTTTTTTAAGAGATCGTCCAAGAAAAAAAAAATCATTGGGTTAAAGGAAATCCTGAAAAGTAACATTATTTTATCATCATATTTAATTTACAAATTGCCAAATTCAAGATTCGCAATTGATTTATAATAGCAATTAATAGTATATAATACAGCTTCACTCAGATAAAAACACACATATTCATCTAGCATATTTATATATCGTTTTTAAAATTCTGCTGCGGCGATTCTATTTAATGCAACATTCTTTTCTCTCTCTTTTTTCATTCATTTAAATACGAAATCTGTTTTTCTATTTTTTTTTTATCAACAAAACTCAGAGAGTATACTTTCTAATCAAAAAGTACAAAAGAAACTTTTAAATTTAAAACTTTATTCCTTTCTTTTTTAATGAATTGATAACACACACAATTATGCTCTTTATTCCAAAATGTTTCTCGTTTATTTATTTTTTTTTGCTTCGGAAAAAAATTTATTTTTTAAAATTAAGAGGACGTCTCTCAAGTACAAAGAATAAAGAGCTAAATTAGAAGCAAGACAATATTAATACTAAAAATAATAATAATAATAAGTAATAATTATGAGAATGAAAAAAGAAAATTATAAAATAAAAACAATTTTTCTCTGCAATTTTCTATATTTATTCGTTCGCTTCTCTATTCGATGTAACAAAACATTTTCACTTAAAAAAATAAAAAAAAATTTCTCTCGGTTCTCATTTATTTATTTTTTTTTGTACATATCAGACACATTCGAAAATTTCTATCAATCTCTCAAATTTTTTCTTCTTTTTAAATCTTTTGCAAACAAAAAAAAACTATTAAAAAAAATAATAATAATAATTACAACAGCCTAAAATTCCGTAAACTTTGGGATTTTTCTTTTTTTGACGGATTGACGTCCTCGTGTGGACTCTTTACGAGAATTATTAAAGTCAAAAAAAAAAAAGTACAAGAAATAGCATCGCCAAGCAGGTGTTTTTCGCATTTAATCGACAACAAAAAACTTCGTTTCATTTAAAAATCCTATAACAGACAAACAAACAGACACCGCAGTTTGGGTTTTTTTTTCTTTTATCTCCGTAACAAGGGCGCAGTATTTTACACTCGTCGGTTTTAAAAGTACAGTGCTGGATATTAGTGGCTTCGTATTTCTTTCTCTGATTAATTTTAAAGGAAATTCAGTATTTTTGTGATAATTTTTTTTTTCAATTACCCTTTCTTTTGTTGAATTTAGTCAAATTAGAAGGCATTAGCGACCAGCACTGTTTTAATTTTCATTATTTATTTTTTTTTCTCTTTTTCTTTTCATTTTTAAATCTAATAAAGGTTTTTTTTTTGCAATTGTTGTGGATGGAGATAATTTATAAAGGATTTGATGGAATTTGAAAAGGGGAGGGAAGGAGAAGGAGGAGGAGGTGTTTGGTGGAGGATACGATAGTACCTACGGCAAAGCATTTCTCGTTTCAGAATGTGTGTTGTGATGAGAAAATTGGCTGGTTTGGCTGGATGGTCATGATTAATTCAGTCCTGCATCTCTTCCGGCATTTCGTGTGGATTCAAAATTCCAGGCACTGACATTTGTTGCTGTCTCTTTTCCTCCTGGGCTATTCGCAATGCCGTCTCTCGTTCCTCCAAATAAAGATCGGAATCATCCTCACCAGTGTATTCCTTTAAAAACAAAATAAATTAGTTTTATTTTATATCAAAAATTCTTTTTTTCAAAACATTTTTAGCAGAAATTTGATTTCAATTATTATTAAAATTAGTCTGAATAATTATTACTTTAAACTAATCTTAATTTAATACAAATTCAAATTAACTTTCGGAAATTTACTTTTAAAACTCACAAATGTAAAATATTTTAATACTAAAAAATGTTACGCGCGCGCGGAACATGATATTCAATTTATTATTATGCAAATTCCAAATTTTTTATTTTTAAATATAAATTTTTGAATAATTTCATGATCAAAATTTAAAAAATTCACTTATTAAGTACATAATTAATTTTTATTGTTTATATTTTCAAAAATTTTAATAATTTAAATTTTTTTAAATTAACAAAAATTTGAATTCTTGGCAAGAATTCTATTATTTTTATAAATAATCTTCGGAAGAATTCAATTACTTTTAAAAATAATAAAATTTTTTGAAAACATTCAATTATTTTCTAAAATTTTAATAAATTCTTCTAAATTCAATTATTTTCTAAAATTTTAATAAATCCTTCGAAACAATTCAATTATATTCAATAATTTTAGTGAAATTTTCAATTTTACGAAGAAATTCAATTATTTCTTTGATTCGTTATAACATTTGTCAAAAGAATTCAAGTATTTTAATTGATTCAAGGAATTTTGATTGAAATATTGAAAATAATTGAATTCTTCTAAAGAATTAAAAAATTTTTTTTTTAATATAATCGATTTTGTTAATAATTGTAATGAATAATTTTATCATTAAATTTTATTGAAGTTATTGATAGAAAATTAAATTCTTTTGAACAAATTTTATTAGTTTCCGTAAATAATTAAATTTTGTCGAAGAATTACTTAAAGTAATTTTTTAAGTAATGTATTTTTTAAAAATAATTTTAATTAAAAATTTTTAAAATAATTGAATTTTATACAGATTTTTAAAAAATTTTTGAAAATAATCGTTTCTGATAAGAATAATAATTAAAAATTTGATTATTGGATTTTATTAAAAAAATTTTGTAAATAATTGAATTCCTGAAAATAATTAAATTCTAGCAAAGAATTTTATTAAAATTTTTGAAATAATTGAAATAATACAATTCCTGCAAAGAATTTTGCTGTTTTTAATAAAATAATTGAATTCTTTCGAAGAATTATAAAAATAATTGAATTCTTGCGAAGAATTTTATTAGAATGTTTTTAAAAAATAAACATTAATATCTAATTAATTATGTAAGTAAAAAGTTAATTTTTTAAATTTGGAATCTAAAATTAAAGTGAAATTTTCAATTTCAAAAAAAAATTCAATTTTTTTCTTAATTCGTTATAAAATTTATTTAAAAAATTCAATTATTTTTATAAGCAATAAAAACGAATTCAATTATTGCCAATACAATTTTAATAAATTTCAATAATAAAATATTTCATTATAATTATTAAGAAACACGATTATTTTAAAAAGTCGAAACAAACTTTTTGTTCAATTCAATTATTTTGAAAATTTTTTAATTAAAATTCAAAAAAAAAAAATACACTACTTTAAAAAAACTTAAATTCTTCAAAATTCAATTATTGTTAAAATTTTTATAGTATCTTTTCTTGGAAAGTATGTAATAATCTTCTATATTTTAATAAAATTTCTTGAATGAATTAAATTATTTTAGAAATTTGTAATAAAATTCAATTACCGACTTACAAAATTTTCAATTGAAAAAATTTTTTCAAAGTATTAAAGAAACTCCATTATTTAAAAAAAAATTAAAAGAAATTCTTCAAAAGAATTTAATTAGAATTTCTTAAAATTTAAATATAATTATTTACGAGAATTCAATTATTTTCGTAAATAATAAAATTCTTCGCAGAAAATTCAGTTATTCTCAAATTTTTTGATAAAATTCTTTGCAAGAATTCAATTATTTTTAAAAATAATAAAATTCTTCGAAGAAAATTCAATTATTCTCAAATTTTTTGATAACATTTTTTGCAAGAATTCAATGATTTTCAAGACATCAATTTTAAAATTAAAAATATTTAAAAAGAAAAATTGTTAAAAAAGTTAGGAAATAAGAAAGCAAACAACAACTACATAACTTAAAACTACGAACAGATTACCGGAATTCAACGATTATTAATATTAGCAGATTAAAAATAGAAATAAAAATAAAATAATGTGAAAATGTCAACTTATTTCATTTAATTTAATAAAATTTAATAAATTAAAATTAAGATGTTAGCAAACGAAATTATATTGGAAAGAAACGAAATAAAAATTGAATTCTTTAACTACTTACTCTAATTTGAACGAGGAAATCTCTTAAATGCTCTTTAAAGGCTGGGATGTCTTGGTTGAGATTAAACAATCCTTGAACAGTGATTTTAATTTGATTGTCCGTCAAATGTGGAAACGCTGTCCTTAGTAACCTTGCTACGAAATCTTGAATGTAGAGTGTGTTGTCAGGAATGGGACCCAATGGTATCTGAATTCTTCCGGATTCCACAAGTGAAAACATGTACGCCAAAATAGTTGCATGCATTGTAAGTCCTAGAAACAATAAGAAAATACATTTACAAATTTTTCATCAAAACAATTATAATTTATTCGAATTTTTAGTTATTATGGATGTCGACCCAAGGTCTGAATAACTAAAAATTTGATTAAATTCAAGGCGCAAAAAAGTCACTTTTGTCGATTAAAAATACAAAAAAATAGCATTACATATTTTTGAAAATAAATCGAAAAAAGTCACATTCTTTTAAAAATAGTCGAAAAAGTCATAATATCCGAGGCGTTATTGTAAATTACTACTTTACTATTATGTAAAAAGAAGAATTAAAATATTGATGAGAATTTATCTCTTGGTAAAAAAATAATAAATAAATTAATAATGAATTAAATAAAAAATTAATATAATTTACCAGCAGTGTGAGATGTATCTGTAACGACACTGAAAATATGCTGAAGAATATCCGTAAAGTATGTGTGATAAAAACTCTGCGCTGCTTGATCGTGTTGCTCGATGTTTTGCAGAAGCTGATGAAGAATATTGAGGCCAGTGTCAGCAACATTTCTCATAGTGTGTTTGAAGGCCCAAATAATTGAATCCAGGACTAGTTTGAACTGCGCCGGAGGAATCGACAGAAAAGCAGGGAAACAATGGACATTCACTGCCTGTAACACAAAAAAATTAATCCCAAATTAATTTAATTTATTTAGTTAAAAACATTTTTTAATATTTTTATCCACTTTCAAGTTTTATAGATTCTTTCCTAAATTCTAATTTTTTTTTTCGAAATAATATAAAATCTATTTAAATTTGATTTGTTAAAAATAAGAATATAATTACCTGTAACAGGAAGAAGAAATTTGTTCTGTGCTCGGGATATACCTCGAAGTCTTTGTTGATCATTTCTAAGGTGCACTCAAACACAGCGTCAAATATTTTCGGTACTTCACTGGTAATATAGCCCTCAAGTTTATTAACAATTGTCGCCATTGCACTTAAAACTTCAGGTTCACGAGCGCATGCAACATTTGTTTTTTGATAATCTATCAATACAGCGTCCAATAAATGGGGAATAAAATTATCCAGCACCTGAAATTAAAAAAAAAAGTAATACTTTTGAAATTGCTTAATTGAAATTTAATTAAAATGGAAATAATATATATTAATAGTATAAGAGAAATTTGAATTAAATGAATGTTTTACCATTTGATGTTCATTCGTTCTGCTAACCCAGTCTGATATTAATTTAAGAGTTTCTTTCTTGACAACTCTCATACTCTTGATTAATGGTTGTTTAGTTACAATTTCTCCGTTTGCTGCAATGGCAGTGCTAATATTCTCACTCATCACCTTATAAACATTCAACATATCTAAATATATTCGTCCTAATTGCATCACGTACGGATGTCCAAGTGCTTTACACGCACGGACATTTGTTTTAAGGATACTGGCGAGCTGCTTCACTGCCTCCTGATCTTTCAATATGTCCACATTCTAAAAGCAAAATTCAAATTCTATTCATTTTTATTCTTTAATTTAATAAATACACAAATTAAATAATAATTTAACGTATATTATTTTACGCAAAAAAATAATAATTTTGTCCCGAAATATTTTTCCAACTTCCTTTACTAATTTTAATAATAATAATAATTATTAATATTATTACTAATTAAATAGAAATAGGAAATCAGGATTGACAAAAAATTTAATGTTGCTTTCTCTAACTTTTCCCTGATTTCCAGACAAAATTTTGACTTTTTTCCTGACCATAAAGAATATTCTGATTCACTCTAAAAATTATTTTCTAGAATTTTTCACCAAAATTCTTCTTTAAATCGATTATTTTTAATAAATTTTTGAAAAAGTTCTTTGAGAATTTTCAAATCCATTTGATTGCAATTTAATTTTACGTGAAATTTTGATTATTCAGAAATTCTTCAGTTTAATATATTATATATATTAGAAAATAAAAACTTCAAGTAATTTCAAAAAAATTCAATTAAATTTTCTCACAATAAAATTAATTCTACAGAATTGTCAGTTAAAAGTATGAAAAATTCAAATTTCTAAATTCTTTAAATTTTAAACCTTTTCAAAATTATATTATTTCTAAATTCTTCTGAAAAATTCAATTAATTGCAAAGAATTGTAATAAAATTTCTTAAAAAAATTAAATTATTTTCCTAAATTAAAAAAATTCATTGCTGGGAATTCAATTATTTTTATAAATAATAAAATTCTTCGCTAAAATTTAATTTCTCTTATAAACAATAAAATTTCTCAAAAGAATTCTATTTTTTAATACCTTTTACATTCAAAATTAAAAAGAAGCATTTATAAACTAATTATCTAATTATTATTGTTGTCTAACATTTTAATAAAATTCCTTGGGAAAATTCAATTATTTTTAAAAGTTTTATAAAATTCTTCCCAAAAATGCAATTATTTTAACATTTTGATTAAATTCTTTACAAGAATTTAATTATTTTCAATAGAATAGTTTTAATTAAATTCCTTAAAAATTTAAACTTCTGCGAAAATAATTTCTTCGAATGTCTTTGAGGAATTTTTAAAATTGTTATAAAAATATTTTAATTCTCATAAAAAATGTGATCAAATTTTTCAAAAATAATTTAATTTTTGCGAAGAATTTTGACAAATTTTTGTAAATAATTGATTGATATTATTTATGAAAATAATTGAATTATTGCAAAGAAGTTTATAACAAATTTGTAAATAATTGAATTCCTGTGAAATTTGTATTATTTATGAAAATAATTAAAAGATTACGTAGAATGTACAAAAAATTTTTTTTCAATAATTGAATTCTTTTGGAAAACTCAATTAAAATTGAAAATCATTGAAAATAATTTCTAATTAATTGTTTATAAATTGTATAAATTTTATCAAATTTTTAATTGGAACCTTTTGAAGTTTATCAATTTATAAAAATTGTAACCATAACTCTTTTAAAATTCCATTAATTTTTAAAATTTGTTTAACAAAAATTATTCAACTTTTGAATAATTTAATACAGAAATTATGAAAAAATTTGATTTTCAAAAACACGTAATTGAAATTTTTTTAAAGGTAATTCAATTCCTAAAAATAATTCTAAAAAATTGAAACAAATTTAAATTTTGTCAAATTTAATTGAAATAAATTTTCAATTTTAAAGAATTTCATTTTTTTCTTTTAAAAATTATTTTGAAATCTAATCGTATTTCTGAACGAATCTAACTGAAAATTTGAAAAATAATTGAATTTTACAAAAATTGAGAACTAAACTTATTATCAGGACAAGGAAAAAAGTTCATATTCTTTATAAAAATCAAAAAAATACATAATAAAATTTTTGTGAAAACCCTAAATGAAATTAGTTTCTTTTTTTTGCTCTTTGAATCGACTAAAATGAGTTTTTTCAGTCGTCAGATTTAATCTTTCTATAGCTACATTTTTATTACTTCTTTTCAGTCTTAAATTAACTTTTGCTACTTTTTTAAATGAATTACCGAGTGCGAAGCCTTAATTTCTATACGAGTCGTTTATATAATTCTTAATTTTTTTTAATTTAAAAAAACGTTTCGATAAATTATTTTTCAACAATATTTTTTCAAAAATAAGGAATTTTCATTAAATTTCAAAAAGAAAATCTTTTAAACTAACAACGGTCGGTAAAATTTAAAGCGCGCTTGTAATTTCGCTAGGTTTCTTACATTTTGAAAATTTGAAAATTTTTTAAATATATTTTGTTAATATTACCTTGGAGGCTTGACTTATAATGTCGTCCCACACTTGATTCGGCAATAGCATGTACTTTTCAATCAAATGGTCCTGCACTACCGTGTCAACTTGGGCATTAATCATGTAACCAACAGCTTCATAAAATGTATGAACCTTAAAAAATCATTTCGATTCATCAAAATTTACACATTAAAACGAAAGAGTATTGTTTCCTAATTAAAAAATTGTAAATATGTATTAATTAAAAACGTAAAAATTATTACTGTACTATTAATAAATAAATAAATATAAAAAACTTTATCTTACATAGTTTTGCATTTTTCGAAATTGTAATCAAAAATCGAAAATAATATTAAAATAGAATTATTATTACAAAAAATTAGTAAATTATTTATATTTTTAGATTTACCTGTTGTGTTTGGAGATCACAAATGATACTGCTAATGGTAGATAAAATTTCTTCTATAAAGGGCACAGCCTCGCCAATTTGCAACGTTACAAAATGTCGTCTACATTTCAGAGCAATTTTAATAAAAGTATCGCATGCCATGTCCTGTACTCCCTCATGTGTTTCTAATAAGAAAATAATTATTATTCATTATAATTATTATTTTATGATTCACTTAATTTAACTTATAACATGTTTTACACATAATTTATAAATGATTAAATGTTATAATTAAAAAATTATGTATAAATAACTAAGTCAAGAACTTAAAAAATTCTCTTTTTGATGAATAATTCAAATTCAAAATTTCCACAATTTTTTTTAGCAGACAAAGTTAAAAAATTTCTATTCATTGAAACAAAATTCGTTTAGAAAATAGAAAAAATTTAAATTTAAAACAAATTAAATTTAATTTTAATTAGAATATTATTATAAACGGAAATTTTGATCATAAATGTTATTTTTGTCATTTAAGAAAAATGTTTTATGAAGTAAATAATGTAAATGAAGTGAATAATAATAAAATGATTAAAATATGGATAAATTAGAATTTTAAATAGATTCAAACTCGTTATTGCCTATAAAGACTAAAATGAGAATAATTTTTTTTTGTTCTTATAAAAAGAGAAGAAATTTATTATACACTCACCGTGCATGAATTCGAATAATTTATTCACAACGGTTTTCAAAAATTTCCAATGAGCGCGAAGAAAACGTGGATATTGTCCTACGACATACATAATATTACTGGCGATAATGGCCTTGTTGTCCTTGCCCTTTTTCTGCTCACATAAGCCAAGCAAGTCCTTTATTACAGTCACAAGAAAGCGTTTCTCATCCTCCTCGTGCATTGCACCCGAAATACTTCCTATCGCCCAACACAACTGCAATCAAAATTATTTACTCATTAGCATTCAATTTAAATTCTTATTTTGACGAGTTTCTTTAAATTTTTTGAAAATAATGTTATTTTAATTAAAAATTTGGAAAATAATTGAATTAAACAAAGAATTTTTTCAACTTTTTAAAATAATCTTGCCTGTTCATAATTATAATTGAAAATTAGATTAATTCAATTTTATTAAAATGTATTGATACTAATTGAATTTCTGCAAAGAATTTTACTAATTATAAAAGTAATTAAATCCTTCCAAAGAATGTTATTATTTATGAAAATAATTGAATTTTGGAGAACAATTTAATTATTTATAAAGATAATTGAAATTTAGAGGAGAATTTAAAAAAATTTTTAAACATAAATTAATTGAATTTCTGCGAAGAATCTTATGGAAATTTATGAAAATAATTGAATTCTTGTGAAGAATTTTGTTTAAAAATAATATTTAAAAGAATTTAGTAAATCTAAACAATTTTGCTATTTATGGAAATAATTGAATTCTTGAGAAGAATTTTTTTACATTTTCTAGAAATAATTGAATTCTTTTGACGAATTTTAATAAAATTTTTAAGAACAATTACATTTTTCGAGGAATTCGATTAAAATTGTATTAAAAATAATTGAAATTTTGCAATCAGTTTTACTATTTATGAAAATAATTGAATAAATTGCGAAGAAATTTAAAAAAATAAAATTGTAATTACGGTGACTTACTTCCTTTGATTAATTTATTTTCGAAAAATTTTAATAAAATTCTTTAAAAGAATTAAATTATTTTTAATAGAATGTAAAGAAATTTCAATTATTTCAAAAATTTTCATTTATTTGTTTATAAAAATTCAATTACTTTGAAAAATTAGAATTGAAAAATTTCAAAAATCTTGTTTTTCAGAATTTTTAAAAAAAACTTTGCTAAAATTCAATTTTATTACAAAATTTTAAGCGTTATTGATTTTATACTATCAAATTAATTATTTTTAACTAATTCAAATTTGGAAAACAGTCTAAATATCTATAAAAATTGAAATAAAAAGCGATTTTTTAAAATCAAATTAAACTAATACAACTTTTTTTAATTTGGTGAATAAATTCCCGGTTTGGCATAAAATTCCTGGCTCATTCCCGGTATTTCCCGGTCAAATTGAATTCCCAGTTAATAGACATCCTGATTTACGCATTTCATTAATTAGTGTCTATAAACTATTTAATTACAGTAAAATAAATACAGGCTTCACACTCGATAATTAGTTTTTGAAAAAGGATCAAAAAGTAACTTTAAGACCGAAAAAAGTAGTAAATAGTTGGTTTTAATAGATGAGTATGAAGCCTGAAAAATAAACAAAATAGGAAAGAAATAAAAAGTTATAAATTAAAATGTTAACAAAATTAAAAGTGACTAGAATTAAATGTAAAAAAATGATTTCTCTCACCGTATTGAGATTTTTCCAAGACCATTCGGTGCCATTGACTTGATTTTGTAATTTCTCTGTCATAACACGTTCAGTGTCAACATAATCAAGATGAGTGAGATAAACAAGTGTCTCCCTCATATTTTTATACAAATTTATTGAATCCGTGTCCTTCATAAATTCCCTAACAACTTCGCCATTTTCATTTTCAACAACGAGCACCTCCTCTGGTTTTGCCATTCGACTAATCATAATATAACGTACTTTAGTTAATACAGGACAATAAAATAATCTCCTTGGTGGTATTGCGACATTATTTTTTGTTAAAAATAATGGCGATGTTGACATAAATGGATTTTCACGATAAAGATCGGCGGCCAATCCATTCCAATATTCGAGGCATATTTTAAAAATTTCCACCTCCTCAACATCGGATATTAAAACAAGATAATGTAATGCCTTCGATAATGTTTCATTCATTTGTTTCTTTTCAACCAATTGGCCATGTTCCTTTAAATAGGTGCACAAGAACATTGCCAAATTTTGTATAAAATTTTGATCCTGATCCTGACCCATTGCATAGGCATCGCGTATTTTTGTATCCAATGGTAACATTTGCTCCAATTGTGACATTGTATTGGCAAAAAGAACAATAAACATGTCATCGTAATTTGTCACAGTGACGCCTGCGATTTCGGTCAAACATTTTAATGTCACGTTTCTGAATATTGGAACGTTTAAAAACTGTAAAGAGAGGAAGAAGAATTTTTTAATTACAATTCATCATTTTTTTAATTAGAAAATTTGTTTTTAAAGATAAGAAAAGAAATAAAAATACTTTAAATATCAGAGTGGTGATTAGTTTCGTCTCGAAAATATAACCGAGAGGAATCCAATTTAGAAATCGAAGTAGCGTCTCGAGTGTGACGGCAACCAGAGGAACGTTTTGCGAATTGTCCATGACAAATTGACAGAGTTGAAAAATTTGCGAGAATTCACTGCACATTGTATCCTTCAAGTGTTTTGCTTTTGTTTGCGTTATTTGCCCACTTGAAAAATCAAATACTTCCTCGGATAATAATTTCAAAATGGCCATATTATTTTGACAGAGACTCTCATTGGTTTTACTTGCACCGACAATATCGCCAATAAATGATTCCCAATTCTTTGGCCATTCTCGCTTTAGTACCTGCAGAAAAAATCGGAAAGATTAAATTAATAACTATACTTCGTTCCACGAGAGAATGCTTTCTGACGCGCAGTTTTTTTTTCTTAAAGCGTGGAGAAAAATTCAAAAATGGTGTTTTCCGAAAGTCTCATAACCAATGAAAATATTGGCTGCTAACTGAACACCTACATTTTAAACTTCTGAAAACCAATTCTTTCACGACACATGTTCTAGCAACCTATGTTTATGACGGTACTAATAAAAGAAAAAAATACAGGCAGTAAAATATTCAAAATTTTTAAATATTACAATTAATGAATTTTTATTAACATATTTGGAGTCTATCAATTTTGCTGATTCCATTGATATTTAATTTTTTTTTCTAGACATAAAATTAAAACATTTAATTTTCACTTTTTATCTACAGAATTTACAATAAAGAATATTTAATTTTATAGTCGGAAAAAAATTATATATCAATTGAATCAGCAGAATTCATAGATTACAAATATATTATTAAAAATTTATTAATTGTAATATTTAAACATTTTTAATATTTTATTGCCTCTATTTTTTTCATTTATTACCACTGTCATAAACGTGGGTCGTCGAGACATGTGTCGGCCGAGAGTTAAACTTGAGTCGGGATATTTAAATTATGGAAAAAGGCTTGGCCACAATTTTTTTTGGGAAAATGGGCCGTCTAAATTTCAAAATTTAGCGAATAGTGACAATTTCACTAATATCTGCGCGAAATGGACGAAAACTCGTCCTTTTACGACAGCATTCTCTCGTGGAACAGGGTATACATAAATTTATCAGGGTTGTCACAAAAAATTCAAATTAAAATTGTAAAATTATTCGAAAACATCAATAAATTCTTTTTTAAATAAATATTTAATTATTATTACTTCTTCATAGGAATTAAGATTTTTAAAAAATTCAAATTAAAACCTTTTGAAATTCAATTATTAATAAGAATATTATTAGAAAACATGAAGATATCGAGCACTCCGAGTGTTCGACTCGGAGTGATCGACTTCTTCATGTTTTATAATAATTTAAACTTCCATACAAATAATAAAATTCTTCGCTGAAATTCAAATATTTTCAAAATCTAATATTTTATTAATATTTCTCAAATAAATTCAATTATTAAAAAAAACCTGTAATAAAATTCTTTGCTAGAATTCAATTATTTTCATTAATAATCAAATTCTACACAGGATTTCAATTATTTAAAAGAAATGTAATAAAAACCATTGCAAGAATTCAATTATTTTCATAAATAATTAAATTCTTCACAAGGTTTCAATTATTTAAAAAAAATGTAATAAAAATTCTTGCAAGACTTCAATTTCAATTATTTTTAATACAATTTTAAGTAAATTCTTCTATAAATGTAATTAATTTCAAAAATTTTATTAAAATTCTTCGAAAGAATTCAATTATGAAATTATTATTAATAATTTTTGCAAAAGTTCGTTAAGAATTATCAAATCCATTTGTTTACAATTCAATTTTACGAAATTTCGATTATTTAGAAATTCTTCAATTAAATATATATTAGAAAATAAAAACTTGGAATAATTTCAACAAAAATTTGGTCTACAATTTTTCAAAAAAATTATTTCAACGGAATTGTTAATTAAAAATATGGAAAATACAGATTTTCAAAAATTATAATTTGAAATCTTTTCAAAATTCAATTATTTCTAAATTCTTCTAAGAAATTAATTAATTTGCAAAAAAAGGATTAAACTTCTTTAAAAAATTCAATTATTTTCGTAAATATTAAAATTCTTCAAAATAATTCAATTATTTTCAATATAATTTTATTTAAATCCTCGAATGAATTTTAATAAAAATCTTCCAAAAAATTAAAATGATTTCATAAATTATAATAAAATTTATCCAAGGAATGAAACTAATTTCTGTAACAAATAAAATTCATCGCAGGAATACAATTATTGTCAAAAATTTTAGTAAAAATTTTCAAAGCAATTCAATTTCCTAAATGAAAAAAATTCATTGCAGGAATTCAATTACTTTCTGGAATTTTTTACTAAAATTCTTCTGTAAATCCATTTCTTTTAATAATATTCCTCTAAATCAATTATTTTTATTAATTCTACAGAATTGTTAGTTAAAAGTATGACTAATAATTCTTCTTCAAAACAATTATTTTTAATAACTTTTGAAAAAGTTCTTTAACAATTTAAAAATTTTAACTGAAATTCATTTTTAAATCAATGAATTAATTATTTATTTAGAAATAAATTATTTATAAAAAATAATTGAAATTGTAATAACTTGGAAATTCTTCAATTAAATATATAAATTAAAAAATAAAAACTTCAACTAATTTAAAAGAAATCCAATTCACCTTTTTCATACAAATTAATTCTGCAGAATTGTTAGTTAAAAGTATGAAAAATTCAGATTTTCGAAGATTTTAATTTGAAACCTTTTCAACATTCAATTATTTCTAAAAATTTATGCCACAATGCCTTTAATATTCAATTATTATCTTAAAATTCAACTGAAATTCATTTTTAAATCAATTTTTACTAGAAAATTCTACTAGAAATCAATTATTTAAATACAAAAATAATTCATTGAATACATGAATGTTTCTCAAAGTTGGAATCTCATCAAGAATTTTATCAATAAATTTTTAAATAATTGAATTTTTTCGACGAATTTTAATAAAATTTTCAAAAATAATTACATTTTTCGAGGAATTTGATTCAAATTGTATTAAAAATAATTTAAAAATCTATGATGAGTTTTGTTATTCATGAAAATAATTGAATATCTGTAGAAAATTTTATTATTTATGAAAATAATTGAATTATTGCGAAGAAATTTATAAAAAATTTGTAAATTGTTAAATTCCTGTGAAATGTTTATTATTTATGAAACTAATTTAATGTTTGCTTAGAATTTTATCAACATTATTTTAAATAATTTAATTCTTTTGAAAAATTTTATTAAAATAGTAAATATTGAAAATCATTGAATGGAGGGAAATTTTAGAAAAGAATTGTAATTTTACCAAGAATTTTATTAAAATTTTTTGAAAATAATTGAATTTTGGAGAAGAATTTTATTATTTTTAAAGATATTTGAAATTTTGACGAAAATTTCTTTAAATTTTTTAACATAATTGAATTTCTGCGAAGAATTTTGTTACTTTTGAAAATAATTGAATTTCTACAATCATTTGTAACTTCTTCAAAATTCAATTTATTCCAGTACTTTAATAAAAAAATCCCTGACTTTTCCCTGAATTCCCAGATCAATTCTTCTTTCCCTGACTTTTCACTGAATTCATTGATTTCCCTGATCTGTTTAAACCCTGTTTATTATTTCTTTTTTTTCACCTGTACGAGAATCATGTTTAATTTGTTGAGATAGACTTTTGAGGCCTCCATTGTTTCAGGATCGCTGCTTGTTTTGATAATCAAACCTACAATATATTTTTTTATACCCTCGCATTGATTTCTCGGCAAAACTTTCCATCTTGTCTTTATAACTTGCTCCAATATTTGTAATGCGTAATATTTCGTTTGTTGATTCTGTAAAAAGTTTAAGGAAAAAATTAATCCAATTTTTTGCTACCTTTAAAAATCAAAGAAATTTTTTTATCCAGATTTTTTTTTCCTTACCTGTGAATATTCTAAAATGGTATCCACTCGTGTCCAGGCATCAGGATGTTCCTTGAGCGTTGTCAGAACGTCCTGTGCAACTCGTTGTTGCTCACCTATTCCAGTGTACATACATCCTACAATATTGTCGAGAAGCGTTATGTCCAACTTCTGGTTAAAGTCCAACAACTTTGAAGCTTGATCGGCTAGAGTTGCCATTATGAATGATTTTTTTTCACACACAAACTGTAAATAAAAAAAATCATTTATTAGAACTATTTTCTTTTGAGAAAAATTCAATATTTTTCTCAATAATAAAAAAATGTAAATATTTCTAATTTTGAATAATTATTTAAAATGAAACAAGAAAGAAGGAAAATTATCCAGACAAACAAAATTGTTTACAATTAGCAAAATACAACGACCGGAAAAGTTGAATTTACAAAAAGACAAAAATAATGTCCTTAAAAATGCAAAGAAATAACATTATTTTCCAATGATTTATAAAATATTTCGAATCACCAGTGAGAAAAAATGATAAATAACGGTCAGACAGCGCCAGCAAAGTAAACGCTTCTCAAATGAGTTCCATGCCAGGCGTCCTCATATAATCGGCATTTATGAAAATTTTTCCCAAAATTTCGATAAAATTGAAAATAAATATTAAGACCAGAAAAGGATACAACATGAAAAGAATGATGATTCACTGGAAACAAGACAAAACGTGCCTCGGGGAGGTCACCGCACTGCGACCGCCCGACCTAACCTACATTTGTCACTCACAAACGGGGTTAGAGGGAACCCGGTGAATTTCCCCATATTCAATAGGAAAATACACAATCACCGGTTAAAATATCATAACCCAATAATGAAAATTACTCACAATAAAAATCAATATTATTTCATAGTAACATTAAAAACATTTTAAAACAATTCCGGTCGCTGTTTTTTGCCATTGCGTCGTTACTTCATATTGACGATCATTGGAGAAGATGAGGTAAATTTTCTCTCGTCTCTCTCATACCCAACAATTTTCATTGAAACCTTACCGTTTTTTCAAAACTGGCACACACACACAAACTTCCTTTTCACGGTCGTTAAAAAAAAAACACTCGTTCCGCATCGACAATTATAAAATGCGATGCCTCCCAGATATAAATCACACAAGAGCACAAAAATGATCAAACACACAAACGACCGATTCCCGCGCGCGACCAACTTCGTTCGTTTTCACACACACTCCGTCTTATTTCACATTGTGTTTCCATCTCACTCGCCATGAAACATGGACAAGGACAGACACACCACTCTTCAATCACAAACGTTTTAGAAAAGTTCTTTCCATTTTCAACAACCGCATTAAAAAAAACACACTTTTTCTACTTGCATTTCTACATTTACCAATTTTGTTATTATTTATCTATTAAATAACATTCAAGTCAAATTTCTGTCACATCGCCATAATTTTTCCAGACACTGTTTTTCCTTTATTAAAATTCCAAAAACTAAATAATTGATAACGAAAAATATTCAATTGAAAGAAGAATGATTGTAAAAATTCGATTAAATTGATTAATAACTCCAAAAATTGGGGAAAAATTGCGCGCACTTCCTTTTCTTTTAGAGGAAATAGCCCTATGTCTGATAACACTCAAACACGTATGGTAATTATTCTATTTCTATATATATATTTTATTCCTTTCTCTCTCTCTCTCTCTTTCCTTTCTTTCTGTCATCACGATCATCGTCGTCGTCTCTTGGATCTTGATTTCGTTTTCTTGGTTTCTTTATTTTTTATTTGTGAAATGACAATACCCACCGAGGTCGTATTTTGTCAAAACTTGAGCCCTTCCTTTGAATTTCATCCGATATTTCTTTTTTTTTAAATTAAAAATAAAAAAAAAACTTTCCACCGGCAAGAAGCGAATACGCTGACGCGTTATTATCACCTGCGTTGCACCGCAATTTTCCAACCTCAAAAAAGATTTTCGAAAATAATAACAAAATGGCCGCTGCCCCGACAAGTTCGGTCGGGAATCATTGTTTAGAAAGGAGAATTCTGATTGGTTCATTTATGATATTTCGACCAATGGGAAAAGAGATAATTGAAGATCAACAGTGACGTTCTATGTCACGTGTTCATTAGGAGTTTACGCATATTTTAGAAATTTAAAAATCACTTACAATTTTTCATTTACTATAATATATTTCTAAGAGAATATTGTTAATACATTTCATATATTTAACCGTTTTTCAATAAAAGTGTTATTTTATTCAAAATTTTCTTTACAATCAACGTTTTTGACTTTGACAGTGTGTACGTAGCATAAAAAGTGGAGGGAAATTTAAAAAATCGAGACAATTTCCTTGTGATATTTAAAAATTTATTTAAACTATTTAAAACTTTCTCCTTCTGCAAGTACTTACAAATACAATTAATTAAAATTACATTCTAGCCAAGTAATAATTATTACTAATTCTAATATTTTTCATTCACTAATAAATAAATATTTTTAAAACCACAATTTCTTCTACGAACTTTTCGAAAAACATCAGTTTATACAAAATGGCCGTTAGAAGTCATCTGGTCTAGAATGTTTTTCCTTCCTAAATAAATGTTTCTTATTTTATAATTTATTGCCCAGATAAGAAAATGTCTTGTGAAATTAAAAAAATCGCTAATTTATTAGATTTACCAGAAGTGAAAAGACGTCTTTTTGGTGTGCATGCCACGAAATGTGAGTGTTTTTTTCCCTTTCTATATAATGGAACAATTCTAAACATCTGTCAATTTATTTGTCAACACGTATTAATAATATCAATTTACAGTAATCCAAGTACCTGTTGACGAATTACCCGTTCAGGATATTTTAATTTCTTTCTCACCTGCTGGAGATATTCTCGCTTTAGCTTGGAATACAAGAGTTGTCATTTTAATCTGTAAGTTATAATTATTATTTTGGTTATTGTCTTTCCATTGTTTATATCTATATATTGTTTTACATTCTTTAACAATTATCGGACAAAAGGTTCTTATAATTTTTATTGCGTTATAGTAAAATTATTTACATAATTTAATTAATTGCACCAACCGTCATAATTTCAATTCTTTCAATTTTACAAAATATTTAATATTTTAACCTAAAAATTGTTGTTTTTTATAAATTTCATAAAAAATATTTAAAAAAATGTTTTAAATAATTTCAGCTAAATGGGACTCTTTGGAACAAGATGATGTTAAAAATAAATTTCATATTTTGTGGGACGGAGAAATAGAATATCAACACAAGTGAGTTTATTAATTACTTTTATTAAAGAAAAAGGAAAATAAAAGGTAAAAAATGATTTTTATCTATATTTTGCTATTGGTTTCCTAATTTTTTTGGTAATTTTTCCTTCTAATGTTTTACATTTTAAAAACTTTGAAATTCTAATTTAAAGCTATGAAGTTAAAAAAAATAGCAAAAAATTAATTAAACCAAATTGTTTTCAATTAAAAATATTTATTTTACATTATTTCATTTACAATTTTCAATCTGAAATAATTGAATTCTTCAAAAGAAATTTATCCAAATTTTTCAAAATAATTGAATTTCTGCAATCAATATTTTTTTAAATAATTGAATTCTTAGGAAAAATTTTACTTTAATTCTTTTTAAATAATTCAATTCTTTCCAGAAATGTTATTAATTATTAAAATAATTGAAATCTTTGTAAAAACTTTATTAAAATTCAAAATTTTTGAAAATAAATGAAATTCTGTGCAAAGAATTTTACAATTAACATTATATTTTAAATAATTAAATTCTTTAGGGAAATTTTATTACAATTTTTTTAATAATTCAATTCTTTCGAGACATGTTATTAATTATGAATTATCAAAATTCTATTGAAAGTAAGTGGATTTTTAAAAGAAAAGATTCTTTAAAATAATTAAATTCCTGCGAAAATTTTTTTAAATTATGAAAATAATTGAGATTTTGCTAAGAATTTAACTAAATTATTCGATAATTATTGAATTTTTTCGAGGAATTCAATTAAAATTGTATAAAAAATAATTGAAATTCTACGATAAGTTTTATTATTTATAAAAATAATTATATTCTTGAGAAGAATTTTATAAAATTTCTTTTAAATAATTGATTTTGTTTGACAAATTTTATGAAAGTTGCATTTTAAATGATTGAATATCTGTAAAAATTTTATTATTTATGAGAAAAATTTAATTCTTATTTTTTTTCAATCAATTCAATTAAAATTGTATTGAAAATAATTCAATTCTTCTATAGAATTTTATTCAAATTTTTGAAAATAATTGAATTTCTGCGAAAAATTGCATTAAAATTTTGGAAAATAATTGAATTCTTTTAAGAAATGTTATGAAAATTGCATGGAAAATAATTGAATTTTTGTGAAGAATTTTAATAGGAATTACATTTAAAAGAATTGAATGTATCTAAAGTATTTTATTATTTATAAAAATAATTGAATTCCAGCGAAGAATTTGTTTATTTATGAGAAAAATTGACTTCTTATTTTTTTTCAATCAATTCAATAAAAATTGTATTGAAAATAATTCAATTCTTCTATAGATTTTTTTTTTAATTTTTGGAATAATTGAATTAAAATTTCTGAAAATAATTGAATTCTTTTAATTGATTAAAATTGCTTGGAAAATAATTGAATTTTTGCGAAGAATTTTATCAAATTTCTAAAAAAATAATTGAATTCTTTTGAGAAATTTTATTGAGATTGGATTGAAAATAATTGAATTACTGCAAAGAGTTTTACTATAGTTTTTGAAAAGAATAAATAATTGTAATTAATTAGTAAATTATTTAATAATTGAATTTTTTTGAAATTTTGAAGTAAATCATAAATTATTCAAAAATTAAAATTAATATTTGAAAATAACAAATTTTTTCAATTTGCATAATAATAAGAAATGAAATACAGCGTTTCGCTCGTAATATTTGCTGCTTATTTAAAATTTTCTATAATTGGATAATTTTTTATTTCAGAATAACTTCAATATTATGTCTTCCTTTGATAGCACAAGGAAAAGCAAGTCCCGGAACTGGAATCGACTGGACATGTCTCGCTGTTGGTTTAGATTCTGGATTTTTAAGATTTTACACAGAAGTAAGTGAATAAAATCGATTAAAACTGTAAAAGAAATTAATTTTTATTGTCTTTAATTTTATATCATATGATTTGTATAAATTAATTTACTGTATTGTATTTTTATTGTAGTTTAAAATTTAATTTTATATTATAAAATTTTGTCAAGTGGAAAAAATTTATTTAATTTACGTTTAAAAATTTTAATTTAAAATAAATTTTGTTCTCCAACAGACAGGTGTTTTATTACTTGAAGAGCAACTTCACAATGAGAGTATTTTAGGTATAAAATGTCAATCGCTCTCGGCTCCTCGACATTCCGGCGAAGTGCAATCGTCAGAAGAAATTTACGTTCTCTATAAATCTGTTGTTTGTCTACTTCAAGGTTTCCCTCTTTTCTCAACTCTCAAAGCATGTAGAAATTACATGGCCAGAGGTAAATTTTACAAAAAGAAATTTTTTTGTAATAAAATTTTCTTTCCTCTATAAAATATATTACTATTATTATAATTAATAATACTCTAGATATAAAATCGAAAACAATAAGTTTAAATTTTATTTCAGTGAAGGCAAATTGTAACGATCGGCAGCAAATGACAAATATTGTTTGTAAAAAATTGGGATTTAAAAATCAGGATGTTACGAATGACACGGAAGTTATTGGAATGACGACAGTCAATACTTTTGATCATTTAATGACTGCATCTCTTTGTGGTGGTTTTTCCGCTTCTTATCGTTCAAGTGCACCGCAACACAATCTTGTAATGGCCACGGGAAAAAGGCCATTTATAGGATTTCATTATGCCTTAGAAGGTGGACAAGCTCCCGTTTTATCGGAGGTTGCAATTGCAATGGCCAATAAAGTCGCCAGTGCCATTGGTTCAGCAGTTCCGTAAGTTTTCTTTTCTCTTTAATTGTGAAATTCGCTGAAAATCATTAGTAAATTATATAGATTTTATTTTATTTTTTATTAATTTTATTAGTTATTTAGTTTATTTTGTTATTTATTTAGTTATATTATTATTTATTTTAGTTTATTTTTCTAATTGAATCTTAAATGTAAAAAAACAGATGGTTTCGGGGAAATTCGAAATCTTCAGTGCAAGAGAAACCAAAGGGCTCTGTTAATGAACCAGCCGAGGCAATGATGTGTCGTTTTGCATTGAGTGATATTTTCCGTGAGGGAAATACGGTGCTGGTTAGTCCCAATAAAATGCTTTCAGTGGTAATGGATTCATTGGGACGTGTTATTTTAATAGACAATCGACAAGGAATTGCAATGAGAATGTGGAAAGGTTATCGAGACGCCCAATGCGGTTGGCTTGAGGTGAACGAGGAGAAACAGAGAATTAGCCGAAAAGAACGTAAAGCAAATCCTGGAGTTGTTTCCCATATGCAAATGCGTCGTGCACTGTTTCTCGTTATTTATGCACCGAAAAAGGGATTAATTGACATTTGGAGTATTCAGAATGGAACGAAAATTACTTCATTCTCGGCTAGTAAAAATGGAAGGTACACTATTTGTATTAAATTTATTCCTTTTATCTTCATAATTTAATTAACAGGGTTGTCAAAGGTCAGGGATTTTTATTAAAAGTACTGGAAAAAATTACATTTTTTAAATCCATAAGAACATTCTAAATTTTTTGTGTCTATTTTGTTTTCCTCATAAACTATGAAATTTCCACTAATTCTAGTACAAAAACTTCAATTTTTTCTATTTCTGACAATAATTTCTTTTTAAATAGCTTAATTCTTGAAGAACTATCATAAAATTATTACATAGAAAATATTTAATGAATTACTTAAATGTTTCAAAATTAACTGAATTTATTTTCATAAATAGATGAACTTCAGAAGGGTTTCAATATGAAATTTTATAAAATTTTAATTTTGTATAAATTTAATTAGAAACGTTAAAAAACTTAGATTTTTGAAAAATTTTAATAATTCAAATTCTTCTTAAATTAGTTAAATTTTTAAAAACATATTTCATTAATTTTTAAAAATAATATAATATAATTTCGTTTTGAAAATTAAAATAAAAAATTTGCATGCAGATTACTTTATACGAATTATGGTCTATCGGGTCTGAATGATGTGACATTATCAACGCCAAATCGTGCACAATATCCTTGTGTTTTCATTGATCCTCTGGGTGGAATGAAGGAAGTGATTGTGCCATTTCATTTTGCATTAAACAATCAAAACGGCGATCGAGCGAGGGATTTGCATCTATTTAAAAAATTAAAAACATTTATACGTGAGGAGGAATTCGACGAGGAGACAATTGTCAATATGATTAGAAATATTTGCCTTGATTTGAAAACCGATGAAATTCGTTTGCAAATCATTGAAATGTTGATCAATTATAAAAATTCAATGCCCAATGCACTTCTCACTGCTATTGAATGTTTCAATCAGAATTTCGAAAAAAACAGTAAGTTCAATTTAAGGAAGAATGTTTTTTTCAATTAAAAAAATATTAATTTTATAATTAATTAAATCGAATACGATTTTTAATTATTTTGAATTAATTTTGTTTAGTTTCAAGAAGAAAAGTGTTTTTAATTGTAAATTATTTTAATTTATTTTGATTTAATTTTGTCTGGTCTCAAGAAGAAATAAACAATTGTTTCAGACGAAGATCTTCAATCGACGGGAAAGACTTTATATCAAACAATATGTCAATTAAAGAAAGTCGTCGAATTTTATAAATATTTACGAATTCAATTTGATCAGCCGCCAAAATATAATACCGTCGCAGGCGATAAAATACCAGATGCAAAAATGTTATCTTCCATTTTATTCACATTCGAGAGGGAAATTGTACGTATTTTAAAACTTGCCGACACTGTCAAGGAAATAAAACATCCGGAAGTAAGATCGAAAATTAAAGTTTCATTCAAGGAGGACGGTAGACGTTTTTATGATTTTCTCTCATGTTTTCAATTTGGCACCGCTGGAATTGTAAATCTCAAGAAAGATTTATCTCTTGAGAAAAAATGTCAAACTGGTAATTAATTTCTCACATTAGCAAAAGACCGAAAATTAAAATATATTTTCATTGAATTTTCTAATTTTTCATTTCAGCTGAATTATTATACAAGGGTTGGTTATATTCGGACGATTCTACAGAAAAATGGAGAGAAGCAGCGAAGAAAAGTGACATTCATCCTATGGCAATGATGCAATTCGCTCTTCTTTATTGGTTACAGAAAAAACGTGGTGCTCCATTAGAAGTTGAATTAGTACGTTTCACAAAACTTCTTCGTGCCATTTGTTCAATACCCGGTAAGATTTCCTTTTCTAATTTAAATAAATTTTTAAATAAATAAAATTTACATTTTATTCTTTTTCTCATGTCGATTAAAAAGAAGTGAACGAGATTTGTAGCGATTATAATGAAACTTCCTCATGGTGGAGAGAGGCTCGTAAAATTTTGACCGAGGCATCGAATCCATTTCATGCATTAACAGCAGCATTGGTGTGCAGAGCAGTTGGAATGCGTTTAGAAAATAATATTGTTAATATTGATGATAATGGAAATTCAAATGAGAAACCTGTTGATAATGATGATAATAATGAGAAGGAGAAAAAAATTGATAATGGAAATATTGGCGAATTAACGATAGAGAAAAAGGAAAGTCGAAAAATTGCAGAATTAAAGGGAGAAGATTCGCAGGAAAAGGATTTTACTTCTTCGCCTGAAGATGAGACACATAGTTCATTAAGTGAATGGGAAAATGTCAGCAAGGACACGTGTCAATTTTCCCTTTTAATTGCAAATTTGGAAGATATTACAATTTTAAATGCAATCGTTAGGTGAGTTTTTTTTCTATACTTTTATATTATAAATTGTATATAATGAAAGTTGAGTAATTTTAGTTTTGCATTTTTTTTACAAAATTTGGAATACTTTTCAGTCAAAAACCACCGTCGGATGCTTCAACACCGTATTATACTTTGCCATACGAAGTTAAATACATTTCATTGGGTTACGTCTTATCTAGTGGAAAAGGTAAACAAAAACATTTTAACTCAATTTCAACTCTAACATTTTAAATTTCTAATTTTTGTTAACAATTTTAATTTTAATAATGAAATATTAATAACAAAATTTATTACAATATATAATTAATTTTGAAAGATTTTCTCTTTGAAAATAATTGAAATTATTCAGACCAGCTTCTGTCAGAATTAGTTCGGATAATCGAGATTCTACTGTTATATTGTGTTATATTAAAGTTTGTAATTTTTTTCTTTTAGGATCAATTTCAGAAATTGTAGCCAAATGGTTGAGTTCTGCGGGTTTAGATCCAACTCGATTAATTGACACCACTGACATTGAATTTGAACAAATTCAAGCCACAAAGGATCCTATGCAACGAATTGGCTCTTTGGATGAAGCATGTGCAGTGGAATTGACTAAACAGGATCGTGACAATTTGCTTACTTTAGCCGTTGAAATTGGAAGTGAAGCGAAAGACGATCAAACTGCTTTGTCTTACGTAATTGGTAATTTCTATTTGACAAAAAAAAATTGAAAATTATCTTAAATTCTATAAGAAGTTATATACAATTTACATAATTTTTTTTATAAAATTTATTTATTCATTATTAATTGCATTTTATATTTTCGAATCTCTTTTAGTAAAAGTAAAAAAAAAGTAATTTTAATTCTGAAATTCTTTTTATTAATTATGAAAATCAAAAATTTGTAAATATCTATTTTGTTGTCTATTATTAATATTGTCTATTGTTTATTTGTTTGTTATCTATTTTTCTTCGTATTTGCAGATAAAATATCATTATTGAAGAAACATTTCCCCTATAGTTTAACGAGTAGTGTTTTACTCGCTAATCTTTGCTGGGAATATGTAATGTTTTGGTGTAAAGATATTAATAATCTTGAGGCATTGGAGGCGGCGTTGGGAATTTTACGACAAATTCCAAGGAAACGTATGCAACAGGGTGTTTGCTCTCTATTGTGGACGTTACACATTAAAGAACGTTTAGAGGCTGCTTCAAAACTAATGAATAAATTGGGGAAATTACCAAAGGAACGCTTATGCATTCAGGACATTGGAATCTCTGATATTCAACTCACAAAATTTCTCGATCATTGCGTCACGTTCTTCGATATTTTTTTAGACGTAAATAAAATTATAAAATTAATATTAAATTTTCATATTAATTCAGTTTTTATTTGTTTAATTTATTTAATTTATAGACTATTGGAAATTTTTGGTTGAACTTTTCGAGTTGTTGGCTTTATGAATTCTTTGGTTTTTATTTTTCTGTCAATTGATTATTTGAGGATAAAAGTTAATTTCATTTACAGGCGGACGTTATGGAGGCAGAGAGTCGATCGATTGTTCAATCGGAAGAATTGTGGGAAGGTTGTCCACCAGGACCGCAACCTTTTGCAACTCTTGCCGTTTCTCAACCACTCGCTTGGGACGATTTAATTATGTTGCATCTTCAATTGGCTAATGTTCTCGTCATGATGGCGCACTTTAATTTAAAAGTAACCAAACCCGTGAACAATCTCTTCGATTCCATAGTGAGTTTTTTATTTGTTATTATAAATTTTCATTCTATTTTTGAAAAATTACTTTCCTTTTTTCCTTATTTTTTGTCCTATTGTACTATTTATTATTTTTTATTGTTCTTATATTTCTGTTGTTACTATTTTCTTTTCTTATTCTTATATTAATTTTCAGTTAATTTTTATTTTTAGAAAAAGTATGTAATTTATTAAAAAAAAAGATTTTAAATAATTTTTAATTTTAAAGATAAAAATTATTTTCTTTTATGAAGGCTCAACGTTATTTCTTTCAAAATATACACGACGAGGCTGTGATTGTTTCGTATCAAGATAAAGAACGTGACAATTTTAGACTTGAATTCCTCTGCTATGTTATTTCATCGTCAATGGAATTGATTCATCAGGAAAGTAAAATGGAGAATAATTTAAGTTCAAAGGAGGCAATGAATTGGATGAATAAATGTCAAATGTTGGCGTCAATATGGAAAATTAATAATGACGATTTAAGAATACATCAAGCTTGCGCACTTTACAGTAATAATTTTGATCGTCACGCCGAAGAGGTAAATTGAGTTAACTAAAAAAATTTCTGTAATATTTATTTAAATTCGTTTATTTTTCTATATTTGTTTTTATTCCATTTTTATAGTATTTTTTTCTAAAATTTCGAAAAATTCTAACATTAAATATTATTTTTCAATTGAACAAAATTTAAATTGAAAATAAAAATTTACAATCTTTTTCTATTACAATTGTTGATTAAATTATTATTTCTTTGTTTGAATTTTCAGGTGATAACTGCCGTTAACGATACGGAAAAATTGGCATCGAAATTATTACCAATCGCTGGAGGAAGACTCATGACGTATTTATCAAAAGCTCCTGATCTTTTGGAAGAAATTTCAAGAATAAATCCGGCACTTACAACATATTTACAGAGTCTTCTTTGGGTAAAACACTTCTTTGTCTAATTTCAAATATAATTTTAAAAAAGTTCTTATTTTTTAGTAATTTTATTAGACTAATGTCAATTTTTTCTATTTTTAATATTAGACACTTTGCAAATAATTTAATGAATAATACAAACTTAAAAATTCAAAAATAATTCAATATCTTAACTAATTTACTAATTAATTTTAATTATTTAATTGTTTTTAAAAACTTTAATAAAATTCTTCGCAGGAATTCAATTATTTTCAATACAATTTCAATAAAATTTCTCAAAATAAATTCAATTGTTTTTAAAAATTTGATAAAATTCTTAGCCAAAAATTCAATTATTTTTAAAAATTTTGATTCAATTCTTTATGAGAATTGAAATATTTTTAATACAATTTTAAATGATTTCCCCAAAAAATCCATTTACGTTTAAAAATTTTAATTAAATTCTTAGCTAGAATTCTGGTATTTTTATAATTTATAACATTTAATTTTTAGCAGGAATTTATTTACTTTTTAAAGAATTTAAAAAAAAATTCTTAGCAAAAATTTATTTACTTTAAAATTTTTTGATAAAATTCTTTATAAGAATTGAATTATTTCTAAAACAATTTCAATTAAATTCGTCAACAAATTCAATTGTTTTCGAAAAATTTAATTAAATTCTTAACAAGATTTAATTATTTTCATAATTTACGAAATTTTTCCAAGGAATTTAATTATTTTAACGAATTTAGATAAAATTCTTCGCAGGAATTCAATTATTTTCAATACAATTTCAATCAAATTTCTCAAAAAAATTCAATTATTTTGAAAAATTTTGAAAAATTTCTTTATTTGAATTGAATTATTTTTAAAACAATTCCAATTAAACTCCTCACAAAATTCATTTATTATCAAAAAATTTCATTAAATTCTTATCAAGATTTTAATTATTTTCATAATTTATATCATTTTTCGCAGAAATTTAATTATTTTCAAGAATTTTAATAAAATTCTTTGCAAAAATTTAATTAAATTCTTTATATGAAACAAATTTAATAAAATACTTTTAAAAAATTCAATTCTTTTCCTAAACAATAGAATTCTTCTCAGAAATTCAATTATTTTGAAAAATGTTGGTAAAATTTTTTATAAGAATTCACTTATTTTAAATAGAATATTAAGAAAATTCTTACCAAAATATTTTGGTATTTTTTATTGTTCAAAACAATAGATTTGAATTTCATTAATTTTAAAATTGAAAATTAGGAAACAAAAAGCAAACTATTCAATTTCAATTAACGAAGATATTACCGGAATACAACGATTATTAATATAAAAGATTTAATTTAATATTAATTTAACATTCATATTTAATAACAGAAAAAAAGGTTTAATAATTTTCTATCTTTTCAGACTTCACCAAACATAATGTCAATAAAATCATCGAACGCCGACACAATTGAATTAGTGAAATGCATCTCAAGATTGGCAACAGAGAAACATTGTGATTATCATATCGCTCAAATGATGCTCGACGCAATGTTCATATTCGAGGGAAAAACGTGACATGTTGAATCCAAATTAAAAAAACATTTCTCCATTGTTTTTGGAAAATATCAATTTTTTTCTTAATTTTTATAATATAAATTCGGTAAGTCACTAAAAAAACAAACAGTTTTAACTAAATTACAAAAAAATCCAAGTGTCAATATTCGCCATGTAATTTTTTTTCCAAAAAAAAATTCACGACGAACTTAAAAATGAAAATTTACAAAAAAAAAAAAAAAAACTACAGAAAAATTGTAGTTGCTATTGCATTTTTATAGCATTCTTTCTGTTTTTATAGAGAGAATATTTCGAGTCACGGGAGTGTAGTGTGATATATTGCAATAAAAAAAAATAGAGAAGGGGAAAAAATGTACAAAAGAAAAGAAGGAAAATTTAAAAAATTGTATATGAAAATATAAGCTTCGATTAATTTAAAAAAAAGATAATTACAGTAGAAAATTATATTTACATTCGTTGATGTTAAATTGTTAATAGCAAATAATTACCATAATAATGTCACTCTGCTATGACGTATTCACACTTAATTTAATTCAATAGGAATGATTGTGTTCGAAGAATGACATTTTGTGTGTTAAGGCTGTGGTCGAAGATAAATTAATTCTTCGATGTAAAAATCTGTTGTTGTTATTTCATTGACAATAAACGGCAGATCCTAATGTCGAAATATATTTCATTTCAATTAAAAATTTATTTAATTAATAATCAGTACTTAATTTCTAACAAATTTAAAAAAAACTAAGTTTAGTTTCTTTAAAGTTTTATTTTAAAAAAATAAGTAAAGGAACGAGTAAGAAATAAAATAAAAGTAAACAAACAAAAACGAGGGGTAAAAAAGAATTATATAATCAAGTTTTTTAATTGAGTTACAATCATTTATTTTGTAGAAAAATTACATCTTACATTATTATTATTATTTAAATTAAAAGTTATTTTTGTTTAGGTTTTCCGCTGTAAAATTATTTTGAGGTACATGGTTTTAGCAATTATTTTCTTTTTCTATTTTGTTTTTCTTCATTCAGTTCTTCATTCATTCGCACAAAAAGTGAACGCAACACATTTATTTTTAATTTCAAAAAAAGTGGACTAAAATTGGAAGGAAGGATATTTTTTCTGTCCACGCAAAACACCTGAGGAAAATTTGGAGAACAAACAAAATTATTGTACGTAAATTAATTATATTTTTTGAATATATTTAATTTTTAGATATAATTTTTGTGAAGTGGATCTAAATTTGAATTCATTTTCAAATTAATTTGTGAATTGAATAAAAATTTGAATTCATTTTCAAGTTAATTTGTGAATTGAATCTAAATTTGAATTCATTTTCAAATTAATTTGTGAATTAAATCTAAATTTGGATTTCGATTATTTTTCAAAATTCAATCGAATTTATATTAATTTTTATGATTTAGAGGGATAATTTTGGTTTTTTATAGGTATTTTCACTGCTTAATTTGTGTTCGTTTTACTTTCTTCTCCAGATGATTCTTGATTTTTTTTTTACGAGAGACGAGGAATTTTTCTTGGAGATTTAGAAACGAATAGCAAAATTTGGATAGCCCACCCTTGTCACATGCTCGATATTTGTAAATTCGCAATGATGAATTTGACTTCCTGGACTTCCCTCAGTCGACAACCACTGCGTCCTGAAACAATGTGAGTATAATTTATTTTTATTTAAACTAATTTCGAATTTTTTGCAATCCAGTTTACTATTTTTTCAAAAATTAACATTTTTTACTGTTAAAAAATACTGAAAAATAAAAGAATTTTCTAAAATTTTATTGTGTAAAAGAATTGAAAGAATTTTCTATAATAGAAAATAAAAGAAAGACGAGTGAAAAAATTGAAATTTAAAATTGAACCTAAAAAAATTATTCCGTAGTGCTTTTATTCTTAATTTATCATTGCAGATTCTTATCTGATTTCTTGGCCTGAAAATCGTGAGAAAAGCACAAAAGCTGAAAAAGAAAAAAGAAAATTCAAGGACAAAAGTCTTGTCGTCGGATGATATCGAGACCCAAATGTTCGCCTGACATCGAAAAGCTTTATATTGTGAGTTGCTTTGCGGATGTTTGCCCTGCGGCCAATTTGGCCCAACGAAACTGTCACTCAACAATGACATCGTTCATCAATTTTGCAAGTATATATATTTATATTATAATTAGCTAATTCAGACCGAGAAGACATTTTTCTATTTTTTTTCTCTTCCATAAGAGAAGCAAAAATGAAAAATTTCTTTAAATACAAAAAAAGAAATTTCCTATTTTCTTATTTTTATTTTTTTGTACTATAGATTTACAAAACAAAATTTATTTTTCTTTTTTTTATGAAAAAAAGAATGTATTTTTTCTTCTTCCTACCTTGATAAATTGACAATTTAAAATAACTTGCAGACTGTTTCCTTTTTGGTTGGAAGCCAATTAATTATTATTTTCAGCCTCGACCGATTTGTTGTTATTGATAATAGTCATTGTTAAATACCGTTTTGTTAATTTGAAGGTCTAATTATTCGATTTTCTATTTTTTTCTTCGAGAATCTATTGTTTCGATAAGCAAACATATTTAATTTTTTTTATTTTCCTAATTTGTGTTTAAAAAGAAATTTATTTTCACAATCTGCATTTTTAATTTTTTTCTATTAAATCTATAACTCAGTGTTATTAAATCAATGTTAAATAAATAATTTTTAATCATCAATTTTCACTAATTTCAACGAATAAAAACAGATTCTTTTTTTTTTATTTTCATTCGCATTTTTCCGAATTTTTATTTATTTCTATTCGCATTTTTGAATGCAATTTTTTTTCTCTTTGGTTGAATTTATTATTATTTAGTATTATTAAATCAATGTTCAATAATTTTTAATTATCAATTTTCACTAAATAAATTCAACGAATAGGAAAAAATTCGAATTTTTTTTTATTTTCCTAATTTCTGTTTATGAAAATTTATTTTCTTAATTTGCATTTTTAAATATTTCATGTATTGAATTTTTAATTTATCAATTTATTATTATTAAATCTGTTCAATAATTTTGAATTATCAATTTTCACCGAGTGAATGCAACGAATAGGAACAAATTGAAGTGACGAAAAATAATTCAAAAAATGAGTAATATTTCTTTGAATTTTGCATTTTTTTTCTTATAAAGAAAGAAAGAGAGAGAGAGAGAGGGAGAGGATTTTTCCCCCGAGTTATTGTATTTTTAAAATACGTCACCGTTTAAATGGAATAATCACTCAAATTATTTCATAAAGATCGTCATTGGGAAAATGTATAATCTGCATTTAATAAGATTTGACAATCGAGGAGCTGAATGTACCTAAAGTTCCTGACTTTAATAATTTTAGTTTTATCTCATTCAAAAACTAAAACAACTTCTAAGAATTATGACTAATAAAGAATTAAATTTTCATTTATTACAAAACTAAAATAGACAAAAAGTTTAATCTCAAAGGCTTTTGTCGTATGTACTTTTAGTAAATTTTTTTTTTTGGAGGGAAAATAAAATAAAAAACTTTAAAATAAAAATAATTTCTATAAATTTCCATATATAATATAATTTTAAATGTTTGATCTTCTAATAATTTTTTTTATACTTTCAGAGGGAAAAATTGAAAGAAAGGAGGAAAGGAAAAAGAAGCGAATCTTGAGAAAGATGTTTTTGGCGATAAGTCGCGAATAAAAGAGAAGGAGACGATGACGCCTGTTCCTGATGGCCTATTACTTCATTAAATTGTCATTAAAGTCAGTCTTGGATCTAATGGTACGTGAATCTACTCTCAGCAAATTTACTTCTGAGGTCACGGGCTTTTTAATGACAGTCGAATATAATATAGACACAAATCGTCGTCTGAAAGAATCGTGCGTTCAAAATTTATCATGACGCATTTAGTATAGACGTCACTTTCAAAAGGTGGACAAAATAACGTCAATCAAATATAATTATGCGATATTTTCGAAAAAAAAGAATGCTCAAAATTATTCAAATTTGGCAAAATTACAAAAAAAAATTTATCATCAATTTTTTATTTTAAATTAATTGAATTTGATTCGAAATTTGCGAAATTTAAAAAAGAAATTGAGAACTAAAATTAGTTTCATAGTTTAAATTTAAAAAGAAAAAAAAGATTAGTTTTACAGCATAAATTTAAAAACAAAATGATTTTGAGATTAGTTTCACAGCTTAAATTAAAAAAATGATTTTGAGATTAGTTTCACAGTTTAAATTAAAGAAGTAAAAAAAAGAGTTGAGAAACTAAACGCTATAAATTAAAAATACAAAATTTGAAAAATAAGGGAAAAAACTTACATTTGTTCAACAAGTGATTCGGAACCCTGCATTTTTCCAGTAATTGTTCCTCGTTTTGTATTTTTCACCCAGCCACAAATTCCAAGTTGTTGACATAAATCTCTGACGTATTTTGGAAAGTAACAACCTGAAGATAGTAATTTTTTTTTCTAATTATTGTTATTGAATTTCCCCGTTTACAACTTTAATCTCTCTTTGCTTTTGCAATTTTTTCATTCAATCAATTTCTTTTAAACTTGCTCTTAATTATTATTATCGCAGATTTCAAAATTAATAAATATTAGTAAATGTTACGCGCGCGGAACGTGATATTCGATTTATTATTATTATGCAAATTACAAGATGTTTTTTTTCAAATATGAATTTTTGAATAATTTCAGATTCAAACTAAAAAAAATTCAATTATTAACTAATTTAATAATTAATTATTCTTGCTTTTTAGTTTCAAAAATTTTAATAAAATTCTTCGTAAGAATTCAATTATTTTTATAAATAGAAAATTTTTTGCACAAATTCAATTATTTTTAAACAAAATTTGAATAAAATTTCACGAACGAATACAATTATTTTCTAAAATTTTAATAAATCCTTCGAAACAAATCAATTATTTTTTTAAATAGTAAAATCTTTGCAAAAATTCAATTATTTTCAAATATTAAAAAAAAATTCTCATCAAAATTTCAATTATCTTTAAAAATAATAAAATTCTTGAAAAAATTTTAAGTATTTTCAAAAATTATCCTTAATTCAATGATTTTTAATATAATCTACTATTTTAAATGAATTTTAGAAAAGAATTCAATTATTTGCAAATATTTTATAAACTTTTTTGCAATAATTCAATTATTTTTTTAAATAGTAACATCTTTGCAAAAATTCAATTATTTTCAAGAAAATTTTACGAAAGAATTCAATTATTTTCTTATTTCGCTATAAAATATTTGCAAAAATTCAATTATTTTCTAAAATTTTAATAAATCCTTCGAAAAAATTCAATTTGATTTATAAAAAGTAAAATTCTTTGCAAAAATTCGATTATATTCAAAAAAACGAAAAAATTCAATTTTTTTTAAATTTATTATAAAAAATTTCAATAGAATTCAATTATTTTCTAAAATTTTAATAAATTCTTCGAAAAAATTCAAATATATTTATAAATAGTAAAATTCTTTACAAAAATTCAATTATTTTGTATTTTTAATCTAATTTCTTGGAAGAATTAACTTTTAAAAAAATTTTTAATTATATTTTTCGAAAAAAATCAATTATTCTCTAAAATTTTTAATTAAAATTATAAAAAAAAACTCCATTATTTAAAAAACAATATAAATAAATGCTTTAAAAAAAAGTTAACTAGAATTTTCAAAAATGTTAACAAAATTCTTCGCGTGAATTCAATTACCTATTTTCCTGAATAATAAAATTCTTCAAAAGAATTCTATTATTATCAAATTTTTTGATAAAATTCTTTGCAAAAATTCGATGATTTTCAATACATTAATTTTAAAATTGAAAAAAAGTTAAGAAACAAAAAAGCAAATAACTAAGATAAATATTACATTTTTTTTAACGAATGAAAAAAATTCTAAGACTTAAAATTATTAATTAAAATTGTTTGAAATTTGAATTGAATTTAATTGAAATTGAAAATTAAATTGAATTTGAAAATTAAATTGAATTTGAAATTATTGTTTTCTGTCAGTTTTCGATGATTGCAAAAAATATTACCATAATTAAATAAAATGAAATAAAAATATATTCTTTCTAAATGGAGAAATTAATTTAATTTTAATATTTTGCAGATATTGAAGTGAAGAATAATTTTCTGCACCTCACACGCACTCGTTTGACCTTCAACGGAACGTGACCTGCTTCTTTACTTCCGTTGACCGAATATGCAATCAAAGTGTCATCTCTCTTTCTCATTGAAACTCACCCTGCACCTTTCCGAATACTTCAAATTCAACGGAGAGAATTGGTTCATCTCGAAGTGGATCACAACACGCCATCCTCGAGAAATTTTCAATTTAGAAAAAAAAATAAAACAAAGAGGTTCGTTTCCGATTTTCTGTGTACAATTCGTTATTTCTTTGCAAAAAAATTTTATTTGCGAGAAATTGAATTTAAAATATTGAATAAGATTTTGAATTTTCGAAAAGAAAATCGGTCGTAATTTTTTTTTTTATTGTGTCAGTTTAAAAAAGAAAATGAAATTATGTTTGAATTGTTTTGTTTTTGAGATAATAACACATTTACAACGACACAATTTTCTAAACTGATCAACTGATTTTTCTTTTGCACTAAGTGTCGCATCGCGACAGTTTCAATGCCTCAAATAGATTCCCCACTCGCGGTCACAGGGCCATCAGGCCATTGGCGATCGATTGAAAATCGATCGCGAAAAAATTTATCTACTTCTACTGAACGTTTTCTTTTCTTTTTTTTCTAAATGCAAAAAGAAAATAAATTATAAATTTTCTAAAGAACAAATTTAGTTTAAAATTCAATTATGTAAAAATAGTGCATTAAAAACGCAGATTAACTTTTTCCTTATACAAAATTTTTGTCTCGGAATTTAAAATTGCTTTTATTTTGAATAATTGAAATTCATTTTTTTTAATTTTTGAAATTTATTCCAGTTCTTTAATTATTAATATTAATTAGAAAGAACTAAATTTTTTTTTTTTTTTGGAACAAAAAGAATAGAAAACAATTGTTTCTTCAAATCTTAAGTTGAACTACTTAAGTTTGTCTGACTATGCGAGATTTGTTTCACTTTCGAAATAAAACGGAAACGTGAATGAATAATTAAATTGTAGATGTATTTTTTAGAAATTTTTTATTTTATTTAGAAAAACAGACGAAGTAGAATTAAATTTTATCATTCGCATATTGTAAAATTAATATTTTACTATTTAATAATTTAATATTCGAATATAAATTTTTAGTTCGAATTTTTTAGAAAAGTTTTTTTAAAAAGTATTTTAAAAAAGTATTTTAAAAAATTTCCTAAATTAAAAAAATTGAAATTTTGAAACAAAAAATAAATTTAAAAATCCATTATTTCTCATTGATTATTAATTCTATTTTTCTTTTCTATTCAGGTATGAAGACAAAATTTCAATCGTAATGTTGAAAAAAAAGAAGAACAAAAAAGGATAATTGATTTGGAATTTCCACGCGAGAAGTTCAAGAGCGCAGCCTTGTTTCAACTTTGCACTCAATTTCATCAACTTTGACCTGTTTGGAGACTACACACTCACTCGCTGATTAGAAAATTGTCGAATTAAAAAATGCCTACCCTATAGAAGGTATAAATATTATATGAATTAATTTTTTTTCTTTTTTTCTTTTTTTTCAAGTGTTTATAGAGTTTTGAATTTTTGTAGTCGATTATATAAATATTATTAAAATATGTAGGGCAGGAGGACAGCTGCAGATTGACATACAGAGAGATAGAGAGAGAGAGAAAGAGAGAGAAGATATAAGCACTTCCCATCGAGTCGTGCACCATTGTTCCGTTCATTATTCCAGTTAATTAATTATTAGTACGCGATGACGTAGTAATTGCCATACAAGAGAAACTGACTGCGGGGTGTACAGGATGCGGGGGAGAAGGTTAGTCCAATTCAACGATGATCTGCTTATCGCGAGCTCTCTATTGTCACTATATACTTTTTCAAGGTCCTCATCTTCTGCTCTGATTATAACAAATCGGGGAAATTTCAGCCCCCTTTCCCTTTTCTTTCATAAATATTTGAATAGAAACAAATTTCTTTTTTTGCTCTCAAATTTTTACAATAATAAAAATAAGATAGTAATTTATTTATTTAGTAACTAAATAGGCAAAAAGCAAAGAATAAAACTAAAGAGAAATATTTTAATAAGAAATTTATATTAATAAACTATCTTAATAATTAATAATTAATAATAATGATTAACAATCTGTTCGCAGTTTGAAATTGGTTATTTTCGTTTGCTTTTCGTCTCCTAATTTTGGCGATAATTTTTCTTTTTAATTTTTTGAAAATAAAAATTAATTAAATTCTAATTTAATGCTTTAAAGTTTTAAAAAAACCAAAAATTTTCAATTAAAGTTCTTCAAAAAGTTTTTCAAAAATTTTCAAAATAGTTTTCAATTAAAGATATTTCTCTTATTTTATTTCTTTTAGAATTTTGAATGTAAAATAATTGAATTCTTAAAAAGAAAATTATTCACATTTTTCCAAATAATTCAATTTCGTGACAAAAATTTAATTAAAATCTTTAAAAATAAGTTTATTCTGACGAAAAATTTAATTCATAATATTAAAAATATTTAACTTCTTATAAAAGAAAAATAATTGAATTATAATTAACATTTTTTTAAACAATTAAATTCTTTCGAAAAATCTTGATAAGAATTTTATTAAAATTCTACTAAAAATAAGTGAATTCTTATAAAGATTTTAGAAAAATCTTTAAAAATAGTTGAATTTCTGGGAAGAATTATATTGTTTAGGAAAAGAGTTAAATTTTTTTAAAATAATGAAATTCTTGACAAGAATTTTATTAAAATTTTCGAAAATAATTGAATTTTTTCCAGGAATTTAATTAAAATTGTATTGAAAATATTTCAATTCTCATAAAAATTTTAATCTAAATTATTTAAAATGATTGAAATTCTTCTAAGAATCTTATTAATATTTCCGAAAAGAATTTAATTTTTTCAAAGTATTTTTAATTACATTTTTCTCTTACAAAGAATTTTTTCAAAATAATATATTTTTTGCGAAGAATTTGATTAATTATGAAACAAATTCAATTCTCATAAATAATTTTATGAACAATTTTCAAAGTAATTGAATTTTTTTAAAATTCTTTTAAAATAATTGAATTCTTTTAAAAATTTTTATTGAAATTGTATTGAAAATAATTGAATTTCTCCGAAGAATTTTATTAAAATTTTCGAAAATAATTGAATTTTTTCAGGAATTCAAAAAATTGTATTGAAAATATTTCAATTCTCATCAAGAATATCTATAATAAAAAATTTTTAAAATAAAATTGAAAAAATTAGAATTGAACTTCTGCAAAGAATTTTATTAAAATTCGTTAAAATAATTAAATTCCTTAGAAAAATTTTGTAAATTATGAAAATAATTAAAATCTTGTTAAGAATTTAACTAAATTTTTCAAAAATAATTTAATTTTGTGAGGAATTTAATCAAAATTGTATTGAAAATATTTCAATTCTCATAAAGAATATAATTAAAATTTTTTAAATAATTGAATTTTTTTAGAGAAATTTTATTCAAAAATAATTAAATTCCTGCGAAAAATTTTATTAAAGTTTTTGAAAACAATAAATCATTATTAATTAATTAGTAAATTAGATAATAATTTAATTTTTTTAATTTTGAATCTGAAATTATTCGTAAATTGAAATTAATATTTGAAAACAAATTTTTTTTCTGTAATTTGTATAATTAAATAAATTTCGTAAGTAAATTTACGTGCTGTAAGGAAGAAATTGTTTTAGGAAAATTTCACTTCAATTAGTAAAAGTAAATTCTTTTGTTTTAAATATATTTTCACACTATATATATATTTTTTATATATATTTAATTATTTATATATATACACAGATATAAATACTGGATTATAGATAGGACATGATAATTCACACATTCATTATCTTTTTCACATAAATTTCAATCATTCGGAAAATTTTCTTTTTATCGCGAGTACACATTTTTTCTAAATCGTAAAGAATGAAAATTTTGATAGACTTTTATTAAAAAATATTTACAATTTTTTTTTTCTAAATTATCAAAGTCGAATTATAATAAATATAATTTAATCGAAAAATATTTTACTGTTTACTTCGTTATTTTCTATATATTTTTCTCACACTTCACGTTCACAGCCATTCGCAGTGATTTTATTTTACTTTTTGTTTTTTTTTCTCAATTTTTGCCAAATTTTTCTAGACTATAATAGAAAATTTTTTTTCCCAATAATTTTCTCTATTTTTATTAGCATATAAATGGATAATATTTTAATATTACAAAAAAATTTATTTTTAACAATAAAAATAATGAAAAGTAATAAATAATTTAAACAAAATTTAATCGCAATTATTTTATTGCGGTTTTTTTCCCTCAACCAGATAATGAGGATAAAATATTGGAAAATTTATATTAAACTCGAGATTAATCAACCTTGTAAATTAATTCATTTTGTAAATTAATTCTCAGAATAATTAATAATTCGAAATTACTTAAAACAAGTTTCTAATTTAAATTACAACATTAATATTTGCAATAATTCCAATTTGATTTACAGTACTAAGTGAATTTTCTTTATATACTTTCAAACAAAATTTAAATGTTTCGACAATAATTAGTTTTTATAATTTTTTTTTTTCAAGAAACCTAATCAATAAATAAAAATACAATTAAAAAAAATTAAAAAAGTGAAAATAAAAAAAAGTAAATAAAAAAAAATTTTAAATGACAAAAAGATTTTTAAATATTAATGACAAATTTTAATTCATTATTTTTTAAATTTTAAAAAAATAATTACATATTAATATAACTATTTTCTATAAATAATTAATTTTAATGAAACTAAATAATTTACAAATATACGAATATAAAATAAATTTGAAAACAATTTTCACCAAAGATTTCAAAAAGAAAAAATTAATTAAAAAATGAAAAATAATTTTATAGATAAAATCGAAAACCAGTTTTTTTATTGCCTTAAATAATTATAGAGCTGTAGTGTGAATCACTGAAATTAAGTATCACCAAGCTCACGTGCTTTTTTTTTATTCTGGGATACTTTTTCATTTAAAAAAAAAAAAAAAAAAAAAAAATTATAAACAAAAAATAAATAAAATTAACATTCTCCTAAATTATTCTCGTGGGAATATTATAATTAATACTTTGCCGAGGGTAAGTTTATTTGAGCAGTGATTAATTATGGCACTGACTAGTTAAAGTCTCATTTTTTTTATCAACTCGTCACTTTTTTTAAATTATACTAAATAATTAATAATAATTATACAATAATATTAATTAATTATTAATTAATAATAATTATACAATAATATTAATTAATTATTAATTAATAATAATTATAAATTTCTACCTAATAATTTATTAATAAAAAAAAATAAAAAAAAACTAATTACATTATTTGATAATTAAACAAATTTATATTAATTATTATATATATTTTTTTTAATAAGAAAAATTTATTAATTATTTAATGTAATTTATTCGTTCGTGTAGATTTGTAGATTTTCATCTGATTCAGACAAATTTTTTAGTCAGGTAATTTTTTTTAATTACCTCTAATTTGTCACATTTTTTTTTTCATAAAGTCTTAGATTTTTTTTCCTAAACGTCTTGATTTCCGGAAATAATCATTGGAGTCACGACGCTATTTAATAATGCGCCGTTTTCAATTTCTTTGACATTTGCCTCTGTATGAAGGGAAAAGTCTTTTGTTGTTACTATTAAATTTTGTTTTCTCGCTGCTTTCTTCTCTCGCTCAACCTGTTATAAAAAGACAAATTAAAATTAAATTTATTGAAAAAATTATTAACATTTTTAATTAGTAGAAATAAAAAGAAAATTGAGATTTAGGGAATTTCTCTTTTAAATTTTCCCGCGTCATAATTTTTCAAATATACCAGCAATGTTGCCAATAGATAAATTTCATTTTGCGTATTTTTGAAACCACCGCACGAGTTTGATTATCAATTACTTTATATCAAAATCAAAATGAATTTCCAAAGAGTTAAAACTTAAAATCGTTAAAATGCTGAAGAATAGTTATAATAAATGAATTAAAAATTATTATTATTTAAAAAAAAAAGATTTTCTACCGTCTGTTTGAAAATTCAAGAATGTTGGCAACACTTTTGTTAAAACAGTTAAAAACAGTGTTGCCACCTCGAGATTGATTATCAAAATCAAAATGGATTCCAAAGAGTTAAAATCGTTAAAATATTGAAGAATAGTGAACAAATAAGTGAAATAAATTAAAAATAAAGTAATAGAATTATGTTTCTTGTTTAATAAAGTGAATAGTAGTGTTTTTATCTTTTATTGTAGTAAATAATATTAGAGTTCATTACGATCTTGAAAGACTCACCTTGAACAATAGTCGAAGATAATGACAAGGGAATACAACGCACTTGCCCTTGTCCTCCTCGGCGTCAATATAAACACCTCTCACGAGAATAGAATTACTACAATTGAGAAGAACAAGAAAAATAAAGCAACCAATGTGCGTGATCCAACATGAAAGTTCCTGATTCTCGGGTATCAGCCAAATGTCAAGAGTATTCCAAATTCCACGCCAAACATTGACAGTTGCCAAAAAACTCAATAGAATAAATGCATCTGCCAGGACGAGTTTTGGAAAACCCTGCAGTCTTGCACAGGTGTAACTCATCATAGGTTGCAGTAAAAATGCAATTGACACTAAGGTATAACCAATAATCTGTAATTTATGTTTTTACGGTTTTTACAATCTTATTATGCGAACATAACCTCAAAATTGTCAAAAAAAAAAGTTTTTATCAACTTTATGTGCATTATTGAATTCGTTTTATTTATTTAATTCATTTCATTAAATAAAATGTCAAATAGTTTCCGAATATAATGACAAAACACTTGTTTCACTTTATTCAGTAACTATTTGAAAATAAAAATATTTCTCAATTTTTTTTCAATTAAAAATATTCTTTGGAATTTTTCAATTGCAGACAATTTTTTTTTCATTAAAAAAAAGAGAAGAAAAAAAAAATTGACTAAAAAAATATTCCATGTTTCATAAATTATAAATTCTTTTTTTCATATCAATTTTGCATATAAATTGCATTCTTGCACGTGGAATTCGATTAATATCAATTGCGATTGATTTTCCTCTTTTCTTGATTTTGAAATTCTAGAAAATTTTTTATTCTGTCGAAACATAAATAAAAAATTACCAATTGATTCGCAATATTTAAAAAGTTCAACGAACTTGAGAAATTAGGAAAAAATTAATTTATACTTGAATTTTATGTAAATGCTTACAAGAGAGCCTAGTGCAGATTGTTCTCTATTATCAGGAAAGAGAAAAATATCAAGCAGTACCCAGACTCCTCTCCAAACAAATACCACAAGTGTCCCAACGATAATTACACTAAAGGCACAATCCAATATGTACAATGACCAATCCCTCGAATTCTGTAAGCAAAAAGTTAATTTTTTTTAAATGTATAATTATATCTTAGGATTTTTAAGTTCCTTAATTTAATTTTTCTAATTCTGTAAATTAAGTAATAATGTTAAATTTATTTTAAATAAAATAAGAAAATTATTATTTAGAGAATTGAGGGAATTCCCCTTGGTGACTGCAAAATGCGATTCACTCGAAACCAGTGCTGGTTACGATCCAAAGGCAAAGGAGGGAAATTTCAAACGTCTCGACAATCTCAATGAATAATTGTGAGCAACAAAAATATATTTTTCTATTTTTTGTTACCATTTTTGAAAATATTTACTTTTTTACTTTTTAATAATGAATCTGAAATAATTGAATTCTCATAAACAAATTTATCCAAATTTTTCAAAACAATTGAATTTCTGCGAACTGCGAAGAATTTTATTATTTAGGAAAAGAATTAAAATCTCACTAAGAATGTAATTGAAATTTTATAAAATAATTGAATTTACGCGAAAAATGTTTTCAATTAAAAATATTTCTTTTATAATTTTGAATCTGAAATAATTGAATTCTTATAAATAAATTTATTCAAATTTTTCGAAATATTTAAATTCCTGCCAAAAATTTTATTAAAATTTATAATTAAATTTCTGCAAATAATCTGATTATAAAAATAATTAAATTCTCAGAAATAATTTTATTAATATTTTTTTAAGGAATTGCGTTTTTGCGAAGAATGTTATAATTAACATTGTTTTAAATAATTGAATTATTTCGAGAAATGTTATATTATTTATGAAAATAAATAAAATTTTGTTAAGAATTTAATTCAAATTATCAAAAGTAATTGAATTTTTCAAGAAATTTTTCAAAATAATTGAATTTTTGCAAAGAATTTGATTAATTATGAAAATAATTCAATTCTCATAAATAATACTATCAGCATTTGTCATAGTAATTGAATTTCTGCAAAGAATTTTATTTAAATTCTGGAAAATAATTAAATTCCTGCAAAAATTTTCGTAAATTATGAAAATAATTGAAGTCTTGCTAAGAATTCAATTACATTTTTCGAAAATAATTGAATTTTTTCGAGCAATTTAATTAAAATTGTAGTGAAGATATTTAATTTCTCATAAAGAATTTAATAAATATTTTTAAGAATAATTGAATTTTTGCGAAAAATGTTATCAAATTTTTAAAAATAATTGAATTTATGTATTTGAGAAATTTTATTGTAATTGCATTGAAAATAATTGAATTACTGCGAAGAATTTTATTAACTAATTAATAAAATGTAGAAAAAAATAAAAATATTTCTATCTCTCTGATAGTGTAATAAATTAGTTTGACGAGTTAATGACTTCTAAATGATGATCGTTCATCTCAATAGATTTGAGAATTGATAGTTTACAATAATTCGTTATCAGCGAATAGGTAGGCCAGTGATTCAGAATTTTTTACGGAAACATAAACTTTTCCTCTTTTCTCACTTTGATAGCGTTATTTGTTAATTGTTTTCTTAAGCTTTAATGTGTCACGCAAAGATAATTTATTATATTTTTCATATGTATATCTTTCAAATTCAAAAGTTTATTTCCTTAAAATAATCACATTGAAAAAAATTGTTTGCACTAATTACTTTCGTCTTTATTCGGTTAAAAAAAATATATTTTAATTTTCTTTTTCTTCATTCAAGGAATATTATTTTTATTTCATTTTAATAATTTTTAATTAACAGTTTCTTTTGTAAAATTTGAAAAATAATATTCAGGAAATGTATAAAAAAAGGAAATTTATACCTTTTGTTTTAAAATGATTGATGACGGAAAACGATCTGAATTACGTGTGATAATGATATTCACAAGTACATTGATAACCATTTCAAAACCTGCAGAATGCAATTATTATTGTTTCTCATTCAAAAACTTGTCTGAAACATTTGTAATTACTATTATTTTTTTCTTTAAAAAAAAAATTATCTTCTATTTCCGAACAATAATTATTGAAAGTGTAACAGCAAAATAATTGTTAACAATATTGAGAAAGAATATTTTTTTCTTCTAATTGCTGAAAAATCGTTCTAATTAATTTTCAATTTAAAAAAAAAGGAAAAACTTATTGTTAACGATTTGATACGCATTTTATGTTCCAAGTACTTTTTGTAATGAATATAATTGCATTGTATTTATTTTTTAAATTAATTTAATTACTTTTAAATTATTTTATATTTTTTTTCAATTTAAATTCATTTGGTATCTGAGGATATTCACCTGTTTTTGTAGGGAAAAAAGTGATTAAATTGATAAAGGTTTTAATTTATGGAAATTTTTCAATGATTAAAAATTTACTTTGTTCGAAAAAATTTCAATCAATCTTAATTTAAATTTTTAAAAGGATTTGTTGATTAAATTTTCAATCGATCTAAATTTAAATTTATAGGGTCAAAATAAGTGAAACCGGCCACTTGAAAAATTTTTGTCCCCGAATTTAAAGTTATCTATGGTTTTTGATAGATATATGAGTAAACTTTTACCCGCTAAAATATTTTTCAAAAATTTTATTTATTTTGAAAGTTATCAGGTGTTAAACTTTTAGGTTACTTTTTATTCTTTTCATTATTACTCCGAAACGAATGAAGATAATTTCAATTTTTTTTTTGGAAATTAAAGCTAAAAGTCTGTAGTTTAAAGTGCAACTGAAAAAATTGCTGTATAATAAAAATTTCTAATTGTTATTAACAATTATTTTAAACAATTGCGATTTAAAGTATGTTCTCAATGTCGGAAAAAAATCAAACTATACTCATGTGATGCGCAAAACTCTAACGAGTAAATTAAAAAAAAAAAAAGTGAGTAACCTCTAAAATTACAGAAGTTATGCATATTTTTCTGACGACGCGCGGGAATTAACTGATTCGCAAACTCTCGAGCGCGCGGGAATACGCCCGCGCCCGCTCCCGCCGCACTGCTCACACTTGTGTTTTCAAACAATTTATGTTTACAGAGAAGGAGAAGTAATTAAAATATTATTTTCTTACTGAATAGTTTATTAATATTTTTACTTTTGGAGTAATTATATACATAAAAACCATTTTGTATGTACTCATAAACTGCTTTGCAGTTTTTATGCTTTGATAAAAAAGTTTTTTCGTGGGTCTGATATTCTTGAATCGTACAAAAATCGAAATCGATATTGTTTGTGTAGAATTTCATCAAAAATTTTTTTAAATAATTGGATTTCTAAATAAAATAATTGAATCATTTGTCACTTCTCCAAAATTCAATTTTTATTAGTGTTTTAACTGAAATTTCTTCTATAAATTCGCTATTTTTAATAATTTATTATTTCTTAAAATTGTATTCCCATAAAGAATTTTATTAACAAATTTTTAAATAATTGAATTCTTTGAACGAGTTTTAATAAAATGTTTAAGAATAATAATTATTAAAAAAAAATAAAATAAAAAATAAAATAAAAAATAAAAATAAAAAATAAAAAAATAAATAAAATAATAAATAAAAAATAATAATAATAAATAATAATAATAATAATAATAATAATAAATAAATAAAATGTTTAAGAATAATAATTATTCTTAAACATTTTATTAAAACTCGTTCAAAGAATTCAATTATTTAAAAATTTGTTAATAAAATTCTTTATGGGAATACAATTTTAAGAAATAATAAATTATTAAAAATAGCGAATTTATAGAAGAAATTTCAGTTAAAACACTAATAAAAATTGAATTTTGGAGAAGTGACAAATGATTCAATTATTTTATTTAGAAATCCAATTATTTAAAAAATTTTTTGATGAAATTCTACACAAACAATATCGATTTCGATTTTTGTACGATTCAAGAATATCAGACCCACGAAAAAACTTTTTTATCAAAGCATAAAAACTGCAAAGCAGTTTATGAGTACATACAAAATGGTTTTTATGTATATAATTACTCCAAAAGTAAAAATATTAATAAACTATTCAGTAAGAAAATAATATTTTAATTACTTCTCCTTCTCTGTAAACATAAATTGTTTGAAAACACAAGTGTGAGCAGTGCGGCGGGAGCGGGCGCGGGCGTATTCCCGCGCGCTCGAGAGTTTGCGAATCAGTTAATTCCCGCGCGTCGTCAGAAAAATATGCATAACTTCTGTAATTTTAGAGGTTACTCACTTTTTTTTTTTTTAATTTACTCGTTAGAGTTTTGCGCATCACATGAGTATAGTTTGATTTTTTTCCGACATTGAGAACATACTTTAAATCGCAATTGTTTAAAATAATTGTTAATAACAATTAGAAATTTTTATTATACAGCAATTTTTTCAGTTGCACTTTAAACTACAGACTTTTAGCTTTAATTTCCAAAAAAAAAATTGAAATTATCTTCATTCGTTTCGGAGTAATAATGAAAAGAATAAAAAGTAACCTAAAAGTTTAACACCTGATAACTTTCAAAATAAATAAAATTTTTGAAAAATATTTTAGCGGGTAAAAGTTTACTCATATATCTATCAAAAACCATAGATAACTTTAAATTCGGGGACAAAAATTTTTCAAGTGGCCGGTTTCACTTATTTTGACCCTATACTAATTTTAATTAAACGAAAATTCAATATTCAAATTCAATTTTTATCTAAATTTTAAATTATGAACGCTTTTATCCAAATTTCAATCAAAATTAAATATTTAGCTTATATTTTTCATTAGAGGCAAATTTCAAATATTTATTACAATCTTGGATTAATTTTAGATTAAAAATTTTAATAAATTCAATTATTTACTAATTTATTGTTTTCAAAAACTTTAATAAAATTCTTCACAGGAATTCAATTATTTTCAATAAAATTTCTCAAAAGAATTCAATTATTTTTAAAAATTTGATAAAATTCTTCGCTAAAATTCAATTATTCTGAAAAATGTCGATTAAATTCTTTATGAGAATTGAAATGTCTTCATTACAGCTTTAATTAAATTCCTTGAAAAATTCAATTATTTTTGAAAATTTAAATTAAATTCTTAGCAAGAATTCAATTATTTTCATAATTTATAACTTATTTAGCACGTATTTAGTTATTTTAAAGAATATTAAAAAAATTCTACACAGAAATTCAATCATTTAGACAATTTTTCTAAAGTTATTTATGACAATTGAATTATTTTCATGATTAATCAAATTCATTTCAAGAATAATTAAAAATAATTTCTTGAAAAATTCAATTATTTTCGAAAAAATTAATTTAAATTCTTAGCAAGATTTCAATTATTTTTATAATTTACGAAATTTCTTGCAGGAATTTAATTATTTTAACGAATTTTAATAAAATTCTTTGCCGAAATTCAATTACTATGACAAATGCTGATAATATCTTTTATGAGAATTGAATTATTTTTATAATTAATCAAATTCTTTGCAGGAATAGAATTGTTTTAAAGAATTTTAATAAAACTTTCGCAAACATTTATTATTTTACAAAATTACATTAAATTGCTGTATAAGAAAAAAGTTTAATTAAATACTTTAAAAAATTTAATTCTTTCTCTATTTTGAATAATTTTTATTGAATTCTTTATGAGAATTGAAAGAGAATTGAAATATTTTCAATACAATTTTAAATAAATTCTTGGAAAAAATTAAATTATTTTCGAAAATTTCAAATAAATTCTTAGCAAGTTATCAATATTACTTTCATAATTAATTAAATTCTTTGCAGATATTAATTTATTTTGAAAAATTTGGATAATTTTCTTTATAAGAATTCAATTATTTCAGATTGAAAATTATAAAAGAAATAATTTTAAAAGAAATATTCTTATTGAAAACAATTTGGTTTAATTCATTTTTTTTTTTCAAAATTCATTGCTTTAATTTAGAATTTCAATGGTTTTAAAATTCAAAAACAAGAAGCAAACAAAAATATTTTCAAACTGCGAACAGATTACCGTAATACAAACGATTATTAATAATATAGATAGATTATTGTTTTAATATTTTTTTTTAAATTTGGAATTAACCGTAAATAATGAAAATTTTGAAAGGAACTCACATTGGCCCGGAACATTGTGGGCACCTCAAAGTAACCAACGCACGAATCCAAACTAAGTGAAAACGGTGGTGCGGCAATATTTCTTATTGCCCTCATAATTGCAAGGGCAAGAATACTAACCGATGTTGTTGCAAACACTGTACTCGGTGACATATCAGTGAATAAATCTAATGCCTGCCATGGACCACGCCACGCATTAACACAACAAAATCCAAATAAATATGTATAAAATCGTGAGCCAATATAATAACACAAACGATGTTTATCGGGATTTAAAAAATGATCCAAAAAATTTTGCAATAAATTAAATATAAATAATCCCATAAAACCAATGGCAATTGATGTTAATGCACTCGATACAATATCATTTCCATAAATATATAAATGACTTAAATGCCATGTACCACGCCAATAGCCAACAACCGCTGGCGTTGCAACACCAGCTGAAAATATTGAATCTAAAATTGCGAGTATCGCATAATAAACACGGGACGAGGTACTTCTGTCCAATGCACTCGCCATACCGGCACCACCGCAAAATTCAACCATTCTTTTTCTGTTTTCTGTTTTTTGCGCAACACTTTTGTCTATTTTTCTTTGTAAACTACTCGCACTTTTTGATCTTTTATTTAGTTTTTTGTTAACTACTTGCACTTCATGATTATTTCTTTGCCTTTTTCACTAGGTGCCGAATTCTCGTAGGTGATTATCCTCGGGCATTTTTCTTCATCGACTGAATTTCTCAGGAGATCGAAAATATATATATCGAAGTAGTTCGAAATAATTAATTCCACGTAATTATGTTTCATTATCTGTCATCATTTTTTTTCCCCCTTTTCTTTCTTTATTTTTATATAATTTTTCGAATTTCGATTGAAATTATTTCCAGGGCAAACTTTTCAAGTCTGTTTCAGTTTCTTTACTTGTTTTTATAGTTTATAGAGACAGTTGTTCAGAGATAAATTTACACATAAGTAAGTAATATTTACAACAATTGTTTGTGTGTCACAAAAATTCTCCATTCACAGTGATTGCAAATTTATCCATTTCGAAATTATTTTCTTCTTCCTTTACTTTTCTTCTCTCTTGAATTTTTTCCAGGGGAGACATTTTTGAAAATTAATTATTTATTCTTCTTTTTTTGCAAATTTCAATATTAACGAATTATTTAGAATTTGATTTATATTCTCGCTTAAAATTCACTTCTTTTTGTACTCGATTTCAGCTGATGGAGAATTAGCGAAAATGGAAAAGCGAAAACTGGACGGAAAAGGAAAAATTGATGGTTTTCGTTTTTGTTTTGGTTTCGTCGATGATGAGACGAGACAGGTCGAACTGCGAATGAATACTGAGTCTTGTAAAGAGGAACGACTATCTTTTTATCAACTGATGAGTAGAGCCAACACCATCTCATTTAATCGCATCATCACATCATCGACATCGTCATCATCATCATCATCATCATCTTCTTCATCATCATTGTGATTGTGAGTGAATACTACCAGGAGAGGTGACCCTACTCCAGAATTCAACATATATTCGTTTCTTCTTCTTCTATTTCTTCAAACAATTCGTCGTCCCTCCCACGTGTAATAATCAGACCAACTATAATGCACGCCCATAGTTGATTGGATTGTTGGATTAAGAGGTATGTTTCTACGATTCCAGCAGTGATGATTCTTTAATCAACTTTGAATCGTGTTGTTAATTCGTGAATAAGGAACGAAAAATTTCATTCACTGAATTTTGAAAATTTCATTTTTGAAAATGAAAAACGATTTCTTTTTTATTCGAATTTTTTTTCATTTTTGTTTTTTTTTACTGAATTGTTTTTTTTTAATTCGTTGTTAACAGGGATTTCATTTTCAAAGGGACGTAGATAATTTTTAAATTAATGGAAATTTTTTATTTATTTAAATCTCAGCCTTTTTTGTTACAAAAATTTGTTTCAAATTTTGACAAGAATTTTACAATATTTGAAATATAATACTTTGTACAATGGATAAAAAAAAGATAAATTAAAATATAACAAAGAAATATATATAATAATAGGTAAAAATATTCATAAACAAAACGAGTTATTGATAGCAATGGTTTTTTTTTAATAAAAAGTAATATTGCATTTTTTAAACTAGCAAATTTTACGCGTGCGAAACATGTTATTCACTTCTATTATTCTTATGGAAATTACAAAAATTTTTCATTTTTAAATATGAACTTCAATTTTTCGCAAATTTTAGATTCGAAATTTTAAAAATTCATTTATTAAGTACATAAGTAATTATTATTGTTTATCGTTTTCAAAAACTTTAATAACATTCTTCGCATGAATCCAATTATTTTCGTAAATTATAAAATTCTTTGGAAGAATTCAATTATTTTCATTAATAATAACATTCTTCGGAAGAATTCAATTATTTTCATAAATAAGAACATTCTTCGGAACAATTCAATTATTTTTATAAATATTAAAATTCTTTGCTGAAATTCAATTATTTTCATAAATAAGAACATTCTTCGGAAGAATTCAATTATTTTTATAAATATTAAAATTCTTTGCAGGAATTCAATTATTTTGAAAATTTGTAATAAAATTCTGGAAAAAATTTAATTATTTCCAAAAAATTTCATAAAATTCAATAATAAAATTTTTAATCCCAATTATTAACATAGAGCTAATTATTTTAAAAAGTTGAAAAAAATTTAATAATTTTCATAATTTTCAATTTAAATGATTAAAAACGACTATTATTTTTGAAAAACTTAAAGAAATTATTATAAATACAACTTAATTATTTATGAAAATTCTACTAAAATGATTCAAAAGAAATTAATTTTTTATCAAAAGTTTTAATAAAATTTAATAATAAAATTATTAATTACAATAAAATTGAACAATCAATTTTTTAATTTTTATTATTGACAGGATTTTATTATTGACATTCATTTCAATAAATTTTAATAAAATTTCATGAAGAAATTCAATTAGTTTCTGAAATTTTAAATAATTTTTCGAAACTGAGGAAATCAATTATTTTCATAAATAAAATATTAAAATTCATCGATGGAGTTAAATAATTTTATTTTCAAAATTTCAATTCAAATTATAAAAAAAATAAAACTACAATGATTTTCAAAAAACGTCAAGAAATTCTTCAAAAAAAATGTAATTATTTACTTTCTGCTTCTGTAAATAAAAACAGTATTTTGAAGAATTTCTTTAAAATAAAACTTTAATTAAATTGTTTTAGAAAATTTAATTTTCTATCAATAAATTTAATAAAATCTATTAGTAATATTATTAATTACAATTATAAATTGAAAACATTTTTTAAAAGAATTCAATTATTTTCAATATTTTAATAAAGTTCCTTAAATGAATTCAGTTATTTAAAAAAAAATTTGAATCAAATTCTAAGAAGAATTAAATTATTTTCTAAAAATTTAAATGAAATTCATTTCAATAATTTATTAATTTATTACATTTGTTTTCAAAATTCAAAGAAATTCTTCAAAAAAATTTAATTTGGATTTTAAAAATGTTAAAATTCTTCGCAAGATTTCAATTTTTTTCAAAATCTTCAATAGTATCTATACTTCGAGAGAATTAAATTATTTTCAATCTTTCTATATTAATAATCGTTGTATTCGTTTGTTGTTGTTTGCTTTTTTGTTTCGTAACTTTTTTTAAATCATTTTTCCTTTTAAAATATTTACAATTTCAAAATTTATGTATTGAAAATCACCGAATTGTTGCGAAGAATTTTATCAAAAACTTGATAATAATAGAATTCCTTCAAAGAATTTTATTAGGAAAATAATTGAATTCTCGCGAAGAGTTTTTTTTTAAATTTTCGAAAATTCTAATTAAATTCTTTTTGAAGAATTTCTTTGAATTTTTTTTTTAAATAATTGAATTTCTTTAATAATTTTAATTAAAAATTTTGAAAATAATTGTAAAATAATTGAATTCTTTAACAAAATGTATAACAAATTAAGAAAAAAATTGAATTCTTTCGTGACATTTTTTTGAAAATAATCGAATTTTTGAAAAGAATTGATATTCTTTGCAAAAATTCGATTCGATATTTATAAATATAATTGAATTGTTTAGAAGGATGTATTAAAAATTTAGAAAATAATTGAATTCTATTCAATTAATTTCAAAATTTTCAATTAAAATTATTAACAAAACTCCATTATTTAAAAAAAAATTCAAAGAAATTCTTCAAAAGAATTTAATTAGGATTTTCAAAAATTGAAATAAAATTCTTGTCAAGAATTGAATTATTTTTATAAATAATAAAATTCTTCGAAGTAATTCAATTATAAGTATAGATTTAAAAAAAGAAGAAAAGAAAAATCTTACTTAAAAAGTAAAAACTTAAAATAGAAAAAGATACCTATTATTTGAAAAATAAATAGAAAATATTGACGTAGTGTCAGTAAATGATTTTGATGTTTTTTGATACAAAATAAACACATCGATGACTGCCCCACGTGCCACCTTGAGACATGATTTTTTCTGAGTGGCGTTTCCTGCCGGTGCAAATTTAACAGTAGCTTTTGTCGCGACCCAAAGTGAAAACGTTATTAATCGGCACCTTTTTGTGTCTCAATCAAGCTTCGGTTTCAGAATCAATCTTCTCACCTTGGTTCACGACAATTTTTTCTTTCCCGCTTTGCGCGCTCGTACAATTTTTTTTATTAGATCCAATGAATATATCCCTTAAAGAGAGGACCCAGACTCTATATTCAGGGTTTTAAAAATGTTATTGCATAATTTTAAAGTCCCTTATATTCACAATTTAGTGATTCCGTGAATAAATGCGACAATTGTGTCGCCTCAGAAAATTTATCTCTTTATACATTAGGAAATCATTTGCCCGTCATTTTATACAATTTTACACTCAACGAAAATGACTCTTTCCAATTTGAAAATTCAAATTAGTTCCATGATAGTTTAGCATTTTATTTTTGAATTTGCTTTGAAAATTGATTTCAATTCTAGTCAATTTTATAATTTTTTTCGATTTTCTTTTTTTTTCAAACTCTTGTTTTAATTTTTAATTATAATAATCATTTCTAAAATAAAGTAGAAAATTTTATTCTTTAGAATGTTTAGATTTAATTAATTGTATTTAGATGAAAATATGGGTAAAGTAAATTTACATTCTTTCAAGTTGTCTAGGAAATTAATTTATATTTTGCAATACAGATCAAATATTGACTGAATTCTTTATATAAAATTTTTTTTTTTTTGTGGATAAATAATGCTCCATTTTCTCGTTTAAAAAGAAGAAAAAAAAACGAGTGAAAAGCGATTTGTCTCTCTCATGAGAGAGTGATAATCAGATAATAATGTAAAGAAACTCAACAACATTTAGACGCCAAGCTTTGTCGCTATACAAAATAATATTATTTCATTATCAGATAAATATTGATCCTCGTGATCGCATTAGAAATTTTCATTAACAAAAGGATTTTTTAAACTCAATTAAAAGTTAAATAGAAGTTAAATAATCGACGAGAATTTAAAAAAAAACTCAAATTTAAACGAATCACTATAAATTTTTATTTAAAAAATGATACAATTAGCAAATAAAAAGTATGAAAAAATAGTTAAAAGTATTTTTTTAAAACGTTTTATTCTTAAAGTAAAGAATTGAAATAGAAATAATTGAAAATCATTTTTTTTATAATAGACATGTAATTTTACTTAAATATTTGTGAGTCACAGTAGATTTTGATGAAAAGAAATAATAATAAAATTTGCTTACCGTTTTGTATCGAGTGTTGAATTTGAAACTATATTTTGGTGTGTCAAGAACAATAAAAAATGGTACCGCCAATAAATTAAAGAGCGATTTCAAGGTAATCAATTCTTTGAGACAAATTCCGAGGAAAAATATTATAAATCTGAAAAAATAGTATTTATGATAACAAAAAATTATAAACAGATAGGTATTGTAGTAACTATTAAAAAAAAATTTTAAAGGAGCAAAAATAAAAACAAATTATTTATGCAAAAAAAATAATGAAATAATAATAAAAAAATATTAATGAAGAGAAAATATTTTAAAAATTTATATTAATAATCGTTGTATTTCTGTAATAATTTGTTTGAATTTTTTTTTTATTTTTATCTGCTATTTTGTTTCCTAACTTTTATTATAATAATTTTTTTGAATTTTAAAATTAATGTATTGAAAATCATTGAATACTTGCGAAGAATTTTTATTTATTTAATTATTTATTTATAAATGGGCAAAGTTTTAACAAAATTTTAACATAAAATTTGAAAATAATTGAATTTTATGAACAATTTCTTTTCAATTTTTTAAAATAATCGTTTTTGTTAATAATTAAAATTAAACGTTTGATTATTGAATTTTATTAAAATTTTTAGAAAATAATTAAATTCTTAGAATGTTATTACAATTTTTTTTAAAATAATTGATTTCATTCCAGAAATTTTATTAAAATATTAAAAATAATTGAATTGTTTCAAAAAATGTCTTTAATGTTTGGAATAATTTTCATAATAATTGTAATTAAAATTTTACTAAATTAGATTTTATTAAAATTATTGATAGAAAAATAAATTCTTTTAAAGAAATTTATTAGAGTTTTTGTAAATAATTAAATTCTTTTAAAGAATTTCTTTAAGTTTTTTGAAAATAATATAGTTTTTTTTTAATAATTTAAATTGAAAATAATTAAATTAAACAAAGAATGTTTTTCAACATTTTAAAATAATTGTGTCTGTTAATAATTATAATAAAAAATTTTATTATCATGAATTTTATTAAAATTCTATTAAAAATAATTGAATTCCTGAGAAAAATTTTATAATTTTTGCAAGTAATTGAATTCTTCATAAGAATTTTACTATTTATAAAAATAATTGAATTATTTCCAAGAATTAATTAAAATTATAGGAAATAATTGAATTTTTTCGTGAAATTTTATTAAAATTGTATTAAAAATACTTGAATTCATGCAAAGAATATTTCTATTTATAAAAATAATTGAATTGCTTCGAAGAATTTATTAATAGCATATTGAATAGCATTTTAAAATTCCAAAAAATTGGAATTACAAGAAAAATATAATTAAAAATTTTAATAATAAAATACTTGATTATTTTTATCTTTATAATTATGTTTTTAATCTTACCCTAAATTTTGGCCAAAAAAATAGTCGTAATAAAACCAACAACCTCGCCAATGCGCTACGCAAGCAAATCCAAAGAAATAGGTGTAAATTCGTCCAAATAAACGTGATAAAATTCGATAGAAAATATTTTTTGTTTTAATATTTTCGGCAAACATTGAATGAAATAAATGTTTTAGAACTGAAAAGCTGATGTGTAGAAATACTCCAATGAGAAAATTTGCCCATGCTGGAAATCGTATAAGAAAAAATATAATTAAATTCGTGATTTATTTAAAATAAATTAAATTTATATTTTATTAAAATTGGTATTAAATTTAATATCGAAACGATTATTTTTCGTATGTAAATAATAATTTTGTGAAATAATGTCTTTAATTTTTTTATTTTTCTTTTTTTTTAGTTTTATATAATTATTATAAGTTGGTAACTTATTTTCTTCTTGGCGATTCAATAAATTCCAAAGACTCCACCAAAATCCAATACACACGGGACCAATTAAAATATTTGCAATAAAGGAATCGATTATTGAGAAAATTCTCTTTTTTCTCAATTTCCACTTTCTTTTTTGCGATTCTTCTAAATTTTCTTTTGATTCTCTTTCGATCTTTCTTAACGATTCATCCTGTTGGATTTAAAATACAATTATTATTTATATTATAATATTAATTTTTCTACTATAAAATGTTTAAATAATTTTTTAATCTAAATTAATTGGGTGTATTAATATTTTAGGATGTTCGTGGATATGGGAAGTCTGGAAACCAATATATTTATGGTGAGCAATTTTTTAAAATAAGTTTTAGTAAAAAATGATAACAATTTTTTTTTAATATTTAAGAAAAAATTTTAACGATAGTGAAGAAATGAGAATTTTTTGTTTTTATACAAACCACTAAATTCTTTTTGACAGCAACACTATTTAAATTTTCGACTAAATTATCGTCTGAATCACTGGAAATTTCTTTAAATTCTTCTTTATTTTTGTCATTTTCCTCCTTAGAATTAAAATTATTGAAATTTTCACAATTTTTCTTCCATTTCGTCAAATTACTGTCCAATTTTGATGATTTTTCGTTATTTATGGTTTCTTTTTCATTTTTGAAATTTTCCATTTCTTGACTCATGTTTGTAATTTTTGAAAAATTTTTTCTAATAATTAATTTACAAATGAAAACGAACTATAAATTTGTAATAATTATATTTTGAAACTTTCGTCGAATTGTGATTCTAAATCTGAAAAGTTAAATAAAATTAAATTTCTCCGTCAATATTTTATAGCCGATCAAAGTTCGGAGCTATAAAAATGATATTGAATTACTGCTCGTCTTGAGGAAATTAGAATTATAACTTATAGTGAAAATAAATAATAGAACTGAACTTGCAAACTATAAATAAATAAATAAGTATTTTGAGTAAAAGGCTTATCACTAACTGCAAGTATATATAAATAAATAAATTTATAATTATTTACTCACATGAAGATACGATTTTCGGGTAAATTATTAATTTGGCAAATATTAAAATAATTTAATTTTAAATTCATTAATTAAAAATTGAACCGAAATTCACTGACTTAAAAATTTTGTTGTCAATTCTTCAACTATTATTCGCATTTGCAATAATAAAAAAATACGCGAACGCACCTCATGCGCTGGTTGACAAACTACAAAAGGAACTGATCGTAAGGAAAATAGAAACATCTAATTTGGTAAATGTTTAAAGAAAAATTAACGATAAGCATTTGTTAATCTTATAAGAGGAACTGAATATTATGAAAATAGAAGTTTCAAAAATTGATAAAAATATTTTCTGTAATAATTAACACGTAATTATTACCATTTATCACTCGGCTTAAAAATCTAAAAAAGAATAAAAAGCTTAAAAATCTAATTTCTAATCTCGGAAATTGAATTGACAAATTTTAAATCAGTGGTAAAATATTGAACTCGTTTATTTTTTTTTTATTTTTTTTTATTTTCTTTGTTTCGACAGAATAAAATTTTTGCTACTCAAAAACATTAACGCGAATACATTACAATTTTTTTTTTTTTGCTCGATGTATCATATTGAGAATTTTCTTACTTAAATAAAAAGTATTTTAATAATAATATATCAAATGCAAAAAATTGCTTACAATCTATTATAAATTTTCAGAATTTTTTGATTTCAGGAAAAGAATTTTTCAATTTTTCTTTTGCACTCTTTCTTTCTAGATTAATAATAATAATTCAAATCTAGCTTTACTATCTAGCTAAAAATTTTCTTTTTTTTAAACTTATTGTTCAGCTATTCCTTAAAGAAACGAATTTGAAAATAAAAATTGACAGAAATAATAAATAGGAAACAAATATTTACCATAAATGGGAAATTTAATAATTATATTTATAATTATTAATTAAAAACGTTTTTTTAAATTGTTTCTAACAAAATTTCTACTTTGATTTACTAAAAAAATCGAAATGCATTCCAATTTGGCTTTTAATTGATATTTTGAATATAAAAACGATTTTATAATTTTTTTTTGCTGAATTTTAACGAAACGAAAGTGCGAGACGAAATACATTATATACAAAGATCCTTAGATCTATAACTTTCTTGCAGAAATTTTCTTCCTGTTTCTTTCTTTTTTTTCTTTTTCGTTAATTTACAGTCGACAATAAAATTATTTATTTTTCTCACATGAAATAATTAGCACGATCACAGCAATTTTTATAAATTTACAGGCGGTATATAAATGCGTTTTGAAGACACTCTTCGTTCTAAAAATTTTTTTCTTTCCAGTTTTTCTTTTTTTTTTTTTTTGATTCTTGGATTTTAAAAATTTGTCATTTTATATAACAAAGTATTTATTAGAATAAGTCATACGCTAATTATTATCACATATTTTTTCTAATACAAATTAACTTTTGTATTGCGCATTTTTTTTTTTAATAATAAAAAGCGAACTGTCGAGACGTAGATTTTTTAATATTTCTTTGTTTTTTTAAAGAAGAAAAATAATTGTTTAGTTAATATTTTGCCCTTTTTATTTTTCTCTCAACTGTGTAAATTGAGTTTTCTATTTTCTTTTAGTGGAAGTAAATTATTATTGAATAGTGAAATTTGTATACTTTTCGTATCGAATTGAAAATGTTATTTTTCTTTTAATTCAAAACCAAAAAGTTTTCAAAATGGAATTTAGTTTCAAAATACGGCATTAATTTTTTTTTTATTAGATGATTTTATTTCAAGTCTAATATTATGCAAGTATATTTTGTATATATTTTATCCTACTTTTTAATGGTTGAATTGAAAAAAATGGACGAGTCGACTAAAAGTTGTAAATTATTTATAAAAAAAATTCCATTGAATTGAAAAATTAAAAATCTATTAAGGGCATTCGAATAAAAATGAAGAAGAAAAATTCTCATTTGACAAATATTCAAAATTTTGATCATTTTTCTCCATCTTCAGAGAAGAAATAATTTTTAAATCTTGATCAATAGCGAATAAAATGCCCTTAATGAAAAATACTTTAAATACTTTAAAAATATGGCACAAAGCATTTAAATTCATTGTTTAAATATTAAAAATTGTTTTAAGCGGTTTAATGTGCACTTTTATCAAGATTTTCAATAATTTTTATAATTATTTAAGTATGAAAAAATCTTAATAATACATTATTGTACTGAAAAATTTCTTTTTATAAGTTACTCATGCATATATTTTGTGTGTATAAAAAAAATTCTTGACTAGATGCTAAGCGTTATTTTTATTGGCTATTATTTAATGATATTAATTGATAATATTTAAAATAATTAAAAATTAATTAACTGATAAAAATTGTCGAAATAATTTTTAAAAGTGAATAATTTCTATATAATTTCAAAATTAATTTAATTAATTTAACTAGATTAATAAATTAATAATATCAATTAATAATACAAATTTTTAATTATTAATTATTTTCAAATTATAAATACGAATAAAAATGAAATTTAATTTAATTAGAAATTTTCGAATTAAAAAAAATTTATTCCATTTTTTTTTTTCATTTCAAAGGCGAAGAAATATTGATTTTTTTAAATTTTAAGTATATTTTTTTAAATATTAATAATAATCGATCAATTAATAGAAGTTATGGACTTAATTAATATACGTATTCATAAATTTATATACGTATGTTATATATAATATAATAATATAATATTTAATTATGGCACTGACCTCTTAACACTTTTTTAAATTGCAACATCGTGAGCAACGAAATTGCAAATATAAATATTATTTAGCTCTTTAAAAAAATTTTTTTTTTCTCTCAAAAACATGTATAATAGAATTTTATTTATAATTTTTTTTATATATATTAAGTAAAATATCTAGAAATATTTTTATTCACTATCGTAACGATTTTTTGTTCAATTGCTTTTGTATAATAATATTTTCTTACAATCAAGAAAATATTCTTCTCATTACAATAATTTAACAAAAATTGTATATTCGAAGTTAATTAATGTACATTAATTTAATCACAAACTATATTATTATATATTAATTAATTCAGTTAATTACGTACAAATGTTTTGGTATTCGTAGACTAAATTGTGTTTTATTTTTTTTCTACTGTTAAAATCAAATTAATTTAAAAAGTAAACGCAACTCTAAAAAATAATTTTTTTATGAAAAATTAAAAAAAAATATTAATAAACAATTATTTAAATTATCAACAATTATGTATAATAATAACAATAACTTATAACAACAATAATTAATTATATTAATAATAGTAATATTAATAATTAATTATTATAATTTAATAAAACGAATTCAATTTTTTAATAAAAATGATAATTGAAAAAAAGTTTGATTAGAGTTGCATTACTTAAGAAAAATTAAAACAGAGCTGTTTCACTTACAATTATGTGATTTTAATATTATTTTTATTTATAATTGTTTATTTAAATTGCTGTATTGTTAAAGTTACATTTAATTATATTTCTGTAAAATTAGTTTCTGTATTTTAAGTACTTGAGTTTAATGACAATCCTTAATTTATAGAATAGTATTGAAAATTCTTTTCTTTTTTGAAATTTTCTTCCTTTTAATTGTTTGAATACAATCTTCTTTTTGATTTTCGATTGTTTGATTTGATTTTATTATCATTGTTTAATTATTTTAAAAAATAATAATGATTTTAAAAAATTATTTATAATAATTATTCGAAAAAAAAGAATTCATTTATTTAGCGGACGTTTTGGAAAATTCGTTTAAATATTGGCAGTAAAAAGGCATTTTTTTCTTTCTTAGGACGTTAATTTAAGAAAAATAAAAACAGAAAAATCAACGGTAATAAAATTTTCGACACATTGTTTGTATATTTAACAGTCTTATAAATTTTTTTCACTTTTATTTGCTTTCGTTTATTTACTTCCTATTTTTGTTTTTCAGTGAAAAAAAAATCAAGGTAACGAAAATTTGATATGTTATCAGATATTATCAAGTTTAGTTCCGATATTTTGTTAATGATAATTATTGCGCTTTTTTTGTGTGTTCTTAAATTACTTTTTTCTTCTAAACAGCTCTGTTTTAAAAAAGTTAACAGTCTTATGCAAAAAACTATTTTTTTAAATTTTTATTTGTTTAAATAATAATTGAATATTATTAATTAAACAAATAATTAGTAGGTAATAAATTAATCACCTAATTATTAAATAATCAATTAGATAAACATTTTTTTTTATTTATTAGTTGATTAATTTATTAAGTTCCTAATCTTAAATATTAATTAATACTCAAGTAATTAATTACTTAATTAATGATATTATGATTAAAAAATAAATACTTGATTATTGTAACTAATATAATTAGATTAAAATTTAACTATTTTGTTAAATATACATTTTTAAAAATTGTTTGAAAATTTTTTAATTGTCGCTAATTAGAAGCATTTTAATTTATTTTTAAAAAAGTTCAAAAATTGTAAGATTTAAAAAGATTGGAAAATTTTTGAACGACTGCAATTATTAAATATTATTATGACAATATATTTATGTATTTCTAAATGAATTACTTTTTTAATTCTAAAAAGTATTTTTTTAACGGAAGCGCCATTTAATTCGAAAAAATTCGAATAAACTAATTTTTCAATAACTTTTTTTTTTCTTGTTGAAAAATTTATTAATGTTAAGAATATTTAAAGAATTTTATGTAGTTTTGAAAAAAATATTAGGCCTCTCACTCTTTTATTATTTAATGAACACAAAGAAAATTTCAAACTATTTATGTATTTTATATTTAATTTGAAATTTAAGAAAAGTAGTAAATTTTACTTTATTTTGTAATTATATACGAAAAAAATTTCTTTCTTTCAATAAGTCTCAAAAATGGTTTTTTTTTTGAGATATTTCAAAATTGATTAAAAATCGTTTCGTCTTTTTTTCTTTCATCTTTTTTTTTACATAAATTAATAGATTACTCTATATATTCTCACTATTTTCTGTAGTACGCGAGCGATTAAATCGAACTTTACGATTCTTAAATACTAACTAGTAAAATTGTTGAAAATAAAATAAAATTATGATAACAGTATAACAATAATAATTTACAAGAATACTGTAAATACGAATCCTGAAAGCTAAACTAATCCGAGCTACGACATTTTACCTATATTATATATAATATATCCAAAAGTTTTCTTTAACGATCTCTTTTCTTCTACATACAGTCATCCATTATTGCATCGCCCTTATCTTTTAATTGCGATTCATCCATGAAATTATTTTTTAAATTCTTTTCCTCCGCTGATTTTACACACTGGAAAAAAATTAAAATTTTAATATTTCATTAAAAAATTAAATAGCAAAATTAAAATTTATAATCAATATTTTTTTATTTCTTCTCTTTTTATTTTTTAATTGCAAAGAAGAGGAATGAAAGTTAATTTGAAAAATATATTCTTTCTCTAGCCTAAGATTTGAAAAAAGATAAAATTTTATACTTTTCAAATACAATTTGAAACTTACATCGTCAATTTTAATTCTTGGCGCTGAAATTTGTTCCGGAAAATGCCAAGGTTTGAGATTTGGACAGTTTATTAATTTCCAGGAGGGATAATTTTGCGATGCCTTGTGTAATTTCTTTACCATCTGATTAACAAAGGAAGACAATAATTTTTAAATGTACAAATAATTAAAAAAATTAAATTATTTTCGAAAATTTATTCTGAAAAATTTTGATAAAATTCTATATAAGAATAGAAATATTTTCAATACAATTTTAATTTAATTTTTCCTCAAAAAACTAGTTATTTTTGAAAATTTCAATAAAATTCTTAGCAAAATTTCAATTTTTTCCCATAATTTATTAAATTTTTCGCAGAAATTTTATTATTTTACAGAATTTTAACAAAATTCTTCCCAAAAATTTTATTATATCGAATGATTTTAATAAAATTCTTTATAAAAAAAAATTTAATTAATTGCTTTAGAAAAAAATTTTTTTTTCCTAAATAATAAAATTTTTTGCAGAAAGTCACTTATTTTGAAAAATTTTGGTAAAATTCTTTATAAGAATTCAATTATCTAGATTAAAAAAAAAGTAAACGAATAAATATTGTTCTAATCGAAATGATAGAAATTAAAAATTGCAAATTGCAAATTAATGTATAGAATTAATGTTAATTATTCTTGCCTTTGGTGTGAAAATTTGCGTGATTTTATTGACGAGCCACACAGGTAATTTTCCATGTGGATCTGTGTGAGAGACGTAACCCAATTCTGAACCACCGTTTTGCGAAAGTCTCACAATATACCCTGAAGAAGAAATTATTTCTCTAAATTTGCTAATTAATATACAAAATAATTTTTCCCTCTTTTATTTTCTTCTGATGTAGTTTATTAATATTTTCTCTTTTTTTAGTTGTTACCTGTTAAATATGACGTCGCTCTCACAAAATGCTTCCTGGGAGGATAATCTTTATGATATACGGAGTGATTTATGATTAATTGTTCTTCACCAGTGTCTAACCATGACCTTTGAAGTACAAAATCCCTATTTTTCAAGGGCGATGGGCAAGCCACTAAAAAAAATAAAAAGAATAAGTTACATTTCTCAAAATAATAATTTAACTAATTAATAATAAATTTAGAAAATTTGTTGACACGAAATTTTTTTTTTCACTCAAAGAAAAGACGTTGGCAAGAAATCAAATTTAATTTTTGAAGAATTTCAGATTCAAACTTTAAAAAAATTTAATTATTAACTAATTTACTACTTACTTATTTTCTAAAAAATTTCACGAAAGACTTCAATTCTTTTCTTAATTCGTTATAAAACTTTTGCAAAAATTTAATTATTTTCAAAAAAAATTTCACAAAAGAATTCATTTTTTTTAATTCGTTATAAAATATTTCAAAAGAATTCAATTATTTTCAAAATTTTTATAAATCCTTCGAAACAATTTAATTTTTTTTATAAATAGTAAAATTCTTTGCAAAAATTCAATTATTATTTTTAGTACAATTTCAATAAAATTCTTATTAAGATTTGAATTATTTTCTTAATTAATAACATCACTCTAAAGAATTAAATTATTTAAAAAAATTTCAAATAAAATTTCTCGAAAGAATTCAATTATTTTTAAAAATTATTTATTATTATTTCATAATTTATAAAATTTTTTCACTGAAATTTATTTATTTTATAAAATTTCTCAAAAGAATTCAAATATTTTAAAAAATTTTAATTATATTCTTTATGAGAATTGAAATATTTTCAATACAATTTTAATGAAATTCCTCGAAAACATTCAATTATTATCGAAAATTTTAATGAAATTCTTAGCAAAATTTCAATTATTTTCATAATTTATAAAATTCTTTCATTGGAATTTAATTATTTTATAAAATTTAAATAAAATTCTTCGCAAAAATATTATTAATTAAAAAAAATTCATTGTAAGAAAAAAATTAAATTAAATATTATGAAAAAATTGAATTATTTTCATAATTAATAACATTATTCATAGAATTCAATTATATTCAAAACGATTTCACGAAAAAATTCAATTTTTTCTTAATTCGTTATAAAAAATTTCAATAATTTCAATTATTAACAAACACAATTATTTTAAAATCTTGAATGAAATTGTTCATAAATTTAAATTATTTTTTAAATTTTTAATTAAAATTATTTAAGAAACTCCATTATTTAAAAAAAAAAAATTCAAAGAAATATCTTCAAAAAGAATTTAATAAGAATTTTTAAAAATTATAACGAGAATTCAAATATTTTCCTAAATAATAAAATTCTTCGAAGAAATTCTAGGTATTATTTTCAAATTTTTTGATAAAATTCTTTGCAATAATTCGATGATTTTCAATACATTAATTTAAAAATTGAAAATATTTAAATTTAAAAAGAGAAATTAATTAAAAAGTTAAGAAACAAAAAAAGCAAACAAGGAACTTTAAACTGCTAACAGATTATCGGAATACAGCGATTATTAATATAGAAGAAGATAGATATTAATATAGATAATTCTTTAATCGACTTTTTCAAGAATAGTTTTTTTTTTCTTTAAATTTTCGTTAATTACTCACTTGAATAATAACCGAGATCATTATTGGGATTAAAGAAGCCTATTTCTTTTGATTCAATAACGTGATTGTCCCAGACTTTTCGATATTCCGGATCGTGGAGAACGTCGAATAAAGTTTGTGGCATAACGTCGGAAAATCTCGTTCTAATCTGTAAAAATTTGAAAGAAAACCAAGGGAAAAATTAATTTTTAAACTCTTTCTTCTTTTTTATTTAAAAGAATATTAATTTTAATAATTTTACATTTACCTTAACCATCCGAAAATGAATTCCTGGCACGGATTTTGTCCAAACACATAAATCTGGTTTATTGTAATCCAATCGCCAATCATTGTTGTTATCATAGAGCTGTTTGAGTTTTTCGAAATCCTTATCTTCTGCGATTTTAACAATGCCAACGTCCATCGTTGAATTCTAAAAAAATTTTCGATAAACCGTTTTAGTCTATTTTAATTTATTAATTATTATTTATTTGATTTATTTCTATTTCTTTATTCTTTTTGAGTAAAAGAAATTGTTTATTTATACTTAAAATTTTTAATGGAACTAAAGAAAAACTGAAAAATTAATTTTCATTAATAATTTATTTCGATGTTTCAAAAAAAGAATAATGCAATTTTTTTTAAATATGGAAAATAATTTTTCATAATAACGAATAAAAGATGTTTTTTCATATGTTTATCAAAAACTAAGAAAATATTAAAAAAATTATAATTTAGGAAAATTAGTTTGAGGTAAAATTAAAAAAAAGAATAAATTGAAAAATAGGAAAATATGTTTAATTTGTATTGACAACGATAAATAATGATAAATGTAGACAATATATTCAAAAACTATAATTTAGGAGATAAAGCATAAAATTGAACGTTTATGGAAAAATTAAAAAAACAAATAAATTAAAAAATAGAAGAAAATGTTTATAATTTGTATTGAAAACAATAAATAATGATAAAATGTAGACAATAGAAATATAAAAATTATAACCTGGAAACTGGAAAGTTGCGAGGTCCCTTGAATCACAATAGCGACGATAATGAAAAAAGAAAGAAAAATAGACCCAATTTTTAAAAAAAGATATTTTACTAATCACATTGAGTAATCATCAGTGAAGCAACAAAGTTTAAAGATAAGAAAGTCAATGCTCGAGTTGTTATTATTAATGACAGATGAATTACGGTCATTTAGGACATCTTAATTTTTATCAAAACAGTCTTGCACTTGAGTCTCTTGAAAAGAATCACTCTTGAATTCATTCATTTCGAAGCAGAAAAAAAAAGAAAAAATTATTTCAACTATTATACACGAAAAGGTATGTCTATTGATTAAAAAAGAAAAAAAGAGTTAATTAATCCTTGACGACAATCGCGACGGGAGATCGGCGCCGACAATATATAGTTTTTTGCTTCGCGTATATTAAAAAAAAATCTTCGCCAATAACTTCATGGCCTCCTTAATTTCCAGGTTATGTTTTCTATTTTCCTTCTTCAACTGTCAAAATCAGCTGTGGTGACGCTGTGTAAGAGTTGCAATTTTATAAATATTATAAACTTTATAAATTATAAATTTTACTGAAAAATTATACAAGGAACTTTTTTTTTCTAATTAGACACAAAAAATAGTCTCGGTTTTTTAAGCTTTAATTAAATATATTTTGTTTATTGTTTTCAGTTTAGAAAAAGAGCAGAATTTCTTTGGAAATCCAATGACAATTTCGTAAACAAAACCTTGTCTTTTTTTGAAAACTATATTCTCGTGACGATAAATGAGTATTTCTGTTATGTTATTAGTTTGTGTTCCACGTGTGGGGATAATTTATCATTAAGCTAATGTTCGTGAATTTGATAAGAAATTTTGTGATTACAGAAATTTTTTGCGCTTCATCGTAAAATAAATTTAATGTCGAGGAGAGCGTAAAAATATATCCGGCTAATTAATTATTTTTATAGTTTGGTAGTTTTTCAGTAAATAAAAATGGTATATTTTAATTGATAATTTATTTTTCCAGATTGGATATTTCAAGAAAATCAAGCAAAATAGAGGGAAATTTCGAAAAAAAAATGGCTCCTCTGAGTTCTGTCAACACAGGAAATGCGGAGCTTGATGAAAAAATTACGGAATGGTTCAAATGGAACAAGGTATTTTATTTATTTATTATTTAATTAAGAATATATTTAGTGTTATTATTTTTATTATTTCTTCTGTTCTCGTGATTTTTATTTATTTATTTATTTATTTGACAGGGTTGCCACAGGTCAGGGAAAAGTCACGGAATTTTATTAAAAATACTGGAAAAAAATTAAATTTTTAGAATTCATAAGAAAATTCTGAATTTTGGTGTCTTAAAGAACTATCATAAAATTAATACTTTAAAAGTTCAAAAATAATTGAATTTTTTAAGAGGTGCGTTGACAATTTTCATAAATAAACTAATTTTGAATTTAAATTTTAGAAAATTTCAATTTTAAATGAATTTAATTAAAAATTTAAAGAACACAGTTTTTTAATTGTTTTAAAAATTTTATCTAATAATATTCTTTGGATAAATTTAATTATTTTGAAAATTTTTAGTAAAATGCTTTATAAGAATTAATTTATTTTTAATAGAATTTTTATAAAACTCATACCAAGATTTTAATTATTTTTATTTATGAATAAAATTTCTCGAGAGAATTCAATTTTAGGAATTTTTATAACATTCTTTGCAAAATTCAATTATTTTCCTAAATAACCAAAATTCATAACAAGAATTCAATTATTTTCATAAATAACCAAAATTCATCACAAGAATTCAATTATTTTCAAAAGTATTAGAATTCTTCACCATAATTCAATTATTTTCAAAAATTTTAATGAAATTCTTGGCAAAATATCAATTATTTTCATAAATAATACAACTCGTCGCAATATTTCAATTATTTTTAATACAATTTCAATTGAATTTCTAGAATAATTAAAATTTCTCGAATAATTAAATTATAAAGTTTATTAAAATTTGTCGAAAGAATTATATTATTTAAAAATTTGTTAATAACATTCTTTATAAGAATTCAATGTTAAGAAACATTCAATTATTAAATAAATTTATTTTTGTATTTAAATAATTGAATTCTCGTAGAATTTTCTAATAAAAATTGATTTAAAAATTAATTTCAGTTAAAATTTAAAACAATAATTGAATATAAAAAACATTATAGCTTGAATTTTTAGTAACGCCCTTAATTTTCATCTTTTTCTAAAAAAAGAAACGGGACAAATACGTGAAAATTGCTATTTTTTGGTTGACTAATTATTTTTAGAGTGAATCAGAATATTCTTTAGGGTTTGGAAAAAAGTAAAAATTTTGTCTGGAAATCAGGAAAAAGCAAAATTAAATTTTTGTGCTCTCTAAATCTGAATTAGCGAAATTCCACTAATTTCCCAGCGATAAGTATATCACTGATTCAATTAGCGTATATATGCTAATTAATCAGTGAAATTTCACTAATTCACAGCGTATATACGCTAATTGAATCAGTGATATACTTATCGCTGGGAAATTAGTGAAATTTCGCTAATTCAGATTTAGAGAGTGGCAACCCTGTTTGAATACATTGGTATATTAATTACTTAATTACATTTAAATATGAATTTAAAATTTACTTTTTAAAAATTATTAAAACATTTTTAAATTTTTAAATATTTTTAAATTCTTTTGTAATTAAATTTCTATTCTTTGTTTTTTAAAAATAGGATTCGAATGCTGATGCTAAAATACAGTCCTTAATAAATAATAATGATACGGCAAGTCTATCGAAATTGTTTTTGAAGCGACTTGAATTTGGAACGGCTGGAATTAGAGGACAAATGGGTCCTGGATTTAATCAAATGAATGATTTAGTAATTATTCAAACCAGCCAAGGACTTGCTAAATATTTATTAAACACAATCGGTAATCTGGAAATAAAAGGAGTCATCTTGGGATACGACGGAAGACATAATAGCAAAAGGTTCTTTTTTAACAAATAGTTTATTTAAAAAAATCTATTTTAAAAAAATTCGCATTTAATTTAATTATTATTGATTTTTATTTTCTTATTTATTTAATTTTTATTTATTTATTTTCTTATTTATTTAATTTTTATTGATTTATTTTCTTATTTTTTTATTATTTACTTTTTTACAATTAATTAATTTGGTTATTCTTAAATTTTCTTTAATTGAAAAAAATGTATTTTTAAATTTTCTTTAATTGAAAAAAAAATGTATTTTTGTTTAATTTATTTTTCCTTCTTTTCTCCCTCAACAGATTTGCAGAATTAACGGCGTCAATTTTTCTCAATAAACAAATAAAAGTTTATATGTTCTCGAAAGTATGTCCAACGCCATTTATTCCTTATGGTGTTTTAAAATATAAATGTGGCGCTGGTGTAATGATAACAGCCTCGCACAATCCTAAAGAAGATAATGGCTATAAAGTTTATTGGGAGAATGGTGCACAAATAATTTCGCCTCACGATAAAGGAATTCAAAAATGTATTTTAGAAAATTTAGAACCACTCGATTCATCATGGAATACAAAGGAAATTTATCAGCATTCATTATTTAATGATCCATTGAATGAAGTTTTAAAAGATTATTACAATGATCTCAAGGATGATGTTTTGTATCCAAATATTAATGAAAAGACAAATATTAAATTCACTTATACCGCGATGCATGGCGTTGGATTTGATTATATGTCAAGGGCATTTGAAACTGCAAGTTTTAAGGTATTATTTATTTATTTTGTATCCTTTTTGCTACTGAATTTGAATTGAATTTGAATTTTAATAATTTGAATAATAGATACATTTTCTTTTGTATTTTGAATTATTATTTTTTGCAGCCGTTTATCGTGGTTGAAGAGCAAAAAGATCCTGATCCTGAGTTTTCGACAGTGAAATTTCCCAATCCTGAGGAAGGAAAAAGCGCATTGAATTTGAGTATCGAGACTGCGAATCGAAATGGCTCGACAATTATTTTGGCTAATGATCCTGACGCTGATCGATTGGCGTGTGCTGTCAAAGGAGAAAAGTAAATAGAAAAAATATTCAATATCATATAATTTACCTGATTTCTTTCTACTTAGTATATTTATTTCTTTTTTTATAACTAGCAAAAGCGCGTGAAATGTGATATTCAATTTATTATTGTTATGCAAATTACAAAATTTTTTATTTTCAAATATAAAATTATTTATATAATTATTTGAATAATTTCATAATCAAAATTTAAAAAATTCACTTATTAAGTACAAAATTAATTATTATTGTTTATAAATAGTAAAACTCATTACAAGAATTCAATTATTTTCAAAATAATTTTAATTGAATTCCTTGGGAGAATTCAATTTTTAAAAAAAATTTTATTACATTTCTAAACAATTCAATTATTTTTCTAAATAGTAAAATTCTTCGCAAGAATTCAATTATTTTTCTAAATAGTAAAATTCTTCGCAAGAATTCAATTATTTTTCTAAATAGTAAAATTCTTTGCAGGTATTCAATTATTTTTTTAAATAGTAAAATTCTTCGCAAGAATTCAATTATTTTTCTAAATAGTAAAATTCTTTGCAGGTATTCAGTTATTTTCAAAATAATTTTAATTGAATTCCTCGGAAAAGTTAAAAATAATTCAATTATTCTCAAAATATTTAAAAAAAAATTCTATATAAAAATTAAATTACTTTCAATGCAATTTTTTAAAATATATTCGTCTAAAAAATTGAAAGAATTTAATTATTTTAGGAAAATAATAAAATTCTTCTGATGAATTTAATTATTTTGAAAATACTTAATTTTAATAAAATTTTTTGCAGAAATACAATTATTTTCGAAACAACTTCAATTCAATATCTCGAAAGAATTTAATTATTTTCAAATATTTCTATAAAATTCTTCTAAACTCAATTATTTTAAAAAAATTAAATGGTGAAAAATTAAATAATTAATAAATTAATTATTTTCATAAATAAAAAAATTTTTCGAATAAATTCAATATTATTCTCTTCAAATTTTTTTGACAAGATGCTTTCCAAGAATTTAATGATTTTCAATACATTAATTTTAAAATTGGAAATATTTGAAAAGAAACATTATAAAAAAAAGTTCGGTACACAAAAAGATTCACAATTTTATATTTCAGGTTAAATTGTAAAATATATAATTTTTAGAGACGAAATTTAATTATTTTTTCGATTCTTTTCCCAGCAACGAGTGGCAAATTTTTACTGGCAATGAACTTGGAGCACTTTTGGGATGGTGGATGATGCATGTTTATAAAGTTCGATATCCGGGCAATAATTTAGCTGAAGCTTATATGATGGCCTCGACGGTATCGAGCAAAATCCTCCAATCGATGGGCAAAAAGGAAGGATTTCAATTTGAAGTATTTACTTTTTTTATTCTTTATAATTAGAAATATTAATTATATGGATTTTTTTATTAATTAGAAAATTCATTCTTTCAAGTATGAATTTTGCTTATATGCAAAATTCATACTTAAAAGAATACATTTTTAAATTTTCACACACATTTGTTTTTTGAATTAAATTTATTTTGAATTTTCCTTAGGAAACTTTAACGGGCTTCAAATGGATGGGTAACAAGTCAATTGATCTGATGATGGAGGGAAAACATATTCTTTTTGCTTTCGAGGAGGCAATTGGTTTTATGTGCGGTTCAAGAGTTCTTGACAAAGACGGTATTAGTGCGGGAATTCGAATTGCCGAAATGGCCGCCTATCTTGAAACAATGAATCTTACGTTACGTGAAAAATTAAATGAAATTTACACTGAGTACGGTCAACATATCAGCGAGAATTCCTATTGGATTTGCCACGAGCAGGAGACTATTAAATCTATATTCGAGAGACTGAGAAATTATAGCGGAAAACCAAATACTGTAAGTTTTATTTGCACACGAATTTATTTACTATTAGTTTTTTCTTCTTCTTTATCCTCTTATTTTTCTACCTTTTTTGTTCAAAGTACTGGAAAAATTAAGTTTTTACAATTTATAAGAAAATTCTGAATTTTTGTGTCTTTTCTGTTTGCCTTGTAAACTGTGAAATTACCACGAATTCTAATACGAAACCTTCAATTTTTTCTATTTCTGGCAATAATTTCTTTTTAAATGACTTAATTATTGAACAACAAATCTGAATTTTTCATACTTTTAATTAATAATTCTGTAGACCTAATTTATTTGAAAGATTTTAATTTCAATTCTGTTGAAATTAGTTGAATGTTTTAATAATATTTAATAATATTTATATATAATTATCGGATTTTTTTAATTATCTCAGAAGGAACATTTCATCTGAGGTAGTTTTAGCGGAGAAAATTGTATTAAAGTTTTTTTCCTTTGACTTTTAACCTAAGATTGTTTTCTAACTTAATGATAATTTGTTTTTTAGTTAAGAAAAATTGATTACATTTTGAAATTAAATAAATGAATAAATAAATTGTTTCTCCATAGTAAACCGCTTTATTAATATATTTTTATGATTAAAACGATTAAATTTTGTTCATGAATTTCGAAAAGGGCTCAACTCTGACAAGTATAATATCAATTTTCTCCAACCTACTGTCATTAAGAACAGTTATTTTATTTTCTTATATAACAAAGCATCTAGTTACTAAGATAAAGCTGGACTTTTTTAATTAAAGCTGTTTGAAATAAACAGTTTTTTTGTGTCTCCTGCAAAATTTCAAAAAACCAGGTTGAACCCTTTTCGAAATTCACGATTCAATTGAATTTCTCAGAATTTAGAAATAATTGAATTTTGAAATAGTTTCAAATTCAAATCTTTGAAAATATGAATTTTTCATACTTTTAATTAAGAATTCTGTAGAACTAATTTTTTATTTTGAAAATATTTAATTTAAATTTCTTTGAAATTATTTGAAGTTTTTATTTTCTACCTAATATTTCTAATATTTCTAATTAAAGAATTTTTGTAAATAAATAAGTGTAATAGAACATTTTTTTGAGTATCTAATAATTTTTAGAGTGATTTAGAATATTTAGTGTTAGGAAAGATGTCAAAATTTTGTTCAGGGAATTCAGGGAAAAACAAAATTAAATTTTCTTGGCAACCCTGAAAAAGAAGAGTCGTTAAGAGAAATTTGAGATTAGAAAAATTTATTTCTTCCAGTATCCAACAAGTATTTTGAGTGGAAAATATCCTGTAGTTGGCGTGAGAGATTTAACGACTGGTTACGATAATTCGAAACCTGACGATAAAGCAATTTTGCCTACCTCGAAATCCAGTCAAATGATCACGTTCTCCTTCAAAAATGGCCTTGTTACAACATTAAGGACAAGTGGCACTGAGCCAAAAATCAAATACTACAGTGAACTCTGTGCAACTCCAGATCAACAGTAAGAACTATTTTTTTTTAAAGTAAATTACTCCAGAAAAAGAATCCACTTTAAAAAAAAAATGAAAACTAAATTATTTTTCAGGGATTTAAAAGCTTTAAGAAGTACATTAAAGGAGATGGTCGACGCTATTGTGACGGAATTCCTTCAACCGGAATTAAATTGTTTGATACCTCGCAGTGATTAAAAATTATCAGTCAGGAAGATAATTTCATTTATTCTTTTCAATTCAATGAGAGTAAAAAATTCTCTCACGGCTAGTGAGATTTTTCATGTGAAAATGAAATCATTTTTTTTAAAAATATTTTCCTATTTTTTTAAATGTTGCTCATACTTTCATATAATTACTTTTTTCATAACTTGTATATGTAATACGATAAATAAAATTCTCCAAATTGTGAGAATATATTTCTGTTTACTTTCATTATTCATTATTTTCTTTTTTTTATAAGAAAAAATTTTTGAATTTTTATATTTGAATAGTAATTTTTATTTGCGAAATTCATTTTCGATAAGTTAAAAATAAAAGATATATGTGAATTTTAAACTACAAATGAAATCAATGTAAATTGAATTTTTACCTTTAAATGCGTATTTTCTTTTTTTCCGGATGAAAACTATTTTTGTTTTCGAGTAATACAAATGAATTTTTCATTTCTTTCTTTTGCTGAAAATTATGAGTTTTTTGCTTCCCTTATTAAAATAAGTGAAGAAAAAGAAAATGAATCTCGAGGGGAAAAAAGAACTTATTGAGAATAATTTCTTTTTCTACAAAAGAAAAAAGTATAGATCATTCAAATTACAGTCGAAGGTTCATAATTATGTCACGAAAGTGTAATATACGTTATAAATATAATGCTTATTTATAATGTTTATTTATAATGAAACATTAATTAAATTTGCATATATTATAACGGTTAAAAGTTGTTATTTCGTATTTTCCTTCTTTTTTTTTTGACTGAAAAATGATTGAATGAATTATTAAAGTCGTTGATAATATGCAATTGCTTTCGTCACGGCCGACTGGTGGCTACTATTATTCATGAGTAAGCATAAAATTATAAGCCGAGCAACAAAAAAAAAGAAAAAAAAAGGAAAAAGAAAGAGAAAAACGGAATAAAACATTGGCAAAGGTATCGTAACTTTTAGAGCGTCGTGCCAATGATGCATTACTTCGCTCGGTGTCATTTCTACATGATTAGTTATCACACGACTACCGAGATTGAATGATAAAGAGAAATAAGATTAAAAAACAGTAGTTTCTCTCAAGTTCAAAAAAAGAAATTAATTTTCATATTTTTACTTCAAAAAACTTTAAAGCAGAATTTTTCAAAATGAATCCAAGTGTGAAGAGTAGTGACCAATTTTTCTAAAAGTGTCAAGAATTCACAATTGATAGTAATATATATTTTTAATAATAATGATTTTAGTAATAATGATTAATAATAATTAATTCTATTAAAAATGAAATTAATTCATAACTTGAAAAAATAATTAAAAATCAAAAATATAATAAACCAAATTTAACATTCTACTTGTTTTTATTTATTTATAAATCAACTTTTGAATTTTAATTTCACGTAATTTTTTGTCTTCTTCTTTTGTTTCGTAAACTTTTGCTTTTGAATTTTCGAGAAATAAAATGCTTTTTGACAAAAAGTTCCATTTGTCTAAATTTCTACCATTATATTATTTTTGTAAAATTACTGATTGTTTTTTTTTTGCATAAGAAATTTTTTTTAGAATATTAATAAATTAATTTAATTTTTAGAAAATTTTAGTGCATAATTTTTAGAAAAATTTAGTGCGTAATTTTTAATGTAAAGATTATTCAAATAAAAGTAATATTTATAAATTTTGTTATAAAAATAATTTGATAAAATCATATAAATTAGTAAGAAAATAACTATGAAATATTTGTAATTAATTAATAGTTATAAAATGAAAAATTATGTTGAGTAATAAAACAATGAAATATCTAACAAATGGAAAAGAAAATGAAAAAAAGGAATGAATTTAAAATAACATTAATTCTTAGAATAAATTATTTAATTTTTTTTTTTAATTTTTGCTTTTTCTCCTTTTGAGGAAATAAAATTTCTTGGAGAAGGACGTTTGAGGAAAGATAGAAAAAAAAATGAAAATGTCAAAGAATAAAGGATCGTTAAATACAGTGTGGAATATATTCTTCGTTTTTTTGACATTAATTCCGTCTCTATTGTTGAGTATTTTTGCATTTCCGACAATTCAATCTATGTATTATCTTTCGCCATATTTCGACGACGATATACCAAAAATTACGTAAGTCATCTATCAACAATGATATGTGTGATTTAAGTGTTTTATTACAGTTTTTCCAATAATGTCATGTAATAATAATCAAGATACACGAAAGTCTTGATTCATTAATTCTTTAGTCTTATTCGTGTCATAGATTTTTTTTTTGTTTATATTTTTGTCATTCAATCTTCTACACGCAAAATTTATATTTATTCATGTATTTAAAAAAAAGTTTTAATAACAATTATTAATTGTACTAACTAGCAAATTTTATGCTCGTCAGCGATCGAAACGCGGTGTTTCATTTATTATTATTATTAGGCAAGTTAAAACAAAATTTTTTATTTTCAAATACTAAATTTCAATTTTTGAATAATTTCAGATTCAAAATTGATAAAATTTTTCGGAGGAATTCAATTATTTCCAATACAATTTATTAATTTATTATTAATTTATTATTTTCCAATCGAATTTCTCAAAAAAATTCAATTACCTATTTTGAAAAATTTTAATTAAATACTTTATCAGAAAAAATTTAATTCAATAATTTAAAAAAATTGAATTATTTTCCTAGATAATAAAATTTTTTGCAGAAAATCAATTATTTACTTATTTTTAATAGAATTTTAATTCTTATTAAAATTTCAATTATTTTCGTAATTAATAACATTTCTAGAAGGAATTGAATTATTTAAAAAAATCGTAATAACATTCTTTGGAAAAATTCTATTATATTTAAAAATGTAATAAAATTCTTCGCTAAAATTCAATTATTTTGAAATTTTTTTATTAAATTCTCTATGAGAAGAGAAATATTTTCAATTCAATTTTAATTATATTTCAATTTTAAATTAAAACTCAATAATTAATAACATTTCTCGAAAGAATTCAATTATTTAAAAAAAATTGTAGTAAAATTGCTCGAAAGAATTCAATTATTTAAAAAAATCGTAATAAAATTTCTCGAAAGAATTCAATTATTTAAAAAAATTGTAATAAAATTTCTAGAAAGAATTCAATTATTTAATAAAATTGTAATAAAATTTCTCGAAAGAATTCAATTATTTTTTTTTAATTGTAGATAACATTTTTCGCAGAAATTCAATTATTTTCAAAAATTTAGATAAAACTCTTTAAAAAAAATTGAAATATTTGTAATATTACTTTAATGAAATTTCTCCTAAGAATTAACTTATTTTAAAGTTTTCAATTAAATTCCTCGAATAAATTCAATTACATATTTGGAAAATTTTGATACTTAAATTTCGATGTAAGAATTCAATTATTTCAGATTAAAAATTATAAAAGAGATATTTTTAATGGCAAACAACTTAGTTTTTTTTATCATTATTTCATTATGAAAAATTAAATAATAATTTCCATTTTTTTCTTTTTACAGAATGTATTCAGTTGCCATGGAAGAAAAATTGTGATGTTTTTTTTCACTGAAAAATAAACGATCGAAGGAAAAGACTGAGAAATAAATAATTTAGAAATATGTAAATTTTTTTTATATTATTAAGAAGAAAACAGTTATTGAAACAATAAAGTACTTTAACAAACATCAATTTTTTTTCTTATTTAAAATAAATTAAAAATTATGATATAAAAAACTAAACTAATATAAAATGAATTTAACAAATAAAAATATATGTAAATTTTGACAAAATTTATTAATAATTTAGAAATATCTTAAACTATACATTTTGACATTATTTTTTACAAAAAAATTATTCTAAAAATATATTTTTAAAATAACAATTCTTTTACAAGATTATATAATATTTTTTCTTATTCTTTTCTTTTTTAAACTTTGAATTAATAAAACAACAAATTAATTATTCATATATTTTGTTTAGCGAATAGAAATTTGAAAAAGCTATTAGGAGATATTTTTGATCAATACAATTTTTTTCCAAAAAATAAAAAAAAGAAGTGATTTTTTTTTAAACAGAAAGATCTTATACAGAAAAGTTAAACAAGGCAATTATTTATTACAAATATGTAAAGTGGCACGGTAACCGTCAATATTTACAATTATACGCATTATAATTATATTAAAAATTATAATTATATAATTATGTGATATAATACATTAAAAATATTTCATTATACAATATAAAAATCAAAATGAATATTTTTAAATTAATTTTTAATTCAGTTAATTGTTGCGTGTGAAAAATCACTTCTTAATGTTTTACAATTCTAAGGAAAGAAGATAAATAATTATCTATATTATACTAATGATTATAATTAATATTATTTTTTTTTCAACGAGTTCCGTTTATGCAAATCAAATTTTGATTATTGCTTCAAACGAAAATATAATAAAAGTGCATTTTATGGATAAAAATTGTTTTTGCATTATTTTTCCTATTTATCAATTTACTAAAAAAATGCGTAATTATCACGCAGAGAAAATTTTTTTTCTTTAAAACATTTTACATTTGCTATTCTTTTTTAGCAGTAAAAACTTTGACCGCCAAAATATCTTTATCACAATATTTTTTACTAAATATATTTACAATATTACAAATGAAACTATAACTTGTCAAAATGACAGTGTTCGTTTTTTACATCAACCTCTTTAGTAAAGCAAGAAATTGATTATTGTTCTTAATTATTTCTAAATTGATTCACATTTTTAATGATTTGAACTTTTTTTTCTCTTAAATTTCTTCATACTGTAAGTAAACTATTATATGGATAGAAACAATTTTTTCTTCTATATGACACCAACATTTTCTTTAGGCGAACGTATCCTATATTATAAAATAGAAAGAAAATAAAATTCAGCTCCAAACATCACTTGAATAACGTTTTTGTGTATCCATTTTCTTTATGTAATCCTGCGCCTCCATTTCTGTCATTTTTCCCTTTTGCATTACGACTTTCAATAAAATATTGTGTACATCGCGAGCCATATTTCGTGCATCACTGGAAAATTAGTTATTCAGTTAATTAATTCATTGTCAAATCAATTTTTAAATTTATTTATTAATAAATATAAATAAATTCAAAAATTGATTTTATTAATAAAATTAAGTTTTTAAATTTAACTTACCCGCACACGTAGATGTGGCCATTTTTTTCTCCAATTACATTCCACAATTCGTCGTCATTCTTTTCTAATAAGTGTGTTACATAAATTTTGTGCTCCTGCTCTCGACTAAATGCCGTGTGCAAAGTGAGAGTCCCACTCTTTACATATTCCTCGAGTTCTTCTTTATATAAGAAATCTTCTGCACTCTTTCTGCATCCAAAATATAAAATCGTCTCTCCTACTTCTTTTCCTATTTCGAATATAAAATTAATTTTTATAATTAAAATATTACTTATTTTATTTATTATTTTATTTTTATTTATTTATTTTATAATTTTTTCATTTTCAAATGTAAATTTTTAAATAATTTCATAATTAAAATTTACAAAATCCACTTATTAAATACCTACATAATTAATTATTATTGTTTATATTTTCAAAAATTTAAATACAATTCTTTGCTAGAATTCAATTATTATCATAAATAATAAAATTTTTTACAAAGATTCAATTATTTCAATAAATAATAAAACTCATCGTAGAATTTCAATTATCTTTAACACAATTTTAACAGAATTCCTCGAAAAATGTAAATATTCTTGAAAATTTTATTAAAATTAGTTGAAAAAATACAATTATTTAAAAATTTGTTGATAAAATATTTTTTGAGAATTCAATTTTGAGAAACATTCATTTATTCAATTATTTTGTCATTGTAAACAAATGAATTTAAAAATTCTCTAAAAATTTTTGCAAAAATTATTAAAAATAATTGATAATTGTTCATTTATTTTTTTCGAAGAAATTTAATAAAATTTTTGAAATTAATTATATTTTTCAAAGAATTTACTTTAAATTGTATTAAAAAATAATTAAAATCCTGTGAAGAACTTTATTATTTAGGAAAGTAATTGAAGTCTTGCAACGAATTTTTATTACATTTTTTTTAAATATTTGGAATCTTTTGAAGAATATTATTATTTATGAAAATAATTGAATTCTTGCAACGAATTTTATTACATTTCTTTTAAATAATTGAAATCCTGTGAAGAATTTTATTTTTTATGTGAATAATTGAATTCTTACAACGAATTTTATTAAATTTTTTTTTAAATAATTGGATTCTTTTAAGAAATTTTATTACATTTTTTTAATTAATTGAATTCTTTTGAGAAATTTTATTAAAATAGTAGATTTTGAAAATGTAATTCTTTGAATAAAATTTCATGAAAGAATTCAATTCATTTTTTAATTCGTTATAAAATTCCTCACATGAATTAAATTATGTTTTTAAACAGTTTGAAAAAAATGGAATTCTTTCAATAAAATTTAATGCAAGAATTCAATTTTTTTCTTAATTCGTAATAAAATTTTTTAAAAGAATTCAATTATTTTCTAAAATTTTAGTAAATTCTTCGAAACAATTAAATTATAAATTTATAAGTAGGTATATTAACAATCATCACACGAATTACATTATTTTTTATAAATAATAGAATTCTTCTGAGGAATTCAAATATTTTCAATACAATTTTAAAATAAACTTTAATAATCAAATATTTAATTACAATTATTAACAGACACGATTATTTTAGAAAGTTGAAAAAAATTCTTTATACAATTTAATTATTTTAAAAATTTTCAATTAAAATTATTCAAAAAATTACATTATTTTGAAAAAAACACAAAGGAATTCTTCAAAACAATTTAATTATTTACAAAAACTCTAAGAAAATTGTTTAAAAGAGTTTAATTTTCTACCAATAATTTAAATAAAATGTTAATAGTTTTTAATTTATAAACAAAATCGAAAGTATTCAATAAATTAGAGAAATTTTTTGAAAAAATTCAATTATTATCAAATGCTTAAATAGTATGTATTCTTCGAAAGAATTTAATTATTTTCTATATATTTTAATAAAATTCCTTGAATGAATTAAAAATCTTAGAAAAATTTAATTATTTTCTAAAAATTTTAATAAAATTCAATTATTAAATGTTTATAATTTCAATTATTAAGAAACACGATTATTTTAAAAACTTCAAAGAAATTGTTCATAAAATTCAATTCTTTTCAAAATTTTCAATTAAAATTATTAAAGAAATTCCTCAAAAGAATTAAATTAGGATTTTCAAAAATTTTAATAAAATTCTTTGCAAGAATTTAATTGTTTTCATAAATGTATCTATAATAAAATTCTTAGAAGGAATTGAATTGTATTAAAAATATTTATTACCTTCTTTCCTGGCAAGATCGCGTTCCTGAATGAATCCTCGGAATGGAGCAAGACCCGTTCCAGGACCGACCATTATTATTGGCGTTGATGTACGAAGTGGAAGACGGAATTGTGATTTACGAACAAAAATTGGAACCAAACTTGGTGGCTCCGAAGGATGTTTCTCCCTTAGCCATGAAGTTGTCACTCCCTTATTAATTCTTCCAGTTGGCGTTTTATATTCAACAACAACGGCCGTTATATGCACAGTTGTTGGATGAAGCTGCAAAGAACAAATCAAATAAATTTTACAGGCCTCGAATTGATTTTAAGGCGCAAAAACAATCGCTTTAGTCAATTGAAAATACAAAAAAGTATTGGTATTTGAATGTTCTGAAAAATGTAATTAAAAATATTGAAAATAATTGAATTTTAAAACATCAGAAAGAAAAAGTTCTAAGAATTACTTTCTTCAAAAATATTATAATTTAATTTTTAGATGCTAATCTTAATTAATTTTCATTTTTAAATTTACACTCAAAGATTTTTTAATAAAATTTTTGAGAATTCAATTTATTATTTTCAAAATTTGCAATTAAAATTCTACAAAACTTAATTTTCAAAAATTGAATTAAAATACTAGAAAAAAATCAATTATTTTCATTTAAATTGTACAAAATTTTAATTATTAAAAATCTTTTTCATAATTTTAATAATAATTTCGAAGATTTAATTAGAAAGATTCTTGATAAATAATTTTTGAAAGAATTGTCTACAGTTATTTTTCACACTATAAAAATCGGAAAAAGTCTCAATATCCATTTTATTAAAATTTACGAAATAGTTTACTAATCAGTTCAATTAAAGAAAAGTTTAAAAAATAAATGGTAATGAAGATAAAAATTTCCATTCACCTTTGGCGATGAAGAAATGGAATAGTAACGACACTGAAGTCGAGGCAATAATTCACAGAGATGATCGAGCGCAGGTTTGAGACTTGGAATATCTTCGAGAATATGTACAATATTTCTATTTTCCTGAATAATCCATTGATTGTAAAGTGCCTTGCCCTCGGCGGTTGTCGATGCCATGAGTTTGAGTTTCTCCTTATCTGCCGCATCGCAACAATATTCGGCCAATTCCTTGAGAATATGCGTTCGTGGATGACCAGTGATATCTAAATAATGCGTCAATGCCGTTCTATATGAACATGGACATGGGAATGGATGTTTCTTCGTTGATTCTTCATCAGTGTTTGTCAATGTAATAATTGTATCTAAATCAACGTTACATTTCTCGCCAATTTTATTCACCAATAATGAGCAATTCACTGGATAAACAGCTAAATGATCGCCAGTTTCGTAACGCATTTTTGAACCATCAATGTCAAATTCAATATGCATACAAGAGCGCTCTGATTTTGGTCCATGCAATTCTCTGTTTACTTTCAATGGCGCTAAATATGGATTTTTCACATCAAATGGACTGCAAAGGAAAAAATTAATTTTTATTTTAAAAATATACAAAATTATCTATTTTAATATTTCTCATAAGTAATGAGAATAAGAAATTTGAATAAATTTACTAAAGTACAAATTGATGTAATTCAAATTAACAAAATATTATTTTTTTAAATATCAACATCAATTTTTTGTTAATTTCAGATTAAAAATTGAAAATATTCACTTATTAAGTAGGGGAACATAGTCTAGGTCGGCCACCTTTTTGACTTTTGTTTATAACTTTTTTTTAAAAATAAATTTGGACAATTGAAGTATATGGTTGGAAAGTCCTGTTTAATAGGAACATTTTTTCTGTACAAAGTAAATTGACAGGTTTAAAAATGAAAAAGTTATAAAGATTTAAAAAAAAAAAAATTTGTAGTCCAGGTTGGCCATTACAGTCAAGGTCGGCCATGTTTAAAATTCAAAGGGCATTAATCGTTAAAAAATAAAATAACATGTTTGGAGTTACGGAAAATTGATTCTTTATTGTTTACAGTTTGTAACTTAATGAAATAACAAAATAATAAAAATAAACAATATAAAAAAATAAATATAAATAAAAAAAAATTTTGCACTAAAATATTAATAAAATTAAATGAAACTATTAATAAGATGATCAATTATATTATGAGTTATACAGAATTGCAGTTTTTGCAAATGAAGTAGCTCGTCCTCATCTTTGCGCATTTTAAACACATAGTGGCCGACCTTGACAGTAAGTAACATTACCGAATTGTTGTAACCATAAAGAAATACGTTTCGGGATTCGATTTTTTACTTTGTTTTCCTTTCAACCATGAGTCCCACAAATTTTCTGCATACTTGCCTTGACGATTCAATTTGTTTTTTATCTTTTATTAATGGTTTTTCACATTATGCACAAAACTTTTTTTGAGCTTTTTTTGTACCGACGTCACAGAAAACACAATTTTAGATTTTCCGAAAATGTAATTGAACAAAAAGTTAGGTTTCACTAAGACAAGCTTCGACAAAAATGCGCGTAGGTGGCGCTAGTGAACTTGACAAAAAAACGCGAGTGGCCTACCTAGACAGTAGGCCAACCTTGACTACATTCCCCTAACTAATTAATTATTTCCAATAATTTTAATGAAAATCTTCACAGGATTTCAATTATTTTTAAAACAATTTCAATAAAGAAAAAATTCAATTATTTTTGAAGATTTTCATAAAAATGCTCACAGAAATTCAATTATTGTCAAAACCTTTAATATAGTTCCTATTCTTGGACAGAATTCAATTATTTTTAATTTATTAATATTCTTCGAAGGAATTCAATTACAATAAAAAATTTTGATTAATTTCTTTATAATAGAATTGAATTAAAATCAATACAATAATTTTAATTCAATTCCTCCAAAGAATTCAATTGTTTCAAAAATAATAAATTTCTTTGTAAGAATTCCATTATTTTCAATAATAATAAAATACTTAAGAAATAATGCAATTATTTTTAAAAATTTTAATACAATGCTTCTCAGCAATTGAAATAATTTGAAAAATAATAATAAAATTTATAGAAGAAATACAATTGCTTTCGTAAAAAATAAAAGTACCTACTCTCGGGAATTCATTATTGTCAAAAATTTTAGTTTAAATCATATTAAAATTAAATTATTTCTTTTATAATTTTGAATATGAATTCTTATAAATAAATTTATCCAAATTTTTCAAAAAAATTAAATTTGTTCAAAAAACTTCGCTAAAATCTTTAAAAATAAGTTAATTCATTAGAGGAAATTGAATTTTTTTAAAATTAAATTAAAAGTAATTGAATTTTTTAGGAAGAATATTTTATTATTTAGAAAAATAATTCAATTTTTTAAAAATATTTAATTTAATTTTTTTCTTATAAAAAATGTTATTGAATTTTTTTAAATTAATAATATTTTTGAAAGAATTTTATTAAAATTCTTTAAAATAATTAAATTTCTGTGAAAAATTTTTATAAATTATATGAAAATAATTGAAATTTTGATAAAAATTTTATTAAAATTTTCGATTTAATAATTCATTTTTTTTGAGAAATTTAATAAAAATTGCATTGTTAATATTTCTATTCTCATAAAGAATTTAATCAAAATTTTTGAAAATAATTGAAAATGTGAAAAGAATTTTATTAAATTTTTGAAAATAATTGAATTTCTGCGAAGAATGTTAAGATTAATATTTTTTTTTTAAATAAGTAGATATGTAAATTCTTTGGCGAAAATTTATTACATTTTTTTTAAATAATTGAATTCTGTCGAGAAATGTTATTAATTTTCAAAATAATTGAATTCTTGTTAAGGATTTTATTAAAATTCTATTAAAATAAGTGAATTCTTATAAAGAATTTTAACAAAATTATTCAAAATAATGGAAATTCTGTGAAGAATTTTTTAAAATAATTAAATTTCTGCCTAGAATTTTATTAATTATAAAAATAATTCAATTCTCATAAATTATTTAATCATGAAGTTTTTCAAATTAATTGAGTTTCTGCAAAGAATTTTTTAAAAATTCTTTAAAATAATTAAATTCCTGCGAAAAATTTTATATATATTATGAAAATAATTGAAAGAATGCTAAGAATTAAATTAAAATTTTCGAAAATAATTGAATTTTATCGAGGAATTCAATTAGAATTGTATTAAAAATAATTAAATTCTCATAAATAATAATTTTAACAAAATTTTTCAAAATAATTGAATTTATTCAAAGAATTTGTTTTAAATTCTTTAAAATAAATAAATTCCTGATAAAAATGAAATGTTATAATTTATTAAAATACTAGAATTCTTGCTGAGAATTTAATTACAATTTTCAAAAGTAATTGAATTTTTCGAGGAATTCAATTAAAATTGTATTGAAAATATTTCAATTCTCATAAAGAATTGAATCAAAATTTTTAAAAATAATTGAATTTTTGCGTAGAATTTTACAAAATTTTTAAAAATAATTGAATTCCTGACAAGAAATTTATATAAATTTTGTGAAAACAATAAATACTAATAATTAATTAGTAAATTAGTTAATAATTTCATTTTTTTTAATTTTGAATCTGAAATTATTCGAAAATTTAAATTAATATTTTTAATTTAAAAAAATAAACTAAAATTACTTTTATTTTAGTACATTCTACAGTAGACAAAAATGAACTTACGCTCGTTGATTTTTGAAAGAATGAAGTCGTGCAATTTCTCCTTGATAAATACGATCGGCTGGTAAATCGACATGTTCGGTGAGTTTATATTGACGAATGCTCACATCTTCGCTGATTCCTTCAATTCCAAAGAATTCACAAACAACTGGCCAAAATTTGTCCTTCCATGTTATAAAATCGTCTTCAATACTGTGAAAAGAAAAAAACAATTTTTAAAAATAATACATTTTTACAAGTATGAATTCAATTAAAACTTCTTTTCATTCCAATTTCTTTTCTTAATTTAATTTCAACAAAAATTTCCGATTCCCTAAAACATGTTTTAATAAATTAACAATTAAAATTATTAATAAATAAACAGTTAAAAAGTTAACAATTGAAAAAATAAATATAAAAAAATAAAGAAATAAAAAATGTACAATATAAATCTTATTTAGAATTATGTAAAAAAAAATTGTCATGAAAATTATGAAATACTCACTTGGCATCGTCATCGCCGAGACCGAGTTCATAAACACGTGTCGCGCCAAGCTGCTCCAATCTATGATCGATGTAAATTGCCACTTCATTGTAATGTTCGTACGTCTTGTTACCAAGTCCAAAAACCTATAAATAAAAACAAAATCAAAAATTAACAACTTTTTAAAAATTTTATAAAATTGGAAAAATACCTATCTTTTCTTTTCTACGAAATTCACTAACAAATTAATTATAATTTGTCCATAGTAAAAATAATAATAATAATAATAATAATAATAATAATAATAATAATAATAATAAAATGTTAAACTGTATAAAATAATTACGAGTGTAAATTAATTATAAACAAATCATGAAATAATAATTATAAAATAAATAATTATTAATTCAAATATATATACATATATAAAAATAAAAAAGAAGAAAAACACTACCTTAAATTTTGGAGCAGAAATTAGTTCACTACCTTCCCATAAGAGTGCGTTGACACGTAATCGACGAGTAAACAATTGTAAAAAATTACTAATTAATTTAATTTTCATTTTATCGCGCTAATAATTTTTACCCTTATCTTGTGAAATATTAATAAATACAAAAAGGAAGAAGAAAAATTTCTTCAACTATTACTAAACGTCTATAGAAAATATCAAACATTCAAGACCTTTAGTCTCAATGATAATTGTTTACATAAGTGGATAAAAATTCTCTATATTACATAGAAAAAGAAGAAGAAGAGAAAGAAAATGAGACTTTTAACAGACAAATAATAGAAAAGTTTCTTAATCGATTCATTTGCATGTCAGTTCTATTATGTAATGTTCAATTTTCACGCACATTTATAAATTATAATTGTCAACGACCATTGAACGTGTACGAAAAAATTAATTACTTTTCTATTCACATTCTATAATTATATTATGTATTGCTTGCTTTTGCACGTGACATATATGATGAGGCAAGAAATAATCAGGTTATGTTCACTTTATGAAAGTATTTTCTCAATTCAACGATAGACGGCACAAGCGAGTTAAATTTGAATTTTTTAATTTTTTCCCACTTTTCTAAATTTTTCTATTAGTTTATTATCTAGAATATTATTATTATTATTTATTATCAGGTACCATTGTTATAGTCATCATTATTATTATTATCCTTATTGTTATTTTCACTACTATTATCATTATTACTCTTATTTTTATTTTTACTATTATTATTTTTATTATTATACTAGCCACACTATCCGCGCGCAAGCGCGCGGGAATGTTGTATGCAACTGCTTATTTTAAACAATTTAAAAAATTTTAAAGAAATAATTATTATTACCTAACAAAGAGATTTAACTAACTAAAATTCAAATAATTTCACTCAATAGTCTCAATTTAAATAGAATTTACATTACTAGACTAAAACTATGGATAGAACAATTCCAATTAGTATCTGGGTCATCTTTTGCATTGCTTATTTTATAAACCCATTTTAATTTAAATACTTTTTTAAGAAATAATAATTGTTACACATTGAAAAAAGTTTTACTTGAAATAGCGATAAGTTTCTCTAGAATAACGAAAGTATTAATTGAAGCACTGAAAAATTTCGCTACTAAAGTGAAATCTGTATATAACCAGCTAAATATTTTTTGCCGTGCATAACGAAAAAAGAATTAAATTAACATCAGATTTTCTAAATTAAAAAAAAACGAATTCAAATAGAAATTAATCATTTTAAAACTTAACCAAATTCACCCCAGAAATCACTGAATTCGATAATTTAGAAGAAAGTCAGACAAAAGCAGGGTTCCTACAGAATCTGGAAATCATGAAAATGGTATGGAATTTTAAAAAGGCTTCTAGAAATCAGGGAAATTATGGAAAAGGCCTGAAATTTTTAAAAGTTTCTAAATTTTTCAGTTTTCCATTTTTTCTCTTAAATAGAAATTCAAATAATAATAAAGCTAAATCCCATAAAAGAGAGGAAAAAATGTTGAATTTTAAGAAATTCGGATTTTTGAATTTTTGATAACTTTAGATTTTTTACCAAAGAGTCGAGACTATTTAATAAGTAAAGTATTTTCCAAAAGCACAAAAATAATGAAGCTAAATCCCATAAAAGAGAGGAAAAAATGTTGAATTTTAAGAAATTCGGATTTTTGAATTTTTGATAACTTTAGATTTTTTACCAAAGAGTCGAGACTATTTAATAAGTAAAGTATTTTCCAAAAGCACAAAAATAATGAAGCTAAATCCCATAAAAGAGAGGAAAAAATGTTGAATTTTAAGAAATTCGGATTTTTGAATTTTTGATAATTTTCGATAATTTTAGATTTTTTTACCAAAGAGTCGAGACTATTAAATAAGTAAAGTATTTTCCAAAAGCACAAAAATAATGAAGCTAAATGCCATAAAAGAAAAGAAAAAATGTTGAATTTTAAGAAATTCGGTTTTTTGAATTTTCGCTAATTTTCCATAATTTTAGATTTTTTTACCAAAGGGTGGGGACTATTGAATAAGTAAAGTATTTTTGAAAAGCACAAAAATAACTAGGCTTAATGCCATAAAAAGGAAGAAAAAATGTTGAATTTTAAGAAATTCGGTTTTTTGAATTTTCGCTAATTTTAGATTTTTTACCAAAGAGTCGAGACTATTAAATAAGTAAAGTATTTTTGAAGAGCACAAAAATATTGAAACTAATTGCTATAAAAAAGAAGAAAAAATGTTGAATTTTAAGGAATTCAGATTTTTTAATTTTTGATAATTTTCGATAATTTTTTATTTTTTACCAAACGGTAAAGACTATTAAATAAGTAAAGTGTTTTTGAAGAGCACAAAAATAATGAAACTAATTGCTATAAAAAAGAAGAAAAAATGTTGAATTTTAAGAAATTCGGTTTTTTGAATTTTTGCTAATTTTCCATAATTTTAGATTTTTTACCAAAGGGTGGAGACTATTAAATAAGTAAATTATTTTTGAAGAGCACAAAAATAATGAAGCGTCATGCCATACAAGAGAAGAAAAAATGTTGAATTTTAAGAAATTTTTATAAATCCTTCGAAACAATTCAATTATTTTTTTTAAATAGCAAAATCTTTCGAAAAATTCAATTATTTGCAAAAGAATTTCAAGAAAGAATTCAATTTTTTTCTTAATTCGTTAAGAAAATATATCAAAAAATTTAAAGAAATTCTTCAAAATAATGTAATTATTTATAGAAACTTTAATAAAATTGTTAAAAAAAATTTAATTTTTTATCAAAAATGTTATTAAAATTTATTATTAAAGTTATTAATTACAATTATCAATAAAATCGATTATATTAAAAAAAATTGAAGACATTTTTTGAAAAAATTCAATTATTTTCAATATTTTAATAAAATTCTGAGAAGAATTTAATTATTTTCTAAAAATTTTAAGAAAATTCAATAATCAAACGTTTAATTTCAATTATTAACAAAAATGATTATTTTAAAAACTTGAAGGAAATTCTTTATAAAATCCAATTATGTACTTTCAAAATTTCCAATTAAAATTGTTAAAGAAACTCCATTTGATATTCAAAAAGAAAATACAAAAAAATTCTTCAAAAGAGTTTAATTAGATAGGATTTTCAAAAATTTTGATTAAATTCTCTATGAGAATTAAAATATTTTCAATTTAATTGAATTTCTCGAAAAAAATTCAATATTATTTTCGAAAATTTTAATGAATCCTTCGACAACATTTAATTACTTTTAATACAATTTTAATAAACTTTCATCAAATATGCACGAAAAAATTTTTAAAAACACTTTTATATATCTACAATTCTAGTTATTTGCTTAAGATTTTTTTAAGATCTTCTTTTCAAATTCATATCTCTGTTTCAATTTGTTATTTACTTTTTCATTTTTCATTTTTTAATTAAAACGTGTCAATAATAATAATAATAATAATAATATTGTAAACATTAGATTACAAAAATGAAAAAAAAAGAATTCAAATCATACCAATAATTATCAACAATTTGTGTTTTTCACATTCTCGAGCTTTGAACTTTTGCTTTCACGAGTATCAGAAAATTGTGCAATTGAGACAATAATAATTGTAATAATAATAATAAAGTTTAGTTTTTAGTTTTTTCAGTTGTAAAAAAAATAATAGTAGTAAAAATATAAATTTTTCAATTTTTTCCCTCTGTGAGTATGGGGGAAAAAATTGATTTGCGAGGTAATAAATGAAAAATTATACGTACAGCGTAATTTAATCCACTAAGATCACCTTCGCCATTTTTGAGCCAGTCAACGAATTCCATAGCATTGTCTGTTGGATCACCTTCACCATAAGTAGCCATGCAAAATACTGCCATACTGTTTGGTATTGATTTCAAGTTGACTAACTCTTCCTAAAAAAAAAGAATCATTAAATATTCGTTTTCAACAAAATTATTCTCTAAAATACATTACATATTTCTATACCTGTCTAATTTTTGTTTTAAATAACAAATTTTTCTTTTTCATTGCAAATTTCGTTCTATAAATATTAATATTATTTCAACAAAAAAGGCCAATTCTAGCTTTTTTTTTACTTTAAATCATTACTTCATTATTTAAAAACTAGCATAACATAAATTTGAAAGAAAAAAAAAATTTCAAAATTTAATTATTTGAAACAGGAATAAATTTTTGTTAAACAAATATTTAAAAATTAATTTATTTTTTCATAGGAATTAAAATTTCAAATAATTTCAATGAAAAACGTTTTCAAATTTAATTATTTCTACAATTCTTCCAATATACAATTATTTTCTAAATATTAAATTGAAAATATTTTTTTCAATCAATTCCTATATGTCAGAATTTAACTACGATAATTGAATTATTTAAATAGATTAATTTGTGAAAAATTCAGTTTTTTTCTAAATTTTTAGTTACAATTCTTCGAAAATAACATTAGATTTACAAATAATTTTCAAAAGTGAAAAAAAGGAAAATTCTTTAAAATACAACGTTTATTTAAATAAATGTTGCAAACAAAATAAAAATAGAAAGAAAACAATAATTGTTAGCCTTGTAAAATTCAATTTCGTAGCAAAAGTGTTATAAACAGTTTTGTAGAAAATATTCAACTATACTTCTTTGTTAAGTATTTTAAATAAATTGTAATAGAAAGAAAACTTTTTTTATTTTCAAATATTAATTTCAATTAAATTTTAAAGTAATTTCAGATTCAAAAATTTTTAAAATTAAATTTTTAACTAATATTTACTAATTAATTATAATTACTTATTGTTTTCAAAAACTTTAATAGAATTCTTGTCAGGAATTCAATTATTTTCAATGCAATTTCAATAAAATTTCTCAAAAAAATACAATTTTTTTAAATTTGCTAAAATTCTTCCAAAAAATTCAATTATTTTGCAAAATTTTGATTAAATTCTTTATGGAACTAAAATTCCTCGAAAAAGTTAAAGTTACAGTTAATTTAAATTACATTCTTAGCAAAAGTTCAATTATTTTAATAATTTAAAATTTTTTTCGCAGAAATTCAATTATTTTTCTAAATTTTGATTATATTCCTCAAAAAAATGCAATTAATTTTGATAATTTTAATTAAATTCTTAGCAAAATTTGAATTATTTTCATAATTTTTCAAAATTTCTGCATGAATTTAATTATATAAAAGAATTGTATTAAAATTCTTCACCGAAATTTAATAACTTTGGAAATTTTGATAAAATTATTTATGAGAATTGAATTATTTTCATAATTAATCAAATTTTTGCAAGAATTCAATTATTTTCAATTCAATTTCAAAAAAATGGATGAAAACAATTTAATTTTGTTTTAAATTTGATAAAATTCTTCGCAAAAATTAATTTATTTTGAAACATTCTGAATAATTTTTGTATGAGAATTGAAATAATGTCAATTCAATTTTAATTAAACTCCTCAAAAAAATTTAATTATTTTTGAAAATTTAAATTAAATTCTTAGCTAGATTTAAATTATTTGAAAGAATTTCAATAAAATTCTTCGCAAAAATTTTATTATTTTGAAAAATTTCACTAAAATTCTATACAAGAAAACATTTATTTAAATAATTTTAAAAAATTTAATTCTTTTCATAAATAATAAAATTTCTTAGCAGAAATTTGGTAAAACTTCTTTATAAGAATTCACTTATTATTAATAAAATTTTAACAAAATTCTTACCGAGATTTCAATTATTTTTATAATTAATAACATTTCTCGAAAGAATTGAATTATTTCAAAAAATTGTAATAAAATTTCTCAAAAGAATTTAATGTATTTTTAAAAATTTGATAAAATTCTTCATAGAAATTCAATTACTTTGAAAAATTTTGATTAAATTATTTATGAGAGTTTAAAAATATTTTTAATATTATTTTAATAAAATTTTTCCTAAGAATTCAATTATTTAAAAAAAATTGATTATAACATTCTTCGCAGAAATTCAATTATTTTGAAAAATTTTGATAAATTTCTTTATAAGAATTTAATTATTTCAACATTATAACAGAAATATTTTTAATTGAAAGCAATTTGGTTTAATATTATAATGTTTAGTGTTTTTTTTAATTTTCAAATCATTAAATTAAAATTCCATCAATTTAAAAATTTAAAACTTTTTTTTTTTACTCATTTTGGTAGGAGCTTACCATATCACATTCCTCAGGATCAGCAACCATACCTTTCATTCGGTATCGAATTCCCTCTTTAGCAAGTCGACCTGCAAATTCTTCACCAGTACCAGTCTGACTACCATAAAATACCACCAAACTACGTCCGGAACTTTGGAGTTTTTTGATAAACGAATTTTCCGAAGGCGTCACTGCCGTATATGACGTTGGTCTGCAAAAAGGAAAAAAGCAATTATTTTCCATTTTCCAAAAATGCAAAAACCAAAATTTATCCAATCCATCTAATTATTAAATATTCACCAACAAAATAAAGACAAAAATTCGTCAAATTTAACATTATAATTAAAAACTACCGAAATATAATTTTTATTGTCTAAATTCCAAAAATTGTTTGAAAAAATTTTGTTTGTTCCTAAAGTCTTCAACGTTCAAATGCACGAATTTTTTTGTTACTTTTTTGAATTTTTGTACAAAATATTAATTTGCAAATTTAAAATATGACTTATTTACTCAATAAATGTTGAATTTATTTTTTATTTCTAATTAAAATACAATAATATTGTAAAATATTGAAAGAGAAAAAATTTTCGTTATTTTGAACGATTAAAACTTTAAGAACATGTTTTTTTAGACAAAAAAGTAAAATAAAATAAAATTGAGTAAAAATAATTGAAATTTAATAAAACAGAATTTTAAGAAGGTAAAAAAATAAAACTTACTGTATCGAGTAGGATTTTGTCGATGGCGTATATTCATCTTGTTTATTTCTCCTCATGAGCCACCATAGTCCAGTTAAAACGAGAATAACAAGAAGTGCAATATCGTAAGTGCTAAGAAATGGTTCGCTTGCAATATTTGTACTATCAGTCTCTTCCAAAATTGGTGGGCCTGCCATTCTGATTGCTTTTGGTTGTGACGCGTCAACACTCTGCAATTAAAATAATAGAAGAAGAATATTAATCAAAAATTTTATTTCCTCAATATTATATTTTTCACACAAAATTATTTTATTTCCTCATTATTATATTTTTAACACAGACAAAATAATTTTCCTTCTTCCTCGTCAGATTTTTCTTTTTTAATCAGCACAGAACGAAAATTCAAAATACTTCCTCATAGCAGGGAAATAATATTTTTTTAATTTTTTCACCCAAAAATAACTAATATATAGATTTTTTTTCTCAAATAAAATAAATAATAGAGATTTTTTTCTCAAATAAAATAAATAATAGAGATTTTTTTCTCGAATATAATAATTAATAGAAATTTTTTTCTCAAATAAAATAATTAATAGAGATTTTTTTCTCAAATAAAATAAATAACATAGATTTTTTTTCTCAAATAAAATAAATAATTGCAATAATAAATAATAATAAATATAAATAAATAAGTAATAAATTACATTACAAAAATAATTAATTACAAAGAGACAATAAATTAGTATTTGAAAAAAAAATAAAAATAGTAAATAAAATAACTCGGGTAAAATTATAGAAATAGTAACTAAATAAATAAAAAAATACATTTTTCCATAAATTATATAAAAATACCTAATATAAATAGTTTCTTGAAAAAAAAAACAAAAATCAGAATTAAAAAATATTCTGTAAAAAAAATGTGTAAACAATAAAATGTCAGAGATGAGATTTCTTATTATTTTTGTAATTTGTATAAAATTTCCACTCGACTAAACAAACAACAGCTGTAATTAAATGAACAAATTGATATCAAGAGGTAATTTTGAAATCATATTTTTCTTTTTGATCTAATATCGTAAATCAATAATTACGATTTTATATTCGGGGATTTTTTCATTTTTTTTTTGTAAATAAATAATTATTTTCCTTTTCTGAAGTAAAATTAATTTTTTTTTAAAAGCATTTGAATTATTATGACGTCACGGTTTTTTTTGCTAAAAACTGTGACGTCAAAATGGTTCAAATGACAAAAAAATAAAAAAATTTTATTTTCGTATATAAATTTTTATTTTTAAGCACCTATTTCCATAAATTATTGAGTTACATTCATCATTTTGGGTCAAGATCTTGTCCTTGATCTTGACAAACATATTCTTTCTCTATATCTTTATTATATGGTTGAAAGTTGCAGACTTTTTTTTCACTCAAGGATAAAATTTAAAATTCACCAAGGCTCATTTCACAACCGAAAAGAGAAAATAAAAATTAAATTCAACGAAAAGAAAAAAGAAAATTGAATCAATCATATAAGAGAAAATAAAAATTAAAGTTACAAAGACAATAAAAAGAGAAATTAAGTAAAGTCAAATTATTTTTTTTTTTCAAAGGATTATGTATTTCAATAAATAAATAAATTATAAAAATAAACAAAATAACAAACAATAGCAGTAAAAATATTAAAAATTAAACAAAAAAAATCAGAAGAAACATTTTTTTGTATTTTTAATAAATAAATAAATTATTGAAATTATTAGGAAATTAATAATAAATAAATTATAAAAATAAGAAAAATAACAAACAAAAACAGTAAAAAAGATTAAAAACTAATTTGTTTGTTAATATTACAAAAAAATTAAAGAAACTTTTTTTTGTATTTTTAAATTGTTTAAAAATTTACAAAATTGTTAATGTCTATTCTATTTCAATCAAATAAATAATAAAAATAAGCAAACTAACAAACAAAAAGCAGTTAAAAATATTAAATAAAAAATTTATTTATTTATTAATTTTAATAAATAAATCAAAATATTAACAGAAAAATTAGTTTTTAAAAGTTTTTTTTGTCACTCATTTTGCTTATATTTATAATTTATTTATAAAAATAAGAAAAATATGACAAAAAAAATCAAAGTAAATATATTTTTTTTTTGTATTTTTAAATCGTTTAGAAATTTACAAAATAGTTAAAGTCCATTCTTTTTGAATAAATAAATAAATTATAAAAAGAAGCAAAATAACAAACAAAAAGTAATAAAAAATATTAAAAATCTCATTTTTTGTTAATATTACAAAAAAAAATCAAAGAAACATTTTTGGTATTTTTAAATTGTTTATAAAAATTTACAAAATTGTTAATGTCTATAAAAAATCAATTAAAAAAAAATTATAATTAAAAATGAAGATAAAAAAATATTTATTAAAAAATTCGAAAAAAAAACAAAAACAAAAAGCGATTAAGAAACAAGCAAAACAAAATGAAAAGAAAAATAAACAAAAAAAAAAAATTAAAATTAAAGAATAGAAAAAAATTCCTCGTCAAAATACGCGATAATTGATTTGTACTAATATGACAGGTTCGGAAAATAATAATTCATATACGTAAAATAGATTATAGACTTGGACACGATTAATCTTGTAATGGAAATTGTGAAAAATCACCTAAACGATTGCATCATCTAAATGACTTCTGCCTATTATCATTATGCAATATATAATGAATAAAATGCTTGACACGTGGATCTCTCCAACATGCACCTAATGGATCTTGTTATAGACATTAGAGTACCTATATATAATTCTTGTTTTTTTTTTTTTTTTTTTTTTTTTTTTTTAATAAATGAAATGCTATGTTGTGTGAATCACATGAACAATGACAGGGCGAAAAGAATAAATTACTCCAAATCGTTTTATATTATTTTTCAGTCACGTAGACAAAATTATTAGCACTTTTATTTCTTTTCCTTTTCCTTCAAATTATTCATTCCGCATGAAAATTTTTGAATTTAAAATAAATTTGTCTTTTAAGTAAAAACAAAGAAACAAAAAAATAAATAAATAAATAAATAAATAAACTAATAAACTAAAAATAAATAATAAATAAATAAAATAATCAAACAGACAATCAAAAATAAATAAACAAACAAGCAAAATAAAAAACAAATAAATAAATAAAAAAATTAAAAAAGAAAATAAAAAAATTATAATTATTTAAATTATTTATTTACCTACTGATTTTAGACAATATTTATATAATTATACAAATTGCAAAAATAATGTATTATTTTTTCTGTAAAAATTCATAAACTAAAAATTTTGAATAATTTTATTTCAAAAATTAATTTATAATTTATATATTTTAATAATTTATTTTACAAAAATTATTGAAATTTAAAAAAATTAATTTGGAAATTCATAAAAAATGAGGTTATTTTGAAGGATTGTAATTAAAATTTTTTGAAAATTAGTTGAATTCTGGAAATAATTTTAAAAAATTGAAACAATTGGAAATATTGTCAAATTTTTATTAAAATAAATAATAAATAAGAAAATAATAAAATAGTAAATACCTAAATTTTATATTTTAGAAAATTTTATTGTTTCACTTTTAAAAATTATTTTGTATTTTTGTATAATTGAATTGTATTTTTGAAGAATTTGTAACTAAAAATTTAGAAGATAATTGAATTTTTCAAAAATTATTCTTTTTTTAAATAATAAATAAATTTTTAAATATTTGTTTAACAAAAATTATTCATATTATATATTTTTTAACGAATTTTTTTTTTACTTTTATAAAAATTATTTTGAAACATAATCGTATTTTTAAAGAATTCTAATTAAAATTTTTGAAAATAATTAAATTTCAAAAAAAAATTTAGAATTTATCTTATTACCGAGATAAGGATCTTAATTTTTTTTTAATTTAAAAAAAAGTGTCAGAAAAATTATATTTTTTAAACAATAAAGAATAAAGTTAGAGAAATAATTTTAAATATAGGAAAATTAAAGAAAGAAAAAAAACCACATAATAATATACATCGAATGGAATATTATTCTAATTATGCAAATTGTAATTTTAAATTAAGATACAATTTGTATATAGACAAATAGTTACCAAAAAAAAAATCTTCAAACCGAATATATGAAAAATAAAAAAAAAAGTTTTGGAGGGGAGAGTTAAAAACGTCAAAAAATTATTGGGTTACTAAATAATTATCCCAGAGTAAAAAAAAATGTCAGGAAGTTTGTAATAATATTAATAATAAAAATTAGATGATAATAATGATGATGATGAAAAAGAAGAAAATAGTTAATTTAAAAAATAAAAATTCGAAGAATATTGAATATTTCCTAAAGTAAGTAAAAAAAAAAGAAAAAACCGAAACAAATTTGTAAATTTTTTGTTTTTACATAAATTTTGAAAATTTCTCCCAATCATCGAAAAGCGTCTTCTTTCTCGACATTATTTCTATGTTTTTTCCATAAAATATGAATTTCCATTTTATCAAATATATATTAATATATATTTAATTTTTATTTTTAGTGTAATAAAATGAAAAAAAAGGAAAAAAAAATTTTTTTTTTTTTAAAAAAACTATTACTTCATACAATTGACTCCAGGTCATCGTGTGTCTTCAACAAACTTTTGCATTATGCAAGATGACACTTTAAAATTTTGCAAAAGCTTGTAGGTCAATTTTAAATAGCATAATATTCTTTAATTTTTATATCATTTTTAAAAGAAAACCTCCCAACACTTTTTTAATTAAAAAAAAAAAAATTATTATCATAATTGGTAAAAAAAAATGAAATGAAAAATAAAAAAAAAATTATTGTTCAAATATAGATACTAATTAAACGAACAGTGTCATTTTACAAAATACCACGTGTCGGAATGTTTTATTAATTTTTTTTTCGTATTTGATGATGATCACGATGATGATATAGATTTGAATAAATTAATCTTTGTTCGTCATAGTATAGTGACTGCAACGTAATTCTAGCAAATTTTCCTCATCTTTTCGAATTTTTATCTACTTTCTTTCTTTTATCGTTTGTTGTTATTATTATTTTTATTTTTTATTTATTTATTATCATTCTTATTTAATATATAATATATAATATATAATATATAATATATAATATATAATATATAATATATAATATATAATATATAATATATAATATATAATAAAAATAAAAATAATAAAAATAATAAAATAATAAAAAT